TATTTAAAATAAACATTAGTTAAAATATTACCTATAGAAAATAATAGTTTTAATAAAACTTTTAATTAAAAATGTACTTTCTTTTCATATAAAATTAAGAAAATCTTTTTATATTATTAATAATATATTTTTATAATTAATTAAAATAGTTAAATTAATACTAAATTAATTATAGTTAATTTAGCGTATCGTCTACTATACTTAATAAAAATTAATAGTCTTAGTATTAAATATAGTTAATCTAAATTAATTATCTAATTTTTAACTTAATTATAGTTAAGTATAGAAATTCTATTAACCTAGCTATAATCTAGCGGTTAGATATAATTGACCCTATTAACCTAACCTAACCTAGCCAAATGCCACTTTCATAACTACTTAATATTAAAATTAATTAAAATATTATTTTACCTATAGAAAGTAATAGTTTTAAATAAAATTTTTAATTAAAAATATATCTCTTTTTATATAGAATTAATAACCAGAATCTTTTAATATTATTAATAATATAATATTTTAATTAATTATAAATACTAAAATTAATATTAAATTAACTACAATTAATCTAGTTTACTATCTATTATATCAGATATAAATTTATAATCTTAGTATTAAATATAGTTAATCTAGATTACCTATCTAATTTTTAATTTAACTGTAGTTAAGTATAGAAATTCTATTAATCTAATTATAACCTAGTGGTTAGGTATAACTGACCCTATTAACCGAACCTAACCTGGTCAAATGCCAGTCTATTTATTTCTATTAGATAGTTAAATAAGGCAGCTTAACAAAGAGTAAAGAAATAAAATACCAATTTACAAGATTACTATCTATATAGTCTATCCTTTTATTTATTATACCGGCTAGTTTACATAGATAAGTTAGGCTATAATAAGAGGGTGGGGTAACTAAAATAATGTATTTTAATTAATATATAAGTTCTCTAACAATCTGAATATCCTTGATTCTCCTAGTACTGCGCCTCTCGTAGCTGTTGGCTACTAGCTCCAAAGGAGCCCTTACACTAGCAGCCTTGAGGGAATAGACCCTTTGTTCGATTTCCTTTTCGTCTTTCATAAATCCCTAGGAGCACACCACAGCAGAGGCTCAATTAGCTTTTGTCTCATGGACCTCGTTTGTAGAGCAGATGTTTGACTGGTTCGATCGGTAAATCAACACCTATGATACTCGTTGATCAACTCCTGCCCTTCACGTATACGGGCCAAATTGAGGCGTAGAATCTCTAGTGAGCGAGCCCAATACCGCTTGCCGAATGCACTCATGTGTGAACCGATGTTCACATTTGGCTGCTCCCAGAGTGGGTGTTCCACTGGCAGAGGCTCAGGGTCAGTCACGTCCAAAGCCGCACCTCCCAAGGCCCCAGACTGCAGTGCCGTTAGCAGGGCATCCTGGTCAAGTACCTTGCCTCGCGATATATTAGTTAAGAAGGGCCTCTGTGTGGTGGACTTGCAATGTGCAGAAATGATGTCTAACTCCTCTTTACCTATCAGGTTGGTAGTTCCCGTGTTCAAGGGAAGAGAGACCACAAGGTGATCTAAACCCTGGGCCAAGAAACTATGAAGTGATGATCGGTCTCGCCCGCTATACCACGCTTCAGGTATCAGACCATCTGGATCTCCTGTCCCTGGGATTATAAATCCAGTATCCTTTCGCGACTCTGCCGTTAGCCTTGGTTGTGCCGTGTATACCAAGACTCTCATACCCAGACCAGATGCAACGCGAGCAACTAATTGATATTAGCCCGCAAATTGGAAGACGAGGCACCATTCGCTGCGGTAGCGAAGAAGAGGATATTATTCTTTCATGTGCGTGTCTTACCTTGGCGTCCAATACTACCATATCCTAAAATACCGACAGTTTGGCCCACATTGTCATCAACCCCCCATTGAGATACTTCCTTCAATGTCAGCCAGCGATGCTGACTACTAGCTTCTAGAATCCTCGGATACATTCTTGAGTATGCAAGCCAATTCATGACCACCCACTCTGCAATCGGCGGCCCGTGGATCCCTGAGCTTGTGGACATGCGTATGTTAGTGTCACGGAAGATAGGATGGTTGATCAGATGATCCACACCAGCCGAGAAAGTGTGCAAATACTTCAGCCTACGGTTCCATCATTAGCGACCGTCTGTTGATACTTCCAAAGTATATTCAATTGGCTTACTGGGGAGTTTGATCGGGATGCGGTACAATGCCAAAAGCTGTGGTCATAATGGTTACCCTCTGAAGTAAATCTAACTCTCCTGGTTAGTTGTAATAGTGATTGGTGCTGTTGAGTGGTCCTCTAACCAGAAGGAATAATATCATCGGTGAGCTCCAATGTACCAGGGGGAATCTCAAAGAATGCCACCTCTATAGTAGAAAATTGCTGGCGAATGAAGTCAATTGCTTCCTTTGGTTCTGGCAAAGGAAGGAAGACGAGGAGGAGTTCCCGTGAATTATCTTTCGACATTTCTACCGTAGATAATTCGACTGCGATAAGGTTAAGCTCGCAAGAAAATGAGCTGAGAGAGAGAAAAAGGAAAGGTGAAATCGGTGGTTATATTTAAGTGTGTCGATTCAACTGCCGTGCAGGGTACTTAGTGCATGAGCGGGGAAAAACCCTTGCGCAGGGGTGAAGGGGGGGAAAGCGACTACATATACCGACGCGGCAGTTTAACAAACAAATGAAAAGTTCTACTATCATATAAGCCAATTAAATCTATTTATTAGATCCCGCTTTATTTCCTACCGGTCATAGTCGTCGAAGTGCTCGGATATCGACGGGTAACAAGTTGAAATTCCGAGCAATACGGTGGACGCAATGTATATCAACCAATCATAGGTATTGAAATACACGGCGTATTGCCGACAATTGGGACGAATTTATCAAGACCCCCCACAAGGACAAATTGGTATGTCTCGCACCGCACTGTTGACAAAGCAGCTGTGAGCTATACATTGAGGGCATTGGCAGTGATGGGATAGGCCAGGAGCTTGGTACCCATATCAGGTGCCTTAGCGTTCCTGTAGAGCAACCAGAAGCTCCTGCGGAGAGTGCTACTCCATGTATCAATCCAACTTGCAAGTACAGCGCCCTGAAATGGGCCATGTTTGGTTGTAAGCACAGTCCTGGCAATCTAATCATTCTTTCACGTTATTCGTCTTATCTTCATACAGAATATCTTACAGAACGCATTGCTTACTCTTTCCCTTTTGTTTCCACTGTAGATGCTTACTAGGAGGCACTCTATAGTTGAACTCATTCTGTTACACCTTCCCACGGAAAGCCACTTTTTTCAACACCGACAAACGGATATGTTAGAACATTATGGATACGAAGTTAATTTCTGAGGAGTCACGACAAGAGCCATCTCAAGGTAAATGGATACCGGCGCCGGTGGTGACACCACCGCGTTGAGCACCGATGAACACATGTCCAGTTCGAGGGCAACAAGGGCATTCCGTTTTGGTCCGTGCGCTTGGCAGATAATTGCGAGCATGGAAGGTCCGGTGAAGGGGACCGACTGCATATTATGCTATGATGATTTAGACAAAATATGCGCGTCTAGTTTTGGACCAGAGTTTGGTGGTGCTTGTCGTGTATATAATTTACCAACTTAATCATTCTCCATTGTTTTAACTATCCCACAAAAGACTGTATCATTCTCACTGGATGTTTTGCCTGTCGCAGTATTGCCGGACTAGGTACGTGACTTCTAGATAGATACCTTCTCTTACCACCTAAGTCTAGGCTGCGGCAAATCCGCTCCGTTGGATGTCAAAGTCATATCCACATCCAACCTATATCTGTAAATACAACAACAATCCGCATTAGCATAATGTTGGCTAATTTAACTTGTTTTGATATTTTATATAACCCCTATACAGCTAGACTTCCGCATAACCGAACTTGGGTCGAAGGTCTTGACCCAAAATCAAACCCAGCCTGGGTCCGTGTTGAACTTCCTGGATGCAACTCGGACACAATACTGGTACGACAGTAAAATATATTTTACTATAGTAAATAGCTCTGCTTATGAAGATATCAATATAGATATTATTACCTCTTCTGGATTCGGACACAGTCTGAGTAATCTTTATCTATCCAGGCCTGGCATGGGTCACTCAAAATATTCCATTGACAACATCAAACCTCGATCTACCCGGTATTGGCAGGCTAGCTGGGGTTTGCATAAGTAACATCACACACCATATCCTGGTAATCCGAGAACTTGACCGACTTGTACGCGAACGCCTTTGACCCCGGAAAGATGAAGGACTGCAATTTATCTCCGTCGATTGACTGCAATTCGGGTGGTGCAAGATCGACGCCCTTGAGACCGTTCACCACGGCGTTAATCCCAGAGAAGGTGTCAATGAACAGGCTCCTGTCGCCTCTCTGTGAATTGTCCTCATCGCTGGACTTGCCTTTAACGGTCTGCAAACTTCCATGATCGCTAATCTGAAGGTTATATGAGACGGTTGACTTCCTGTCGATGGCATTGATGTCATCTTTGGTCAGGTTCTTCTGGACGAAGAAGCGGACAACATGATGCTGTTCAATCGTCATGGAACTGCCCTCAAAGGTGACGGAGCAGTTATATTTATTCCAAACCTCCACCGCTCCGTACAATCGGAACAGCCCACTATGGGCTTTGTCCGCGCCATAACCCTCATAGGATATATGGATGACATCCTTATCCTTCTCTGTGACTTCAATCTTATCGGGGTCCTTTCCATATTCTATCCTCACAGGAAAGAAGTTAATATGTGGTTTCAAGGGGTCGTCGTTATCGCCCGTAACCTTGACAATGGGATGTCCGCAGTACATTTTGGCATGGGATACCAATTGGTCTTTGAGGTAGGTGGCAAAGGTAGTCCGGTTGATGGCCATAGTCCCACTCTTGGTTGCCTTGTCTTCGGGAACAACCCAATTCCAAGTGAACTTTGGAAGAGATGGATTAGACGGTAGCTTCTTATTGCCAGTAAGGCAAAAATAGTCCAAGGTTCTGAACATTTTACCGTCTTTCGTCGTCTGCAGACTGACATGGCGCTGGTAGTCACTCATCACCAATTGGGAGCTGTCTTTGGATTGCGCGACGGCCGTGATGGCGACAAGTGGAAGGCCCCTTTCGGCTGCAGACTTGCTCCAAGTGCCACTGAACGTCTTCTGAAGAAGAGGTAAGACATCAGAGCCCTTGTCGAGGCCGGGAAAATCAGGCGTGCTATCGAGTGTGGCGCTATCAAGGTCGTAGAGCAGCTGCTGTAAGCTGAAAGCTGTGTCCTTGAGGTTCTTCAGCTTGTCTTTTATTTCTTGCTTGACAGTTGGATGGTTGTTTAGGTATGTTGTGTTCAGTTGTGTGTCCAAGTCTGCTACCTTGAGATTCACCTTCATCTCTGCATACCAGGGCTTGCCGGGTGGCTGTCGGTGGAGGACCAGCGTGTGGTCAGAAGACCCCCATCCACTAGGGATCTGCAGCTCAATGATGGATACCTCCGAGCAGTACAGCCTGAACCGTACATGGGTTGCATCCTCGTCGGCAAATTCCACAATGTCCAAATCCTTGGGCTGCATACCTGGTGGAATTCCCATCTGCAACTTAATGCCATATCGAAATTTGGCATCTACCAGGGGCTGCCAGATCGATTGATCAATCTTACCAGCAGGAGTTGTGAATGGGTTCACATTTTTAGTGAGTTGGAGGAGCTCCTCCAGTGTGATGCTTTTGTCCACATTCCCTTGGCTGTCCACCAGGAAGCAAAGATACTGGACCGGTTGATCAGAGTTATTGAAGTATGCACGGAGACCATCGTTGATGCTGGTCTCGGTAGTTGAAACGACAAAATCGTATCCGGTCTTGATTGTTTTGTCGCCATTTTTAAAGTCGTAGTGGAAGTCAGAACCAGACAGATGTGATTCTGCGTCGGCGCCCATGATGTTTCAGATTAGGGGTGTTGGTCGTTTGTTTGAGAGGAACGATAAATATAAAAGAGGTCTTCGATGGCTCTTCGTGACCAGGAAGGGCGCGCTCGCTGCTCTCTAGATATACAACCTCACTCCATCCTTTCGAGTACACATTTATTCTCCATGTCACGGTGAGCAAGTGGGGGGCTGATCAATTGTTGTTACGTGGCACATCATGCAAGCGCCTGTTTTGGGTGGAAACGAAAAGACATAGCAGCTGAACATCCAACTGATCAGCATCAGATTCACTGATAAGACGTCAAGGAAGGAATTGAAAGCGGACCAGGCAACAAGGCAACTTTCGGAGACTCATATCTTTGCACGGGCCAGAGCTTTGCTGGCATCGCGGGGGCTGACACTGAAGCTTTCAGCTCATGCCTGCAGACGCCCAGTGCCAAGGTTTGTAGATCCACCCGTTCATGCGGGCCAATCGTTCCGATCATGCGTTGTTCAGCTGCTCGATACCCGCCGGCAAGGCCCGAAGCGGACGAATCGATCCTTGACCGCAAATGTGTTCTGTACTGAAAGTAGAAAAGATAAGCCCAGTTTCAGCTGAATACTTCCACCTTCATTCGAAGCAACTAGTGGAACTTAAATCCCTCATACTAACACATCCGGTCAGGTGTCAATGGGGAACACATCCCCATAGCAGACAGGATGAGTTAAGCCGATTGACAGGCTACATATATAGTCGTCTCCGCGGTGTGGATGGCAATCAGAAAAGACTTGCACCCCTCCACCCAGGATACATGCCAGTTACTTCGCTTGAATTGGTCGACCATAATGGCCTCCACAGACAATTCAGGAAAGAGGTTTCGTCTGACCTACGACACCGAATTGATCCAAAATTATATTCAGGGCGAGATAGTCTCCCCGAAAAATAAGTTCGAAGCCCTCCAGACAAAGGATGGCCACACTCTGCTCTTTGGCGTCGACTCTTCCAATATATTCCATGTCATCGAAGAGAGCAGCGGCCAACACAGTACAGGCTGGGCGCTGATCGATCTTTCCACAGCGGCGATCAGCTCTCAACTACCGGGAAAGAAGGATACGATGGTGAGGACATTCGACGTCGGGCAGAGTGTTCTCGATCAAACCATCGGAATGGCCATGGCTGCTCGAGTGGAAGGGAAAGACCACCTTTTCGTATCCCTGAAGAATTCCAACTCGGATACGTCCTGGATAAAGAACCCGGAATGGACATTGGTCCCGTTTGATGCCGCCAATGAGACACAACCAAGCATTACCGTTGTAGGTATCTGGTTTGCAGAGACAGATAGTCAGAAACAATACCTTGTTGTTGATATTGATCGATCTGGATCGTCCACGATGAAGGATATCGCACGCTACTATGTCGATCCGTCTATAACTTCTGGTAGTCGCTGGGTTAAACATGATGTCCCGGTCGACATCGCCGCCGGCTACTATCAAAGCTGTATCGGACGTGTGCACCGTGGCAGGATCGACGGAATCTACACTACTGGAACCTCTGGAGGCAGCCCCCAGCTTGATTATGTGCCGCTTGAAAACATCTTCGGGGATGGACCGCCCCTTCCAACCCGGTTCAAGCTGCCAGACAACAAGATCCCATCCGCTATAGCCACTGCTCGTAAGGAAAATGGCGAGACAGACCTGTATATGCTCAGTGGCGAGACTCTTTATCGCATAGCAGCTGAAAAGCAGACGGATGATGCTACCGCGGACGCCGTTCTGACCAATAGCCTGCTTTCTGGAACTGGAGTGCTACGCGCCATGATCCACCAAGAAGTGTTGACTCTTTTCGGAAAGAATGGGAGTGATCAGGTCTATTGCCTTTCATGCAACATTGAAAAGGTGGCTGATCAAAGAGCATGGAATGTCCCAGTTCCTATCTGCAACGGAGTCGAGCAGATTTCGGCGTACGTGAACAGGGCAGATGGGGGAAACACCATATTCACATCTGGTGGGGGCAGGCTAGGCAAGATCACTCAGGACATCAATACTCTGTGGAAGTCACAGAATATCAAGCTGGCACCATCCTCAACCACTGAAAAGGCCCTCGTCTTCAAATCTTACACGACCTTCATCCATGTGATGGATGACAATGAATTAGCGGCCAGCGGTGCCACTCTGAAGGTTTCAACAGCCTCGCGCACACCCGTCTATATCAACGGCTTGTATTACGTCCTTGGACAGAGTCCAATTGAAGTCAAGGCAGACAGAACCGGCTTGATGACGGTGATCGAGGAGACGCCGAATATCAACGGTGCAACGCTCACAGTATCAACGGATGGAGGTAGAACAAGTACTGCCATCAACCCGATGAATAAGTCCTTTGAAAAGCTTGGAAAGCTCGATTCCAAGGACTCCCTGCGTGATGCCAGCTTTCCATCGGAGACGCGTGGCGGGGGGGTTGTGGGAACACCGAAGAAAAGTCCGCTGGTAGAGCAATCGACCAAGGATAGCGACCTCGACAAGGTCGCCGCAAATATGGCAGGGCTGAACAAGGCGTACTCTCATGTTAAAACTGCCAAACCCGCAGGGCGAAGCCTTCACGGCAACCTCCGAGCCATATCAGGCGGGGACTTCGGTAATGATATCCTCATCGGGATTGGGGACATCTTCAGTTGGCTCGAGTCTGGTATCGAAGCCGTGGTAGAGGTTATTTGGCATGAGGCAACACAGGCATGGCACTTCGTCGTGACGATCGCCGGGGATATCTACCGCGCCATTCTAGACACAGTGGAGGCCGTTGTTGCTGCTGTCGAGTGGATTTTCAATGCCATCAAGACGGCGATCAAAGCGATTATTCAATTTATAGAGTTCTTGTTTGAATGGGACGACATCAAACGGACCAAGAATGTGCTCTACAATATTTCGAAACAGTTCTTTCAGCATCAGATTGACAGCATTAGGGACGCCAAGAGCACCTTTAACAATAAGATTGAATCTGTGGAGAAATCTCTCAACGAATGGGCTGACGTCGACTGGTCACCTCTTGGGGATAGCATCAGCAAGCCTGCGTCAAGCAGCAGCAAAAGCAACTCCCAGAATCAAACGCCTGGCTCTCAGTTGCTAGTTCATCATTACAAGAACAACGCCAACAGTGTCAGTGTTGTCGCTGACTCGCCGTTTTCTGGGGATATCAATAAGGACCCGGCTCAGAAAGCCCTTAACGATCTACACAGCGCACTGTCTAAAGAAGATAAAGTGATTTCCGGCTTTCGCGACCAGATTGGAGAAGTGGCCAAGCAATTCGCGACAATGACCATCGAGGACGCTATCAAGAAGATCGTGGCTATCTTAGTTGATGGCATACTTGCCAGCGTGGAGGTGGTGGTCGACGCCCTCCTGGATCTGCTGCAGGATCTGGCGACAGCAGTAGTGGGTATGGTGGACGCAAAGCTGCATATCCCCATTATTTCTGATATCCTGAATGCCATTGGTATCCCAGATATCTCTTTCCTTGACCTCTTCACCTGGGTTGCGGCTGTCTGCTACACCGTCGTGTATAAGATCGCAAAGGGAGAGCCTCCCTTTCCGGACAACAAGGATGTACAATCTGTGATCGATGCCAGCAGCTGGAATGATCTAATTAACAAATTGCATCCTCCTGCAACATCCTCAGTCGCTTCAAGTGCCCTCTATGCCATGCCCGCCTCGGGGCTCGCCTCTGCGTCAGCTATGACTCCCTCAAGCAAGCCAACCGTTCTCCAGGATGTCATTTTCATCACCGGACACTCCGTGAGTGGAATATGCGGAGTCCTTGGTGCATTTGTAAACGCCGCAGAAGCTGAGTTTCCAACTGGCGACAACCCGATGTCCACACCATCAGCCATCCTTGGGTTCATTGGCGCAGCATCTGAAGCCGTGGCCGATATTGTGTCACCAAAGGATCCCCTTGAGGAGCCTATCTTCAGTGCGCTTAGCACCGCCACGAGTGTCACGACTGCAGTCTCCAAATTTGTGTTCAGTAGCTATGGTCAAAAAAGGCTGAGCAAATTGGGATTACCCACAGCCGAAGACCCACGCGGTATGGGCGCGGGGATTAACGTGTTACTGGTGGGTGTCGGTGCCGCCACAACAATCAAACATTTTGTGGAGCTGGCCAAAGATCCAGCTGGAAAAGACCGGTCAGCTGCGATTGTCGGGGAAGTCTCAAATCTGACTTCTTATATCAGCCGGATCTCGTATGCATTGGCTGTCAATGATATCGAGGAAGACACGCGGCAGGTAGTCATCGCAGTTATGACTGTGAGCAATTTAATCACAGCCGGTCTCCAGATAGGAGAGGCGATTGTTGATTAAGATTATTTATATATCAAGCTTAGCCATGTCGTTGTCCAATCTATATGCGGTTTCTCCTTCTATGCGACCGACTCAAAGAAACGTTATGGAACTGTATTCGTAGCTTTTCAGATTCGAACAAAATACTCGTGTGGGTAGAATTAGTTGATTGGGTTCCCCGCTGGGACCCCGTAATTTCTGGGGGTAGACCCTACGGAGTAGATCTAGAGGAGTTCCATAGTGGAGCGGACTAGTGAGATCTGTGAAGGAGAAGCTTAGAACTATGTAGTGAACCGCGGTGGCAATAGTACCTTACGAACAGACGAGTCTACAAGTAGTTCGTTGAATGACTGCCGATACCACAGAAGCGTGTGCTGTCTAAAATCTACTTGTTGTACAGCGAGAGTGGAATCTGAACATATATTGTTGGCTAGGAATGACGACCAGTTCAAGTGTAATATTTTTGAATCAAGCACCTATAGATTAACGCAGCTATGTCGTCTCACAGATGGATAGATCGATGTTCAACTGAGAGTGGACACGCAATGTATGTTGAGGATAGAGACCGAGAAGCTATTGTGTCAGTTTGGGCACTTGGTTATTACGAATATCGAGTGCCCAACCAAGGAGCTGTGTGATATCCAGGTGGTGGGACCCCGAGATGTCAGTCAGCTTTAGATATGGAGCCGGAACCCGCCCGAACGATTTATAGCATACATTATTCCTCGCCATGCGCAATCACGCTGGTGCCCAGCTCCAGGATACCCATTTGGCACCTCCGTATCTCATGGGGTACCTTGCCCACAAACTGACTCCTGTGAGTAATAGTTCCTGACCGCTAATATGTGCGTTTTTCTATACTCCAGTCTCAACACATGAATCGTCATGTACATATTATGTAGTTGTGAGACTCTTGGTCTACCTAGCCCAACTGAGTAGATATTACAACAGTTGTATTCAGCAAACCTCAACGTATCACTTGAAATTACGAGTCACAGTTAGAAAAAATGTGTATTGGGATATTGTCAATATAAAAGATCCCAGACTTATAAGTGCTATATATTTTTCTTGTCAACAGTAGTAAGGGCCAGCTGAAAGCTTCTTTGCGTTGTCTATTGTTGAATATCTTGATGCCTGCAATAAATATATATATTGAGCTTGAAGGCAATTATAGTTTATACTTCCAACCCGTTCGAAATGCTCTGTAAGCACTAAAAACGACTCTCACCCGATAAGCTGGGTACAAAAAGAAATAATACTATTATTATAAGCAGGCATGCAACAAATAGTCGTTGGGAAGTGACGGTTCTCTGATTCAAAATGTGGACCTTAGCTCCCAGACTTCGGGGCGTTTGGGGACGGCCCCTTATCAGGAGTCCAGATCGTGTGGCCCAGATCCCCCTCCATGAAGGGGTCTACCTGAATGATTTTGGTGACGCGGGGGTTCCGAGTAAGAGCCGGATACTCCCAGCCTCCCCACACTGAATTGGCTGGAAAGGCAGTCCCATCAAGCCCGGATCGGGTGAAGAAGTACACATCTCCCTGGGCATTCTCGGCGAATGCTTGAGACAGTCGCCGCCCGAATCGATCCACCATTGCTGGTGTGTTCATTTTGCCCATTTGCGCGCGAGACCACTTTTTATCAGTCGCGCGATCGATTGCAAATCCTTGGCGTTGAGTAGATTTCTGAATATAACGTTTATAGTGTTGTGTCGAGAGTGTAACTCCATTCTGACCATCAAGACTGCTATAGAAGAGGCTATCACCCTTTTTGACTTTGCCATATTCTCTTATATTCGCACTGAGGTCTTGGAGCGTTGGGACGTTATCAAATACCTTGTATTGGGGTTTCCCCCAGTTCTTGAGACATTTCAGTCCTGGTGCGCGTTTGCACTGTGCCTGAGAAGCTAAATCATTTTCACTCCATGTATTCTTGAGCGCTTCATCAAGCTCGGCTTGATTGGCTGCTTTGAGCCCAGCATCTTCCACAATTTTGGCGCCTTCGTCAGGCACGTGGGGACCTTCGATGGCCGTGGCATCCTCGTGGAGTTTAGAGCCCCCTTCCGCACGATGGCCTTCTGCCGGTTCTTTCCCTTTATAGTGCGTATCACCGACTGCCTTTCTAGCCTTGGCTGCATGTTCTGCAGCCGCCGCTTCGTACTCTGTACCTTTAGCTGCATCAGCAAACGTGGCCGCTTTTTCTGAAGCCTCCACTGCCTTAGCGATGGATTCAGCACCATCTGCAGATGCTGCTGCAACCTTAGCAGCTTTCACGGCGAATTCAGAAGCCTTGATCGTTTCTGCAAGCTCCCCAACTCCAGGTATCGCCAGAAGCATGTCAAGAATTGTTGGATGTTGGACCATATTCAGACCGATCCCCAGGATGAAAAATAATGGGTCGTCGGACGGGTTCTTCATGCCATCCTGGATGCAATCCTGGATCTTTCGTCTTGCAAACCACGGCACTACATTGTTAAAAATCCAAGTTTCACCCTTGTTCACCTCTTTCATCACTTCTCCTATTACTAGTATGTCACTAACAGGTGTATTCAAGAAATGCCACCCTTCACGAATAACTGGGTATTTGAGGAAGTCGGTGATTTCTTGTTGAATTGTATGGAACACAGACTGGAATGCAGGTGTCCCAATACATTCCAGGATAATGGCATGAACACCAGGGATGGAGATTTCTGAAATCGCCCTACAGGTCTTGCCGTTCACGAAGTCAACGAATCCTTGTCCGAATGTTTCGGCAACATCGACAATAAATCGCTCCGGTAGGGTTAAAAGATCAACAATTTTGCTGAACTACGATTCCTTAGCGACAGTGTAAACGTATCCAAGAGCATGAACTCACCGTAACCTGTGTTTTGGACATAGGGCATGGCCCAAGACACTTCCGGCATGTCCCCTGACTTGGCGCATAACCTCGGGTGCACGGGGAAGGGCTGGGGAAAATTGAGCGGACCTCAATGTGGTTCTCCATGAATGGACTAGCTACTGTGGAGCCTATTGCCAGCAGGGTAGGCCCAAGCCAGCGAAGATGCATGCTGCTAAGAGTGTTTGCTGATGACGTTTGGAAAGGGGAGACGCGATGGTAAAAGTATGGGCATTTCTCAAGCTGTGCGACGGAAATGGAGGGGCCTTATTATACCTGGGACCATGAAGCCTCTCATTATATAGACTCATCGGTGAGAGATTTGAGAATTTAAGGTACGGTACGGCCATCATGTAATGTGCGGGGCCTGTTTCAGTGAAACTATGATGAAACAGGTAGCCTTTACGACTTAATGGCTTGACACGATGGTGCATACACTTTCAATATAGCATTTAAAGCATCAGTCGCCCACCACCCAAGGGTGAGTCTGATGGTGCGTAACTGAGATTTAGAAAATGTAATACCGTTGGAAGGTCCGAGTGAGCATGACTGATATTCTAACATTTGTCTGAGGAGGAGATGCATCTTTCCCTTCCTACTCATACCGTTGATATTTTGTGAGGCGTTCATCTTTACTACACAGGGTTGCGCGTACAACCATCCCTGTGTTATGCAACTCCAAACTTCAGAGAAAAAAAGACAAGGTATCCATGCAGGGCATTGCAAGGCCATGGTCCACAATGCAGAGTTTATCAGAGCCGGCGAACAAGGGCAAAAGCCAAGATCAAGCTAGTTTCAAATAACTTTGATAACTGAATTTCCTGAAACACCGCTTTAGATCCAGACTTGGTACACCCCAGGATGCGAGAGACTACAGACAAGGACCCTTCCCAGTTATCCGAAAACTGTGCCACGAGGACGAATTATTCCATGGCTAGTAATCAATGGCTATCTAGTATGACTACGGCCTTGTATGTACCACATATATAGACCGATTTACGCCAGGATTCCACTCTTGGCGGGGGATGCTTTGCCAAGGGCATGGACTATAGATATTCGTGGTAGTCCCTATAGCGTGAGAGAGCCAAGCCATGGGATCGTAACATGATATGATTAATGAGCTGAAAGTGTAGATGATAGGTGCTATTGGAAAGCAGGAAAAAGAACTCATGCGCTTTAAAGAACATTGTCTTCACGGGTAGCCTCCATACTTAATTGAGTCTCGCGCAGCACGTCTACACTGACCGGAAACCACAGCGACTTATCTCCTACAAGTAACTTCGGTGCCATTTGGATTGCATAGGATTTTAAAGTATAGTTACATATTGGTTTGGATATTACCCACAAAAATGAGCCATTCCCCTCTCGGGTGATTCCAGGCCTACGAAGGGTGTAATTGTTAGAATTGCCAATCCAGCTACATTCACTAGATAATCCGTATCCAGGGCTTCAGACATATTTTGGTCCCCCTAGCTTCATATCCGAGTCGAACCCAGCACTCACCCAGTCGTATGGGGCAAAATGAGCTGAAAACACAGTCCCTTGCTATTGTAATACTTTAGATCTATAAGACAAAACATATATCCATGTTAGTATGAAGAAAGCGATTGACGGTGATTTGTAAATGATTCTACTCACACATCCGCAGGATATTTTGTCACCATTTTCAATAACGAATTGTCCCGTTGTAAGATTAAAACAACCGCCCTTGGTTGGAGTACACTCTTCAGGGCATTGGCATTTCGCTTTTGCATCCGAGCCCACTGCGGTGACAAAAATTGCCGAGCCAAGAAACCCTGCGATAAGAGCAAAGAATTTCATGGCTGGATTGGATTAACTTAGAAGCAGGGTCTTTGTGGAAGGTCAGCAAGGAGCAGGCGTGATCAAAATCTGATAACAAAGGACAAATACATAGACAACGAATGGAGCAAGTGACCATGGAATTCCGGGACCTTTAACGTTCTTATCCCTAATGAAATTTATCGTGTGGCTTTTTACCAAGGGTCCAGGAAGTGTATGTGACCGTTGCCTTGTTTGCTAAGTGGACCGTTTTCTCTCTAGCCAACCCCTGTTTCAGTCAGTGGGCCTCCTCTTGGCTTCTGGAAGTATCACCGTCGTCTAAATATATAGGCTGGTCTCTTGGTTAACTCCCAGGTACTCAAGTATAAAGTATATCTTGTTTAGGCTACCTGTACGATCAGTGAAACCTATGGCTAGTATTCAAGTGTTGGATTGGATGAAAATATTTCACCCCTAGTGAGCAAATTAGGGTTCGCAGTTTCGGAGTTAGGAGAACTTTACCGACGGGGCCCAACGTAACCTTCGACACCCAGAGTCATAATTTTACAAGGTCTTTTTTCTGCGACCATGGATGTCATTGTAGCACAAGAGAAGAGGTCACCTCTCAACCCTTTGAGACCTTCACTTCGCGAAGTTATTCGACATACTGGTTCCAGGGCTCTTGACAACAGCTGCGGGTGTGATATGCAGATGTGGATGTGCAGGAGAGTTTTTCATGCCGCGCAAACATTTACCCACCCACGATGCCGGCCCACCTCTTATGGTTTGAGCCTCAAGAACCCTAGGGTCTCAGCTCCTTAACACTATGAATATAACGTGTTGAATTGTCTATACTTCGGGAGTACCAGACGCAAGGAAGCTGGCCTCCAATCTTTGGTATAGCGTCCGCTCAATATGATAATTTCTACGGGAAACAGCCTGGTCATTGTAGAGACTAGGTTTCTGGGATAGCCTTAAAATTAAGCGCATTGACCCGAGCCTGTAAAGAGAATGGCACAGGCAAAGCTTCGTCTATTTGACTGCATGGTGTCAAAGATCTCTAGCGCGATAATGGCTGGAAGCCCGATCGAAAGTCACACAGGTAAATAAGTAATTCGATGAAAGGTAAGTTGCCTTCCGTTATTGTAGACCGTGTATTTGATATGCCCTATTGTTTGACCGAAAGATCCATATGCTGATCCGTAAAGTCTAAAGGTCTCCTAAAGCCCTGATGCATATAGTGACATCCACGGCGTCTTTCCGAAATGTTTCACGTTCCTTGAATCCAGCATCTTCAATTTTCTCAGTTCAGTTTATGGCACCAGCGATATCCTCCTGTTTTGTTCCTCGCTCCTATCCTACCCCTACTGGCCACGGGTAGGAACCACCAAGGGGCATCCAGACTAGTGCGTCTCGATTGCCTAGTGGGATGCGTCATACCATGGGCTCTTTTGGGGACCTGAATGTGTCTTCAATAATATTCTAAGTCTCACTGTGAGGCAAGATCCGCTGATTTGGTGAAAATGCTATCAAATAATCACTTAGGGGGAACATGACTCTATCTGAAAGCATTGAGACAACCGAAGGTCTGAGCATAGAGGCTGATGGTGAGGTTGCAACAGTTCTCTCCACTGAAGGGGCGAGCGGACTTGCTGTTTTTATAATATGGTCGGAGTGCCCCCTAAGTAAAGTTTTAAAGGGAGGATTGATGTACTGGATGCATTGCAAACACACCAGTGATGAGCGAATCACTATGCCGCCTGATGTAGATGCGTATGTTGTTAATGAAATTGTCGTGCTTCTTCGCGATAATTGCAGACTACCAACCAATGTTTGATCTGCTCTTCACGCATTTGTGTGTACAGATGCTCGGACCATGAATTCTAGCGCTGCCACCGCAGCACCCGCAGCACTATGCAAGTTCATGAGCAATTACGCTCAGGATGTTATAATAGTCAAGGCCCGCAATGGTCTCACCGGGTGGATAACCGGTAGCAATATTTACAGTGAAGGTAGGGTACCCTGAGCATCTGAGGGCGTGAAAGGTGACAGTGGCCTGTCAAAGACAAGTCGGTGTCTAGTCACTCAGACGCAGACCGTATCAACTCCCGTAACCTCGACCGTGTGTACTACAGGCACATAGCTATTTAAGCCATATCATAGGGACTTACTCAGTCCCTTGTCAGTGTGGAACATTAATATCGATTCTGGGAGGGTGCAGGTACATTTCTAAATGACCTAATCCCGTGAGGCTCAGCAGTCAGTTGAAAATTGAAAGGTTTGCTTGTTAGATTCTAACGCCCTTTGGCATTCCAACACAATATTGGCTCTGGTCCTTCGTTGCGGATTGCGAAATCGACTTCCACCTTACATTACTCGAGTTCTGTAGTATTGCAAAGGCAATCCACTGTCCAGCATATATATTTTGTCCACAGAAAGTCTACATTTGACCACATCGTATCGACCTTTTAGTAGACGCATTCATGTGCGGCTCTCGCGTGACTCGAGGCATATGCATGCAAATCAAAATGTACGAAGATTATGCAACAAGGGCACACCTCAGGGAATGGCAGACCATTGTAGTTCTGGGCAAGGGAACGGTGAGTGGTAAACACGCTTTGATTGTACAATTCAGTACGGACCGAACGTAGTAAAAATTTGACGGTCCCTGCCCCTGGGGCACGAACCTCACGATGAATCGCGTGAGAATCCGAGTGGCCACCCTTGGCGGTTTCAGTGGCCAGCTCACCTCTAACCGCTAGGGTAGGGACTTTGCGATGGCGACAATTGTCTCACGGCTCAATATGGCTGATTTGAGACCAGACCGTTAGAATGTGAACTGGAATGTTGAAAAGAATATTGTAATGAGCGTCATTGCACTGGCATTCTGCGGTGCAGGAAAACACCAAAAGTGAGCCAATCGGTTGTGTTTGTACTCGAAAGTAGGTTACCAGACACTGAATTCAGGTAACCTCAAAAGCCAAAACAGCCTGCTGCAATCGGTATAAGGCTTTGGATTGACTTGCACTAACGTGTGGTTGATCAAGAGGTAAAAAGGTGGGTATCGGTACCTAAATTAAATCTCGTTCGCTTGCCTTGAACCCACACTGATCTTATCTTGGTCAATTCCGTCGGCGGATACCCGGAATTGGGCTTAATCAGGCCTAGTTCCGGATAAACTAACTTGGCCGGTAGAACCGCTCGTATTATTATTTAATTTTATTACAGATTCACCACAACGATTGAGCACTAGTACACCATGTTTTGATATATAGATATATAATTATTTCGATATTTATGCAATTCCACATACCTTAGATACATAGATTCCCTATTAAAAAGTTCTAAATATTCTTAGAACGACAAAAACCTCAAATTCTGAGTGTCTCGAGAAGACCCAGTATCAAGTCAGTATATATTCCCACGTGGGTAATATATTAAATCTTGAAGATAACAACAACGCATTCGAAATTTTAATTCTCCATATAGATATCTTGATACCCTTTTTCAAACGATATCAAGTATGAAGAGTCAAATTACCTAAACAGAATTAGATATGTATGGTTTTAGGTTAAACCTCTGAAGAATAAAACCCAAACTCACCCGGCCGATCAACCCTACAACTGATTAGTTGACTGACCGAAAAGGATATTCTAACCAGGCAGCTCTAGTTAGATTCAGCGATGCGTCTGGAGAAGGCAAGTGTAAGCACTAGGGCAGACTACTTAGGAGGCTCTGATTTCCTTATTAGTTTACCTTCCCCAGATTCCCCGCAATATGGGGTGGAAATCCCCCACATCCAAGAAAAACCCCGAAAAGCGGAAGTCGGAACCGTCGAGGTAGTCTTATAACCAAAATATAAAGCCCGGCTGAGCTTGCGAGATGGGGTGCTGTATGGTTGAACCCTGAGCTCACTTATATTGACTGCACTGTTCAGATGCATAGAATGCAGTTTTTCATCCGCCGCCTGTTCGCGGTCGGCCTGTTACTCACGGCCGCCCACGCATATGCGACCAGCAGGATGGGATGCTGCGCACCGTCATCACGACTGATATGGAGCAGGACGACCTCGCCTCGCTCATCCGGTACCTACTCTACACCAATGAACTCGATACACAGGGCATCATCTACAGCTCCAGCCGCTTTCACTGGGCCGGTGACGGCAATGGCACGAAGTTCTTCTTGCCCGACCGCGAGTATACCTCCCCACAGTGGACATGGCGCTGGACGGGGACGCGGACTATCCAAGATAAAGTCGTCCCAGCATATGCAGAAATCTTCCCAAATCTGCTGAACCATGATCCATTCTACCCGACACCTGACGAGCTGTTGTCCAAAGTCAAGATCGGCAATATCGAGTTCGAGGGCGAAATGGATCATGACTCGGATGGTTCTAATCTCATCCGTGCGCTACTGCTCAACGAAGATCCACGACCGCTCTACTTGCAAGCATGGGGTGGCACCAACACCATCGCCCGTGCGTTGAAGTCAATCGAGGAGCAGTACTCGGGCTCTCAGCAGTGGACGCAGACCAAGGACATCGTCTCCCGGAGAGCTGTCATCATGGCGAGCGGGTTTCAGGACGAAACATATGCGAACTACATCTCCGTTAACTGGCCACAGATCCGCGTGGAGCAGTTGGGGGCCGGATACAGTACGTGGGGCTACAACTGTAATAAGGGCCAGGGCAACGTCCGTGGCTTACCAGACGCCCGCATATACTTTACCGGTGACTGGACTCAGGCGAACATCGAAACAGGACCATACGGGAGGCTCTACCGTTCCTGGCTCGACGGCCAGTCCATGCCAGGGGACCCGATGGACACTTTCGGGGATCGAAATACGGCGAACTTGTCAAGTTTTTGTAAGCCATTGGGTCCGTATGCCTTCCTGTCCGAGGGTGACAACGTGGCCTTTAACCCCTTACTTACAACCGGCATTCATGACCCGGCCAACCCAAGTCTCGGTGGTTGGGGCGGCCGAGCCAAGCAGAACAGCACCTCCCCGAACTTGTGGGAGTTGGTTGAAAGCGAGAAGAATAGGACCGGGGCGGAGCTGAATAGCTACACAACGGACCGCTGGGCTGCGGCCGTGCAGAACGACTTTGCGGCTCGTATGCAGTGGACGCTGACACCGAAATATCAAGAGGCCAACCACGCACCCTCGGTGCAGATCCTGAACGGAACCACCGTCCAAGCACATCCTGGGGCCACTGTAACGCTGGCTGGTGCGGTTAGCGATCCAGACGGCAGCACCGTCACCACCTCCTGGTGGCAGTACTTCGAAGAAGGCACATACCCGGGCAGTGTGACTGTGACTGAGTCCGGTAACCATCGGGCGGATGTAACGATCCCAGATGATGCCCAAACTGGCCAAAATATTTCGATCATTCTGCAAGGCACGGATGATGGGACATTCCCACTGACCCGCTATGGCCGCATTTTTATTCATGTCATATAACCGAGTGAACTTGCAGTGGTATGTCGCTACAAACTCTGGTATTGATCAAAGAAGATAGGAAAGCTGCAGGCCTTTCTGTGTATATTCACGTGCGCAGCAATAATTGCTGAAGCAATAATTGCTGAGTACACTACAATAATTACCACTATCCTTCACTGATTCTCAGGTCTCATTAGCACTATCCCTTGGTAGCTGCATCAGCACAGAATGTACATATATAACTACTCGCGGAGGTCGATCTGCTTCCCGGCAAAATACCGATATCTTCTCGCGCCCAGAACCCGAAGTTTCTTCCCGTACATCATAAGCAAAGCATTGCCAAGAAGTATGACGGTTAAAATCACACTGAATGTAATGTAAAAGCCCGTCAAACCGGAGCTAGCAATCCAGGGAGCCAAAGCAAAGACAAAGATGGTCGAGATGAGGTTGCGGACAAAGGTAACACCGACGAGAGAGCCCGCCACGATCTATCCAAGTAAATCTGTGAGCAGTCGAAGCACGGAGATGTGATTGGGATTGCAACTTACGTCGGTGTAGGCATCCGTCAGATACGTGAGAGCGACGCTACTGGGTGGTGTTGAGCCAAAGGAGGCCAGCCCGAGGCCTACCGCTGGCACTGGCCACGGAAGCCCCTTATCTAAACCGATTCCAAACATGATCAGTCCCGCCGGTACAAAGGGAGTAAATGCCAAGGAGAGCCATAGGCGCATCTCCGGCTCATAAATCCCATTGTTTCGCCGCGCGAGAAGGAGAATTAGTTTGTCACTTAAGGGCCCTGCGAGGAGAATTCCCAAGGACGTGCCGATGAATGAGGGGAGACCCATCAGGCCAATCTGCGCGGCAGTGAAATTATAAGGGGGAAGAGTCATCCACGATGAAAGCGTTGTGACGGTGACCGTCACCGCGGCCGTCATCGCGCCATACACCACAGCCATAAAGAATATGGCTGGAATGGTGAAAAGCATGACAAAGGGCTCGTAGCTATAACGTGCGAAGTTGGCCAGGGAGCTTGGTGAGATTGTCCACAAGGCAAGCCTCTGCAGATAGGTCTTCTTTGGAATCGAAGGGTCGATCCAGTGCTCCAGCTCTGCTTCCATTCGCATTTTGTTATCTTCCTGTGGATTCTCCTCATCCCTTGTTACATTTTCTTGATGTTCAAAACTCTCCTTTCCGTCTTGGGCCTTCACTGGTGACAGGGACGGAGGAACCTCCTCAGTAGGGGTCGCAACAAACTTTGTTTCTTCATAGAAAAATAGAAAAGCGACCAGCCCGGCACCGAATAGGATCACCATCCACCACCAGACCCATCGCCAGCCCTGTGAGTCCACGATGTACCCGCCGGCCAATGGAGACAGGCTAGTTCCGACGGTCATGACCCAGACGTAGATGCCATTCATCAAACCTCTCTGGTGGACAAAATAGATATCTGCGACCGTCATCTGCACCAGCACCTCTGCCAACGCGCCGACGACGCAGCTCAGGATATTGACCACCATTAAGTCCGCGACGTTCATCATCCGTGCCGTCCACACGCTGATAGCGCATTGGAAGGCAGTGCTGAAGACGTATACCGGCCGTCGACCGTATTTCAGGGCGAAGGGGATGATAATGACGCTTCCGATGCAGAGCGCTCCACATCCTGCTGCGTAGCTGTCATTCAGGATCTCGAAGCTGAACCCGAGCTCGGCGTTGACAGGGCCCCAGGTGACCGTCGCCACATCGATTCTGGGTGAGGTGTGACTCGTGAGACAGGCAGAAACATGTGGCAGGAAAGAATAGGACCTACAATGCAAAAACCATCATCACATAGTAGGAAACTAGGGAAAAGTTGAGGTGCTTGCGCCATGTGGGCCAATTCTCTTGTATATCAGCGGGGCTTCCTGGCCTTCGCGGATGCTCACACTCACCAGCGGATCGTTGGGGTCATGACTGGGTTTTGGTTGTAGGATAACGTTCGAACTGCGGTCGGACTCGGACGCCACTGTCATGCGTAACATTCAGCAAAACGGCCATCAATGGTAAATATGGGGTTCGCCTATACCTTCGATGCGAACCGTGCCAGGTGGCCATGCTGGGTCAATATTCCCGTTTTCAGATGTCATTGCGATTGTTTTGACGACTCCACGTTCTAGGACAGTGCAAGTCAAAAGGATTAATGTTCTTTACCAGCTCTGCTCATGGCGGCCTCAGCATCTTATAGGGGTAGTCCATGGAAACTCTGCGCACCCGCCTATATGACATTCCAGGCCATGGTACTGTGTTCTTGCGACATCGGTTACGCTCCGAGCAGGGATAAGCTACTTGATACGGCGATCTCTGGGGTTCCCCACTAGTAATGCGGGGGTGGAGCCGCCTGGTTAGAGCTGGAAGGGATAGTTGGAGCGACAGTCCAATGGCGTCAATTTGCGCCAGGTACCGTCCGTGCTGGAGGGCCGTGCGAGGAAACCTTGCCGATGCGATCTGGCGAGCCACGCCGTATTCATGACCCACAAGCTAGAGGGTCGACAGGGACATGACCTCACCGTTAGTCTAGAGGGCTGTAGCTGTTCTGGGGAATTGTTACGATCCATGACTCTCTGGCAATGGTAGTAAGACGTGTTTCGTCGAATGTGATCATAGCAACGAAATCACTCGTGCAATTCACAATTGTATGGCCTTCTCCCTAACGTCTTGGACACCGTTATCGGCCTCTCTCGTTCTATCGTTCTCTGCTCCTTCGGGCGAAGGCCAACGCGCAGAGTTTCCACCGTAGAGCTAGCCAGAACGAGTCAACATGCTCTGTCGCTGAGGGCTTAACCGGTAACTAAACAGAGTCGGCACAAACAACTCGCCGCCGAGGTTCCCGGGACAGTATCCTAGTAGTAACATTGAAACTAAATACCGAGGAACTGACTGTTCCTCCTCTCCTTCATCAAGGATTAATCTATCATTGCGCGTCAATATCTCTCCCCATACCAGATCAATCATACGACAATTCAGTTAGAGCGGAAATTTCCGACATGACTGCCATGGTCCATGGAACAACATTTGTGGCGTCCATAACTTTGGTGGATGTCAACTGAGCCTACCGCCGCACCGTACGAGATTTGAACCATCTCATTATCCGATCTACCAACGTTCATATCAACTCGATATTCGATCAAGCCTTGGACTATGCCCCCGTCACCATTAAGGCAGGCAACAACGAGAGCATTTGCATAGCCCTCATAGGCAGCGTCTGGATGAGTGTGTGATTAACCAACAGACCTAACCAGTGCTATTCTGCTGCCAACTTCTCGGTAGCTATGCCAAGCTGTTGGAGTGGATCTCATTCAGTTCCATTCAGATATGAGCCACAGCTGCCATACATCGTGATCTCTTATTAGCGACTGCCGACACTTGGATTGAATCGCATGGTCCCGAAAAGGGGCTTTCAACATGAGGAGAAACTGTTCAAATACCCAAACCCTTTATCCGTCTGCTACAACACGATCACGACCATACAAACCCCTTTCAACGCCACCTGATCATATCTACTTCTGCACGCGGAACGAGAAACTGCAGGACCCAAGGGATCAGTATTCTGTCCGTCCTGAGATCTATACATAACAGACCACGGAGTGGTCAATTCGTTCCACAGTCAAGTGGCACCTGTATTCTCAAGTTCTGCAATCTTCAGCATTTAGATCGTCCTTCCGTACGATGGAAACCTACCATTGAGATCCTCATTTGAATATGAATTAACCTCTATTGGTGACACAGCTACCAGGTCAAAGCCTTCGAGCCAAATTCTTGATTTTCAAGCTCCAATTACCTCCAATCCCAGACGAGTGGATATGCACCGCGATATTGCCCCCAGAGGCTTTATGTCTCTAAGAGAGAGATCAACAGCTGTCCTGTAACAGCCAATGGCCCTCGCACTTCCGAGTTTACTAATATTGGTCCAAGACTTCAGAGTGCTCAGCTCGATACGCGACAAGGTGGTCTTCACGGTCAAAGCGGAGTTGAGTCCAATCTCATTTACGTCAAGGGAAAACCAGTGTTCGACAGATGATGGCCAACATGTGGGAGATACAGTGGCTGGTGCAGCGTCGACATTGACACTCATGGTTCGTCCATGCGACCATAATCATTTGACTTCGGTATACCCAGTGACTGCGTTGAACGCAGCAATGGGTGTACCTGTCCCGATTCAAAAATTCAATCAGGCGATAGCCCTCCCCCTTTAGATATATTTCCTTGGTAATGGCGGAAGAAGTGTAGATGGAATAGACCCAGAGCCACTGATGCAATGTTTGGTCGTGATAGGGGATACATTTGATGATGTTGGGTTCCGGACGAATGGGTCGATCCCCGAGGTCTCAAGAGCCGCCGGAGTGTTGTAGTTGGAAATGACCCGCTGTTTAGCTTTCAAAGAAGCCATTTACAGAAGGGTCTGCCGGATCCGAGCTTTGACCTGGGGAAGTTGGTGCAGAATGGTTGTGGTTGGGGCGGAGTGTCTCAATAGTTACGACAGGTAGACCTGAGTTCGTGTAGGTGAGAATCTGCCTCACCCTATCCAGATTAAGCCATGTGATCTTATCAATCAGAATGGCTCTGTACCGAGGGCCATCTGGAAAAGGATGCTTGTTCTTGGCTTCGTGGAGTACTCTGCAATCAGCTCTGGGATGTTCGATCAGCGACCTTGTTCTAGATCAGGTTCCGTATCTCCCGTGCTCTCATCTAGTAAGTATAACCAGCATCGTTTTACCGAGTATTTTCCATGTTTCCAGTACACCTTATTCGATATACAGAATGGGTAAATCTACCGATGGACTACCTGTTCGCAGAACTTGATGAGCGTGTGCCATAGAGATACTAGCATTCGACCCAATGAGCCACTGAGGCTGACGCGGACCCTACGCATCCGCAAATCCATTATTCGAGGAGCCCAGCGGCGTGAAAGGCGCAATATTAGGTCACACATTCGATGGAGAGTAGCAGTATGGAAAGCCATGCGTGACTGTGTGGCTGACATCAAGAGAATAACTCAACTTCGCTGGTCCCAGAAGCAAGTTCCAGGCAACCCCACATGCCTTGCGCATGTAAGTGCCCTCGTCGGAAAGGATCATCGTACAACCAACAACATCTCGACTTGTAGCCAAAACGCCGAAAGCCTTGGGAATATGAAGCTTGAGGCTGCCCTCGGAGAGTCAATCGCAGCTGTGTAAAGCTGTAGGCGCAGTTTCAGATCGAGGTCATCAGTGAATCTTTTCAATCATTGCGCACGGTAGTCGATATACAAGTCTGTGGCAGTAAAGTAGAGATCGTGGTCAATTTGTATTGCAAATTCATCATCACCTGTTAATGTGCTGGCCTCTCCGACAATCTACAATAGATTTGGATTCAAACTGCAACCTCGACGTCTCTTGGATTATTCCAGGAGGGGAGACGATTAGCATGTTTGCTTGGTGCCACATCATTCTGCACCGTGCATGCCGCGCTACATCAGGCAGAAACGAGGTCATATGCGTGTGTCATTAGTCGGAGCAGTGGTTGGTCTATCACATATTCAAGCAAATCAGACCCTATTTAGTCTATTGGCCTGGCTATTTAATCTGCCTCGTCGCGCAAAGTCAAGTTAGATCCTGTTGCAACCTCCCAATTCTATAAAGTGAAGCACCACACATTGAACAAACGAGAAAATGGCGAGTTGCGTACCACAAGTTCGATCTCCAGATCTTTTGCTAACCTTCCCTGTATGATAGCCTGCCTACTCACGCGAGGAGATCGCTAAATGGAAGGAGGAGTTCCAGAAGCTGGTGAGTGCATGCGATCGATCTGTACAAGCTCTGCTAATGTCAGTAAACATCATAGAACAAGGACTATGATGGTAAGTCCGTTACTCCGTGAACTACGGCCTGGAATATCTCACGCATTCTATCGGCTAGGTTATATCGACCCTTATGAGCTCATTGGTATTGCAAACGAAAAGGGTCTAGGCATGACCGACGAAGAGGCTGTAGCATGGGTCAAAAAGCTGGACTTTAACGGCGATGGCAGAGTTTCATTCGGCGGTATGTTACCTCCCACCTGCACGTCCATCCAGCAACAAATCTCGCTCATGCTTACTCAAACGAACAGAATTCCTCGCAGAATTTGGTAAGAGGAACGAGAGCAGCAGCTAGGCACACATTAAGAGGGAGGATCAAGGAACTGGGCTTGATATCGAATATCATTTCCGATACTAGGTTTCTAGGCGAGCCTATTTTTTACCTAGAGTCTAGCGCTCGAGTTACATCACTCTCTCAGGGTACTTGTAGCATCCTGACATAATTTACTTGCAGTTTCAAGTGTTATACTATCGGCGGAGGCGTGGCCAAGTATCAGCTGTCTACTAATCATCAAGGCGAAAGCAGTGCCATGCGCTGCCTGGTTATCATTTTCGTAGTTCGTAGATCCGATAGTGGCCTTATACACTAATACGTGCAGGATCGAGAGTACACTCCGGAATCCATGTACAGTAGGACAGATTTGATGTCCTTGTATGACTTTGTTATCTGGAGATGATAGCAGTATATTCACGCCTCATGCCCTACTGTGACAACGCTCTTCCTGGAGACAACGGAAATCCGAAAGCATTTTATTGTTTGAAGAATGGTGAAATACTAGTTCGTCAATCTGCCACAATGCCACGCTCTGTTCGTTGAATGTTATCTGAGTCTGACTCTGAATCTTCCAATTCCTCTGGTTCAGTCGGCTCAGGCTCTGCTCTCAGTCCTTGCTCGATTGCAAGCGCCTCGGAATGACTCATATTCCTACATTCGACAGCACGTCTCAGTATCTCGGTGTGCAGGTGGTCATCAAGGGGCGGTTTGGTGCCCTTTGCCGAGTGGGCCATAATACGAAGACCATCGAGAAGAAGGTCCGACGGGCCAATGTGGTCCCAGTCTACCTCCTGGATCTCTTGGCCCTCCTGATCGTCCGTAGTTTCTTCGGTGGCCATGAGCTGTCGGGGGCTGCCTCGCCAGTTCGGGTCTATATAACCATTCATGGAGTCGGCACTGCCGATGACCATTTCAATCCATGTCAGAGCCCAGCCGCCATTCTTCGCCCACTCCGTGAAGCCCTCCGGGTCAGTGATGGCCAGCCATGCCACCGAGAATCCCGCCGATAACAGGGGCCCTACGCCCGGCACAAGACCCAACCCCGCGGAGACCACGTTCTCGATGAGGTTGAGCAGAAACGAATTTCGGGGCGGCACCGGCTTCCAGATTACATCCACGGCGAAATTCGCGTTGATGAAATTAATGAAGTCAAAACTCAGATTGGGGCGCACTTGTGGCGTTAAATGCCCCGTCGCGATGTCACCGATTTCTCGTATGACAATGAGCTTTTCTCTCCAGATATTCGTCACTCGTAGCCTTGGTGTTAGGGCCAGCAGCTTGATGCATTCTTCAACAACCACCTCGTGAGTATATTTCATCAGGTCCGGCGGACATCCCCAGGTGCACTTACCTTGCACGTTGATTCCTAGACTGTGGCCCCACGCAAAGCCTACTCCGAACTCCGGGGTGAACTCGTGACTAAGAAATCGGTTTATTCTGGGACGCCAAATGTCTCGCGCTGATTGATGGTAGAAGTTAATCTGGACGTAGGTGCAAAGCTGGGGAAAGTCCTGGTCGGCTTGCTGGGACAATGGAAAGTAGATGGCCCGAATGGGCGTGACGAGCTAGGGAGTACGGGGTAGGTTAGGTTCAATACACGTCGCTATTGTACTGAGCAATGGCTTACATCAATCCATATCCACTGTTCTTGTTCCGTCGGCAGAGGACAGGGATGCACCCGAACCTAGCCAGATCAGCCTCTACTCGCTACTCAACGTTGATGAATACTGTTCTAAGCGCTCCGAAAACTTACCTTCTGGGCCCCTCCGCGGTCACGATCCCTGAATTCGGCTGGGTTTCTCTCCAGTGGGATCTGGGCCCAGCGGCGGATATTGTTGTTGCTGCCGTAGCTCACAGGGAGATGGCTCCAAAATCCGAACCAGGTCCTGGGTACCCCGGATGGCCTCTCACGCAGGTACTGAGATCGAGGGCCGCGATGATTGGGCTCTGGAAGACCACGGACCTCTCGCGCCATGGCCTCATTGGTAACCCACTCAATGAGAAAATGAGAATAAAAATGGTTCGCATTCTCAGCATCGAAAAAGCCGAGATTGTTGCTAAACCGTAGGCTTGATCGCTGGAAGTACACTTCCCCTTCCGGATGTGCTGCTGCCATGGTGGATAGGGACCTTAAGAGACGATGTCAAATCGAAAGAGATGGGGAGCACAGGATGCCACATCGTCGAATTTATAAGAAATTCCGAGGTGGAAAAAGGTAAAGAGGAGGGGGGGAAGGGGGGATGAATATTGCCATCAACCTGCAATGTTCAGCTTGAGCAGGCAGGATGTTACCACCGCCATCACATCAGTCAATATATGCAATCGCAAGGTTTATGCGGCGGCTTGATTGGTTCTGACCTGCATTTGATCTCTGGCGAGCTGAACCCAAGTAATATATCTCAAGGAAGCACTGCAGTTCAGCAGCATCACACCTCAAGTGGGCGTAGTTGTGATTGGGGCCTGGCAATGCACCCTCCGTTGCTTTTATTAGGATGTATCGGCGATGGCGAGCCACAGAGAGCCATATCTATGCATTTGAACAGACTGGTGAGGCACCACCATGGTAAAGCTTCATAACAAACGAACACTGTATCAGCCCTTAGCCACGTTGAATCACAATCTGCATGGATAGTGGGGGGAGGAACACTTGGACAATTTACTCTGCATAGCACGACCACGTAAGTGACGCGACCATCCCCTCCTTTTCTGGGTTGTCGTTCTGATCCATCACGACCAACCGATGTGAAACACGAGCTCTGTCTTTCTACGGCTGTTTATACTCTCTTTCTTTGTGCGATACCTTTGAGAGAGGTACCTTTGCTCTTGGTCTTTCTGCGCGAGAAGGTGAACGGGTTTGGGAAGGAGTTGAGGGGATTAGGGCTGCTACAAGACGGATTAGCTCACTGGTTTCATGCCAAGCCGTTTTGCCTCCAGCTGCAAGTCTGCTCTAGACACTCATGAAGGTCCCAATGTGCATTACTAAAGACTCGTTCTCCGGTGGGGCAAAATGATAATATCCCACATCTCGTTGGTTTCTCGCTCGGGACTGTATGTAAATTAATTAGCGCCTGAGACCGCGTAACGCACCCACGTTACATCACGTACTCCATGTGGTCAGGGGAAACCCTCGAGTCGGGCAACTTGCATGACTCGGGCGGCTGGGGAAGAGTAGCGGATCAGGGTCGATCCCGTCTTCAACGGTGGGTACAGAGTAGTGTATTTAGTGTGTACGAGCTGCGCCAGGGTGTCATGATCGCAATCTCATAGGGTCAACATCCTAGGTAAGCGAGATGTGGCTAGATAAAGAATCGGATCAAACCTGGGCGGCAATTCGCGCTAATGGCAGTCTGCCTCTTTCTGCCTGGCCTTGTTTCGGAGGCATGTGTCAGTGCAGCTTGGTGGAATGGCCCCGTCCCGTAGTAATTCAGCTCATTGGACTAATTCTGAGTACTAGAGGGCTGCATGGTACTTTCCTTGTTCCATATACCACCGTGCCACGCCATGACGTTGACAGCCACTCGCATCTTACCCCATCCCGAACGTGGCGCCAAGGCTTGGGGCTCTTTTTGTACTAAGAAACTAACCACATCTACGCAGCGTGAATGCGAATGGACGGTATAGACGAAAAGTGTGTCTTCCCCTCGTCAATGTCAGACTGTTACTTTGGGTGTAGTTGCCGTATTTTTTGTTGTGTAAGGAGCCTTGCTCTCTTTTACTCTATTCAGTCTATACTAATATATATATGTCGCGTAGTGCCGCATCTTTACTAGGTAGTATCAGTACCTCAACAGCAATGCCAACGCCCAAGCTTTTTGCGCAATGCCCACCTTTCCCTCCAGATCTGCCCGTGGTTCCCCTAACGAAAGTTTCTCTCTCAGCACTGGAGCGCAATTGTCCAGCAGAGGCACAGAAGCTGCTTTCAGCATGTCAAGAGTGGGGTTTCTTTCTGCTGGACATGAGAGGTTCGGACCAAGGAACTGCAATGATGCAGGACGCGGAAGAAATGTTTGATCTCACGGCCGACCTGTCGGAGATGGACTACGAAGCTCTGAACAGATACCACCACAAGCCACCCGATTTTACGCGGTATGGGCTGCTCCTGCTCCGTTTTATCATACCTTCCTAACAAGCAAATCAGGTATAAATCCCTTGGCACCACGAAGACAGAGCCCGGAAAATTCGACCACATCCACGTCTACTCTCTTGCCCAGGATGATGTGCTAGGGAATGATTCCTTGGAGAGCCAGCTCCCTCACCCAGAAACCATCACTCGCAAGAAGGTCCAGACCAGGGACTTTATATCTCGCAGCCACGCCGTGTTGCATCATGTTCTCACGAGCCTGGATACCGCCCTCGGCATCGCCCCCGGAACCCTGTCAGCGATGTGTCCGTCGACTGAGCCCTCTGGCACCCTCGTCCGTCTCATCTGGACCCCTCCCAGCACCGAGCAGCCCAATTACGGTCAAATCTCCTTTGGCGGTCACACCGATATGGGCATCATGACGCTACTCTTCAATGTCGCGGGGGGGCTCCAAGTCCTCCCCCCGGGCGCGGCCAATGTGCACGAGAACTGGCAGTTGATCCGCCCGGAGCCTGGCTGTGCAGTCGTCAATGTCGCGGATACCCTCGAGCAGTGGACTGGGGGGCTCCTGCGCAGCTCCCTTCATCGCGTCGTGACGGCCCCAGGGGCCCAGGCGATGGTCCCGCGGAGAAGTGTGGCGTATTTGCTGCGGCCGAGACAGGATGCGTCGTTGGCACGCTTTGTGGGGGGGATTGTGCCACCGTTGAAACCTGGGGAGCAAGATGAGACAAGGTCGGTCGATGAATGGAATGAGTGGAGGTCGAGGCAGATTATGAAGGGGCAGTTGAAGAATGAGCATAAGAGTCCAGGGGAGAATTGAGATCGTAGGTGGGCAAAGGATCCGGGATTTCAGCGACACAGGGGCGGGCATAGGTGGCTGCTGAGGAAATAGAAACATCGTATATAGGCTGGCACATAGAATTTGCGACGCAGACTATTCCATCTACAATTGAGGGTTTAGCCACCGTCACTATGTAACGAGTCACATCTGCAGCTGACACTGATAACCCCGACGGCAAGTTTACAACTTCTGCATCTTAGAAGCCGGAGGAATCAAGACCGCTGTCTGATGACTGATCGCAATCAAATTTATCTTCTCGTCAAACAACAAAACCTCCATATCCATCCGTCCATTCAGAATGCGCTTGCATTCGTTTCGCAGGTAAAGCCAGCGAACGCCCTCCGGAGGCAGCCGTGGCTTGATCTCCGTGGACAACATCAACGAGACATTGACCATTCTGGCCTTGAGTCTCTTCGAGCCGTCATCCTCCAGTGCTCTCCAATCTTCTCGGCCTTCCTGGCGCGCGTTCTGCTGCTGTTCGGCAAACTCGAGCGTGGCCGCTATGCTTCCGGTCGATGGCTTGCCTTCTATGGGCGGGAAAAGGTTTTCTTGGACTGGAAGCGGCATATCCACGATGAATTGAATCATCTCATTGGTCCAGCGCGCGTAGGTATCGGTTCCTGTCCCTTTCCGGACCAGCGAGCCCTGTGGGTGGCAATCCCAGCCCGGTTCAATCCATTCCTCGATGAAAGTGGCTTCGCCCCGTGGGGTCCTTGGGATGAAGGCCTTGGCGTAGGAATGGCCCCGTCGGAACCCATCGGGGTAGAAGGCGCAGTGGTAGGAGATCCAGTCGGGATGGCTGTCGGTCGCGAGTTTCGTCAGGTCTATGGGTTTGGGCTGCGGTGAGGGACGCCAGCCAGTTTGAAGCGTTACGCCTTCGATTGAAAAATCGGTGATTCTGACAACCCCGCCACTCTTGTCAGTGCTCTCTCTTTGTTCCATTTAATGCCACCATATGCAGGCGTCTACTCACACCAGATCCGCCGAAGTCGTCAACTTCTCACCCTGGAATGACTCGACGCGCAGGGTAGACCATCCCTTGCCAACACTGACCTCCCGCAAAGTCATTGTCATCAGCTTGGTAGGGAACACGGGCCGATAGAACTGCACCACCGCTGAGCGAAGATCCACCTGATGCTGCATCTTCGGATGGTGGCGGGCATAGTGGAGGGCATATTTGGCCATTGCACAGGCGATATAGCCTCCAATCGTCACTGTCACCGAGCCCGACGAGTCAGTTCACTCTCAAAAACAAAGGTCCTGGAGGAGGCAGGATGTCTGAATACCATTGCCGATGCCAATGTCCGAGGGGAGCTGCAGCGTGGTTGAGGGGCCGGTGGACAGCGGAAAGTCCAAGGCTTGGGACAGACTCGTGGGAGAAGACGGAGCCATGATGGACATCCAAGTAGAGGTTTTGCTCTGAGCTGTAACACAACGAATACGTCGCAGGTCCTGAATATATCCGAGCGAGGAAACGGGAACAGCAAAAGGAAAAGAAAAGAAAAGGAAAAGATAAAGGAAAAATGGGGGTCGGAGTTCAAAGACCGAAGGAATGAAGCAACAAAGAAACATCCCTGCCAGACCCTGGTCTAGCGTACGAAGCCGCGTGATTACTCCGGCGATGGAGAATCCCGCGGAACGACCCGGCGCGTACCGAAAGTCTTGCGCCCGAAAGCCCTCCGTGTCCATCACCGTACTCTGGACGGGTCGGCCGTCAAGAGACCCTTTCGTGGCTCCATATCACGATCCACGATGCCCACAATTGTGTTGAGTTGTCTGAAGCCGTGGCTCATGCTGCAGGGCTTGCTCAGGAAGATAATCTAGGCCATTGATCGAAAGCCAGAGTGTGTACCCTTTGCCTTCCATCACAACTCATCTTAGAGCTCTGTGGTATGCAAGCATTCGATCCCAACACCGAATAGACTCCAGAAATACTCTGGTTGCAATCGCGAGTCGTCTTGCTAATGCAGCGTGCACATGAACCAGTACAAAATATATCGTGGAGTCTCTTCAGCACTCGTTTTGAATGCTTGAGAGGGATTGCGCGCCATCTAATTTCCACTGGACAGCTGGGTAAGGCGCTCGCCGGTTTGTCCAACTTGTCAGTCAATTCGGCGGGAATGATTGCGGTATATACATAGAGAATGCGGGATGGTAGCCAATCAAATGTCAGAACCTGGGCCTCTGCCATGGACCTGTCAGTCGGAATGGAGATAGGGCGTCGCCTGGATCGCAGTACATACCTTGAAGGAACTTGCTGCATGCGGTGTCGATATCCCCACGTCAAGATAGGGCATGGGATTCTCTGCATTGACCTGTGTACCCCCGCAGTTGGCATATCCATTTACTTGAGCTTCTAGGGTCTCGGGGTTATTCATGGGGATTACTTCGCTCCCCTGTTTCTTTTGCCGTGCTTGCTGCATCCGTCGCTGTTCTTGGGCCAACGCCATTGAAATCGCCACTACATATGGATCTTCCACCTTTCTTTGTGACTCAAGCCAGCGTAACCTTTTCTGTTTAATATTGCTAACAGGGACATTTCGGAGGGGATCGCATCGTGGTATATCCACATAGTCACTGCGAAGACGTTTGATGGGGTCGAAGCTGATGTAGGCGAGAGTTGGAGAAATGGAATCTCCCGTGAAAAGATTATCTGTGCGAAGCTGTACCGCGTGGCGGCCATGGGAGTATAATGATAGGCATTTTGATCTATACTCTTGTCAGAAGTCATCAACGTAGGGGGATAGGGACTATATCTCACGGCAAAGGAAAGTTGTTGAAGGATTCAAGGATTGTCTCGAGGGCCAACTTCGGGACCGCCAGGGACGTGGGTCGGCACAGCCGAGTTGCTGCAAGAATAGCGTCTTTGGATTTCACATCCACCGCCCTATTTTGTGTAATATCACCAGGCATGCGGCGCCATACATTGCCGGGGTCGCGGCGGGACTTGGGCTTCGGTGAGGCTGTGCATGACGATTGTCCGCAACTGTCTTCTGCTTCTAGCGGACGGAAGTAACACTGTAACAATCGCAGGTGGTCCGCAACCCAGGCTATTGGTCGGACATACAAGCGTGTCCTGGAATGGGTCTGAAGAATAGCCCGAATAGACACTGCTCCAGGTCGCCGTGTTTGCGGCTCTCGAAGTTCCTCTTGCGCTTTACGTTGAGACCCCAGAGCGGATAATTCTAGGGCGGGCATGATTTAAACAAAGGAGAGTACATCCACACAAGTGTCTCACGATGATAGGAGCCGTTGTTCGCGTGTCCACCATTGCCGTTATTGACGTTGTTGACGCGTTGCCCTCGTTGCAAGTCTCGTGATGAGTTGGCCCCAGGCACCAACCAGAAGTCACTTTGCGATGCATTTGATCCTTCAGCGTCCGGTGTGGCAATGCATCCCTTCACCGCGCCTCTGGTGTCTTCCATTGACAATGTTTGCCTATTCGTGACCAATCAGGATAAGAGGGGATATTCTATCAATCGTGGATACTGGATGGGTTGATTCGTGGAGGGTACACTCAGATACATGAACTGAAGGTTATCTACAGCTTTGTCTTTCCTTTTCCACGCCCAGCCTCTCCCTTAAATCCAAACAAATACGCTGCGACCTTGCGGATCTGGATTTCCTCTGCACCTTCCGTGATACGATAGCGGCGGAAATGTCGATAGATGTGTTCGAAGGGATAGTGGCGCGAGTACCCATCACCACCATGAATCTATCCAGTCAGCCTCACCATGAATCAAGCAAGAAACCAGAGAAGGAGAAGCAATACCTGAATCGCTTGATCGGCGGCCTGGCAACACAACCGATTCGCCCAGAAATTACACATGGCCACTTTATCACTCAACTGCCTCTCGATGGCGATCCACGCATGATCCGTTGACTCAGCCACCACGCGATCCATGTCCCAGCTCGTCTTCAGAATCAACAACCGCAACATCTCCACCTGTGTCATGAGCTCGACAACCGGAAACTGCACCGCCTGGTGATCTGCCAACTTCTTTCCCTCCCCCCAGATGGTCCGACTGCGTGCGCGCTCAATGGCACGTTCGAGACAAAACTTGGCCGCTCCGCACGAGCTCGCCGCCTGTCGGATGCGGTTCTCATGCACAAAGGTCTGCGCAATCGCCAACCCTTGGTCGACGACCCCGAGAACCGCCGACTCAGGCACGCAGACCTCGTTCAGAGTCACTGTCGCGTGGTCTGTGGGCATATTGAACGTCCACTCATAGCTCGCAATCTCCACCCCTGCTGTCTCCCGGGGAACCAGGAAGGCCGTGATGCCCTTCGCCGATCCATCCCGGCCAGACGTCCTCGCGAAGATGATCATATGGGTGCAGTGGTGCGCGCCCGTCTGCCACTTCTTTGCGCCATTGATTTTGAACCCGCCCGGAACACGCGTCGCCGTCGTCGACATGAAGGTCGCGTCGCTGCCGTGGTCGGGCTCGGTGAGGCCGAAGGTGGTGCGGAATTCTCCGCGAAGTCGCGCGGGGATGAGGGTACGTTTTTGCTCTGCGGTGCCGAAGTGGTGAAGCATGAGGACATCCGGGAAATTTCCAATGATGCTGTGTTCGTTCTGCAGGTCATTGGCGAGCCCTAGACCCCCGCCGTACGTGGGGTGTGAGGCCATGTGGAAGCGCGTGGCGGACATCCATAGGTTGGTATCTGGGTGGCCTTGTCCACCGTAGATTGTGGGGAGAGCAAAGCGGAAGAACCCGGCTTCGTCCGCGAGATGGCGGGCTTTGCCTGGTGTTTTTGTTAGCATCGTACTCTTGTTGAAGGTGACCGAGCTGAAGACCGGCATTGGTAGGGCTGGGAAGGGATGTACCTAGTAAATCCTCCCACTCTTGGGATGGAAGGCCACCTTGAGCCCAATCCGTCCGGGCATACTCGCGTCGATGATCAAAAAAACGGTTGTTGTCTCCGGAGTGTTGGAGAGGAAGGATGGTCGAGCTGATGAACTTGTCAAGGGAGTCAAGGTGGGCGACTAAGGGGGCAGGCAGATCAAAATTCATGGCTGTCCAAGGGTTATTTCTTATCACGTTTCCTGTCTATATTGTGTTAAGGCGGATGGAAGTTTCGTAACCATAATAGTTCGTTATAGCTGTGCTTGATGGATACCCACATCTACCCCAGATTCCGCTCCGCACGGTGTGGTTCAACCCCGCAGCCCTACCTCGGTCCCGCTCGGCTTCACTTGAATTGGGCCAAGTCTGTTAATTTTCTAATAGAAGTATGAATGACTTGGTGACAAAACTACGGTTCATCCAGCGTGTTAGGATACGAAGGTCGGTTCGAATTCGTCTCCGTTTATGGCTGCTGTGTTGGATGTGTCTATTGGGGATTCGAGTAAATCCTTGAACTATTGGGCCGCTAGCTACGCGGAAGCATGCTTGTATATAAAACAAACCACTCTCGCTTTATTAGGAGTATAGAACGCTTGAGCAGTGGTATTTACAGCTTTTGCTCTCGGATGTAACTCTCGCGCAGCTTACTGACCGTTTCCCACATTATCTGCGCTCTTGATTCAAGGCTGTCTGCCCATTCTTTCGCCCCGGGGCTCTTGGATTGGCCTGTCACGTATCGTGCTGTTATTCCTTGTGCGATGACACAACCTCGGAAATGAGCGAATGCAATACCCCAGTTGAGGTCCGGCTTTGCCTTGTATCCTGATTCATGATACCACCTCAGACACTGATGGAGATTAGGAAGACCTGGTATAGAATTCCTAGTTTGGTCACGGAGTACTGGCGCACCCGGTCCAGATTCTTGGAAAATCGGGGACAGAAGGTTAACAATATCCGATAAAGGGTGCCCGATGGTTGCCATCTCCCAGTCTAACACCCCGATTACCTTTGGCTCTGTTTTGTGAAAGACGATGTTATCGATCTTGAAGTCCCCGTGGACGATGGTGGAGCGATCTTTAGGCTGATTCGTCTTGAAAAAACTCGCAATTTCCCCCAGGTGTGGAAGGTCGCCAATGGGTATATTCGTTTCGACATTCACTGCCCTTGACTGGCTCTTGGCTATTGCTGTAAAAGTTCGAATCTGGCGATCATAGAAGTTATTATGCTTACCCAATCCCCCTAAGCCGACCGCATTATAGTCGAGGGTATGCAGCTTGACCAGAGTTCTCACTGCATCCCGCCACCTACTTCCGGTCAGCCTGTGGCACAAGGTCATATGAATATTGGAGCTTTACATCTCCTGGCGTTGTTCAGCGGTCACTCCGGGCATGTACGGATCTGTGATAAATCGGCCGTCCAAGAACTCCATAATGTAGAACGCAGTGCCGATTACCGTCGGATCTTCGCATAAAAGATAGGCTTTGGGCACTGGAACCTCGGTCTTCTCAAGGGCGTGCAGGATCCGATATTCGCGCTCTACCTGGTGGGCCGTTTTGGAAATGATCTCGCCTGGTGGCTTCTTTCGAAGTACATATCGTCGGGATTTCGCATCTGTGAGTAGGTACGTTGGATTGGACTGGCCAAATCCAAACTAAAGCCCACAAAAACGATAAAAAAGAATATTTAACTCCTGTTCATCCTCTTTGACGGCGGTATAGCATAGTCCGGGGGTAAATTAGGTACCTGCTTCAGATCCAGCGGTGGCGTTATTTCCAGGTTGTGTTGCCCAATATAGTTTTCTAGGGCACCCAGGTCAATGGGCTGTCTGACGGGACCGGCCATCATGCCCTTCGCGATCTGTATTACTCGTGACTAGATCCCCGATGCTCTGCGGTGCGTATATAAACTTATATTAACCCCGCTTGGCGCCCTCGGCTAGCAGGAATTACCCCGCATTGGTGCTAATCCCCTCGGGCGTGGAGATACTGGCCGTGGTTGACCTTCCCGCACGGCCTCGGATGGAACCCTGGGTCAGGGTGTCACTTAGCCCTCCAAAGCTTCGTGAATAGAAACGACTTAGTAACTAAGGAATTCTCTTGCACAGGAAGATCCCAGCAAAGGAGCATCGCTGCAGTCAAGATATACACATTATATTTGGACGCTAAACCTAACTACCGTATTGTGAGTACTTAGGTTTCCTACAGGCAAACTATGGATGATGTTATTTACGGGTCACTGTGACAGAGATCTCGGTAGCATCCTTGACACTGTCCGATGTGAACAACGCCAAGGTACGCTTGTCAACTTCGTACTGGACCAAGCTACCCTCGGGCGAGAACTGGACGCTGTATCCATTGGGGAACGTAGATGGGGGCAGGATGATTTCGGTGGGCGCATCGATATTGGGATCAGACGTGAACTTCAGCTGCAAGGTGGCTGAACTCTCAGAAAAGCTGAAGCTCTTTGGGGTGCCCGCGACAGCAGCCGGGTATGCACGGCTGTAGTGCGTGGCCAGCTCAGGGTGTGGCTGACCAGACGTGCCATCGTACAGATTTTCGTACGCCCAGCCGATCCAGGAAACCATCTTTTCATCGGTCGCGGACATGGCGTCTGCGAGGTCCTGCATTTGCTTATCGTCGCCCATCCAGAACGTGAGCTCGGTCAGCACACCGGTCGTCCGAAGGCGCTCGTTGTCCTTGCGGCGGTTGTCGAGCGTGTTGGAGATCGAGCCCATCTGCGGCGGGCTGTAGTAGTGGAATGAGTGCACCGACTTGGAGCCGTCGCCGAGAGGGACGTCATTGAAGCCTGACAACACGTCGAGGGTGGCGCCTTCGAACCAGATGAGCGTGTCATTGTCGACCGTACGGATCTGCTTGGTTGCGCGGTTCCAGAGCCCTTCCAAGACCTTGTGGTCGGCCACCCCAGGCACCAGCAGTGTCGGATCGGCCCAGGTGTCGCCCACCCACGGCTCATTGAGCAGGTTATACCCGACGATATTGGTCGTCTGCACATACTCGGACGCCAGCTTCTTCCAGTACGCCGCGAACGCATCGCCCAGCCCGTCATAATTGTTGTATAGCCGCCCAAATGCATTGCCTATCGCAACCGATGTGTAGCTCAAAGCCCAATCCACAGTGCCGCACAGCGACTCCGGTGTGGGAAAGCCACGATCATCCACAGGGAACGGCGTTGTCTTGAGGGGATACGGATACATCTTCCCGCTCAAGACCCAGTCCTTCTGCACAAACCACTACCAAGCCGTGTCAGCATCAACCCCAGCCAATTTGCTCCCTACGGCTACTTACGTCCGGTGCACCGTTGCCACAAAGTTGCCGCGCCAGGCAGTCCTGATGCACATCCACCAAGACATAAAGACCATGGTCCTCGGCCATCTTGGTCTGCTGCTTCATGATATCCAGGAAGGTCTGGTTGTACTCGCCACGCACAGGCTCTGCACCAGCCCAGCTGTGGCCCAAGCGCACAATATTCAGACCCAGGTCATGCAAGTTTTGGACATCTTGCTCGCCGAAGGAGGAGACGCCAGGCACCCACTCCAAGGGCCGATGCCATGGGGGCTCCTTCATCACTACATTGGTTCCGTGGAAGAACCGCGTACGGCCGAATTCGTCCACAATTTGATGCGTGTCTTGATTGACCTGCTTGATACGCGACATGCCTGGATGAGCCTTGTACCAGCCCTCGGCATCCTGAGCCAACACCCCCGTTGAAGGTGTGCCGACCACCGCGAACAGCGATACAAGAGAATTGCGAGAAAACAGCATTCCAATTGAGGGATTGACTCAATCCCGGGGGGTTATCAAAGAAAAGAGGAATGGGGTGGAGAGGGAGTGTCGATCCGGATCCAGGGTCTACAGAGAGGTTATATATCAATGGCCAGTTCCCCTTTTTGCATAACGTAAAGCAGGGTTACATTCCTTGTCAATCGCCTGAAGAACTAGACGGCGACCGGACCCACCAAACCACCCCGGCACTAGTATTGGGCCGTGGGGACACGTCGCTGGATTTAATGAGAAAAGCGGGTCCAGCTCGCTTATGAACCACCACATCGTAACAACAAGCACCTGAATGACGGCGGGAAGGTAACATTAACCACGGCCAAGGTGGGCCACCAGCACTGTGACTCCGCACCCTAGCGGCATGCCACACTTGCTTAAGGACGTCCACAGCGTCCACAGGTCTCGCGTAAGAAGCGAGGGCATCGGTGACTATCAGGGGTTGTATCTAGCTCTCTGTCACCTGCCTTTACTGTTCAGAAGGAATCGGGTAGCGTGAGTTTATACAATACCAACCTACCCCAGATGCCGTTTCTAGCGTCCGTCGCAGTGTGATTGGTTTTATCTCAGACCCCCGCATTGTTCTAGGAAGGCTATTAATTATACGCGATGAACTGCTTCAATCTTCCTTATAACAGATGGGTCACATGTGCTGCGTAGCGCGTAGGTAGTCTGGTGGATCTTGTTTGTTGGTCGTGCCACTTTTCATGCAATTATACGCCTTTCAAATGGACTCAAGTTTGTAATCCTTATCACCGGACCCTGCCACCTTGGAGAAGTCAGTACAGCAGATGGAGTGTTCCTTTCCTTTTTCCTTGGTTGGGAAAGGTCCAAAGAGTCAGGGCTACAAACGGCAGGAAAAGGGGTCACAACGATCGCCAGTGCCAAGTGTCCGATCAGAATACCTCGGCCATTGCTCAGCCATGAGTTGCAGCGCTCATTGCGCCATGGTCGCAAATCTGGACGGCCCCACTTGTGCCTGTACGCCGATCCTGATTCCAGAACAGAAAACCCCATCTTCGTCTATGCGCCGGGCAAGCAGGTGGGCCGAACCGTGCAGAATCCATTCTAATTCCGCAGCCCAGAGTAAAACAGAGTTACAAATGATCGCAAATGTTAGAATACCCAGTATATGATCTCGCAAATATCTCTCCATCCGACTAGGCTGCAGGGTGGCAACATAATCCGAGTCGCTAGCCACAATAGGGTTTCCCATACATTGGCACTAGAATCGGAGGAATTATCAGTCCGATCCTTCGGCTATCCACATGTGATACTATCCGCAAATCTGTCCGGGGATAGCGACAATCGATCGTGAACCAAACTCTGGAGAAATGTTTCCCCACGCGTGTAAACCAGGAGCTGTGCTCCATGCCCATTTATACAATCATGACCCTGACTGTAACATGCTTGTTTACTTTCCACTCGTCTGGGTTGGAATAACTCGCGGAAGGTTGCTTGACCCTTTTGATCTATTACAGAATGCCTTCCAAACGCGAATATGACTTGATTTTGTTAGGTGCAACAGGTTACACAGGTATACTCACGATGCGGTATATTTTCAAGGCGCTGCCACTTGACCTGAAGTGGGCTATCGCCGGAAGAAACAAGGGAAAGCTCGAGCACCTTGCTCAGTCTCTAGTGCCTGAAAGCTCATCTAGGCAGCCACCCGGTTCGTGAACGCCCGATTTCCATCCGCCTTTGCAATAGCTGAATTTTAAGTAGATACCATCATTGTGCAGCTGAACCAGAAAGAGCTTAACGACTTGGCAAAGAGGGCACGGCTAGTTATATCGACCGTGGGACCATTCGCGCTGTTCGGCTCGGAAACCTTCGCTGCCTGTGCTCGTAATGCCACGCATTACTTGGATTGGTCAGTCTTCAGGGTGCTAAAATACATGAAAGAAGCTCACAATCGATGTATAGCACTGGAGAGGTGCCCTGGTTGAAAGACATGATTCAGCAGCACGATACCATCGCAAGAGAGAACGGAAGCATTGTAAATCCCATGGGCATGAGGACCGCACTGAGATATTTGTAGCTGACTGCACCCAGATGATTCCATGCTGTGGCTTCGACTGTGTACCATCCGACCTTTCCACCTGGGCCGCGGCCAACTATATCCGCCGCCATTTCGGCACGAAGACTGGCCGTGTTGATGTCTGCATCCACAGTGTGCAGGGTGGAATCAGTGGCGGGACATTGGCCTCCGTTCTGCAAGCGTTTGAGCTAAATTCCCCTCGCCATCTCTACAAGGCCCATGCCCCCTACGCCTTATCCCCAAAGCGACCCTCGCCGACCGTGCCCATAAAACGAACTAGTATCTGGACCAAGGTTTTCGGACTACTCTGGATCAAACAACTCGGCTGGATGGCATATCAACCACAAGGACCGGTTGACCGAGCTATTGTCCATAGGTCCTGGGGCTTACTAGAGCCAACTACTGTTTCATATGGCCACAACTTTGATTTCCATGCTTGGTTCAAGATATGGGGACCCGTGGTGGCGATCCTGTGGCATTTTGGGGGGGTAATCTTGGCGCCGTTGATCCTCCTACGGCCTATTCGAAAGCTGCTGCCCAAGCTCTGGTATGAACCGGGTAGTGGTGCAGGCCAGGGTAAAATTGAGAACAATTGGTTCGAGTATCGATGTGTCGCCGAGGCAGACACCGCCACGAAGCTGAAGTCAAAAGCCTTGGTTCGGATGCGCTACGAGAGTGATCCGTACATATTCACAGCTGCGGCCTTGGGAGAAGCAGCTCGAATTCTTCTTTGGCAGAAGGATACATGGGCGCACAAGCTTGGTGGTGGGGTGTTGACGCCCGCCACCCTGGGAGATCACTATGTATCTCAGCTACGGGCTGCTGGGGTGACTATCGAGGTTCAAAGCGACGATCCAGCATCGAGGGGGAAAGACCCTTTCACCAAGGTTTGAAATTACAGTTAAGGAGATTTGTGCAATACATGCGCTCGGGAGCTTTCCGGTAAAGGTTCGATTACTTCATTATATTGGATGTTCGTTCTCTCAGTTTTTTTTCGCTAGTGTCTGCAGCAAATATTACAAGAATCAAGATGCGGATCACGTTCTCATTTTAGAACTCTAGCTTTACTTGAAGTGATAGACTGGGTAATATGATGTTGAAAATGGTATAAATTCTACCGAAAGCATAACCATGAGGGCATCAAGGCGCTATATAGTAATAATGTTGGACAGGTAGCTTGAAGACATTCTTCACTAAGGCACATTGGCCAGAGATCTGGCCACCGTTTTGCGGCAGAAGAATGTGGCAGACCCTGGAAACCCCCTGTGCACTGACTTGGACATCTGCTGTGGCCAGAGGTATGGCACCGTGACGATCACCGAGTGCAATGGCGCCGTACTCTGCTAGCCGACCAGCTCCATTGCTTGATGTTGGTATCATTTCGCAGGGCAACTGTGGGGAACCCGTACTGCTAAGAATATCTTCTCAGATCAGATAATACAAGGAACCGCCACCAAATGCCCTTTGCCACCAATAGAGAAGCCTGCATAGACTTGGCACACATCATTGCGCCTAATTCTAGACACATCTCCATACCTTGCCAGCCGTATGGCTCATCTAACCGTATGGCATGGTGTTTGGCCGAGCTCGTCTCAGAGAGGGTGTGAGGTCTTCACGGCACCATAGGGAAAGATCGCCCTAGATGGTTGGCACAAACCCATCGCTACTCCGATGTCGACAGTAAAGACGACTGGTTTTATTCTCTCCGGAGTGACACGATGTCTCAACCATTTTAATTGTCATGACCGTTGTATACAAAGCATCGTGGAGCGATGTATGCAACGCGAGATTGGGTCTTCCGACAGCTTTACACGGCTGACTGTAGGTGAGAGTAAAGAAACTTCAGTCGGTCTAACTTCAGAATTATTCCGATCCTGGAACGATATGTCTGCATATGTAATTTAAGTTTCGCATTATCCTGTACCAAAGTTATGGGTTCCGTGGAATATAAAATAACTCCTGCTCACTTGGGTCCTTGTGTTCTTGGCTTCGTATTCGACGCTTCTCACGAAGCTGTTCCACAGCTTTCGTGCCAATGAATTTACATTGTCCTCGAAGAATCTATGACGTTAGAAAAGTACAAATCACCGTGAAACTTTACATATTGCAACCGTCTTTCGCCTTCAGGATATTACCTGCTAATGTAGAACGGTTAGGATACAAAAAAACAAGGGCGGGAACAGAGTCAAGTCCCTTGAGAGCCCACATAGATAGAGGCGTATATCTTTGGATGAGGTGATATCTTGATGGAAAATATATCAAAACGATAGCTATTCGCGTTTCCCTGTCGGTTCTCTGCTACATCTGCACTCAGCTTCGTGGTTGGAAAACGCCAAATGACCAACTTTACCATGGTTATCGGGTTATAGGCATTATACCTATTTTAATGCCATAGAGTAGTATACCACCATCCAAGGTAGTATCGTATTGGGAAAGTGTACTTCGGTGTGAAAGGTGGTCTGGATCATACATGTTGAGCTAGCCCAGCTATGTAGTGGTGTGACAACGCCTTCTATACCCCTTTCATTGGCCTTGTTTCAGGCTGCTCCTGAATTAGCTACTGTGTACCAAAAGCAGTTGGGCGTCTCCAGCTCTATATGCTTTTGCCTCTCCATCACGTACATTTGGGACCATACCACGATGCCTCTTCTAGCCATCAGTAGCCATCAGTATCGCATAAATACCTCCATAATTCCTCTCTACAATCGTCCTTGACGCATCCTTCCAACCCGTACATTAACCATTTTTCCTTGAGGCGACTTCATTGAACAACACCATGTGGCTATTTAGCCTTCTCACCTATGCTGGCGTAGCAACTGCTCTTACCTGTACCATTATCGGTCCAGGCTCCGGCAATTGTCGTTCCTGCCCAGCTGATGTCTGCGATATAAAGCGGAAATTCAACACTGGAAGCAAACAGGACTTTAAGTGTGTTTGGCCTGATGGTGGACCGGTTTCGGGCAGAAAGTAAGTTGATCCTTGGGAGATATTATTAACCTCATGCTGATGATGGCCGTTCCTCAAGACGCTGGGGCTACAACCAGGCTCATGACTGCTTTGTATCAGAAGTAAGGCTTGGAAAGTGCAACATAAGTATGTCCACAGCATATCTCGAGGTACTGCAGGAATAAACAAGACTCACATTTGATAGACTCCGTGACGGATTGTGTTGTTGGCTTGGCTCAGGGTTTTGCGCCGCCTCCCTAGGCTTCAACTCTACCCAGGACAGTTTCCTTTTGGAATCTTTGTGCACACTTGCAGCCCCCTCATTCTTTCGTTTTCTTTCATTTCTTTGTGATTCTCAAGGCAGGAGTTCTTCGGAAAATGGACCATTTCACCTCGCATTCATTCGACTCAAAATAACTGACATTCCATTCATAAATAGTATACTCCTTGTGCCAGCACACGAAACTATTTGTCTGCTACACGCTATACATAATGTGATTTCCAATCTATTTTGCAAACCACCACTGTCTTCCTCAAATAACACAATCATGATTTAGCATGCTTCATAGCTCTGGGTGTTGAGGAAGCTTGTTCAATAGCTATTGTAGGGGTTATTCCTTTGACTAAGTTGTAGTCTTGGTGGTTCAGATGTGGACTAGAGCTATGTATCAACACAAAGCCATGTTGTCGAATAGCAGGCGACATCTCCTTGGCACAAGCCAGTGAGGTTTGAAGTAGAAGTCATACGTAGGATTGCCCAGATTATACCGATGGAAGCGATGCAAAACAAGCTTGGCGCCGTTGAAAGAATAAAAACCCCAGAGCTCTCAGCAACGTTGTAGGCCCTAAGTCTAATCCCTGGTATCTGATCATGGGTTGTCCACCACTATCTCAATCTTCTGGCTTCTATGACTTCGTCTGGTTCTTGAATGTAAGAATAAGGTACTTGTGAAGCACCGGACGAAGGGGGGATCGGACTGTTTAAAGGTCCGATGGAGTCCTCCACATGCGCAAAACTACTGCCTCGGCTGTGGCATTAAAGCCCTGCATCGTGTGCAACAACGCTCTAACTCGCTTACATTTTTCCCAAGAGGTTCGTAAAATGCCATTTGCAGAGATGTTCTTTCAAGCATGAAGTGTCAAGACATGCAGCAAAATGAACAACCAGGCTCGGCAACCTCGGCACCCACAGTCGAGACTCTTACTGTCGAATCCATCCCTACAGACACAGAGCCCAATTACCCAACAGGCACCAAGTTTTGGTTCACCATCATATCACTGTGTGTCATACTGATCCTCGGGGGCCTGGATGCCAACATCGTCGCTACAGCGGTACCGAGTATTACGAACCACTTCCACACTCTCGCCCACGTAGGATGGTACTCATCTGCATTCCGACTCTGCACCTGTGCATTCCAGTTCGGGTTCGCCAAGCTATATAAGCTCTTCTCGATTAAGGTGATTTTTTTAATAAGCAATGTTATATTTCTCGTGGGCTCGGTACTCTGTGCCACGGCTGCTTCGTCGACGATGTTTATTGTAGGAAGAGCAGTAACAGGTGTGGGATTCGCCGGTGAGCTGGCGGGCTGTTTTGCCGTCCTGGTGCACATTGTTCCCCTTAACAGACGACCAGTGTTTGCGGGGTTAATGGCGTGTGTGGAATCGCTTGCCATCATTGCGGCGCCTATATTAGGGGGTGCACTGACTCAATCTCTGGGGTGGAGATGGTGTTTCTGGTATACCCTGCCCCTTGTAGCTATGGCCAAACTGGATGCTGGACGCTGACTGCTACATAGGATCAATCTTCCTATCGGCACGGTATCGCTAGTGACCATGCTGTTCCTCTTCTCTGACCCAAGAACTCTCCAGGAGGACGACCTTACGATGACTCAAAAGATTAGAGAGCTGGACCTCGTTAGTAACTGCTTATTTATCCCTTCGCTAACAGCCCTGTTCATCGCGCTATCTTGGGCGGGGACCAAGTACCCCTGGTCTGATGGGAAGGTCATTGGACTATTTGTTGTATTTGCTGTGCTACTCGTTCTGTTTCTTATCAATCAATATCGACGTGGAGATTCTGCAGCTCTCCCCTTCCGTATCATTAAAAGCCGAAGTGTCATTGCCGGCTTTATCTTCACAACGTGCACTAATTCCATGACCAACGTCTTGGAGTGGTACTTGCCAACGTACTATCAAATCGTTCGAAGCCGGGTGAGCTTCCGCCGCAGCTAGTTCGCGCCATACACTCACTGACAATACTGTATGTTGACAGACTCCAAGCGAGAGCGGCTACTTGATGATCCCCATCCTTGTCGGAATGATGCTCGGGCTCTTTTTGCAGGGTATTGGCACTACGACATTCGGCTACTACGCCCCGTTTATGATCTTCGGCTCCATTTGCATGCCCATTGCCGCAGGCTTGATGACAACGTACAACCCCCACACATCCCTAGCCCAAATGATCCTGTATTCAGGATTGGCCGGTTTCGGTGGAGGTATCGGGTTTCAGGGCTCTCAGGCAGCCGTCCAGACAACGTTAAGTGCCGCAGATGTCAATCTGGGGATCGGAGTCATCTTGTTCGGGCAGAGTATGGGTCCGGCGGTGTTTATCGCTATTGCGCAGGTGATATTCACCAACCAGTTGTCGTCAATTTTAGAGGGTGTCGTACCCGGGTTGACACCTGCTTATATTGCAGAGCGCGGGCTTGGCGATATTAAGAACCTCGTTCCCATGCAGCGGTGGGATGAGGTCTTGCGCGGTGTCGATCAGAGTCTGACGCGTACGTGGTACCTTTGTGTCGCGCTGGGCTGCACGACCATTGTGGGAAGTCTTTTGATGGAATGGCGCTCGGTTAAGCAGAAGCAATCCTGAACGTGGTAGTGATTGGAGATAGCACTTTGTGGATAGCTCTGCTAACCCAAAACCAATGGCAACAACATGGGCCATGTCTTTCTCCTGAAGTCTGAAAGTCCTCGTTAATAGACAACATTGCATTCATTCAACACCGGCGAGAAACGCATCGATTTCGTAGCTTGGGCTGCCAAGCCGCCGGCTGCACAGTACAGAGCGGCACTGTCCGTCCAACAGAACCAAACATGACTAGACCACCATAGGCCCACGAGACAAGGCTGGAGGTTCTCCAGGCTCTCCTCCATATCATCAACAGAAGTACCTATGTTTACACTCAGATTACCTGTGGTGGATACTATTTCCATCTCGCCTATCCTGTTCACCCAGGTTAGACAGAACCACGTGACACAATATATATATTGAGTACGGAGAACGAATTCGGCGTACTAGACTAGCACTAACGGTGTGATATACAGCTGGCACACTAGGCAGTATAGGAATAGCTCCCGTGACTTTCATTTGTAGGATCTACCTATATATAGGCATAGACAGTTTTGCCGACAGCGATACTTCCCCAGTTGTGAACTTGTGTGTTACGACTTACAACTGGTGGCGAGCCTGAGGCCTCCACCGCGAGCAAAGATCGGGGCCGCGCGACGCTAGTCCCCAAGCGGAAAGACCAGGAGACAGCGTTTTCTTCAACCAAAACCAGGGCTTCTCGACTTTTCCCCATTACTCCTGATATCCACTTCGCTTCCTGAGTGGAATAAGTGCTTTATTCCATTCACCTGAAATCGTTGCTTCCATTGGTAAATATGTCAAAACATGTTGAGACGCTGTTTCAATGGGGCAAGTCCTACCGTTATAAAACAGATCGTCGGAACGTCGGAAACTCGGAAACCCCAACTTTTTACCTCCATTGACCAATTTATGGCTCTCTTATTCCCTCGCGGCTGCCCGAAGCTGGCTCGCCATCAGAGCATTGTACGTATTCTTCGCTACGATGTCAGACTCCGATCACCAGCAAGGTGACTGCATTGGCGCCTCCCCGGGCGCAGAGCGCGGCAGTGAATCAAAACCTTCCACCGTTACAGATCCACATCGTGTGGGGAAATGTCGGCTGTGGTCAGGATCCGCCAGGCTGAGGTCAATAGATAGCACCGCTCATAAAATCAACACGTATGTGTCGCTCACGTTCATTTCTCAAAGTTCTGATAGCTAATGCTGGATGGTCAACGATAGCCTGATCTCTAGCGCAATTGGCCAGGACACCGCTCTCGGCTCCATTGAATATCTATCACACGCCCTCCATTACTTTCTCCTCTCGAGAATCTGGAGGAAACTAAAGGCTCGCCTTTATGTTTTGTTGAAGGTGATTTGCAGACGTAAAACTACACCATGTCAACATCGATCCAGTCCTAAACCAGCCCGGACAACCCCGTGGTCACCGCTACTGTCACTTTCAACGTTGATGTACGACACTCGTTGCGCTCTACGTCTCCTGGGATTATTCTCGATATGGACCTGGGGCTCGGAAACCGCAAAGGCTCCCCCAGTGGATCGAATTGTCCGAACAATCACGCGGTTGCAGTTGTTGGCGACTACATCGTACCAACTCTTGGAGAATGTCGCTTTTCTCATGTCGAAGGATGTTTTACCGGAGCGATTATGGGGCAGGTTCGACGTTGACAAGCTGTATTCGTGGAGTCTTCTTTCCCTGTGTGCACATATGACACTCCAGTTGGGCAAGCTTTGGCGGGAGAGTGTACTTAGAAAAGAGGAAGATCGGAAACTAAGGTTATCGACCAATGGGAGCATAAAGATGATTGACAAGGAAGATGAAAATGCGACTGAAGTCAGCGACAACAACACGGAAGTATCAACACGACAAGAAGAAATCACCGAAGCAAGGAAGAGCTTAATATCTAGCTTGACTTGGGGAGCATTGTGTGCGCACTGGGGCATGCCTACTGGAATCGGGATTCCGGAGGACTTCATCGGGGCGTTGAGCTTTGTTGCTGATGCTTGGGATCTAAGGGATACATGGAATTCAATCGAAGTTTCATAAGTTGGATGTTTCTGCGGGTTACATGCTGGAAATACCAGGTAGCGCATTATTCACGTTATCAGGAGGCGTAATGCATCATGCTCAATGAGGATCGTTCAAGTGAGGATGGTGATCTACAGAACATGAGTCCCATGTATTATATGAACCTAAGCCATTAGAACTGCTACTGAATCAGATGCGCCACCAGATTCCCACCTTCCACTGTTACTGCGCAGAAATCCCTATCACGTTGCAAGCACTCTGCGTTATGGTAACCGGTTAAATGGCATGATTGTGCGAGCCCTAAGCAGCGAAGTTTTAATTGAGTCGTTGACTTCCATATCGTTCTAAGTGGATGTCTGGTTAATGGAGAATCTTAAAAGGGTGTCTGTTATAAGAGTTGACCTGTTCACCATGTGCCATTGCGAAAACAGACAACCATATTTCCATTCTCGGGATCTGTCACTAAGGTGATAGTGCAAAAAGCACGTATATATGCCGTTGCTTCTTTCGGTGTCGCATTGTTCCAGTTCACATCCCGACGCCATCAACCACTTAATGTTACCTGGCTCGTCGTGCATGATTTGTCTTTCGCCACGGTATTCAGTTTATCCCGAAGATTCTAGCTCTTCCCACAACTCTCCTCCTTGTACCAACGCCTCCTTCTCAGGCGGTCGCGAGAGTGTTATTATGACTCGACTTGGTATCCGGTGTAAGGTCCATTTTGAGCTTTGCCTATGTTTGGGGATATTGGAGTAGAGTTTCGTGAAATTCTGAGATTGAAGCTTGCTACCGGATGGACTTTCTCACATTATACCTGGTTTACATATTCAACTCCCCAGATTGGGTAGTCATTGATTAACCAGCCAAGCTCGTTCACTCGGACAGCCCTGGCCCCCCTCGTGTAGATCAAAGGTCGAGGTTCCGACCATAATTGTCTCGGGGATGGGAAGTGCTTCAGCGAGCCGTTCCGCCCCAGATCCATTAAATATCCTCGACAAGTCGTTTCGCCCATAATATTCGAGAGAATCCAGTTTTGCATCCAGATACAAGACCTCGAGAGTTATGTGGTGAGACGGCAGTGGTTGCAAGAGGGCTCTATGATTGGCGATGTCACAAAACTGGTTTCCGATCGAATACCAGAACTCCCTGGGAATCTATTATGCGCAGAACTTCTTGGGGGAAGTCAGAGAATATTAACCCATGCTTGGAGGTTGACAGAGTCGTCATCTCCCGTGTACTTCCTTCTGACGGACTGTCTATCGACCGGAAAACTTTTGTGGCTCCGATTATGATCTCATATTTTCCCGGACACGAGCCGATGTTCGGGCATCTTGTTGCAGCCAGTACTATGTCGGTGAGGATAAGTACATATCCGTATCTATCCAGCTGCCTGATAGTGGTGGGTGACTCGAAGACACACGATCTGTGACGCCACCGGGATAGCACTGAAAATGGCGGAGTGAGCCGCCACTGGTTATTTTCTCTCGCGTGGACCTTCCTTGGCCTTAGCCTCGAAGCTTTGGACTCTTGAACCATGGAGAAGAGACCCACTCGGGTTATCTAGCCCCGGCGATAAGAGATAGTGCTAAGAAATAGCCTGAATGATGCGGCTTGACGATAACCGTTATCCTAGATACCGATATCTGAATCGTATTGCACGCTGCTGAGTAACAAAACACAAGAAAAAAGAAAGAAAATCCCTATCAGCACACTACAATTTCTGGATCAGTATCCACCATGGAATTATCGAAAGACCACAGAGCAGAGAGACGCTGGAGCAATCGTGCCGCGTGGACCTTCCATGGGCTTGAGAAGAACCCCATGGGGAACAGACCCACCCTGGACCTGCCCGCAAGGCGCTTCGGACACGAGCTTAGCGTCGAGATACGAGGGGACATACTCCGAAGCCAGACACAGTATATAAACCCTCATGCTGGCAAAAAGGATTTGGGATCTTTCTCCTCTTCATCCAGTGACTCAAGGCGCCGTACGTGGGGTAATCGTACACCTCTTTCACAATGACCGACGCAAAGACGGCTGTTCCTATTTCACACGATGCCTCTCCCACCTCACCAACCAACATAACTGACCAGAGTCAGGGAGTCACCATGGAGGCCATTCCGCTATGGAAACGTGTATGGCGGCACAGTCTGACGCAGATGATGCTTTTGAGTGTCCAGGCTTTTTGCGGGCCCGCCATGTCTGATGCGATTACAGGTACGAGATCTATACCATTATCATATCCACATCAGGCATTCAGGGTTTGAATGTGCTACTGACCTTTTCAAGGGCTCGGCGGTGGTGGCCTGGCAACTCCTCAGGTGTCAAATATTTCCACCGCGATCAGATATGCCACGCTGGCTGTCGGTATGGATCTCGGCGGGTTCCAACAATGACTGTCAGTGTGCTAATGGGTGGATGTCCGATCAAGTTTGCTTCTTGGGCGGTCCTATAGTTAATAAGATCGGTGTCAAGTGGGCCCTGGTCATCGGCTCCATGTCGTTCCCCATCCAAGGGTCTGCATACTACTGCAATAGCAAGTTTGGAAATCAGTGGGTGAGTCATAGCGTTTCTTGAACATACCCACCGGCTGCATTCGGCGACTTGGCCTGTTTTCTTAAAAAGTATGTAATGCCTGACAAAACGCCACTTTCTATAGTATCTCATTCTCAGTGGTGCGATTGGCGGTATCGGGACCGCTTGCTGGTATGTCGCTGAGGCTGGAGCCATTATGACGCTAGCGCCGTCCGGTGCTCGTGGAAAGTATCTGGCACTGTGGATTGTCTCGCGCAATCTGGGACAGTTGGTTGGAGGTGCAATCAAGTAAGCCTCCCAGAAATCGATGCGATAGGCGTGATGGACCGATGCTCACTGAAGGCCCACTGTAATAGTCTATCAAAGAACCACGAGAAAGGCGCCAATGGCGGAGTCACACCCGATACTTTCATTGCCTTTGTGATTATTGAGTGCATCGCGTGAGTGTATTCTCCCTATGCATAATCTCGAGCGTTGGAACTAAACGATGTCTCTTGCAGTCTTCCATTCGCATTATTAATCACTCCTTTTGAGCGCGTTATTCGATCCGATGGCACCCAAATCGTGACCGCAGAGACCCTCTCTACCAAACAGGAACTGAAGCGCATCGTAAAAACCATCACCTCACGACTGATTGTTCTTTCATCCCTGTGGGCATTGTGGTCGTTCTTCTACACGTAAGTCATACTTTACACTCATATCCATTGATGTGACAACAAGGAAACACTAACAGAACTGGCAGTGGTACTTGGACAACCTACTTAGGAACCTACTTCTCCGTCCGGGCCCGCGCGCTGTCATCTCTGATTTCGCCCTTCTTCTGCATGTAAGTCGAAGACGTGTTTGATTTCTCATTCTTCGCACTGACCAAGCACTTTCCCTAACAGCATCGGCTGCTTTGGTCTCGGCTACATCCTGGATATGAAAGGACTCAGCCAGCGCCGCCGCGCACAAATTGGTCTTTATACCGTCGTCGTCCTCAACGTCGGTGTGTACATCTGGTCCATCATCATGCAGACCAAGTTCAACCGCCATGACCCTGGCCACATCGATTGGGATGACGGACTGTATGCTTCGTCCTTCCTGCCGTACTTCTTCGTCCAGACCACAGGTCCGCTGTCACAGTCGTACATGTATTGGCTTCTGTCATCTTTTGCAACGGACGCGCAGGGTGAGTATTGGAACATATCTATGTTTGAAGATGCGCAAGGATTCGTTCAAATGCTAACGCCCTGTTAGAGAACGTTCGGAATGGTGCCGCATTCAGATGCATTGAAGCGATCGGCCAAGCAATTGCCTACGGCATGAACACTCAAACAACAAGTAACCCTCTCATCGGATTGTACGTTTTCCATCCCATTTCTATATTATAAGGTCAATAGGATACTGACTGGCCTAGTTGCGTTACGTTTGCCCTCCTCGGCGCTTCTCTGCTCCCCATGATTATGCTGGTGAATACGACGCCGGACCGCATTCCCGCTGATGTAATTGCGGAGCAGCAGGATGTCGCTCGTGAGAAGCTTGAGAGTGCGTAGGTTAGCCAGGGCTTCATGATGTAGATTAGTGTAATAGGCGGATGGTGTTGATAGTACATATTATGGATTTCCTGTGTATACAGTTTCTCGCCAAAATATCGAATGTCTAGATTTGAATACCATTATGAATTTTTGACACCTTTCACATGACCCCAATCAGGCTTAGATATGAAGTCAAGATTAAAATGGTCCCGCAGAAGTTATACAAAGGAGCAAAAGATAAAGGCGTCTGTGCAATTGCGTCGTCGAGATGGGCAAGAAAATATCGCCCTCATAAGACGGCGTGTCACAGGATGCGGAGCTACTAGCTAGAAGGAAGACTTCGAATTAGAGTAGGTTTGTAGGTTGTCTCGATGAATGATTTATATACACGATAGTCTATAAGATATTGATACATCGGCTGAGCGGCATAATAAGATACCAGAGGGTCTCATGCTGGGTTTCAGCCATTAGCAGCGACTAGTGGAATAGAAACAGTTCCAGCTCCCGGCTCCTCGCCCCATGTTCAAACACGCTCCACTTCGACACCACTGGTCTCTTTTTCATCAGAGCGCTGTGCCGATTGAATATACCCGTATGCCTTGATTTCCGCCGCCATCAGCCTGGCCTGCTTCACCGGGTCCCCACCACGGGAGAAGATGAGATCAATATCCTCAAGACGCAGGTTACTCGTCTCGGGATAAAAGAAATAAATGATGGGGATAAAGAGGAGGTTGGTGACCATAAAAATCAGGTACGCCTTCCACTGGATGCGGTTGATAATGACTGGCGTGATCATGACCACAGTAAAGTTCCACAGCCAGTTGGAGCTCACTCCGATAGCCGTGCCTTTCGTCCGAGCTTCTAGTGGTAGAATCTCTGGAACGTACACCCATGGGACCGAATTAATAGACATACCATGGATCAGCATGTACAGGAAGAAAAAGGTCACAGAGGCGGAGGCATAGGCCTGTCCATTCGGCGCGTTGACCTGGGACAGCAGGGCTGCGACCATGAGCATACATACGCCTAGGCCAAAAGAACCAATCATCATTGTCTTGCGTCGGCCCATCCGATCCAGCATAAATGCGGGAAGCAGTGATCCGAGCATGAACATGATCTGGATGCACCCGCCGAGGATCTGCGACAGTTGATAACTCATGCCCACGTTTTGTCTCAGGACCGCTAGTAGACACATCATCAGCCGTTGTCCTCAGGGTCAAGGAATACAGCACCTACTCGGAACAAAATAAACGACCAGGTTAATCCCACCAACCTGGTTCATGAGCTGAATCCCCCACGCAAGGAGCACTCGTTGGCCGGTCTTCACCTCATCGTTCCGGAAGATCTTCCAAAAGGACTGTTTGCTGACCGCGTCTTCTAACTCAATAGCTGAGAGAATCGCCCTGGTTTCGTTGAGGATAAATTCGTCATCCCGCTCCCGGTTATAGACGGCACAGAGGACCTCCATGGCCTCTTCCTCTTGGCCGTGGTTCATCAACCATCGCGGAGATTCTGGGAGGCCAAACACGAGTACAATAACGAAGATGGCGAACACAATTTGCATCGCAATCGGCAGTCGCCAGGCGATGGGGCCGCCGACGAATGACATTCCAAAGTCAAACCAGTACGCCACAACAATGCCCACCGCGGTGAAAAGTACTTCGGATGAAATCAGGCGTCCTCGCGTTTTACCTTCGCACATCTCAGCTTGATACCTTGTGTCTCAGTCAGCATCGTAGTTATTTTATGATTGCTGCCACCCAAGCTTACATTGGCACCGTGGATGTCTTCAAACCCGTGCCCGCTCCCGTCACTACTCGCCCGATGATCAGATGGGACACGGTAAACGCGGTAGTCTGCAATACTGCGCCGACAATGACCACGCCCATTGCCAGCCAGATGGTCTTCCGGCGGCCGAGCCTCTCTCCGATGAAGAAGTTGACTTAGTTTCCCTATGCATCAGCTCGATGCTCCTTGGTTTTTGCCAGTTTACTTACTCAAGCACCCCAAGAGACAGCCCAGGTTATAGCAGCTGACGATAATTCCTTCCTCCGAATCATCGGGATAGTTGAACTGCTTCCTCCAGTCCTCATTTCCAACAATCCCGCTGAAGACGCCCTGGTCGTATCCGAACAAGACAAAAGCGACCAGACAGCATGCAGTGATAGCTGCCTGCAGGGATCTGCCCCTTCCATACCAGGAGCGCATACTGAACGGTAGATAGTATCGTTAGGAGAAATGGTTCACGACCGAATACCACATGCCTATAACCATGAATTTCGTCCACCCAGCGCGGTCTTTTATATCCTCCGTAAATCATGTCTCACGGTCGGGAAGACCCCCGATGATTGTGGATGAGAAGGTTCCCATCGAGTCCACTTGATGGATGGCAGTGGATCCCACGCGGGGATTTCAGGAAGCTGGAGACAACCATCAGATATGTTTGAGAATAACGCGGAGGGTGAAGGTCTGGGGAATGCCTGCATCGGGCAAGCGAGGCGCCAACTCAGCTGCAGTCCGAAGCCCATTGTGGCTTAACTTGCCTGGTTGGGCCCGCCCCAGGGTAAGGATTGCTCCGCGCCCACGTGACCCGCGCCCCAAGGGGCAAAGCGTGCTGGTTTGGGAAGCCGCAACCACTCCGTTGCTCCACCGCTTTTTCTGCCGAGATCGTCTATCTCACCCGGTCCGTCCATCAAACCGAGAGCCTGCGAGAATGGCTCCTTTCGAGCGTCCATCATGATGTTGGGTTACATTGGCTTGGGGCACCTCCTGTTCGGTTGAGAAATGGTTCGGCAATGGGTCCAATGACGCTCATTGTACGGGCTACATCTACATAGGGAGTCATGCAACACATCGAATAGTGGCATGGAAAGGAGGGACTAGGGTGATATTTGCCTTGATATTCAGAAAGTCTTGGGTCCAAGTCCGACTGAGTCCAAAGGAGCTTGGATATACTTGTTATATATTCGTGTAGCCATTCGATATCCGTAAGACTAAGTCTCAACCCTCCACATCGAATCGTTTGACGGTATAATATATATTTCCTCCTAAATTGTCCACTCTGGATGCTACGTTCTCCATTTGGACACAACACCAAGTCAATTGGGGTCTATAACTTCAAAACAGTGTTACCCGTCTCCAACCGTGTCAACCACCAGTTCCAGCTGCTATCACTAAACGAAAGAAAAGTCAAACTCATCGGGGTTCCACATCGTGTCCGGGTTGATCAAGGCAGAGTCCGAAGGACATTTGGGGATAGTAATATTCAAAAAATTTCCCAGTTGATCGTCGATATCCTGAAATAGGGGGTTTGCCACAAAATCATCAAAACCACTGTCATCAAAGTCCCCAAAGTCGAACAATGATTGGTGATCTGTCATTGCGACTGCCTCGTTCTCAGGAAGCTGTTGGTCGTGTGCTTCGGCCGCGTCTTCTGCGCTGTCTTCAGAATGGAACGAACCTAGATTGTAGACGTCGCAGCTGGATGAGGCTGTAGCAATAGGTCCCTTCTTGTGTGATGGCGCTAGTTGACTTGTCCGTCCAGCCAGGCGTTGCATGCCGTCCAGTGCACGTTGACCAAGCCGGGTCATTACCTGAGCGGACCACCATGTCGAGCTTAGAGCCTCTAGGCTCTTATAAAAGGTTTGTAAATGTTTCTTGGCCGCATGCTGGGCACTGGGAAGCTGACAACGCTTGAGCTGTTTATAGGATATGGAAAACGCAAGTGATATGGAATACGCAACTGTGGGTAAAGGCGCGAACTGGCTAATGGCACACATTTGTATCAGGGTGGCTATGCGATAGACAGCCAGATCCTGTCGCAGGTACAGCGCGTGAGATCGAGGTTGAGCCTTAAGGCCCCATGGCCGTGAAGCGAGGAGAGCTATTGCATGGTACGCCAATTCAAATGACACTGACGTAGTTCAGTCAGTGCCCTGTGCAGAAGAAAGCATGAGAAGGATACTGACACATTTGATCCAAGGGGATATCCTCCGCTTGACATTTCCTGATCAGTTCTTCGAATCGGGGAATTTCGGGTTTGTTCTCATCCACCGGGGCATCTAGCCTTGGCCGATACACCACCATGACCTCGCCCATGATTGACGCCAAGGAAAGCCAGACGCGGAACGGGCTGTCGAAGAGGTCAATCACGTCTGTGAGCTGTTGTCCGAGGTCTCTGTCGTGGATCACCAACGGCCTTCCATGAATGGCAGCAGTCCATCGGTCAAGACTCCACAGGCACCAAAATAGTGTAACCAGTGGTTTTTCATGTCTCGCAGGCCCACACTTTAGGAAGTGTAGCCCAACCGTGTGAGCATGATGGATGGCTTGGGCTAAGTAGAGCGACGCGTCCTCGAAGCTCTTAGGTCCTGAAGTGTGCAACGAAGCAAGAGCAAGGATTTGTATTAACGTCATCCTTTTCCTCTCCAGACGCATGGTAATAGCATAGCAAAGATCGTCGTACAGAAGGTTGCTAAATTTGGGAGGAGCGATAGTTTCGCTACGATCCCCCAGCCGGAGCAATGGTTCTGCATCGCGCTCCTTCGAGGCCACCAGGCATATTGCCTGCACGAGATAAGGAGAAACAGTATCATTGCGGAACTGCATTCGAAAGTCTTCCTCATGGACCAGAGGGAGTACGGGGTGGATGCGATGAAAGTAAATGTCTATCAACGCTTCTTGCGTTTGTCGTGGCGGCAGAAGAGCACCCGCGCGTCCGGAATGTCGCTTGGGTCGAGACATCTGGTATCGGGTACTGTTCGATATGCGCTCTTCATGAGAGGCATTGTCGCCGTTTTCAATGAATTCATTTTCTCCATCTAGCCAGACCCCAACATCCTGCTGGTGAGCACGCCCGCGCATGAGTCTCATACTACCATCGTCAACAAAGAGTACGACCGGGTTCAAGTCACCGATAAACCGATGCGTATTGGTATCCCTCTGTGAGGTTTGCGAGACATTCTTCTGACTATTCATGGGAACTTGAGGGGATTGTTGGGCACTCTGTAGCTTGGGCCCTGCAGGTGCACCAGGAAGCCGCTGTGGTGCTGAAACACCCAGTGGTGATTGTGATCCCCGCGTAGTAGCTGGAGAATACTGAACAAACTGGGTAGTCGGCCGCAAGGGCGTAGAGAACGTTGATTGCTGGTTTGCTTTCTGATGGTAACATCTTTTCTACATGTTGTCCGGTGAGTGAAGTGCGCGCGCAGGGGGTAAATCCCAACCAACCTTTCTCAGGCGGCATCTCTCACAAGCGCCCTTGGCATAGGTTCTTTTCGGGACTTTTCCATCTTGACTAATATGGAAGGTGAGGTCCATATCGGCTGACTCGTATGGCGTTGCTTGTTCAGTCTCGTGGTGGCGACTCGCCCGCAAGTGATTCGGCTTTCAAGTCAGGGGGATTGGTCGGCTCACACCCAGAGTGACGCCCGCTTGTTTGAACTGATTACCAACGGGTCTGAGTCACAGCGTCTTTGATATCTGTTCGTTAAATCTGGACAATGACAACGTCCGATCCATTTTTGGGGTCTTGACGTCCATTCTACCCGATATGGCAGTCTTGGCCGTCGGGAAACATACCATTTTGGGCTATTCCGCCCCTGATACGGAAGTTCCGCTTTCCTGGCCTAAAAGGGAAACCCCTTCACCCTATGCAATATCAAAAAACATATAAAAAAGCGATTAGGAGTCGACAGTACAAGTGCAGCAATGTAGTAGTGGGATCAACTTGACTGATCATAACGACATTGCATGTCTAGCGGCCCATCGATACCCTTCACCATGTTGTTCAAGGAGACCGTGTGCTGTAGTCTAAGGTTCGATCAGGGTCCAAACTCCTCTCTCGACGTTTGCTCAAAACACGCTAACGCCACCATGTCTCACATCTGCAGTTTAGACAAGTCGTGTATCTTTCTTCCATCCTCCAATTGCTCCGAAAACAAGCCTCGCATATCGGGGAAGCTTCGTTTATCACTTGGGCAAGCTATAACCGTCAGAGGAATATCAGTCCAGGTGCGAGGTATAGCCAAACTGTGAGTTATTTCCTGCAGTTTCAGAATTCATATGTCTAACAAGAATAGACCATACGACGAGGGCATATTTTTCCAATCCTATCATGAAGAGAATACATTTGTCACAACGCAGCCGTTGGCGTCGTCCCATCAACAGAACCCATTCACCTTACCGCCAGGAGACTACGAATTTCCATTCAGTATTTCTCTAGACAGTAACCTGCTTGAGACCATCACCTCTCTGGGGTCTAGCTACCGCTCCTACCAGGTTCTTGCCACCATCAAGCGCAAATGGAACAGAAATGTCATTGTCTCTAAACCTATCCGAATCTACAAACGCTTTTCCATTGAGGATAGTCTCAACTGGTTATCAGCTTTGAATGTCAGCAATTCAACAATATCATTGCTGTATATGCAGGGCTAATTACGTCTTACAGGCAATAGACAAACAGTGGGATGATGTTGCACAATATAACGTTTCCATACCCGATGTCAATATCCCTTTCGGCGCAACATTTCCCGTGAAACTTCGGCTCGCTCCATTGTCAAAGCGTATAAAGCTCCAAGCATTAACGATTGATGTTCTTGAGCAACACGAACTCAGAATCAAAGCTCCAGCATCATACTCCGCACAGTTCAACGTCCACTTTCTATCATCCAAACAGGAGCACGTCATTTTCAGCGAGCGACACAACTTAGACGGTTGTATCTCCCCAGAATCAGAGGAGTCTGACCTTGAGTGGTGTATAACAAAAGCCATATCTTTGCCACAGGACCTTGAAGCGTGCACCCAAGACGTGAGCTCTAACACGATAACGATCAAGCATCATGTAGCGTTCACGGTCGAGTTACTCGGCGTGGGCGAGGGGCTATCAATGGTGAGTGAAATCGATTGCTTATATACGACAGAAAAGCACAACTGCCCAACTTCCCGGACTGTCTATGCTGACGCCTATATAGATAAAAGGAACTATTCCATTTAATATTTACATGTCACCCCATGTAATCAGCGAGCACGGCACTGTTCGTGGTCTTCATACTGATCGATTCCATGATGATTACGTACCTCCTCCTCCCTTGTATAGCAAACATCAAAATGATCGATTGCTACCTATGGCGGAAGCTTTGCTGGATAGTGACACGCTACGATTGGATTGCGAGCAACCGCCGGAGAACGCTTTCTTCTATTCCCCAACACTTGACTGTGCACCCAGTTACGAAACAGTGATTCAAAACTAACTATCAGTCGCCAACTACACTCGAGCAATATGTGCTTAGAATTGAATGATCGGGATATTCTTTGACCACTGATGCTACCGAATATTCTTCCATCGGCTGAATATTCAAGCCAAACTTAAATACACCTCTAGCTGTATTTACGGCTTATGATTGAATGTGACTGGATATAATGTTTAATGCGCGCTTCTGAGATTGCGGGTCAATCTGTACCCATTAACATAAACACCATACGAACATACTATTCCCTGCTTCACCTTTATAGTTAAGCCACTATTTCCCTGATAAACGAGGATACTGTCTTAGACAAAACAAAGTTTCTTCTATGGTAAGCCATTGGATCCCCAGTACTCACATGCCCACGTTATACAATATAGAATACGAAGTTAGGATTTCTGGTATACCGTTTGATACGAATTAATGTAGATTGATAAGCTCATCGGTTAGGGTCCCACCCTGTCGAGGTCTGTGAGACGCCTTTCCTTTTTTTTTTTCTTTTTTTCTTTGTTTCTTTCTTTTTTTTTATTTTCAATTTAGCTCCGACAATACGGTGAGCATCCCCTTGCTTATCTCCCAGTTGCCAGAGATCAGATGACCAATAGTTCCCTATGGCCACCCCAAGCCAGTTCTTCTAATCTGCCAAACAGACACCAAACAATGCATCACTTGCATTGAAAAAGCTCTTCACTACGCAAGAATACATCACTCTTGAGATAACCTCAGGTGATCATCTGGACCAGCGGAATCCTATTCGGCAGTGTGGACATCACGTGAGGGAGTCCCAATCAAGAGTCGCCCATATATCAAGAACAATCCGTGGGTTGCTCATTGGTGATTCGTGATAGACACTTCGCTGAAACACATTGGAAGCCCATGACCCTACCTGCGGGCATCAACTTGACCTTCGTGAATCATCGGCTGTGCCCCAATGAGCTCCCGGTCAGCACAACTGCCACACACCTGGTCCATTCTGAATCCTGGCCATCCCATTAAGAGCCTTTTTGTTGCATTTGGGGTATGGAAGTCCCTCGTACTAGTAGTAATTGCTTGCTGCCCTGGGCCTGGCTATGAGACTTCCCTCGGGCGTCTTCCTTCCCAGGGGCCCAGCACACATGATAGTAGACCTCAGCAACTCGAATCCCTCTCGCCACTTCCAACGCTTCTGAAATTCGTCAGGTGGGACGCAGTTTACTTTGTCCATATCGCCGAACATGGTTACGTTTACGAGCAGGAATGGGCGTTTGGATATGGGTATACTCAAGTCTTATCATTCCTCGTCTCTGGTACTATCCTGCTTATCACTATCTTTCTCCACCAAATTTATTCAGATGCTAACGTCAATCAGTTCTCCGCCGAAACAGTGGATTAAGTGGAGCCACTGCAGCCGCTCTTGTTGGAATTGTCCTGTCTCATATGACACATTTCCTCTCGGTCCTAGTACTGTACAGACTGTCGATCAATGTCTTTGGACAGGACACAGCTACTCGGAGATTGACCTGCTTTCTTTCTGCTATCTTACATATCATCTGCCCAGCAGGAGCATTCCTCTCCGCTCCATACGCAGAATCTCTCTTCTCTTTTCTCAATATTTCCGGGTTCTACATTTATTCCTCCTCGTTTCTTGACGATAACGCGGGACGTACAGTAATAAGTAACGTAAAGCTACTCATCGCCTCAATTCTCTTTGCAGCAGCTACTACGGTTCGAAGCAACGGGATTCTCAGTGGATGTTTACTTGCGTATGACGCTGTTTTGCTTCTTCAGAGAGCACTCTTCCATGGTCCGATGAAGCGGCCCTGTCTTCGCTTATGCGTGACCGTTGTTGGCGGCTGTATAGTAGCCGCCGGGATGGTCTTCTCGCAGGCTCTGGCATACGCAGATTTCTGCCTGGACGTGCAGACCTCTCGACCCTGGTGCGGGAAGCTGATTCCTAGTATTTACCCCTGGGTCCAGCGTCAGTATTGGTTAGTAAATGGGACCTCAATTTTCAGAGCCGTCTAACCCTCAGATTCTAGGGATGTGGGTTTCCTTCGATACTGGACGATACGGAACCTTCCCTTCTTCCTACTCGCAATTCCCATGTTGCACACCCTCTGCCGGTCTTCTATCTGGGCAATGTCTTTATCCAAAGCTGACGGTTCCTTATTTTCCACTTGGTCCGCTTCGTTGCTGACTCGACTGGCTCTCCCCCAGGGATTGCTAGCCGTCCTAGGCATCACCAGCTATCATACCCAGATAATCAACCGAATATGCTCTGGATATCCACTATGGTACTGGTACCTTGCGTGCCAAATTGTTCGTGAACGCTATGAGCCGCGCGCAAAGAAAAGGCCAGGCTGGACCTTCGCTATACAGGCCATGGTCATATACGCCATCGTCCAAGCAGCTCTCTACGGTTCCTTTCTTCCTCCGCCTTAAGGAGTATGATTTCCCCATAGTTAATGTCTCCGGATGGGGTATTTTTTTCGAAAAATCGATCCATACAACCATGCTAAGGCTTCGATTACATCTTTGTTTGCGATTTTTTCGGGTAGATTAAAGCTAAAGCGATCGATGTTCAGCCAAATAAGTGGAATGTGCAACCAATATAATAAACTATAAACGCAATTTTCTTGATGATGCGATTGCCAGTGAGCCTAAGTATATAAATATAATCTAAATGCAGGCAGACACATATCCGAAATACCAAAAGTGATCAAGAACACTTGAAAATAGCAAGAGAACGCTGGGCTGCCTAGTATCTCCTTCATTCGAGTGAATTGCCTGTATACCGGCGAATTCTGGTTCGCGAAAATAACCCCCTTTGTCGGTTGTCACCCAGTATTCCGGACTGAAATGGCTGTAGCCAAGTATCCGTGGTGGAAATTGAGGCACCATATCAGTTGAATGTGTGATACGAAAAGACGAGCCATGCTCTTGTCCCGTAAGAAACTCAGCGAATGCACGATTCCCAACCCTCGGTGAACCATACGCGTACTTTTTCATTAGCATGCGTGAGAGGAAATGACGACTACATGAGCCTACCAAATCAATAAACCAGCCAGCCTTTCTCAACTCCATTGCGGCAAGCGTGCCTATGGCAGCCCCTGCACTATGACCAGTAATGACAATGCTATAATCGGGGTTTCTTCCGGCGAAATCTAACAGCTCATTCATGACAGCTGTGGCCACTGAACGCCACGATTGCCAGTATCCTGTGTGGACCGCGCAACCCTCGCAAAGAAAACTGATATCTACCTGCGAAATCTTCAAATTGGATATCCATGTCTTGACGGATCGCGTACCGCGAAAGGAGATGACCAACAGCCTGTTTGTGCGGTCCAGCGCAACAAAACCGCGGACATCCCCAGCACGTGATCTGAATGTGGTCTCAGAGATATCCGACTGGTGAGGAATTGGGGAACGGTTTACGTATTGATCTCGAGTAGCGTTTCTGTATTCGCTTCCTCCACCAGCGGACAATTTCCAATTGGGCAAAGTACTTTGTCTCCAGGGGAGTTGGTGTTGCCTGTGCAGTAGGCCGCGGCTGTGTATTGTGCGAATAGGTTGAGCTGGGCTAGAAAGGAAATGGGACTATCTGAAGAGAGCACGGATTGGTTAGGGCCTGTCGTATGCTTGTTGAGCTAGACTCCTACCTCTGGAATTGGGTTGACTGGCAGGTCTAGTAACTAGGCATCCTAGGCTAAGTCCCATGTAAAGGAAATGAAAGATCGGTATCCGCATCGAATGGAGTGTCACAGCTATTCCAAAAGCCGCGCAAGTGTTGTACGAACTCTTCGCTGTCACCAGAAGAAGACGTGGCTAATTCTTGGTCGATACCCATATATTCCCGGCGCAGAAGCCCAAGCGGGGATGTATTACGTGGTCTCCTCTATCGCAGTCCAGAAGCCGCTTACATGCAGAATTACAATTCCTTGAGCTGAGGTGATAGTAGATACATTCGGCAGTTCGAAGCCCAAAGCCCTGCAGCAGGCTCTTGGCTATAGCACAAAGGATAGGAATGTGATAATATGACAGGCTCTCCAGGAATGGCCCCACAGGATTGGAACTTTTCTGTAGCGGTTATTTCAGACAATTTCACGCTCTGAGAGATTCGAATGAATACAATTGAAGTATAAATCTCTGGAACGTCCCGAAACAGTCGATAAAGGTTAAGGAATGCAGTGCAGGTCAATAGTACGGAGAAATACGCAGTCTAAAATCAATAGTTCCATTTGATCGGTTGAGCGGTCAGTTCAGCACGCGATAAGATACTTGCTGGGTCAGAAATGGTCCATTTCTCTGGAGCGTACGTACTAGCTACCCAAACTCAATTCTCGGTCTTACTGGGAAGGCCCAAGTGGTTCAGGTTGGCTAGTGCTCCCTGATATACTAATTTGCTCTATTCCCCTTCCTCTATAGTATACTAGTCCTAGCAGTATCCTCGCGTTCACCCAACTCGCGGATATCCTCGGAAGGCCGGAAAGCGCACGAATCGCCCAAGTTAAGCCAGAGCTTAAGCAAACGTGAAGTCCCCGAAGCAGAAACGATTGGTTACTGAGTTATTTGTCATTGGAAACAAGGAAATCAAAGTGTAATGCAAGAAGGATAGCAAGCCCGCCTATTGACACGAGAAGCGTGGCAAGGCCACATCCTATCGACGGAAGGACGCTTTTTTCCACAGACCGCTCGGTGGAGTCTACGATCGACAGATCGTGCTGAAGGAGCTTAAATTGATAGATGAAAAATTGCAAACTTGGAAGGTGGGCTAGCCTGCATATTAGCGCAATTAGACTCGGCAAACACGGTGTCCATGATGCAGAGTGTCGGATCCTTTCATGTCACCGAGATCGTCCGGCATCTCCTTGCATTCTGTGGGCCGTGTGGCTGATGGAAAATGGGTAGGATGTGGAGGTGTGCCGTCTAACAGTACAAGAAGCACAAAATAAGTTGGTGAAGACCCCCACGAAGGTCTAGCATCTCAGTAATCCCCCTCTCAAACCTGAACTCGCGGTTGCATACTCTCACATCAGCTATGGACACAGAGTATAGGGCTCGGAAGGAAGCCTTTGTTTCGGACCTGTCCGGTGGAAATATCATGGAAGTTGGCAACGTCCTCTTAGTCCCCTTGGTCAGTATGCCCGGTGCGAGTTCACTCGACTTGTTCTCATATGGTTTCAAACATAGACTGCAATCCTCCTCTGGACTACTCTTCGTACGCGATGCTCGTTCTTGTTGAGATATTGTTTTGTCAGTGTCCTAGTAGAATTCGTGTTCACGGTAGGGACACCGCTTGGTGCTTTGACCGTCTGCTATCCATTCGTGCCTGCATTAAACATCGGCCTTGTTCTTTGTTCTGCGTTCTTGCTCCTCTGCGTGACGCCATCCATAGATGGGAGTCATACATCGACACAGTCTTCAAAACAAGGAGCGGGCCGCCAGCAGCACTATCTGTTCATCTCACATCATCGTGGAGCGCTGATGTTGTTGGTCTGTCTTTCCATCTTGGCCGTTGATTTCCAAGTGTTCCCGCGAAGTCTAGCCAAGGTTGAGAACTGGGGGATATCTGTGATGGATCTCTTTGCTGGAAGCTTCGTGTTTTCGTCGGGATTCATCTCCCATAAGTCCAGCCGGAACGCAGCAAAGCGGTCTTTTTATCTCACCTTATGTGGCCTTCTTCGACTGGCCGCCATGAATTTGCTTAATTACCAGCAACACACCTCGGAATACGGGGTTCATTGGAATCTCTTTTTCACGATCCCCGCCTTGACCGCGATGGTCAACATAGTCGACTGCATCACCGCGGCGGTTCGCTTGCCAGATGAGGCAGTGGCCGTCGCAACCGTGGTGGCAAGTGAAATTTGCCTGAGATCCAGAGGCCTGCAGGAGAATCTTCTCAGTCTCGACAGAGGAACCGGGTTTATTTCATTAAACCGGGAGGGTCTTTTCTCCACCGTCGGGTACGCGGCAATTTACCTCATTGGCCGCGGTGTCGGTTCTCATACTTTCATGCTGCTGTCATCTCAGAACCGGTCGAATATTGTTCTTTCAGGGTTGGCGACACAGGCATTTCTATGGGCCGGATGCTTTGCTCTAGCCTCTACCGAGGCCGTTGGTTTTGGATGGCAGATCCCAGTCTCCCGCCGGCTCGCCAACATATCCTATGTTTTCTGGGTGGCAGCGGTCAACAGTGTCTGGCTGTTTCTATACTACTTCATCGATTGGGTCCACACGACCGCAGGCCAAGGGTCAGGTAATCGACACATGCGCAGCGATGACAATCCTGTTACGAAGTCTGTGCGAAGCGATATAATCTCTGCCTTTAACGAAGCTGGTCTTGCGGTCTACCTAATTGCAAACCTCATCACCGGAGGGGTGAATTTGGCAGTGAACACGCTTGATATGTCCGGGTCGTCGTCAATGGCTCTCCTGGTTAGCTACGCCATTGTTCTCACCGCTGTAGCTTTAGACTTACGGTCATCTGAGAGAAAGCTGAGAGTGTAGGCTAAGAAAAAATCGAAAAAGAGCGAGATGAAGTTTACCCACAGTGACCTCCCCCGCAGCAGCATCATGCTTAATTAATCCCTGGCAAAGCTGGGCCCTGAGGAAGATATTAGAATGAAAACAGAATACATTACTTGGGATCTCAATTTGAACAGTGTGGTTTAGTCGGTCAGGTCAGGCACAAGCTTTAGAGCCATCTCGTGTGTGGGCAGAATATCATGTGCAGCTAGGTCCCAAGGACGAACTCCGGGGCTTGGGGATAGTAGGAGCTACTTAATATTAGCCAGAATTAGGATGTCCCCGGGAGAAAAGTACGTTGGGGGAGGTTCTTTAATGTCAACAGACGCCGGTAAGATAGTGAGATAGTACTGGCCAAATTCAACGGTGCACTGCGCAGCACGAGCAGACTGTCACTGATTGCGCTGTTGTGTGATGGTTGACCCGTCTTTGTTCGGCGGACGTATATCCTCGAGGTCGCCCTCGTTTCCACGCCAAGGCTTAGATAGGGGAGCGTGTCGCCATTATTCGTAAACGAGAGCCAGCTTGATCGCTCGGCGCTCGAGAAGACAGTGAGAAGGTCCATACTTGAAGCTTAGTAGGTTCTCCAGAATACCATTGCCAGCAGAAGAGCAGCACTACACGCAGCAAGCATCGGTGGAATCTCAAGCGATGACAGATGCTTCTAGTCTCTCGATATAATCGCCACAAATATATTCCATTACGCGACGGAGAGTCTGGGCGAGCGCAGTGCATGTTTTTTCAGTTGAGGTCCGGCCAGCAAGGTCAGATAATGGGCCCCAAACATGCACTTCTGCCAGCCCTGGCAACTCATTGTCCTCACCGACCTCGGTCGGTACGCCATATATGATATAGAACTCCCACGACTCGCCCACGGAGATGAAGCCGACCAATGGGGGCGGCAAATCTGGCCCTACTCGATGCTCAAATGCCCATGAGAAGAGCCCAGCTGTCCAGACTCCAACTTGGATCTCAGCTTCCAACAAATTTCCATATTTAGGTTTAATCTCACAGCCAGCACCTAACACTTGGGTTCCTGTATGAGGGTGGTCGACATGGTTGGCGTAACCGTTGGTGAACCTGGTAGCGCTCTTCTTATAGAGATTCTTCCACGAATCTGTAGAAAACCCAACAACGTAGTCGATTTTGCGATGACATCGATCTCGGGCGGTGTATTGCGGTTGGTAGCAGGTGCGGACCGATTCACTCTGGCTATGAAACCTGTCAGTCAACGACATTGTGGACCAAGGCAAACACGAGTCATGACATACATGCCCCAAGCTTCTAGAGGAAGGTCCCCGATGGATGCTAGCAACATAGGCCGAGTGACCTCCGTTACCCAGGAACTCTCACTTCGCTGTTGCCTTGCACATTTCCAAGACCCGGTGGCTGCCTCTAGGATCTTAGCGGACTCTGGTCGCCAACTCGTTTCTTGCGAAAGAAACCCGAGTAGGCTTTTCGCAGTAAGATCTTTCGGCTCGTCCCGCTCGTGAAAATAGTATACTCGCGGTGTTGCATTTGCTAATAGCGTCTTATGGCGGGCTGGGCTGGGAGATCGCTGTCGTGCTTGACTGGCCGTTGAGGCTGGCTGCGACAGAAATGTCACGTCATCGCGAAGAGTAGGCAGCTGTGAGGATGTGTCGGACGCGCTCTCCCATTGACTTTTGCGTTGCTTTTTGGAAGGCTCCATTATTGTGGTCTCAGAGTCGTGGGTTCGTTTCAGGGAGGGCTGGGGAGGCGACGTAGAGAGCGGGGTGGGGAACTGCGTCTCTTCGCACTCCGCGGCGCAAATCTGGTCAAGCCACCGTGAGACTTTGCCAAGGGTCATTGTGACCCGTTGATGGAAAACATTTCAGCCGTCGCGACCGGACTGATTGCCTGAGATGTATTGGGGAGGGATCAAGAACAAGATAACTGCAAGGGTGAGCCCAACTTGCTTAGTCAGTCAGATGGTTGTTTACATCGATAATCGATAACGATAACGATAACGATAACGATAACCCTGCCAGTCTCCATTTTTGCATTATTACGCGTAGCCTCATCGCTCGGTATATTTTCTATATGTGCCTACTTCAATACAACTATACCCACACAGATCGCCTACAGGCTAAACCAGCACCGTAAGCCTCAGGACCGACATAAGGACTATCCGACATAGGACCATCATAATGTGTACTATTCACCCACTTCTCTCTACATTCGAGCTTTGTTAATCTTGGTTATTTCAACTGGATGAGCTTGTCGACTTTGGCTCCACCATATGCATACGCAGCACAGCTATTCAGTCTTGTCAAATCTCTCTCTGTGCTCTGCCCACAGGCGATTTCGGAGTTCCTCGTCCTGCAGAACTTCAAGGCCTGTCGCAGCCATGACCGAAGCGAACCGTAAACACGACTCAAACGCCTGCCGTGTTCCGGCTGCCTTCTCAAATCCAGGATGGTGGGGACCGATCGTCGGCGAATCCACCTCGATAAGGAATCCAGGATGCAGGCTTGGAAGCTCATAACTCACATTACCTGGTTTGACGGTTAGTATCAGTGGTCATTGTGGTGATGGGGAGTCCAACCTTGATCTGTTGACGCGCCGCTGACTGTAGGCAATGATTTCATGTAATTCTGCTTCTGCTCCTGCGAATGCTTATAGAAGGTTTCGATGAGGAGATTACTGCATTGTAATTCCTTGTAGTTTTCCAGCCTGGATGCAACCTTGTTAGCGATAGCTTATGGGGGTTTCCGGTTGCTATGCGTATGTACCAGTCAAAATCAACGGTGCACCCGGCGGCTTTAGCTGCCCCTTCACAGCAGGCAGTCACCCTCTTGACGGTGTCTCGCAAATCCATATCGGTCTCCGCGCGGACGAAAAACTGGAGCTCTGTGAGATGCGGAATCACATTGGGCTTGTCACCCCCCTTGGAGATGATTGCATGGATGCGCTGATTCGGCGCGACTTGTTGTCGAAGCATGGCCATGTTGCTGTAGGCAGCTACTGCGGCATCCAATGCGTTGTGACCCAGCCAAGGGGCATTGCCAGCATGAGCACTAACGCCGCGGAAGGTCACTGTGGCTCCCCCACGAGCCATACAGCGAGCAGCAGCCACACCATCCACTGCCACGCCAGGGCCAGGATGCCCCATGAGGCAAGCGTCGACGCCCTTGTAGGCGCCAGCCTTCAGAAGTTCAATCTTACCGCCGCCGCCCTCTTCTGCTGGAGTGCCGAGGAGGCGTACACGTCCCTCAATCTGGTTGGTGTTTATGGCTTCCGCAGTGGCAAGGAAAGCTGCAAGGGACGAAGTGGCGATCAAATTATGTCCACAGGCGTGACCAATTTCGGGCAAGGCATCGAACTCAGCATTATAGACAATCAAGCCTCCACCGGTCCCAACCTCGACTTCGAATGAGGTCTTGAGCCCATAAGCATGGCGCGTGACGCTGTACCCAAGTGACTCGAGGAGGTTACACAGGGTGTCATGGGCGTGCACCTCTTCGTACCCAAGCTCGGGATTGGAATGGATCTAGATGGAGGTAACAGATTCATGAGATACGTCTAGTACCATGTGGATGTTTGGTCACTCACCTGCTGGTTAACTTGCCAGAGACGCTCCTCGTGTTTGTTTATAGTTTCTGCAATCGACGCCATGTTGAGAGCTATTTCAACCTTCGATGTTTTGATATACAGAAGACGACTCCCAAGATGCTAGCTTTGTACTTATACTGCTCTACTTATCCTAGTCTACTTATACTAATTTAGGGTGTATACGGTGGATGCCTGAGGGTGGATTCCTGAAGAACCAATGTTGATATCGGCAACTGCCCGTCCAATCAGCGGGAGGCCCTCGCTTATCCCGCAACCAATTGCCGAACGAAGCGGCAGCAGATCCACTTAAAGTCCAACAACGCCCGTTCATTTCTTCTCCGGTCTGCCATTTATGCAACAAGATAATATCATATCCCCGTGGAAGTTATGTCTGGACGCCATGCATCGCGATCTCGCACCGGTGAGACTCTTGATTTAGATCGACTAGTTTGCGTTCCCCCCACTAAATGATCACGCAATAGGGTGCGCCACGTGTCGGACCCGGAAGATTAAGTGTGATGAGACGCATCCTGCATGTATCCGATGTATAAATGCCCAAATGCAATGTGAATGGACTCAAAGGATTCCGAGACAACCCCCCAGGTCGAAACCGGCATCGAAAGCGTCGAGGGGTCCAAGCCTACAGCGAAACTATCACCCCCTCCGGCCACGAAACATAGGCCCAGGTGTGCATCTTTCTTTCCTGTCTTTGCCGAACTCCCGGTTGCTATCATCCAGCGAACGGGAGTACTTCGCATTCTTTCCCCATACGTCCATGGTGCGGTGGCTTGGGAAGCCATGGCAGTGGGCCTCTCTTCATTATGTGTATAGTCATATCGCCCCGCACTCATCGGTCGTAACGAGTATGATTTTGGCAATCTCTGCTACAGAGCTGGAAGGGATTCGCCACATGGAACGACTTCGAAGCGAGCAGCTGGCTTCACATGACCCATGGCCTGGCGAAGCTGGGACGGTACACTACCAGAGCGCTCTACGCGACTTTCAGCTCATTCTTAGTAAGAGCCAGGGATCCCTATCTCCTCAAGAAGTGGATGAGATCGCGACAGCATTTTTCCTCATGGTGACCTATGAGTATATGTTTGGTCAGGATAGTGCGGCCGTAGAGGTGCATATTCAAGGCATCTACACGTTCCTCAAAGCTCATGATTTAGTTCCGAAGCTTGGCGAGCCTCGCCAATGTGCTAGACTACCGGTACTGACGCAACAGTTATTACTCTTTGTAATGTAAGTCCATGTTGGCTTGAAGGTAATTGTAGCTTTCTACTCATGACCACAGGTATGCGAACCTCACAATATGCAAGTACGGTCATCTCCGCCAATTGTGGGAGGAGGCCGGCCATGAATCTTCCTTTGTGTCTACTATGGATGAGCTCTTTTATAACACCCGCACATCACAGCATGCGATCTGGCCGTTTGAATACCCGACCGAAGCGTCGTTGGATGACATTTCGGTCTTTCGTCCGCTGGAGCTGACCAACGAATGCAAGAAACTGAAATATAAACTCTTGTGTATGCCTCAAAGGATACAAGTCAAACCCGAAAGCGATCTCTTGGGTTGCCTAGAGCAAGACCTACATGGCATTGGAAAGGTATAGAATGCACTCATCCCACGGGAAGTATCCAGCTGATCATCAATCCACGCATAGCGATACCAAGATCTGATAGCCATCAGCCAGCGGCCGCACTCGGACTTGCGAAACAGGCAACTGCAAACGATCTATTTTGCAGTTGCAGAATATCATGCCACTACGATCCTTTTCTGCTACCGGAGGAGCTTGCTTGGGGGTATTAGCACCCCGTCCGTGTCCTCACACGACGCAGTGAATGGTGCATTAGCAATCATTAAGGAACTTTCAGCCGGAAGTCCGTCATGCTTAGGAAGGGTCCACTGGCCGATAGCCGTCCTGGCCGGGTGTATGGAGGACTCACCAGACCGCCAGTGGATCCGGAAGACCCTCGTAGAATCGCAGCATACGATAGTCTTTCCATCCATGAGGGGGTGGCTTGATGAGATGAGTGGCCTCAACCTTTAGTCTTGGACAGCCACCGAACCAACACAGTTGTAGGCATTATCTCTTAGTATCTATCCTCGGCTATCGGTCCCTATCATCAATCTTGTTTATTATATGGTAGAACATTGAATCGTCTTGGCAGGCCAACCTCAAAGAGCAAAGTCTAGGAGTGCACTTGAGAAGGGCATTATGCTAGACCCATATTTGCCGACACAGCCAATAAATATCCGTCCCTAGATATGGCCATCTCCGCAATTCTGAGCTCTGAGTGGTTGCAAGTTAAGCGACGGCCAACTTAATGTCCGTCCATTCGACGCGATAAGGTTTATTGGTATGGCAGATAACGGCATGAAGGTTGACGATCGTCTCTTACTAGTCAATATCTCGAGCGGGGGTACCGATATCATCTTATCACGGTTTTAAGCAGAGATGAAGGCCAACACCATCAGTATTTAGGAACGGTATGCAGACGTCTGATGGGTTTGTATCTTCAGAAGTCTTACCAAAACTCCAAGAAGTACCACCCCAATGCCGAATATTCAAGAAAAGCCAGAGACTTCCGAAAAGGACGTGGAGGTAGCCTTAAGCCAGGCTACGGACCTCCATCGCGTTTCTGTCGGATATGGAGAACAATTGCCAGACCCATCAACGTCAACCACAAATACCTCCTTGCTGAGAAAGATCGATTGGCGGTAAGTGCACTTGCAAGAATCAGTCTTGCTAGCGATGCATGAAAATTAACTGGAGATTCTAGTCTGTTGCCAATCATGATGATATCCTACATGCTTCAATTTCTTGACAAGCAAAGTTTGTCCCAATCCGCCATTATGGGTATCGTAGAAGACCTGGTTAGTCCGATGGCCGAAGACAAGGAGGTGCAGGCTAACTGTGGAGCATAAAGAGATTGACCGGCAATGAGTACTCTTGGTCAGGCTCGATCTTCTATTTCTCATACCTTGTATTTTCATACCCTGCCTCCATGCTCATGGTTCGGCTGCCGATTGCGAAGTTTCTCGCCACGACACTGTGAGCTGAAGTCTACTCGGACAATCACATAGTTGTGAGCAATATTGACCATGTTGTTAGCTTTCTTTGGGGTGTCGTGCTTGCATGCCACGCTGCTACGCATAACTTTTCTGGGCTTATGGTTACTCGCTTCTTTCTGGGTTTAACTGAAGCAGCTATTTCTCCTGGTTTCAGCCTGATCACCGGCATGTGGTATACCAGGTCTGAGCAGCCATTTCGCCATGGTGTATGGTTCGCTGGTAACTCCATCGCAACAGCATTTGGAGGGCTGGTAGCATATGGAGTCGCTCATATTGTCGGCTCCATCCCCGCCTGGAAGGTGCGAGTCGTATGTTGATCCCGTTCATGCGTGAGGCTAACGCTGGCGTAGTGGCTATTTATTATTTATGGACTGATTACCGTTGCCTGGTCGATTGTGTTTCTTCTATTCATGCCAGACTCTCCGTTATCCGCCCGATTTCTCTCCCAACGCGAACGCTCCGAGGCTGAAGAACGAGTCAAAGTGAACCAAACAACTATCAAACACGACAAGATTGAGTGGCATCAGGTATGGGAGGCCTTGACAGACTACAAGATTTACATCTTGTTCTTGTTCCAGATAGCCAACAATATCCCCAATGGGGGCTTGACCATGGTATCTTCCTCCCCCTCAACCAGGGTTGCCATTATAGATGGTTAATGTGGCTGCATAGTTCTCGGCATTGGTAGTGAAAGGCTTCGGATTTTCAACGTTACAAGTTTACCTTTTGTCAATACCAACTGGTGCTGTGCACGCACTCTTTGCTCTAGGAAGGTATTTCCTCCAAAGTCTATCTATCTCTTGCACGGCTAAGACAGTTCAACATACAACAGTACCTACCTTGCCTCCAAGTTTCGAAATATCCGTTGCATGCTACTGGCTGCTTGCACAGCGATTGCGTAAGTTCCATCACCTAGTACTGAAGGAGACCAATTCTTGACGGAAAGCATATAGTCTTGTTGGGAGTATTTTGGTCTACGCCTGTGAAAGCACAGGACTCCGCCTATTTGGTCTTTACCTGTTTGTTGCCTATGCGGCGGGTATTCCCATGACCCTCTCCATGGTCTCATCCAATGTTGCTGGCTTTACCAAAAAGGCAACTGTGAGCGCGATGATGTTCATCGCTTACTGCGCAGGAAATATCATCGGTCCATTTTTGTTTTTTGCGCGTGAAGCTCCAGGCTACAAGGTACAGCCACCGGGTCAGAATAAATGGCCATGCTAACGTTCCAATAGAGCGGTTTCATCGCAATGATGGTGTGTCTTGGGGTAGCAACTGTTCTGATCCTAGCCCTAGGGTTTTGTTGGCGGTTAGAAAACTCACGGAGAGATCGGGTATACGGGCCTGCGGCCTTTATGCCTACGAATGGACCCAAGGAACTAGCTCAGGGGTTATCTGGGACGACGGAGGATCTAACCGATGTTCAGAATACGGCGTTCAGATATGTCTTCTAACCTTGGGGGTGTTCCTATGTTAAGAATGGAAGGGCGCTTCCGTTCGTTTTCTCCTTCCCCTTTTTTGGCTCAACATCTGAACACGTGATTGCGGTCCTTACATCAAATAAGAGAGCTTCAAGACGTGATCTTTCTATCGTGGTATTTGATTTCAGGTCTATGTAGAGTTTCTCTGTTGGCAAGTCTTGACATGTCTGGATGCTCTTGAAGCACCAGGGTGCTTCCGCTTCCCATCCTGTTCACGACAGGCTTTTGAAGAAGCTACATGCGGATTGTGGCATATTGTACAGGTATAGGCCAACGCTCTGTAATGGCCCCTTGCTTTCTTTCACACAACTCGGGCTAGACGTTTGGCTTCTGTCCATAAACCACCGATATCTCGACGTATGCGTGGATACTGGGATTATTTAGTGCGTCACGCATTTTGGCAAAAACTACTTCAACCTCTTCCCTCGACCACTAATCTCTCGTGTTAGTTACTCGTTGATGCTCTTATATGGCTAATCACTTACTCCCAGAATCTTGGTCCACAACATCATTGCCCACATCTCCAGGCTTTCCTCTATGACGATGCGACAATACCGACCCAGAGTCTTCAGATGCGGGTCTTTTGGCCAGGGGCCGATGGGTAGTTTGTACCGATGTTCTGTAACGTTAACGAAACCAGCCTCCGTCATCCGCTGTTTCGACTCGTCCACTATGCGCAGGGTTTTGCCGAATTTATCGCCCGCTTCAAGACTTTTCTCGCCCCATATCTCATACACTGTCCCTGTCGTGCTTCCGTCGTCCGAGACTGGGGTCACACTCATCTCGGCCTGCTCCAAATATCCACCTGGCTGAAGGTTCCTAATAGCCAACATGATTAGGATCAGGAGCCAACAGTCTGATTTGGGAAAGTATACTTCAGAGCCTGCTGGTAAAACCCGCCCCAATCCGCCACGCACCCGTATAGCCCGCGAACATGGATATAGTCAAATGGAGTTTTGTATACCCACTCATCACAGCAGTCGTCAATCTCAAAATACACATTGGGAGGCACAAGGCTAGGCTGGATTGGCGAGAGATCGGTTCCAATAACCGTTGCCCCCGGGTGAAGATCGGCAAAGTCGGTGGCCCAGGACCCAGTTCCCGTTCCAACATCAAGCACTCGCTGTGGATTCTTGATCGGGGCGAGGTACAATCGGCCATGTAACAACAGCCCATAGAGATGATGGCAGATTTCCATCGCGTCAATGGCCTTCTCGTCGTTAGATCCCCAGTACGATCCCGCATGATACGCGTGGTAGCGTCGGCCATTTTCGTAAACATAGTTGGCGATGCTGCTGCGCATCGATGTTACCTCGGAGTCGGTCGCCACATACTGGGAGGCGTACTCATCGCCGGAGTCGACAAGTATTCTTTCGTTACTCTCTGCCATCTTGCTTGAGAGGAACTGTGAGGACGAGTGTGGCAATCGAAATCTTTCTCCGACCGGGTTGATTTCGTGTGCGGGCAAATTTATCTGCTTGCTGGTCACCATGAATAATCATGAGGTTACATCTCGGGATAAGTGTCTTCACTCGAAAGACACCGAGGCTCCGCCAGTCATATCGCAACACGAGATATCCATCTGATGACACTAGCCAGGGCAGTGGGGTTCGGGGAATCGGGCACTGGGGCCGCTCTTTGACGGTCACAGAAATAACTCCCAATAGAAGCCTTAGAGATGTGCGGGTCCACAGACAGACCATCGTTGTTAGTGAGAAAACCTATGTCCAGAGCAGGCTAGCATTGAGTCTCGACTCCTCTCAACAGTCCTAGTTCTCTTTCGCTTGCTATCACGTCACCTGGCATTCCGAACTTGGCTTAACACGTGCCCTGTCAGTCGGTCGTTCTCCGTGGAATCATGATGGCCTGATATCTCCTAGGGACTACAGCCTGTCAAACCAGGAGTGAAACAGACCACAGGTCAAAAAATAGCTTGTGGCATCAAGCAAGCTCTAGGCTTCCCTCTTGATCTTACCCACTCGCCCACTCTGAGAATACCACACCTCCTGATACTATGGATTTCGACGTGTATATACCACATACCAGGCAGGACAAGCAGTCTTCATTTGACGCATTTCGACATCGGCAATTCAATCCTGATGCTCAAGGGACGAAGTTCTAGATTATGCGTCGACTTCAACTTCAAGCGCTGCTTAGTCCTGTCATCAGACTAAGCGTCACATCACTGGTTAGATTCCTCATTAACCTTAGATATTTCCTAGCAAACGAGTTTTCTATCGTGGATACCACTTGCGTGCTACGTGGTACTACAGCAAGAGCATCGCAGTCCCCACCTCCCCTCGACCTAGTCAACGCAAATGAAACGTTCTCTTTTCATCTCTGGGTCTATCCTCGGCACAGGTCGCGTGAGCTGATCGAATGGACGAAAGGGTTGCCCACTGTTAGCAAGGAGATGCTTTCAGACCACGTTCGCATTTTCCAGTTGATTGAAGCATCAGCTTCAATCATTGACTGTTCGTTGGTTCAGTAATTTGAGGATGTTGCCGAAGAATATTCCATGGCTGTTAAACGAGTGCTGCGGTATGGGAACAGAGAGGTTGACTCGGCCTCACTCACGCAAAGCACATGTACAATGCTTCATATACAGTCCAGAATGGTGATACCATTTTAGCTCTAAGAGAGGCAGATCGGTTATTTGGTATCTACCACTTTGGCGAGCATCCCTACAGCCTCATCGGGGATATATTCGCCCATGGACTTATGCATAGTGAGCTTATGAAAGTCAGGATCCTACCAAGGTGGATTATGATGTCAAGTTAATGTAGGATGCAAATACAAGCATACTTACAAGGTCGAAGACATACACAATCGATCAACACATACGGTTGGAATTGAAAGAGGAGCTTTTCTTCTGGCTTTCTAGGTTGGGGAAGCCCTCGTAGTATACGGCGTGACGTATGATTTGATCGCTGTCAGCCTGGCAAGTGCAACCAGCAGCACAACCTTGAAGTATGCCCGTGCATAAGTCAGTCTCGTGGAGGAGTTATCATGGGCAATTCCATTCCAGACTCGAGTTTTCTATCTTTTCCTGGATACAAAACGGTCAAGAGAGATGCGAGCCACTAACGGCAGTGTCTGGGAGCCGCCAGCAGGACTTCGGGCACTACCCTGTACAATCTATCGGTAATATCACAAAGGACTATTGTAATATATTGCGAGGTTCGACATTGAAATGTTCAGGAATGATAGAGTGATTGCGGCGTCATTTGTCCATATAGAATCTTGAAGAAGATTCAGATATATTATGAAATTTGGGACAAGATATGATATCAAACTTTCTTGAATACGAGCCGAACTATATTGGAGCATGACTCTTTCTTGTGGCCAATTCATATGCATTTGCAGACTGTATAGTTTTAGTTTTATCGCTTTCAAGTACCATTATCGCAGCTTTCAGTTTTTTTTCGCCAATCATGTAAGTATCAAACTACAACTATGGACTCCTCTACAGCTTACTCTCTACGGGAAGTGAAGTCTTAAACTTCCCTATTCCTACGCGCGGTTTGATTTACTCTCCAGCTCTATATTCTCATTATCTAGTAAGCTTGTTCATATACAGCGCAGCCTAGACTCGGGTCCCTGTCGAAGTCCATCGGAGAACGGTCGCACCGGGGGAAGAACAGTTGCGCTGGGAAGGAGTAGTCGCACTGGGAAAAACAGGCAGTCGCACTGGGGAATAATGAACACATTGTCGCATTGGGAACAAGCTTGAGGTCCTTGCCAACTTAAGCTCAGTCCAAACCTAGAATGTTAGAAAGCCTCCCTCCTTCTCACGCCAAAAGCCCGACACAGAAGAAAGATGTCGTCTCGTTCATTCAAGCGGATCCGGCCTTTTTCATCAGGAGCAATGTTGCTTTGTCGCCCGCTCCCTTGCGATAGTCTATGAGGTCTCGGCTGACGACCTTGGCCAAGCCTTCTGCCTCGAGCTTGTCGGCTTCAGCTTTGTAGCCTCCGGACACCCAAATCTCCTCGAGGACCGTGGCGACGATGACGCCATTTGGCTTGAGAAGACGGATGAATTCTCTCAAGGCAGGGTCGGGCCCGACGTGGCCGCGTGTGAAGGTGCCGCAGCATGTCACAATGTCGTACATCTGGTCTGGTTGGTCGATCGGTTGGGTCAAGTCCACTTTGAAGAGGCTTCGATACACGCCAGTCTGTTCTGCTACCTTGAGCATAGCGGGAGACAAATCCATGCCATCGATGGTCCATGGGCTGCCTTTGGCAAGGGCTTCGGCCACAAGACCCGTTCCACAGCCAGCGTCCAATACGGTAGCCTCGAGGTCTTTGCTGGATGCAAGGGCGGCTTGGGCGACAAGGAGCGGAGCGATGTAGTTCTGGGATGCGTCGGCAAGGTCATCGTTGTAGGAGGCGGCCCACTTCTCATAGAGCTCCATACAGTCTTCCTTCTTGAGACTGTTGCGGGCTCCCGCCAGGTAGGTGTTTTCCGTTATTACTTGGGTTGCCATGGCTGCAAAATGGAACTTGGTTGGATGGATAATGGTGCGAATAGGTGGAAATTGAACTGGTATCAAAGGACTTGGGATTTCAATGGAACGTTTAGCAACAGGGGCTGTTCTTCCGACTACTTATATGTTGTCGGCTTCTCACTCGCCTTATATACTTCAATAAGACCCCTGAGCAGCCCCTCACTTCACATGGGAACGCTGGCGAATCTTCTGGGACGGAATCGTTTTGCTGATGCATGGCGCACAGTCCTTCGTCCGTTCTCGATGGCGTGATGGCTGGCATTATTCACTGGCTTGTTCCGAGACGATCGCACTGTATCTGAAGCTACTGTCTGTGGCTTTCCAGGGTGGCATGAGCATATTACATCATGGGGGGGGTGTTGGGATAGGGGAGAAAAGAACTACACTTCTGGTGGGGTCCAGGAAATAGCCTCCACTGTGACGACTCTTGGCGCAATACGATACTTCCCCCACTAAGTACGAGTTTCCCCGCGCGGCCTAGTCTTTGTTGACTCTTGACTCGCTGTAAGGGGTGGCAGGATGGGAGTATAGGATTGGCTTACCCAGTCGGTTGAATCGTCTCCCATGCAGTAGGTTTAGGACAACCAGAAATTTGCGAATCTTGCGCCTGCATAGCCGGAGGCCCGGAGAGGAAATCGTCACTATGAGTGGTGCATTTCTTGATTTGAGCCTGGGATCTCCAACCATTGGCATGGCACCACTGTATCCGAACTGCTGCTCTCCTCATCTGCAACCTATGATGTGCATTCGACCGCAGATTCTGGGCTTTCATTTACCCCACCAGTGCAACACAACGGACACTCGACGAACCTTGTTAATTACACCATTGATCTTATGGACACGGATGTCTCCATGCGGTCATCCCGCTTCTGCGTCATGCATAAATAGGGCCGTCGAGGGGAGAGGGGTGCGTTGCGTCGCGAGACTTACCATATGCATGCCAGACGCTGGAGACCTCATTCGCCGAATGGATAGTCCCGGTTCTGGTCGAATGAAAGGCAACCAAGGACTGGAGACTATGCACTTACTAAGCATGCAGGGTAGAATGAAAGAATGAAGCATGTTGGCCGACCGTCCAGGGTGAACCTGTGCAATGACCGTCGAGTTAGGGCAGAGCCCCTGTCAGCTGAGTACGTGTTCAGAATTTTCCCCTCAATCCGAGCGTGATTCGTGCCTGTGTATTTCTAACCTCGGTTTGTGTATGTTTCCTAAGCTCAGCAATCATTTTTCTTCACGTATTCAATCCTAGTCCTGTTGTCGCAGGATTCTCGCAGCAATGTGAGATGGTTAGGGCACGCGTTACTAAAAACAGAAACTGATATCTGATCCGTGGGGAAAGCTCCTTTCCGACTACCGGAACGGCTGGCACGTCACTTCCAAAGCCGGGAAATTACGAATGCGACAATCAGAAACCTGAGGAAATGATGATTGCCTCGAGAGCTGCTGGAATCCACTCTCGCGCGTCGTCTCACGTCGCCAAGGCCCCAACACCAGCCCTGATTAGCCTAAGATGAACCGCTTTCACTGCCCCGCATGTCAGAGATTCCAACTTCCCCCGCCAGAACAGACACGGCACAGAATTCAGCCGAATGGTGGGGCACAGACGAAAGCTATGATGATCCAGATCGGCCACTGCCAGTACCTTTCTCTCGCTAGCGCACGTCGGCGACTTGGAAGGGCACATCGTCCCTAACCGGCGTCAAGGGTTGATGACGGCCATTCTTGGGCGGCCTGTTCTTTGTTTTTCCCTTTGCTCTTTCGTGGTAATATCCGGAGTAGCCCGGGGGGGTCCAATTCTTCGCGCTACTTTGATCAGTGCGCGCGAGAAGCGCCAGAAACATATTGGTCATAACGGTGACGTAGTATCGTGCCACGCCCGCGGATGATGCGCCAGAAAAGAGGAGCCGTGTTTAGCGCTGAGCGATCCACTGCACAAGCGCCATGGTAATGCGGAATGCCAGCCTTGCCTCAACGACATACCGTGCGGTCCATGGGGCTGGAGTCAGCCACTAAGCTATGATCGATTCAGATCGGCCAATGTGAAGAACAGCCCTTGCACATAGTCAACAACATCCCTGTGAGATATTTCCATCTGATATCGGACGTTTTCCAGGAGTCCAGGACCAGGGCGACGGAAGGTGAGACAACTGGTGGGCTAGGTAAATGCAAAGGAGCGCATAGCCACGACAGTTACGATCTCAATGGGACCGATATTTGACCCCCTTGCTGCAGCCAAGTCTGACGGTCCCTTCATTCGACGCGGTAGACATTACGATTGTGTAATAAGCAACGTTGGTAGTCATAGCCACCAGAGATACTCCGTACATTAGCCAGAAAGTACAATATCTGTCATAAGCGGATCTCTTTGCAACACTCCCTTCGGATCTTATTAAAGCGCGCTGTGGAGTTGGGAACATCATCACTACAAAGCCAATTCAAACGGCATGAGTAATATGTGGGCCTCGGCCTGTCGGAGTCCGTTTTCTGTACCCGGTGCGTCCTGGGCACCTCTTCTTCCCAGCAGCCCAGTGGCATCGAGCCGTTTCATGGGCGATCGATAGAGACCGACATTGGAGAGAGAAAAGCAAAAGAAAAGATACCACCTGGCTCTCCTGACAACCACACGAGAGCCTCATACGCTCGGCAACACACTGACCATCAGTATGCCTCTCGAACGGCAGTCCTTCTCTGACCTAAACTCGGACGAGCTTGGCAAATAAGAGTGGGAATTTCTGAAAGGACACCTAAGTCATCTCAAAAGCCCCCAATGACATATACCACGCGCACCTTGGTAAGCAATGTAATGCTATTACGTATACAACTTCTATGCAGCAAATCCTTCGATAAATAGATTTCTTGCTATCAGCCCGCTCACGCCCCGTTCATATCATTCCCGATGGGCTCATTACGCTGTGCGAGAATTGTTCTCTCGCATATCTGGACACACAAGAACACAACGGCACGATGCTCTTCAGTAAGATGGCAAACAAATTGTCATTTGCTACAAGAATCCCAGGAGTTCCATCATCCATACATCGTCAATACCGTCAAGTCTGAAATCGTCTGAGTTGCCCAATGTATTCTGCAAGGTCGGGTTAGCCACCTCGGTGGCAGGCAAGTACTGCCGGGCCTGCATCAAGGACGGTCCCCATCTTTCTTTGATAGCGGTTATCATCTTCACGCCCTTTGCAAATATGTTCGCTTCCGCATCTTGGCCGAGATGGTCGGATGACCTTTTGAAATTAATTTGCAGCTGGTCGAGATAATGAAGAAGATTTACGCTGTCTTGAACAGCATTCTTGTCCCAGGATGGATCGTCCAGGGTGGAAAGCTTGAACAGGTTCACCAAGGCTCGACAGAACTGGAAGAGTATGGTAAAAGATACTGCCAAATAGTGTTCTGGGGGAACACACAACCAGACATCCAACCACGACTTTGTAGCGAGAAGGGATATGTGAAGACTTTTGAGGCCCTGGGGGTCTGGGCAGTTGGTCGGGATGGGAGCTTTAATAAATACCTCGTGGATCGCAAGTTCAGCGTTCGAGAAGTACATACTGATGACATCTAGACGGAGAAATTAACGGAACAGGTCTCCAAAGGAAGGATGGAAGACATACTATTTTTCGTCAGTTGCGAAGGTATCTGGCGCTTGATCGAGTCCAGCTGGGATTGCAAGAGGTCCGTAACCAACGGTGATGAATGCGAGTTCTCGCCGTCGCGGCGAAGATGATAAGATTTGTCGACCACCAACTGAATCCTGACGAGCCATACCAGCAGCTCGTCTCCAACGCACTCTTTCGTGCTAGCCAAGATCTCGAGGCTTTCTTCCATATGGGGCGTCCAACGCAAGGCATCACTCTTAAATAGCGATGAGGCGATACTAGAGTACAGTTATTCATCATGTCTAGTAACATTGAATGCACAGCTTCCTGATTTACCTTGAAGTGATCAGAAAGCACCCCAGCACTGCCCTTCGCTCCTCTAACGTTCTGCTCATAGCGGTATCTGTCTTTAGACCAGCCGCTCGGTTAAACCCTTGTAAGATTGTTTGTTCATTGAGTGGAGCTTTGTTAATACCCAGCTCGCAGACCACGCCGGTCAGTATGTGGCTGTAGAAGTTAAGAAATGGCTTTGCGCAGTAGATTTTCCTTGATAAGGAAGTCAGAAGATACTAAGCTACACTTTTCCAATGGGACTGTTGAGCCTCTCCACTCACTTACCAGGACATGAAGGTCATAAGGCCGAGAAGAATGTCCATGTTAGGGGCAATGTCCACAAGAAGCTCTTGGTAAATAGTGTTATGCACTTTGGTGAACAGGGATTCTCTCTGAGTCAGGTTCGGCGTCAGGACTGCAGTAAGGCAGTACCAGAAGAATGGCTTCTCTTTCATAAGTTCTTGAGGGGTGACATGGGGCGGTATATAGATGTAGGGAAGATAGTTCAGGTTTTCGGTCCGGAACTACTCAAGAAGTCTAGTTGCCGCATCGGACGAGACATGGAGCAAGGGGTTTGGGTTGTCTAGTGCAGGCAGCGCAAAGACAGGAGTCCTTGTTTTAATATCATATGGGTTGGGAGCGCTGGGCGACTCCTCGGCGTGCCCTTCTAGCGAATTGTCACCCTTTCGCACTCCTTCCGAGTCAGAAGAAGACTGCGCAGATATACTAGGGCTTTGCAGCGCAGACAGAAGACTATCGAGTCTAGATTCCACTCGTGCAATTCTCGTGTTTGAAGAACCCTTCCTGCGCATTCGGACCGATAACGGGGGTCGGCATTCCTTGCCCAGACGATCGCATCTGTCATCGGTCAGCATCATGCACTTTCACACGTCTCAGCCCTGAAGCCAGAGCCTATGGTTGCAGACCTTTCACACCGGTCACCAGTCGCCAATAGTAGGCATTTGCATTTGGCACGAGCGCAATTGATGCATGCTTGGCCGTATGGGGCGGGCGTTGTCTTTCGGAGTCTCCTCGCCTCCGTCCGACGGGATTCGGGGTTGGGCATTACGATACAATGGATCTTTGATAGTTGAATAGAAGGCGAAGTACATATGCACGATGGGTTAAAAATTTCAAGTCCAGAGAGACGACCGGATTTCAGCGAAGATTCTGGACCGGGATTGAAGTTAATTCATGTCCAAATCCGACCTGCTGACTCATCACACCGTGATCTTGTTGATACATTTATCCCCTCGTCGCTGGTGATAAACTGGAGATCTTCACTTTTGGTAATTCATTCATATTGTTATTACTAAGGTCTCGTTTATTTCGCTCTCCTGCACCGAATCTGGCGGCGGTATTCACCGTGAAGGTCTTTTGTCGCCACTGGAAAGCCGTCGGGTTTCGCAATCCCGATCTCCGATTCAGCCATGGGAAGCAATGTGTATATAGAGAGAGCAAGAGATTCACGTTGTCCTCGTCACTGGGAATATAGCAATTTCATTTCCCTAATCCATACACAGACGGAACTGAGCTAATAATAGACCGTTGCTGGCTTCCGCACTAAAAAAGACAAGCTTAGCTACAAGTCAAGACCTTGGTACACCAACGACTCCATGTCGCTCCACAGCCCCAGCACTTGTGCATCTGCGAACGGCAGGATCTGTGTACATACCATTCCTGCAACCCCCTTGGTCCTGTCACACCACCACCAAAGATTAGGAAGTCCAGCCCAATGGCCAGTCTGCTCCGAACGACCAGTGTTCCCTCCAGTAAGCATACAGGTTAGTCCCCAGCCTTGAGGAGTGTCGGATGGATACAGATGAGCGATGCGGTTCGTGAGGTCTGCTTTGGCGGGTGGAATGCCCTGGGATGCAAAGTTGGGGAACTGGGGAATTTGGTTTTCGAACATGAGGTCAACCGTCTCCTTGCGTAGGATCTGTTTGTTGGTCGTGGGCGATATGCCATCGTTCAACAGTGTCGCGAGAATTTGGCAATACTCCTGAGGCTGAGCAAAGCAGCCTGCCCCGCCGCTGTTGAAACAACGGTCTATATCCCTCGCATCCTCCACGATCAATGGTCGTCGCAGAAGGTGATCGCGTGGCGATAACTGTCCATCTGGTGCCCGGGCATTCATATGAGCCAGCCTTGACTTCATGGATGCATTCGGGAACATGGAAATGTTATGCAAGTTCAACGGCTCAAAGATATTACGACAGAAGTACTCATTCAATGACAGGCCTGTGACGCGCTCCACAAGAAGGCCCGCCCAATCAATGTTTACCTAAAGCTGCTTGTTAACTCTGCATCGAACCATGGCTTGTCTACCTTACCCCATATTCCCATCTCTCTCCTGGCTGGTTCACCAGCGGTTGTAGCATATCATAAAAACTTCCCGAAAATTCGTCATACCCTACCGGCTTGCTATAGTCTCGTAATTTCTCACTGAAGATTGAGTACCCGAAGCCAGCTGCACAATATTGTATGGTTAACATATGTACCTCGAGTGACTGTTCATGGTCTGATGGAAACTCTCACCGGTGTGGGTTAGAAGCATTCGCAACGTAATCCCCTGCTTCTTCTCGACCAGGCTTCCATCCTCTTGTAAGACCCGCACCTGCTTCAGCTCGGGGCAAATCGTTTCGACCTGGGTACAATCGTCCAAGGAGAGAAGGCCTTGTTCCACAAGCTGCATACAGGCAATTCCCGTAACCAACTTGGTGCATGAGGCAATCCAGAAGATATTGTCGAGTGTCATCGGGTCAGGAGAGCCATATCCTCGTTTTCCGCTGGCATGGGCAAAGTATTCCCGACCGTCCTTACCCACGACGACCACCACTGCTCCAGGGATACCTTTTTCTTGGTCCGCACAGGCCTCAGCAAGCCGAGCTTCTAAAGAGCCGGTCATGTCGGGGGTCAGTTGAGTCATTTTCGCAGTTGTGGGGGATTATGAAGTTCCTCGTATCAGGAGCAAGCGCGCTTATACGAAGCAATCTTGACCAGCTTTTCCGGATTGAGGTTTGCCTTAATATATCCTTCGTGATCAGGTGCTTCATGCTAGTACTTGACATTGGGTCGCCCAGTAAGCTCCGCACATGTGTCAAGCAAGTAAAGACAGATTGAGTTAAGTTGCGGGGACGCGGTTATGCAGCATCGGATCCGCATTGCATCCTGCGGCGGGGGTGAGTAATAAAAGGCATCCATGATATGCTCAAGTTAGCCTTCAAGCTGCATCAGAGCTGCATCACAGTCGGACATATTCCGCGTCACAAGATACCGATGCGGATCCGCATGCACGGACAATCACCCCCGATGCCTTCGTAGTTCCACGCGGATCCGGTATCTTTGCACACACATTCTAGGCCTTCCAACTCTTGGCCCCGATTTATTGGTCTACAGGAATACCCTGGCGAGAGGGGAAGGATTGCCTGCCAGAATTGGACTGATGCATCATTAGCTGGAGCTACGCATACACGGCTCCGTCGGTTATCATCACTGACAGGTGCTTAATCCTGGCTGCTGACAGTATTTAAGGTATCTATTCTCTTGGACCAAGTGTATCCAATCTCGAAACATCGTCTGTGCAGAGAAATACGAATACCCCTCTGAGCTCTTTGATCTTTCTATCATCTTCTTTGAACCTTGGCGATATCTCCTTTGTCGTTCTTCCATCTAACAGAATACCAAAAGGTACAACGCCGAAGCCATGCACGTAAGAAGAGAACTCGCTGAGAATGCCACGCGCGACACCACAAATGGGAATTACGCCGATGATCTCGACGTTGACGTCCTGATTGTGGGTGCGGGTTTTGGCGGTATCTACTCCCTGTACGAGATGCGAAAGCTCGGGCTCAAGGCCGTCATCTATGAGGCAGGAAATGACATTGGTGGCACATGGAGATGGAACTGCTATCCCGGCGCGGGTGTGGACTCGGAAGTACCCGAGTATCAGCTGTCCATCCCGGAAACCTGGAAGGATTGGACGTGGTCGACCAATTATCCCAACTATGAGGATCTGCGCAAGTACTTTGACCATGTGGACAAAGTCCTCGATATCAAGAAGGACTGTGCATTCAACAGCGTAGTCGTCGGCGCCCATTTTCATACGGTCGAAGGGCGCTGGCACATCCGGACTGCAGATGGAAGGACTGCACGCGCCAAATACTTTATCGTCGCTGCCGGTTTTGCGGCTAAGCGCTACATCCCGGAGTGGCCCGGCATTGAGAAGTTCAAGGGTATCGTCCATCACTCGTCATTTTGGCCTGATGAGAAGATTGACGTTCGTGGGAAGCGCTGTGCGATCATTGGCACTGGAGCCTCTGGCGTGCAAGTCACCCAGGCCTGGGGACCTGAGGCCGGGGAGCTCAAGGTCTTCCAGCGCACGCCAAATCTGGCAGTGCCCATGCGTAAACGACCTCTCACAGTGAAGGAACAAGAGGACACCAAGGCGTTCTATCCGCAACTTTTTAGGTATCGCGAGAAATGCTTTGCGGGGTTCCTGTACACATTTTCTGAGCGCGGTTTGTTTGAAGACAGTGAAGAGGAGCGGGAGCAGTTTTTCGAAAAGCTGTGGAGTGAGGGTGGATTTCGGTACTGGGTTGGTAATTACAAGGACTATCTGTTTGACGCCAAAGCGAATCGTGTCGTCTATGATTTCTGGAGGAAAAAGGTGTGTGAGCGCATTAATGACCCCAAGGACCAAGAGCTCCTAGCGCCTTCGGAGCCACCACACCCGTGGGGAGTGAAGCGCCCTTGTTTGGAAGATGACTACTTCGAGCAGTTCAACCGGCCCAACGTTGACGTGGTTAATATCAAAGACAACGGTATTGCCGACTTCACTGAAAACGGCATCAAGCTGCAAGATGGAACCGAATATGAATTTGACATTGTGTGTATCGCCACTGGATTTGACATCACCACTGGGGGCATGACCAGTATGGGACTTCACAGCATCGATGGCAAGAGTCTCAAAGAGGAATGGAAATCCGGTGCCTTCACCCATCTTGGCATGACGGTCAGTGGTTATCCCAATATGTTCCATATTTACGGGCCACATGGCCCAACCTTGCTGAGCAATGGCCCTACCACCGTGGAAATCCAGGGGCGGTGGATTGCAGATGCCATCAAGCAGATGGAGCGGCAAGGTATTAAGTACATCAATCCGACCGCAAAAGCTGCCAAAGAGTGGAAGGTCAAGGTCAATGCACTTTCAGACAGGTCGCTCTTCCCTACGACCAAGTCCACCTACATGGGTGGCAGCATGCCCGGAAAGGTCTTTGAGCAGGTCAACTATGCCGGGGGGGAGTACGCCTATTCCAAGGAGATCCGAGCAGCTCTTCCCGACTTTGTTGGATTTGATATTGTCAAACGCTGAAGTGGGTGGCCATTGGGAGACGTCGCGTTGTGTTTCACTAGCAATAGCCTTTTGTAACCTTGGGAGTAACAACACATGACCAAATAATTTGTCTGTGTCTGAACTGTAGAGAGTCCCGTCCGTAATGATGAAGCCGTAGCCAGTAGGATTCAACAGGCCGAAAATAACCTCAAGCGCGAGCAGATCACGAACTCTTAATTGTACCCTTAAGCTTGGCCCAAGTTATACCCCGCAAACCCCCGCTTTTTCCCAGCTGAATCCATGCTTTAGTATCTCTCAGTCGGATCCATGTTCGCCTTCCCCGTTCTCACGGGAACAGCGCTACCTTGCTGTCGTTCACACCATATTGCTGCGAATAATGTCTTATCGTCGCCGTCAGCATCGGAGCTGTGATCAATGCCGTAAAGGCAAGAGAGCATGCGATGCCCTCCTAGCTGACGAGCTTGAGGGAATTGCGGAGATTGGTTCTCAACAAGCATATAATCACTCTTGCTCCAATTGCAGGAAATACAAGAAAAAATGCACATTCGACTGGCTCTTGAGTCACAGTCATATAGCATCGCGGCATGGTCATAGCAAGAGAGCCAGAAATGTTGCCATCGCTCGTTCCCGGCAGGCGAACGACCATTCCGCTCGATCCTCTCAACAAGCCTCCATTGGGCGTAATCCTGCAGAAGACCCCCAGCAAAATGCCGAGAACTGTGGACGCTCAATGTCCGTTTGGGATCCGTTTTTGCCGTTGCCACAAGACGAGGGACTAAATGCGGACTGGTTGACTTGGGCGAACCTGAATGGCACAGCTTTCGTCTCGCCTGTGAGCGACGATATGATCGTCAATAGCAATAGCCACGTCGACGTCGACCATATACCACCAATGACTGCCCAGTGGACCTCTCCCGGAGCCTGCCAAGATTGGCATATTACCGATCAAACTGCGTTGCTCGACATGGTGAGCAATTCAATCGCTTCGTCGCAATCAAATGGCACACCTGGCACCCAACCATTTCGGAGCTGTGGTGTCAATTCTGAGCTCTCGCTGTATGATGTTCCACCAACCGAAGTTTATGCTGCGTCCCTGCCAACGAACACTACACTGTGTGTAGGCTCTAACCAATTATCACACAATTATGCGAACTCCACGATGACACACAACTTATTCCACATATATAACGACAGTATGGAAAACGCATTGAGCTGTTGGCTGACGGAGCGTAATTGTCCCTACAGTAATCCGGGATGCGTTGACGCAGCAGGACCGAAGACAGGCCCTTACACCACACATAGAATTTACAGACGGGTTTGCCTCTTAGATCGGGCATATTCATCCATCCCAGGTCGACGTCTGACGAGCGTGGAGAATCGGACAGCAACGCAGGTACTTCATGCTGCCATCATGGCATTCGCTTCTCAGTGGCTAGAGGAACGTTCACTAGACAAATATATTCGAATCCCAGCCACCGCGCTTCACCAACGAAGAGGCATGCGTGAGGGTTTCTGGAATCAAGCACGTCATGCGCTAGAGCAATCGAGAGCAATCCCATCTTTCCGCGTGGCCTTTGCGCATATGTTGATTTCACTAACTCAGCCTCCCCTACACTTTGAAGAAGGGATGGAGCTCGGCGGACTCATAGACCATGATCCTGCGCCGATATACCTCGAAATGGCGCTCCGGCAAATGTTAACTTTTCGTTCGACGTTGATCAAGCTTCGGCGGCAAGGTCCCAACAGGGCCCTCGAGCATGGCTGCAAAGGGAGCCCATGCGAGGAATACAATACAGGACAAAGCACCCATCAGTCAGGTCAGGTTGATGTGATGCTGAAGAACTCTGAAGCTCAACACACTTTCGATCTTCTATTCTGGCTGGGCATTATGTTTGATACATTGACATCGGTCATATATCAACGGCCCCCTGTGATTTCCGATGAGGACAGTCAGATTATACGCACCCGGTCGCCCATATTTTCGTTTCCGGATGCCGTTGACTTGGATGGATGGGACATTGGCTCCTCTTCTATTTGCAAGAGCAAAGAAAGTGTATGGGGCGATCTTTTTCTTCGCAAACGTAACATGCTCCACAACATCAACCAGGCCCGCTGGCCCTGTTCTTACGAAGAAGCAGCGGAAGTCTTATCTGACGCAGCGCCGGTAAAGGTCCTTCTATTCCGTCGCATAACTCACATCAATACGCTTGTATGTCGGTTAGGTGAGGCTGAGGCGATCGAGGAAGCGATCCACAACGCTCTCTTGGTCTACGAGTACTGGAACTCCACATACGAGCAATTTATGCTGGATTGCCTCTCTCATCATACAGAGCTCCCGTCTCGCATACAATCGTGGTATTTAGTGCTGGCCGGGCATTGGTATCTTGCGGCGATGTTGCTCGCAGATACCCTTGAGGACATTGACCAAGCGCGACTTGGTCTAGATTCTCAAGCCACGTATCGGTCCACGACGGGTGTCATCTCGCGCTTGAGACGCGAAAGTGCGTTCGCTGTTGGAGATCTCGCCCAATACTCTTACGATCTGCAGGACTCGTCGCATCCGAAGCTCCGCAACTTTCACGATTCTGTCAATCAGGCTGCATCCTTGACGGAGCCATGGGCTGCTGTACTTATCCACTCGTTCAGAAAGGCGGGTACTATTCTAACCAGAGAGATCGACATATCGCAAAGTGACTACCAAATGCAGCAAGAGTCTTTCATGCTGGCGTGTCAGCGTTGTGAGCACTGTATAAAGGCCCTGCAGTGCCTGGGGAAAAAGTCAGATATGGCTCTGATCGCAGCTCAGAGACTACTAGACAGTGTAAACAGCACATTGTCGCGACCCAATCCTATTGATTTATACAATATGGGCGCCTTATGATTTTGCTCTGTGGTCCTATAGCTGGTCCACTCGGATTGTCCGACATTAGGAAACGGAGTAAGTGTCGGCGAGATGAACATAGTGCCTCGATTCTGTCTAGCTAGTATCACCGCTAATACACATTGGCAGGCATTGTCCACAGTATCTCCGAACGATGAAGGCGCAGAATATGGCGGGACACGAATCCACTACTCAAGACCATTTCCACGTCAGTGGGAGACATATGCATCAGGGACTTGGAGCATTTGGCATCCACGACGAACAGCCAGAGGTTCAATATGAAGCAATGTATACTCCAGAGAAAATCGATCGCTATGATTCGACGCGCGAAATATTGATTCAGCTCTGGCTTCCATCTGGATGGGTTCGTTCAGAGTGAGCTGCCAAGAAGGAAGTCGCGTCGTGCCTTGCGAACAGTAAACAAAGATCGCTCTCCACGTGATTCCTGCAAAATAGCCCTGCGTATCTCAAATTCATGTTTAAAAACTCTTCTAAATTTGTCTAGGGATGCTGCGGTAGCTTCTATACATGTATGTGAATTTTGTACGTTATTCCAGGCTTTGATAATGAGTTTTTGCTCCGGTTGTATTTGAGCAGGTAAAGTAGACACAAAACATATATTGGCTCAGTAGCACTTCCGGACTATGTAAAGATGTACGCATACATCTAAGATTACTTACTCAAACCAGCCCACAAAATTCTAGAAAAAATGTGTAAAATCAACATTGCGATAAAACTATTTTTGGTATTTTCTATGCAATTTTATCATATACCGTAGTCTATATTTGAGATTGCCAAGCGAAGAAATGATGAAATCTATGAACCAGGATATATTACTAATACGGAGTCAGAGAAAGCCCCCACCCTAAGCCCTAAGCCCTAGCGGCGTACCTCCAGCCAAACTGAAATAGGTACTAGCTGCCGCCGCTTTTATGAGGGCGCTCAGGCAGTCAGGCTGAAGAGGTATCCGCCAATGATTCCCTTGCATTCCAGGGATGAGAAGGAGAATCCATCCATGGATGCAGATCAATATACTATTTCAAGAATTCTTGTAGCAATCGGGCGTCATACAATAGTCAACCACGGGTTTCACCATAGGTACTTGATCAAATGCATTTTTTTGACCATATCTGGCTCTATGTTGTACGTGTGTGTGTCTCCAGCTCGTGTTGTTCGAAAGCGTTGGTCTGAACGTCAGTAACATAGTGCTTGAACTTGCGAAGATTGACCTTCTTCTCAAACCTATGGAAAAGGGACCAAGGAGTTAGCACAACTCGAGGATGGAGGCATACAGAATACTGTTGGAACGCGCTTCCACTTACATTTCATCGATCTCGGCAGGTGTCCGACGCGTGACCTCCGGGAGGATAAACCACGCGATGATAACAGCTACCGTACCAGTTCCTGCGAAGCTGTTTAGTGAAGCTTCTGTCAGTGGCTGATCTTTTCATTTATCCAGTGGAGTGGAAACTGAGTACGCACAAGAATCCTGTTTTGACTCCCCATTTTGTGAGAGGTCCGTTGATCATCAGGGGTGTGCAGAAGCTGAACATAAGCGCGACTAAATTGGACGCCGCAAGAGACCAGCCTGCCGTTTGAGCGCGCAGGCGTTGCTGTGGGATTTCTGCAGCGTAGGCGTAACCGATTGACGAGGCACCGGTGGTCGTGAATGTAGCGAGACAGGCGAAGAAGACCTGTGGTGCGGTGTTGGTTGGTTAAGGATCTTGGTGAGGATCATAGATTTGAATGACTTACTAGAAGTGAGCTTGTAGACTTCTGAGTGTAATCAAAGCAGCCGATTATTCCAAGGCATAACACCGATAGAGTCGTTACCGCATAGGGATAGACAGTCAGTGGTCGACGGCCAACTTGGTCGGTGAGCATGGCCGTGATGATCATGGAGAGGAGTTGAACGCAGGACAGGATGACGGTGACCAAGAAAGGGTCTTTATTACCCGCATATTGAACTGCAAGGAGAGGTGAGCAACAGAAAGCAGAGACTGCTCATTTGGAGCGCAGCGAGCTTACAGAAATAGGTAGCGTTAGAGTTAAACACCGCCAGCCCGACAAACTGCTGGGTGATCTTTGGCCATCCAGCAATCACGAACCGGATGAAATTGCGGCCCTGGAAAACAGCCCACGTCCCTTCCTGCGAGTCTCGCTCAGCAATCCGGCGCTCCTCGGCGACTGTGGCGCTCATGATCTCCTGCAATCCGCACTATCGTTAGTAACAAGCGCGCACTAAGAGCGGTATTTGGACAGACAATTTGTTCAGACACATCGTAACCCTCAACGCGGCCATTATAGGTCTTAAGGATCTTCGCGGCCCTATCAAGCTTTCCTTTACTAACGAGCCACCACGGGGTTTCGGGCATGATAACGAAGATAATAATCGTTGCTCCGACCATAGCCCACTAGGAGGACTTTTCAGTATATTAACTGCGACTCGCTCAAAGAGACTGGTATTTACCTGTGTATAGATGGGCGTTCGGAAGTCCAAGGGACTTATAGCATGAAGTCGGTTGAGAGCTACTGAGGCGAATATTTGCCCCACCACAAACCAACTGAGCGATGCTCTGGTTAGAATTATCCGTAATTCAAATGGACAGGGAGGTAACTTACAAGCTGTACGCATTAATGAAAAATCCCCTTAACTGAGTCGGAGCTATCTCCGACAAATAAATAGGCAATGTTGATTGCAGCATGCCGACCCCCATGCCTGAGAAGAGTTTCGCCACGAGCCAGTGATCCCATCGGGTAGCGAATGACTCAATGAATATACTCTGAGGAAAACGAGTTACATTAGCACTTTGGTGAGTACGCCGGGGAGTAGAAGTTTGATCAAATAGGGGAAGGTGGAGTCACGGCGTACCACTACGAAGACGACCCATATGATGTAAAATGCCACTTTGCGGCCGAATGCTTCCGTAGCGTACTGAAGCAGCTGTATAGAAGCAGGGAAGAGGATTTAGCAAGCTTTCCATGAGTCTGGGCGTGGGTATCCGTACAATTTGGCCAACCGCCTGACCAGAAGACTGAATGCCACTCCAAGCGGAGACATACTGGCCTTCGATGATTGTTGTTCCAGGGCTCGCCATCTGTCGGATGAATCCCTCATTGGAAACGAGCCCACCGTTGAGGTTGATCTCTAACACCGGGTATGTATCATATTAGTCTGACTTCCATAAAGCTTTGAATAGTAGGTCAGGATGACAGAGCCATACGGTAACCATCTAGCGCGGCACTGAACGCCGCAGCCATCGCAACGACTGAGATGACTTTATACCGCCTCACCGTCTGCCAGACAGAAAGGTCATCTTCCTTTGACCGCATCAATGGCGCATCACCCTTGGTTATCGTACAGTGCTCATTCTCTTCAGCGGTTGGCTGTTCGGGCGCCTCATGTTTGCTAATGCTTGGCTCATCTGCGGTGACGGCTCGCAAGTTATCGTGTGAGGCGTGGTGGGTGGCCATGATGATCTATCGATAATATGACTCGGGACCTTGATCTTCTAGACATTTAAGTGTAGGTCAGAGGGTATCCTTTCGGCCAAGTTCCTTTTGTATATGGACCCAAGAGTACATTAGTGTTCATAGTGGACCCATGCGGAGACCCCAGAGATACCCCAGGCGGGAGAGCCCCATTAACCTATGTCAAGCTTTGACACACGATCGGCTATTGACAGGGCAGGCTCGGCTTATGACTGCTAATTTAGGGTACGGAAGGACTCCAAGCTCCGGTGGAGGTGGAGAGTTAAATTGCGCCAGCGCTTTTGACTTCGGGATATCGCACCCCGAGTGTGTACTCACATTGGGTGATCGACACCGTAAGACCATGCTCTATCAATGCGGGGTGAAACTAGCGCAAGTTACCATCAAAGTGAAAGGATACCCGCCATTGATTTGGGCAGCTGCCTCGGATAAATTATTTAAGATCAACAGGACAAGTAGTAGTTGGCTACATCCTGATTTGTCATTGCTTCTAGCTACCATGTTATGCCGTAAAGGCACAGACCTATAGACACTGCTTCTTAGAGATAGATAAGTAAAGCCTCTGAGGCGCCGACTGTAAATGTGGCTGAACCGGAAGACACGGTACTTGTTTCTATGACTTCATCACCCTGGATCACGCAGGTTCCGTTTGCAAATGTCTGGCCTGCAACAGTAGGAACCTGGCCCTGATCAACTCGAGACGTAGAATAGGGTGCGGTTAGCCGCTTTGCGGTGACGCTAGAGGAGGTTAGTCCGTTCAGCGTGAAGGACTGCGACGGGCGTGTGCCATTGGTATAGTAATCTGAATTGTACAAAAGTATCCTAGACGGAGCGCCGTCTTGGTAGATTGCGTATGCGGCGTACGGGGTTGTCTGGTCGTCTAGAGGAGCGATCTGGTCTGCATTGGCCAGAGCCATCGTCGCAAAATAGGCGCCATAATAGGGTGCGCCCATATTGTAGCGACCCCACCAGCAGTATGGGCCTTTCGAGTCAGCATGCTTCCAGTAAGTGGGCGAATCTCGTCACTTACAGTTACCTATGGTGCCCTGGTGGAAGTAAAGAGCCTACAAAGCCGGAGTGCAAGTGGTTACTTTCAGTGATACCGAGTCGAGTGGTTCCAAGTACATACCTGTGTGCCTAAAAGAAGAGTTTGCATCACGTAGTCTAGGATCCAAAGACCAGCACCGTATGTTGGGCTAATCCCCCCGCCCCCCTGAGTCGCTGGAGAGAACCGTCAGTGACAATCTCAGATGTGCGGTGGAATATAATTACCAGAGTTAGTTTCTCCAAAAATGTGAGCTTTGCCTTTTGCAGCTGCAGCTGCAGCTTCGGAGGCAAAGGGTTGGATTTGCGATGCAATACCACTGTGGCTCATTAGACCGGCCAAATCGGCAGTGCTTGGCGACTGGGGATAATTGTGCGAGCAGTAGTCCTTGACAAGGTCGTTGGCTTCACCCTCAACAGAGGATAAGCCGGTGATACTCATCGGCGAGGTGCCAAAGTAGACACCCGCGGAAATGAGACCTGATGCGGACAGATTCTGGCAAACTGCATCCTGCCAAGCTACCTGGGATTTGTAGTCGGCTGCAGCGTCCCATGACGCGCCGTCTGCAATGGGGTCGCTGTCGGAAAAGACTGAATGGGCTTCATATTAGCAGGCTCCCGAGCACAATTATGCACAGGTAAAACTTACAATTTGGTTCATTTCCAAGCTCTATGGCATAGAGATTGTTGATTGTATCTTTGGCCAGAGCCGCTGCGGCAATCGTATTGGACTGATTGTTCAGACGGCGATTAAGACCCACAATAACCTGGCCGCCGTAGCTGGCAGCCAGGGACATGAATGGCGGGCCAAATGTAAGTGATGACGGTGCATCTGCTGGATCGGATACTGTATAGGTGACCGCGCTGCTGGAAGACGCATCATACGTCGCACGATCTCTAAAAAGGGATTAGAACGAATCATATAGTTTTAAAGATGAAGAAGCGCACTGTGTGGTGCCGCCAATTCGCAGTGGTGGCCAGGTCCCGGTCAGTTCCTTGAGGTTCTGAAGGCAGGTTTTGGTTGCATCGACATCGTTCATGTAAGCCGGAAATGTGAAAAACTCCAGACTGAGAAATCAGCACGGTACTCTCCCGGAATGTTTGTGTGATACTAACGAAAGGCCCACTGGTGCATCAATCAGCTGAGCGCTTGCATTTGTCGGTGCCGACGCCGGCACATCAATAGTCCACGCTGACGTCGGAGCAGCAACGGCGAGGAGGCCAGCAGCAAGGTAAAGAAGAGCCATTAGGACAAGTGAGCTCTGTCGTAGCTTTACCTGGAGTATAAGATGACAACACTGAATATGCCGCCCTTCGGGAGGTTTGCCAATTTATATCTACTGGATGGTTACTTACTACCCTACATACTCTGATACCCTCGGCAGAACATCCCGATAGTAGAATAGATCCTGAACTTCAGGGGTTTCCGTACAATCTTTGCCAGGGCTCGCCTCCACCGGAGAGAAGTCGACGGGCCCACTGCCTTCCCCAAAGTCAGAATGGAGTGAAAGTCTGGAGAAGACGGCGTGCGTCGATCAAATGCGGGGTACGTTCATCATAGATGAAATGGCTTAGTCGTCGGGACAAGCTTCCCCGAGGCCTGCGCAATAGGATACTATGCTATGGCAATAATCAATCCCTCTTGTCTCCGATGCTCCAGTGTTTCTGCCTGATTTAGGCCGACAACAAGCACGTGCACCGTATGTTTCCCCCCACCAAAAAGGGTATAGTCCGACTGGAAGCTGCGATGTTGATCTGTCCGGCGACGCTGACTTCTACTGATTCTATGTCCAGTGATACAAGAAAGACACAAGGTCTATGTCAAAGCTTGGTGAATTCATTGACTGTTGTCTATAATGTCCCGGCTAAGAATTGTGCTTCTCCTTTCCCAAAGCTCCAATCCGCCCTGGTATTTTCGGCACAGCTGATAATAAGATCTTCTCCAGAGAGTCCACATCTCTCAGATAACTGCTCATGAAGTGCTTGATACACAGCCTGCTTCTGCGCAGCACCACGGCCTTGCTGCAGGATTTGTATGATAACCAACTTGTTGCTCCTCTTCATTCCCAGATTCGTATCCTCACAGATCAGCTCATAGGGCTCGTGTTGGGTGACAATCTTCAGAACAGAATATGTTTAGAGTACGGTATCGGTGCAACGTGGACATTTAATATAATACTTACTTGATAGCGATCCCGGTAGGGTGCATTGAAGTGCTTCCGCATGACTTCTTGGATAACATCGGCCAGCTGTCTTAACTCATCGGGAGACCGTACCCCTTTGATTAGATCAATTCTCACCAGAGGCATTGTTGTTTCGAGGTAAGCAGAAGAAAGAAAGACGAGGCGTATGGGATTCCGGAAAAGGGAAGGGAAAGACAAGATCAATCAATCGAGGCGTTGAAACGGCACGAGTAAACACCTGTACAACAATCCCAAACAAGTCGCTTACATGCGAGTCGTTCTCTCTATCCAGGCTGATAAGCACATACTGACAAGAAAGTTAATATGAGAATGGTTTCTGATATTTACAGCTCGTGTGGGTTACCTGCATATCATGTTCAGGTTTGCTCCGCAATATCCGCGGCGATGTCCGGGTCTTGCACCGTGACATCATGCACGCCTTAGTCCTTCTCAAAGGTGAACCTAGAATGTAGGAGAATAAGGGAGAAGAGAAGGATTTCTCTGAGCTGGAAGGATGTGGAGGTATCGCTTGCTGATGCTCACAAGATTCCTGACTTTTAATGGGAACGATTTCATATATTGACTATGGAACATGAGACCCCGCTGCTGGGAAGATAATATGCAAGAGCTGACGTATGTAAGAGCCTATTAGTTGGAATCTCTTGTACTGGTCTATAAAAAAAAAAGAAAAAGAGTGAAAACTGATTGAATTACGAAGCCCAGTGCCTCGTTGTACCATGCCACACCTACTTCCTCGCACACAAACTTTTTACGATCTTTTGCACCAAAGCATCATTATCCCTAAACCTCTGTGGAAACTTGGCCAAATCGCTAGCCTTTAACAGACCTCTCGCCTTGGAAGCCTCCGCCAGCGCCTCGGCCTTGGACAACTTGCCCGGCCCGGCGCCGACACCCGCAATCAAACCCAGCACCGCAAACGGCGCAGAGGTCGGATCTTCGATGATTTCCGCCACCGTCAACGCCCCATTTCCTGCTTCGCCGATGAGAAGCGCAATGCGAGCGATTGATGCTGCGCTGCCGATCAAGGGGCCGAGGGCCTCGCCGACAAAGGGGATGACCATGAAGACGATGGTGAGGATCTTGAAGATGAGGTCTTTCTTTGCTTGTTTCTCGGCATTTTCGCCGATCTCTTTGATGTCCTTCATGCTGCTGATGGCTTCCGCGAGTTGCAGCACGGGCATGGAGTAGGCGACTACTGCGTCAGTGGCCGAGGTATCGTTTGGCCCGTCGTCGTAGAAGGACAGGCCCACGCTGAGGTACGAGGAGAGGAGCGAGGTTCTTAGAGCTGTGACATTGCCCATGGAGGCTTCGATGAGCTTCTTAGGATTGCCGACGTGGATATCGTCATCGGAGCCCTTCTGAGGGTAGTTCAGCCTTTTGCGGAAGAGCTTTCGACAGGGCAAGCCGCCGACGGCGCCTGGCCGTATATCGCCAGGATCCGCACATATCCAATCTGAAGTTATATCACCAAAGGTCACCCACGACTCGTCGATGCCAGTCTCAGCTGCGAGCGCGTCAAAGAAGCCCTTCTTGTCGACGAGGTCGTAGCGGATGCTCCACCCCGCGCTTATGTCCCAGATGTGTGGCATGCCGAAGCAGGAATCTTTGGTTTCCTTGCCGCCGGTATATGCCCAGTAGCAGTCAAAGTACTTGAGGCCTTTGCCCTCGCCGAACTTCATGAAGTCGTCGATGCGCGGCTGGATTTGCTCCTTGGTCCACTTTTCGTACCAGCCGAACTTGTCGTCGTAGCCTTCTGAGTTGGTTTGGAACAAAGATAAACTGTCGAGGAGCTGCGAATATAGAATGTCCATGCAAAGAGATGAACACAACCTGGGTCTAGAGAGTCGGCTTTATCGGCGAGACCATCCAGGGTGCCAGGGTTCTGGTCGGGCAGACAGGTGAGCGTGTCATCGCCGGATTCATCATCGGCTCCATCCTCATCCTCGCTGTCATCGCCATTTTCATTGTTGGAGTAGTTTTGGAGATCAATGGCCCAGTCGCTGGAACCGCCAAAGTTGAGGCCCTTGATCCAATTGACTCGGTTGGCCTTGAGATCGCCGTCCATGTAGGCTGCCCAATCGACTGCTCCGGGATTACCGTACATAAGAATGTTAGAGTCGGAATCCTTGTCAATGTACGACTTGACGATGGAGTAGTTTCCAGGGTGGTTGATGATATCGTTAAGCTCAGCGTTGGAAATGTAGCCAGCAGTTGTGGTACAAGGCGCGGCATAGGCCGCAGACTGATATTTCGCTCCAGCATAGGTGCACAAGGGACCGGAGCAGGACTCGTCAGTCATGCGAAAACTTCTGGCATAGCTGGTGACGCCAATGACGACCTGTCGAGCTTCCACGCCGGCTTTGGTGATCATGACCATGGAATTGTGCGTCTCAGTCTTATTGACGTGTGATCGAAGACAGTTTCCAGCTTCGCAGCCAGGCATGGACGACTTGCTGTCGACGTCTGCATCCAGAAAGGCTCATAATTAGCATATCGTTCGATTCCGTTGTATCTCAGACGCGCGTTACTTACCCCATTGGCCGTGCAAGTCATAGGTCATGTAAATAAAGTAATCCACATATTTTGCCATCTCCTTGATCGGATACTGCTTCAAGTACCAATACGAAGACGGGATAGCAACGGAAATCGATTTCTCACTGGGCAGCTTGCTTCGCAGCAGCTGCAGGAAACCAAGGTAATTGTTTGCATCTTCAGGGCTTCCAGGCGGGACGTCCGGAATATCAGGTGCACCAGGATACTCCCAATCAAAGTCAAAGCCATCCAGGTTTTGGCTGCTCATGAAGTTGACCAGGTTATTCACAAATGTGTCGCGATACTCCTTCTTGGTGGCATCCCGAAAGCGCTGGAACGTGCCTGCATCTGTGGAAAATGCCCACCCACCGAAGGACAGAATCTTTTTAAATCCGCTCGTCTTCATGAATTTGCTGAACTCGTAATAGACATCTGGGATATCTATATCGAAGTTGGACGTGACCGTGCCAAATGCAAAGTGGATATGCGTGTACTTGTCGGCCGGGATCTCGCTGGCACTCATTCGCAGACACGCCCTCAGCTGGTCAAATGCCTCGAAGTAGCCGATAGTTCTCAATTGGTCAGGCGCTCTGTCGTTGTTGACAATATCCATTCCACAGTTGGAGATACAACCGTTGGTTCCTGGTTTTGCGGTCCCGGGAGCGCCAGTATCTGCGGGTGACTTCGTACAGAAGTCGACTGTTGTTCCACAAAATCCCCAGACATCACAACATGCATTCAGTGGACATGGGTTAAGATCGGCAAGTGCTGTTCCGTTGGAAGGCTTCTCGGTACCCGGTACCTGTGGGCCGCAGGTGGCTCCCTGGACCGGCGAGGGCATAGGAGGTGTTCCCTTGCTGAGGCAAATGAGTTGGCCGCTCTGCAAGTGCGCGCAGCCAGCCCAGCCCCAGGTGTTTTTGTTGAAGTCTTCAAGGTCTTGCTGTTCCAGGTAGTGCGCTTGTGCCACGTCGGAGCATCCATCGTTGTCATTGACTTTATATGTGTTGCAAGTGCCATCGGGCTGGGGCTGAGGGCGAAAGTCTGGCATGGTGCCTGCGTTGCAGCAAACGTGCTGTTTGGGTTTCAGGGTCGAGCACAGGTCCTTTTGCGGGTTGTACTTGGACAGGTCATCTCCAGAGATGCCACAGCGGCTGGCCAACGAGGCGCAGCTGTCGCCTCCATGAACCTCTTCTGTTCTGCACTCCCCCCTTGGGAGAAGCTCTCGTGGTTCTCCTCTGGTTGTTATATTGCCATAGGAGACTTTAGTAGTATTACTAGTAATGACCTTGAAGCTTGTATCCACAGTAGACACGAGAACATCCATGCTGACGGAGGTAGTGGCAATGGTCCCGTCAAGGCAGAGACCATTGTTCCAGGCCTTGATAGCATCTTGAGCCGCTGCCAGATCAACAAAGCCAGCAGAAACCACCCCAACAGTCATGGCCGCGCCGGCAGGCTGGCAGATCTGCAGAGCAGAAGTTTGCCGTTCCGGAAAAGAGTCAAGGAAATCTCTCGCAGCATGTTTAGTGATCTGTGCGCCGGAGTATAAGCCCACGACAGCAGACCTGTGTTTGGCAAACAAGATGGTGGCGCCGCACTCGGCGCTCTTGTCCACGAACTGGGCAAGTTGACGAGTAGCCTCGGCTACATGAGCAGACTGCGGAGCAGCGCCGGACGCCCTGGTAAGCGTTGAAGGGCCAGCCTGGGGAGTGAACGTGGTCTTCACGGCCTTAGCGCCGCAGCTTTCAGCGACGATGAGATTGTGTTGACTTGGCTGCTGAGGCACATCGGGGGAGGCGGCAGCCTCGTACGTCTGGCCTTGGCTAGCCACACAGGCGCGGATAGTGAGGATGGTGTTTGGATCGGCGACAGAGTTATGGATATTCAAGCCAAAGAGAACAGTTTGATCACAGCTCTCGAGATTGCGAAGATGGTGAATGTTGGTCCAGTTGGCTGGACTGGGACCGGCATCAGCACACAGACTGGGACAGTTGTCAGCATACTGGCCATTGTAGCTCTCTGTGACAGCAAAGGCGAAGTCGAGCAGAGAGGCAAGAAAGACAAAAGTGAGCCTCATCCTGTTCTCTGAGCTAGTGCTAGAAGGGAATGAGGGGGCTTGCGATGAAGATACAGAGTTCTTGGGCGGATTTGTGGTCCATATAATGTACTACTGTTGCTCATTGTGTAAGCCGGCGATATCGACTCAACCCATAGGGCCATTCTACTAGCCTCAGCCCATTTCTTTTGGGTCGTTAAAACTACTTGCAAGCCTCGTCAAGGGTTCTCGCTTTGCCCCTGAGAGATGCATGACACTAAGGAGAGACAAACCTCAAGTCTGGTCTGGCCGCAGATTGCTAATCTATACGAAGGCCCTCACATGCAAGTAACTCTAGCGAATCAAGAATACAATTGTTATTATATTCCTTTCCCTTGATTGCCCTAGAGTATCCGGAGCGTTTACCCCTCAATAAAACTAGTCTAGGGAGCAATGTTATCAACATGTCTCTACATGTAACCTTGTGGCTGGCGCGTGGCACACCCTAGAGCCTTACTAGTGTTAGTTAGCAACGGACTTCCGAACATTTCCGGGGCTAAATTCAGATAGAGACCTCCTGGATAGGTGCATGCAATCGTCTTTGTATACCACAATGAAACCAATTTATTTTGACTGCAGCTTGTGTAAAAGGGAAAGAGGAAAGGTATTGCGTCTCAAAGTCTGAACCAAGTTGCCACCCTTCCTTTTCTTCTCCAGAATACGCATCGTGGAAAGCTTTGTCTTTATTGTCACTAGTACATCCCGTTTACTCTTCTGTTATTTTCCTGGTGATTGATTTATTCGCCTGACAATTCCCCCTTCTACAGAGTCATTATGGTCCTTGCTACAATTGCCGCCGCGCTCAATTCACCAGTCTATATAGACTATAATGAATTATTCATAAACAGCAGCAACATTCTCGTGGTCCCCTATGAAAATGTTACTGCCGCTTTCAAGACGCCTGTCTCTATCTACTCCACAGCTGTAGATGGCTTCGACTGGACACAGCCGTACCCAGGCTCCCGCAAAGATGGACACACGGCATACCTGGAGATCTCCCAGGAGATGCCATTGTCTGAGTCTATCGTGCAAAATTCAACCACGGTCCTGTCGTCCTTGACGTTTGGTATTCCCGACAGCATGAGCTCCGGGGGTCAGCCACTGGCCATGGATCCCTCATGGTACATCTGTCGCCACGTCTTCATCTCTACCAAGCCTGAGGCGAAGCTGGCCGTCGACAGTGGCAGCAAGTGCGAATTTCTGTCCCGCACATGTCAGGACGATCTCAGGACCAGCCTGACCCAAGATTGGGGGAAAGCAGCCAACGGCACCATGTGCTCGGCGCTTGGCTTCGACCCCATACCGCCGAGCTGTCAGGACTCGTTTGGCTTCGCTCGCCAGGATGTCATGGACTTTGACGCCGCGTTCCTCGCAAATACTACCCTGGCCCCGGCACAGACGAGCAAAGAGCAGCAGCAGTACAGCTGGCGCCTTGGTACCGGATACCACCACCCTGGCGATGCTCGCGCCTACGACTTGGCCGCCAACCGGACGTACCTCGTCGCTACCGTTTGGGGCTACAGCGAGAGTGCAAAGACCATTCAAGTTCCCGAGGTGTCATTTGGCTGCCTCTCATCTGGCGCAAGCGACGTCCCACCACCTTCATCCACCACGACCGCGACTACGGCATCGACATCTTCATCGGCCGCGGGTCCAACGCTAAGACCGGCCTGGATAGCTACAACGGGTGCTATGCTAGCATCGGCAACGGAGTTGCCCTACTCGGCCGCGCTGACAACAATTGAAATGGGCTCGCGGCTATTCAGGTTGCGGACTTCAAGGCGGGACGGAAGCATCCCTTGATAGCTCGAACAAGCGGAGAGTCTATTTCTGTCTACGTGGGTGGCTTGAACACGCCCCAGATGGTGGTCTGGGACGTGAAGTGTAGTGCTGGGTTGGCATTCGGGCTTTTGGCAGGAGCATGTCTGTTAATAATGTGTGGATTTACACCACGTGAGTTAGATAATACAGTAAAGTTTAACATGGAGTGCTTTTTGGGGTATATAGTGGTATTGTAATAGTTTCAAGTGAAGGTGTTTTATGGTCTATGAAGCTCATCCTCTTTGACTGTGTTAATCTCATCCCTAATGATACTTTCCAGCTCCCACCTCGGCTAACAGAGCCGAGATAGTACGAGAGGTACTTTTGTGGTGCCTTGATATTGCCGCGGCAAATCTCCACTGGGCCGATAGACTATACTAGGCGATCTCGCTTAAGCATTTGTCCAATTTCGAACAGCCGCCAGGGTCTGGACAGTCCCAGGTTTTAGCGTATTATTCATGTCTACATTCTCCAATGCCCGAGGACAACTTTTAGAAGGAAGGAAACTAGTAACCGATTAGTGCAATGTCCACGGATGTAACCGACCCCTCAGTGGCTGCAAGCCATACAAGCGCTAGTCTTGACTACCGCCAAGGCTAGCCCTAGTATAGAGATCCGTTCAATATCGAGTGGTGGGTCGTACGGTCGATGCAGTAGTAGTATTATTTAGTATTATTTAGTATTATTTAGTATTATTTAGTGCGTTGATGCACGTTTAATATTGGCCGATGTGTTAGGTCAGGTAGCATCCGAGGTACAGCGATATCTGGACTGTATTCTGCGCGCAATTAATCTATCTTATCAGAACCACTATACAACCCCCTGCTAGATGCATAAAGCTTGAGGCGAAACAAACAAGCCCCCCCCAAAATTGCTTCGCATGGCCTCGCTCGGAGATTGCAAACCCACACACAGGGATCCTGTTGTCCAATCGGTGAGTGCTTATAGATTACAAGACCATGTTGTGTAGGTCCATTGTTCCGAAGTCACCAAGTCTCGCACATGGTAGAATCTAGCCCCTGGAGTGAGTAGGGAAAGTAGAGAGTGTCAAAGACTCAGGGAATGAGAGGATTCCCACCCCCTTTTCCTGTGCCCTTGTCATTTCTCCTGCCGGCGCATGACTCGCAGCTCGTAAATCACTTGCACTCGTCGTTATAGAAGGGCTCACATCTTGGTCGGAAGATCTCATTCACACTGGGCTGTCGTTTTGTGTACCCCCTTCTTTGACATATTGCTTCCTTTTGTATTTTGTTCTTTCTCGAATAGAAATCAGAAATCATGCTTCTACTTCTGTGTATGACCGTCTTTCTCGCGGCGGGTGCTACGGCCAACAAAGTCGCCGGCAAATTCCAAGCCCTCTTCTTCTACCAGCTCTACAGACTGGAAGTAGACGCCCACGGCCTCGACGATTCGCGTATGGCACCTGGCTGCGCCAAAAACGGTGTCGTCTGCAACATGGAGGCCTTCATCAACGAAATCTGCAAGGTCACCAGGAAGCCGGAGAAAGACGCCAGCGGCAACATCATCAGGGGCCCCAAGGGCCAACCAATTCTCATCAAGGACCCTGACTTTGACAAGGTCAACTGGGCGCTCATTGGTGAGGGTGCGGACCTCGAAGTAATCAGCACTGAGTTTGACAAGGCTGGCTTCAAGGGCGACATGAACAATGCGAAGATTTTCAAGGATTGGAAGCAGAAAAATAGTTTTGAAACTGTTATGAGCGAGGCAGAGGATATTGCCATGAAGGCAATCGCCAAGCTCAAGGCCGATGGCAGGGAGCCTGCTGATGACCGTTTCAACAAAATGACAGCTGCGCTGAAGACCCATGCTGACGCCCGACGCTACGACCAGGCACAGAGAATCAGTGCAGAGTTCGCGAAGTTCATGAAGGGCAAGGGTTTCAGCGCCGCATACACAGATCCCATCGAGCGGCCACCAGTGCCGGGTTATAAGAAGATTGATGCGGATCAGACCATCAGTGATAACGAGGGCAGGGTGGGCTTTGACAAAATAGAGCAGGAGGTGAGAGACTATGTCACCAACCAAAATAGCGGGAAGGAGTCACGGAGCCATGTTGAGGCTATTTTCAGGGCGCAGGGTATGCATGATCACCTTGCCGAGGCATGTAGAGCAGCATGATATGCTATTTGGTTATATACAAGATATCACTCTATTGGTATAGGCACCGAATCGATTCTTTTACCAGTAAGTTTTAGGTGGTGGATATCTATAACACTCATTGGTACAATATCGCACCATAATCCGCGGTCGCAGCTTGGGCAGACTCTGTCGAGCTTCTTTGACCCACGGATGATTTTCATCCGGCGAATACCGATGTAAGTCGATATCTTCTGGCTGCGACAGGTAAGGTATCCAAGCAGAACCCGGGTTCGTCCCAAGACTGTCGAGGTTGCCCCTTCGTGCGTAGTCCCACAATGACGCCAGAAAGATCCATTCAGCTTCTCTTTTCCATTTCTCGACAGCCGCTCGGAATCGAGGACTCGTAAGTAATTCAAACAGTGTTTGCACAGCCGGTTCATTTTCCAATGCGTGCTCCCTGAAGACGGCTTGGAATTTCCTCAACCGAGCTTCATCGTCAACGTCAACCATTTGAACGGGCGCATCGCCTAACAGTCCAAACAGGCCCGACCCCAGAGCCACTTCCCTGGTGATATGCAGAGAAACTGCCACCATGGCCACGTCGAGCCTCGGTGCAAATTCTGCGAAACTTGCAATATCCCTTGCATCTTCATCGCCTAGAGGGTCACACATGCCCGCATGACGAGAGGACCGCACGCAGATGATTTCATTGTCATCATCGTCAGCAGTGCCATTCAAAAGCCCTTCCAAGTCAAAATAGTGAATCATCTCGGCCACGATGGAAGGCTGCATCCCAAGCTCGTATGCCTGCCATAAGAACCAGCCTATTGGACTGGTAAGTTCGGTAAGCGGTCCTAAGACATCGTAGCTCATTCGCGTCCAGTTGAGATGCAGCACGTCCCGACGCGGCTGCACCCAGATCGACTCTAGGCTGGTTGTTGCCTGTCCTTGCGTATAGCGGCCCTGTTCAAAGGCGACCAGCCGAGACTCGCTGTTGACAAATGCGATGACCGGCAGCCGAGTGTTTTTGTGCGTTGTATGCTCAGGAAAGCAGCTTTGACGGGATTCCTCGGCGTCTAGAAGAAAGGCGGGGATGTCTAATTCTGCTATGCGACACGGTAGGCAGTGTTGCCAGATAAGACGGCGTAGTTCAGGGGGCAGCTGCATAAAGTAGTGGAATGAGCCCTTGGACATTTTAAAGGCTTAGTAAATAGTGACTATCATATCGGGAGAGTGTACAGAGGAATAAATAAATGGAAGACAAAAGAGGCGGCTGCAGATTAAATAGTCAAAGCCCGTTCGGCCCTAACGGCCGGGCCGGTGCTAGCTTGTCCGTCCCCAGTTCCTTGTGCTCCCCCCTAAGGGCCATTCTAGTAGTAGTACAGCCAAGGGTCGCCAGTATACTAGCCTACGCTCCTGCCTTACCCTGTACTCCGGGATGAGTCACTGAGCAAAAGGTGGCGTTCATCTACTAGTAGCCCCCTTCTGGAAACGGAAAGTCGTATATTTTCCTCAGACAAATAATCCAACATTCTTTGTCATTCTCTTTGGTAGCCTTGATCTTGGTTGGATTGGCGGTATACCGTCTCTCCAGAAATCTTGACTCTGCTTTCATTGATTCGTATATATCGGTGCCGAGTAGGGTCGGGTGAAATGCTTCTCATTGAATTGAGTCGGCGAGATCCCGCCCGCGAGAGTGCCATGTGAATCCAGTTCGACAGTAGAGTGATATAGTCAGAAAATGCCCCCTGCTCATAATTTGGCAGGAAGGATTGACATCTGGAGACTTTCCGTCGCCTCCCGTCTCATCTCCGTAACGATCTGTGCTGCTGGCATCACAGCTCGTATAAGCCCTACCCCGGTTCCTGCATAGGTGGTCATACGGCCTTGCGGCCCCCAACCATTATCACCCTTGAGCTTCTCCATCTCATACAAACGTTTATTCTCCTCCTCCGTGACCTTCTGGTTCACAATGTCCTCGTACGATCGATTGATCAGACCGCGTCCATCATACTTCGTTGGCCAGCCATAGATCCCTCGGACTCTATCATACACAGTTGACCGTACCGTATTCACACCACCGTCCGAGGCCCGGAGAATCTCACTTTGATAGCCTTTCGCGATCTGTGCCTCGGGGGAGGCCAGAAATCGAGTCCCCATAGCACATCCGTCTGCACCCAGAACCATCGCGGCGGCCAACCCCCTACCGTCCGTGATACCACCTGCGGCAAGAACAAACGGTTTCCCGATTTCCTGGGCTTGACTCGGGTCTCTTGACTTCAATTGATCCAGGACTTCGGGAAGAAGAGTGACAATACTAGCAGACCGAGCAAATCCATGGCCACCGGCATCACATCCTTGGACTATAAGAACATCCGGCATCAATTTCTCGGTATATTCTATTGCATCCTCTAAGCAACAAAGTTGCACCCAGATCTTGACGTCGTAAGAGACTTCGGATCGAATGGCTCGGACCCAAGGTACAAGGTCGTCCACACCGGTCTTCGGTGCAAAGAGCCAAACTGCGCAAGGGCGGTACTTCTGGATCAAGGGCAGTGCAGCCTCCAGGGATGCGCCCCAGTTTAAGAAGCCCATCCCGACGGGGAGGACAGGAGGCTCGCCTGGATTCTGTTGAAGCTGGGACTGTTGAAAAGAGGCCTTGTTGACGAGATCTTGTGCTTGAATGAGCTGTTCTTCCAGGTTCGAGAGATCATATCCACCGGCAATGAAGCCAATTCCCCGGGCGGAGGACACCGCGACTGCGAGCTTTGCAGTCGCGATGTTGAGCATGGGCGCTGACGCAATGATCGGACCTGCGATCCATGGATAATCCTTTTCTAGACGAGAGAATTGCGCAACTGTCATTATGGTCGACTTTGCCTTCGTGTATTCCTGTTGAGAGCATCCATCTGCCTTGTCAGAAAGAGGTATATATATTCCTGTGGTATAACCTAGGCGACTGGAAGAATACCCGAGGTTCAAGAGAAATGATTGTAACAAACCAGTAGGCAATGAGATAGGAACAAGAACCCCAGAAAGCGCTACCATGTAAGGGGACGTGGCGCAGTCACGCGGCTGGAGAGGGCACAAAGCGTCAAGCATGCCCTATCTCGATGCTCGCTCCTCCTGCAGGCAGGGATCATGGCTGCAGCGAGGTGGGGATAATGAGTAACCAACATATCCACTGAGTGTTCCGATTACTACTCTAACCCTGTTGGTATGTGACCCATTGCATGGTTTATCTACCATCGCTTTGTTATCATGCCTTAGTCCATTTCGCGAAAGGCACTAATGACTGGTCAGGTATCTATAGATAGGATCAAGATACAACGATTACAAATTGTGGTTTCCTGGTAGGACATCGTGCAGGATGGTCGGTGGATCCCCGAGCCAGGTCGATACTTGGACGCTCTTTCAAATGTTGTGTACGGTTTGCTCTCTCCACATTTCTCTGCCGTGTCGTCCGCGAGGAAGCCCTAGACAAAGGTTATATTTTTGAGTTTCATATAACCCTATCTGAAGCTCCGCAATATCCGTACGGGCCTTGAACTTAGATTATGTACAGGAACTGGTTTCTGCTCAGAGAACAAAGAAGGGATCCAGGTTGGCCAGCCACGCAGGTAGCTGTACTCATTGTACAAGGGAATCATTATACTAGACCTTGTTTAGAAGTTCTCGGATTGACCACGTCATTACACAAGTATCCCGCCATCCCCGATCGTCGGTCGAGAATTCAGAAGTAATAGTACTCGTTCAGGGAACTAAACAGGAATCCATTTATACATTGACGTAATGGTGGTGTCCTAGTCCAGGGTGCTGCGCCTCTAGTGCCAGTTGTCCATGCGGGCGAACTGGGGCCTATGTCGGTATCATATGTCGTCCAAACTAGCGTCATAGGCCACTGACGTGCTTGAATGGGGCTATGAAAGCCCATGCTCCTTTGACCTTTTTGTCTAGTCAGCTTGTGGGCTTGTTCTTTTCGATCTGGTCCTAACAACCTTGTACCCCACGTCGAGGCGCACCTTGGGTGCTACTACTAGTAGTAGGGCAAAGCTCGATCGATATCGAGTAGGGCGTTTTTGTCAACAGAAGATGCAATTCCAAACTCCGAGAAACCATGGATTTGGAGGACGATGATAAGTTGCTTGGAGCGTCTATGGCAGCTTTCCGGCCCGCAAAACGTAGCGATACGTCGCATTTGTGGAGGAACCATGTCCTTTCTATGAACATTGGGCTTTTTTGCGGTTTACCCTACCTTCCGAGGGATTACTCTGTTAAACACACCTCATGTCTTTACAACCCATGAATGTTTATCCCAATGCGACCCTGTGGACAATCGCGATTGAAGCGCAACGGATAGGATGCGGCTGTCTATAGAAACGATATAGACTAGATTAACACTGTCCCCTGTAATAAATTTGCCTCTCTAAATTGATTATCTGTTCTGCATATGTTGTACATGCTAGGGTCTACGCTTATGAAATGAGTTGAAAAGACTTAAACCTACTGTTACGGGTATCCTTCGTTTAAATTATCAAGCATAATGAAAGTTGAAGGAGTAGACGGAGATAACTGTTTCTTAAGGACCTGCAAGGATTCACCAAATATTCTAATCTAATACGATTGCTTCAAGAACCAAGCATGGTGTATTGTCTCACCACAGCGCCTCGAATGTCGAGAGAAAGCCATGTCGCTAGTTCCTGACACAGCACAGAAAATCATTTTGAGGGTTTCTGGATCAAGATCGCCTCCGCCTGAGAGAGTTCACATCGAACAATACCACCACTATTCACAATGCCCTGCTCGATCCTTTCCTGACCTACCAAGTCTCCCGTCGTTGAATCAATGCCGACTCCCGACACGCTCACCCCACTTTTTGCGTTGGTTCCTGGACCCTGCAATCTGATAATGTCTATCTTTGTTCCTGGTCTCCACGACGTATGCACTTCCACGGTTCGTCGCGGTCGGTCCCCTGGGGACGCAAATGTGGAGTCTGTCGCGGTCAAGGTGGAGGGGTTATGGGCCCCGACTGTCGAATTCCACACGCCCAAATCGATGAAAACAAGTTTCGCAAGGCTGGCCTGGGCGTTATCGCTGAAGATCGCATATCCGCTAAAGTCCGACGCATTTGCCGCGGGCAACGCAGTGATCTTCCACGAGTCCGCCTCCCTGCCGGAGATGACATGCGCGAGGAAGATGTGCGAGAAGAAGTTGGCTCGGACACCTGCAGTGAGGTTCTCGCCCTTATACTCATAGGGCAGCGGCGTGAATGCGGAATATTCGCTCTGGTGACCGAGGTGGAAGTAGGTTTGCTCGAGGCCAATTGTCGCCGCCGTTAACACATAATCGGTGGCCCAGAGGGCAGCTCCAAATGTGTCGCTGATCCCGCTCTTCCCACTGCATGAGGCCGAGTTGGTTTCACCCAGAACTAATCTGCTCCCTGCAGCTCTGGCAGCTGCATCTTGAGGAATATACTGCGAGAGGTTCCTCCAGATAACGTTGTGGTCTGAGAGCAAGTTCAAGGAAAGACGCGCGTAACGCACAGCATCGCAAGTCGATTGGGGGTAGAGGTGCACCGCGTAGCTCTCAATGATCTTAGGGTCGACCAATCCCGCACGGGTTACATTAACGATGTCAAAATCGTCTATCTCATCATGTTGATCGGGTACCATGGGAGGGTCGGCAAAAACGGCCGCTTGGAAGAGTGGTTTGTGAGTAGCATTCTTGTAGAACTGGGAGGACAGGATTTGGCTTGTCAGCTGGCGCCACTGCTTCGTATATTCCTTGGTGTCCCAGCCCGCCCCCCGCCAGCCTTTGTTGATATAGTGATCTATCTCATTCCCCAGCTCAAAGTGTGATAGGGAGTCTCCCAGCGCCATCATCGCGGCTTTGGCTTCCTCCATGGCGTTAATCCACGAATCTGTCTCATTGCGGAGATTCAACGTGTATAGAATGTCAGTTCCTTGTGGGAAATATTCTTTCCACCCATTGAACCAATCTTGTCGAATGCGCAACTCCTCCACAGTGGTGTCGTTCGGCAGCGCTTCCGATGGCACTCCCAATGTCGGATCGAACAATGTCTGGTCGGCAATATTGCCTCCAACACTAATTGGTGCGGATACTCCAGCGATCTCTGCGACGTGTCTCAACAAATTCGACGCCAGTTGAGTTTCGAGGTACGGGGCAAGCGAGACAGGCTCAATTGAATAACCATACAAATCACGCCGCAGGACCCTAGCCGAGCTGTTCAAGGGTATATGAACGGTGGATACAGAAGACGCAATCGCGAGATTGCCAAAGAGAAGGAGGCATGGCAGCCAGGATGACATTTTGGGTATATTGAACAGGGTCATCAACTTGCAGGGCTCATGTTCGGAGAAGAGCTGAGGCACAGCAAGATTTATTTAGATTACTAGAGTGGGGTAGAGTCAATTGGGTGATTTCATAGAATGCGTTCAATCAAGCAACTTAATCTAATTACCAGAAAGATCGGCGCAGGATGTCAGCGTCAGCACGGTGTTATTCCGGTGGGGGAGTGTTCTCACCGACTGCACTCCATGGTCCCTAGCCAGGACAAACCGGAACTAACATAACTCGGAAAATTAGAGTTGCCCTTCAAAGGCCGAAGCCGACATAATATGAAGATCGCAGTAAAGTATTATAGAAGCAAGCCGGGACGGCGTCTCATGGAGGCAGGTGTTTACTCCACCGGACTCGGTCTGGTCTGTTTCCCCACATTATAGCTCCGGAGGGGTGTTTAGACTCGCCCACTCATGCATTCGCGTAAATCCGTCATACTTTCGAGTCACGCTAAGAATTTCAGGACGCGGGGAAATGACGGTTTTGAGGATGGTTGGTGCTACAGCTGGGCCTATCGAGCTATCTCAGTGTCCTATCCTTTTGCCGTGTCGCCAGAGTCAGAGCGCCGGAAAATTTATCATCGCTTCTCTCACATATGTGTGACCTTCTATATAGCAGATTGGGGACTGTATCAGAAAGTATCGGCTTTCAATTTATCAGATAGTAGATTGGCGTATAGTAGAAGTACTTCTCACTACCGAGCCTACTTGTAGGAAGGACTGCATGTCATTCGGTCGCTCGGGCAGTAGTATTTGAGTGTATCATCTAATTGTTCCACATGGTCCTTTGAAATGATTGCTGCTCGGTAAAACCGGAGAACCCATGCGGCACCATACCCGATTATCCCAGGGTCGCCTGCACCATGGGTATCAAGCCGTTGGTGACTGCATCGGTCGACCGCCAATCCGACCAAGAATGATCAAGGAGTCCTACATGCTTGGTTAGCTACCAGTTTGATTTTAGATCGGTTTGTAGAATGGCTCACCCCATTGCTCATCATCATCCTGAATCCCTTTCCGAATATAATAGCTTCCCGCAATCACCCACACCATCCATCCGGTCTGTAGACTGGGCAGCCATTCCCTCAGACAGGACGCATACACATCCGTATATGTGGTGTTGTCCTGTGGGAAACCGAACTCTGTCATCTGAACCGGCATGATATTCACAATGCTCGCGTTCTGGGCATCAAGGGCATTGAAACCGGCATTCCATAAACTAGACTTGAGGTTCTCACAGCTTGTCGCGGTGCGCTCATAGTTATGCAGCTCGAGCACAATCTTATTAGCGTATTCGAAGTCGTCCTTATGAAACGCAGTGCCGTTCCCAAGATCCGCACCGGTGGGTATGGGGGTGAGTCTCGTGTCATAGTCAAGACCTGAAAAATAAATCAAGAGATTAGGATTGGCCGCATGGATCTGGTTTGCATTCTCCACCATATGGCGGTACCAGTACTGCCAATTGTAGGTCCTGTTGACTAAGGCCGGATTATCCTCGGCTTTCCGTAGTTCATTTCGCATCCCGACACTTTTGACAGCGGGTAGAGATTTGACCTGAATGATAATGTCAGTAAGTATATGGAGGCTAGTGCTCTGGGGGTTTAGATACATGTTCAGCCATGTACTGCCACCCGCGGTGCCATTTCGCCACATCGAAATACTTGTCTCCAAACCAGGTGTTGCCGTCGGTCCCTGAACAACACCACATGGCTTTAGAAATGTGGTTGTCCAAGTGCACATAGACCCCTTGCCGGTGTGATTCGTTTGCGAGTGCGTCAAACACCTGCGAAACTTTCGATTAGTCGTGAAACAAGCGGCGCCTTATGCAATACCTACTTCTAACCTCGTGGTATTGGCACCAAATTGCGGATTGTGCTGCACAATGTTGCTAAATACTTCCGTTCCATTCTTCTCCCCCAGGGCCTTTACGAGTGATTCTTTGATAGATACATCCCGTCCTGTCTCCAAGATATCATCGATCATCTCGATGGCAAACGTGAGGCGGATGACGTTCATCCCCAGTGTTTTGATTTTGCCGATGATATTCGCAATGGACTGATACTGCAGGCCTTCTGGTACCATGGCTTCTGAAGCACCTGGCCAGTTGACACCGGCGAAAGTCACATTCTGTCCAGTAGCATCGACGATCCAACGCCCAGAAGTTGAAAGGGGGCCTGGGGTAACTGCAGAGGCAATTTGGGGAACTGCCATCCCGATCAATATGGGTAGGACGTTGAAATACATTTCGGTGAGCATGTATTGCGGCGAAGAAAAAGACGTTTGTGATGGCTTGAAGCGCCTCTTATATCATTCTTTATTCGAAAGCCTGTCTCCAGCATGGATTGGCTTGTATGTACTATGTAAGCGCTACGCACAGTCATGCATGCTTTGGTCACATACATACGTGGAGTGCCAGAGGTTGAAGCAGTCCATTGGATCAAGACCGTGGACGCTGAGAGAAATAACCGGCCTCCCAGCCGGAAATTATCCGATCATTTAATCGGAGCGTACTGACGATCACCTCCCGTAGGAGAAATGATGGTGAAATGCAACACACATCATCAACATCTGCAACCGTTAATTGCTAACTTTCATGGAACTGGATCTGCATGAATACCTACTTCCAGTGGCTGAAAAACGCCAAGTGCGAGATCAGCGACAAATATCCGCGGAGGAACATGGATAAAAAATAGCACGCAAATTGTCGGGGTAGGTTTTGCTAATGCAAGATGATGTAAAACAAAGCACCACCCACTGCGGGGCCATCTCACGATCCAGTCTCAGACATAAACAACATCGAGGTGGCTGTACTTGTACCGCATCGGACATGGCCCATTGTGGATCACTTCTGTGTCCTCTGGATACCACCGCACGAGCAATCTTTGCTGCATTCAGTGACTGAAGTCAGGTTCACATATTATGAACCTTGTCAGTACAACTCAGTTGACATAGCCTTTGCTGGACGATCGAATAGGACAGAAACATGGCTCAAAGCAGGAAGAAGAAGATGAGAGCTCAGAGCTGAGTGAACGAAAGTGGTGGATCAGTCATAAGAATTCATCTGTAGCATTAATGCAATCATGACTAATTATGCATCACATGACCCACGTCATGTCGCGGGTTCTTTCCTCAGGCAGCCAGCTCTTATCATGATCTTCTTATCGTTACTTGCAGAATCCAACAAACATCATCGAGAATGACAATGCCTCTTCAGCCCCTGTCGTGCATTCATTGCCGGGAGAAAAAGGTATCTGACATTAATGTTTTCCTTTCCTGGGACACAAACTAACAGACCCGGAGCGCAAATGCTCACGAGAGACTCCCACCTGTAGTCGATGTCACCAGTTCAAGCTCGACTGTGCGTATCCTTCCAGGTGGCGCGGACGACGAATAGAATGGCCTGCTCCAGGAAGCCCAGGCAACTCAAATGCCATATCGATCACTGCAAACGGGTACCTTACCTCTAAAGCAAATGGACTGCAATTATTGGATGCCTACTTTGCGCTCTTTATCCCATCGACCTTCGTCTGTCACCCTTTGCGGCTGAAGGCTCGGTATAATGAAGATAGCCTTCCGAGCTGTGTGCGTGACTCTGTTTTTTCCATTGCAGCTCTATTACGATCTGCCACTATGACAGGTCTAGCTAGCGACACCCGATCCACGTCAGAAGCAACACGTCCAGGAGAGACCTGGGCGCAACAAGCTAGCACAAATGTTGTCAACCAGATCAATCGGCCATCGTCGGATGTCCTTCATACCCTCTTTAACCTGATGGCTTACTGGTGCGCAGTGGGTAAAACCCAAAAGTGCAGGGAACATGCCAGTGAGCAACGCGTCTAGAAGTATCTACCCAACAGAGCTGTGTCGACTGATCGGTTGAACAGAAATGGCATTGGCGACCATTCGGCAACTGAAGATGCAAGGGCTGGCATCCTCAGTCAATAGATCCGGTCATCTCGAGCGCGCTTCCTTTTTCGTGGGTATTATCGGTCAATGCATCACGGACGACAGTGAATGGGTAGCTCCGAGCACTCCATTCGCCTTAACCTGCTCGCTTCCGTCCTCCGAAATCGATCTTCATAGTCCTATCAGGGGACATATACTGAAATTCATTCAGCAGTGGTATTTTGCGTACATTCAAAAAGAGAAAAGACCGAATCACTGAGCTCATATGCCGCTAGGATTAAAATACGTTACTTTGTTCGCGGTTTGCACGCGGATACGGACCCAGGTATGCAATGGAGGACGCTGTTCAACTTAGACGTCGAAACGAGAAGATTGTACGAGTCCCTCCCACAGAGTTTGCGTGATTTCAATGGTCAGCGATGTCTTGAAGCAGACTTTCGTGAGAGTCTGGGACTACAGACTCTTTACCATATGTGCCGGTTCGTTCCCCATATAGCCATGGCTCGATTGTTCCAAAAGCAGAAGTCGCCTGCAGAGGAGTATGTACAATTATGCGCGCAGATTACAATACGACATATAAACCAGGTTTCGGATGTTATCATGAACTCCATTACATCAGGACTGGCCTCGTTTCTAACTCTGCCACCATTCGTTGCATACTGCTCTTTCACCTCCGTTTCAGTATACTTGAGCTATCTCAATTACTGTGGTAAAAGTTGGAATGATGCCAATGACCCCACCGTTTCCCTCTTAAGAGGGAGACTCCTGTCTAATCTGTACTTCCTCAATAAGGCCCGATGCATTTGGACTCCTGTAAGGGTTATGGTATGTGTTCTAGCCCGCATGCGGTCCTGCATGTGAACATCGACTGACATCTCGATTGGATATAGTGGGAGGCAATACAGATGGATATGGCTGCTCTGGGCATCTCAAGCGCTGATGTTGAGGCCTATGGTAGATCTCCAATAAATATGTCCCCCCTTTCCGATAGAGTGAACCAGAGATCACACAACTCACCCCTGGCATATGCTTTTGAGCCTCAGGTGGAAACCGAAATGATATTCAGTTTTGCACATATTGTTGACTATGTTAAGCTGGCCGATCCTGTATATATCATAATCGGCATTCTCCGCTTATTTCAAGTCGGCAGCCAATACAGCGTGATGCCACCTTCCAGCAGGAATAGCCAAGGCACCAGGCAGACACAAGGGTTCGCTGGTAATGCTCAGCATACCGTACAAATGTTTCCTAGCAATCCATCCTACCTACCTTCCTCTCGTCCTCATCGGTCTCTTCCCTCTCAATCCGAACAACGAACTGCGGATCCCACAGCGCCCGAGTGCGTTTTGCAATCTTCAATGAACAGACACGACACTGCGGACCCAGTATATCCTAGCACGCAATTAGGTGGCGCGGGAGAGAGTCCAGCCTTACCTTTGGGAATGTTACAGATGATGTGGCTTGCCGACGAAGATCTTTCGTGCCTGTGAATCCGGGTTCTTCACACTCCCTACTACTTTATTCATTATGCGTCTGAGAGTCTTTACTCTGGATGCTTTATTGAAAGTTATCCTAAAGTTCATTTCAGGATATCATAGGAAATGCGAAGGTCAGGCGAGGGTAATGGTCCTCTGACTTTACGTGTTGCTATACACTGTCCTTTCAACTCAACCACGCTCTCGTCGAGGGACGGCTGGTCCTCGGAGGAAGGGATGCCGACAGATGAGGATAGGATTAGCTGGATTCTCTAACAGCATCCAGGGGCAAACTTTGCAAGAGCAGGCCCTGCGGCAATACCACCGTCTTTAGGAGAGTCGCCCATTTTCCAGTGGGGCTTCCCCGTCGCACATACTGCAGCGCATCACCAAGTTGGCATTATTCCACGAGCGTGGAAATTAATTCAGAGTCAGGTTTCCAAAATGCATAAATTGGAGTCTAGCCCTTTTGTGAGATCAAGTCTAGCTTCCATGCAGTGAAAGGACCCATCTACTTGAGAATGACGGATGGCTGCCAATATCCGAGGAATCGCAGTGTTTCCATGCACCTACTGTGGGTAAACGACATCACATCTAGCGGTGTAAAGCTTGACAGCGCCATTGTGGCGATGGAGATTTCAGCATCGCCAACAGTACGGACACAAACCCGCAATTATGGCCGGTCTTAGGCGTTGGTCGCGCCAACCCGTGGGCGTGCCCTTGATCAGATTGTCACCTCCCTGCTACCGGGTAGTAGGTTCGAATAAAAACTCGTGCAAGCGACTAGGGAGTGAGGTCAACATAGGGAGCTGTCATCAAACCACTATTATCTCACTCTGCCGGTCCGGCTGGTGTGATCACACCACATCGCTGGATAATCTTGTATTGTATCTCACTAATCTACTATTAATCAATCAAAATTTCATTTCCTGTCACAGTCTAGCTATTAAATGTCTAGCTATGCAGGTGCACTAAAGCTACTCGTATACTCTAGAGCACCGAACTATGTAGGATATATTAGTAACACATTGTACGTATAATTTCTAGATTGCAGCCCGCTCTAAATCTACCGTCTATGATCCTACCCGCGAGTAACACTTGCACTGAAAGCATTGACTTTGTCAATCAAGCTACTAAGGGCTACCCTGTCCACCCCTGCTATGGTGATCGAGACAGAATGAGGCTTTGGGTGTGGGTTAGTAGTCCATGAGCTGAGGATCATGCTCCCATCCTTGAACTCGTTTCGGAAGAAATCCCGGAACTCATCCTTCGCGCATCCAATGTAAACTGGATAGAGCATAGTAGCTTCTGAAAAGCCCCGTTGCATGAAGTGGCCTCGAAGACATCCCAGATGATAGGTTCCCGTGACGCGGATGTTCATGTCGAGAACTAGGAACCGTCCATCTGGGCCGATCATGAAGTCTACCCCTGCTGGACCGTAGTAGCCCTTGCTGTACAGGAAATGGGCCAACTGGTCGGTGAATTCCGCATATTCCTGCTCCCGCTGTGGCTGTTCAGGATATGATATGCAACCCCCAACCCAAAGATCGTTGTCGTTAAAAAGCTGTTTGGTATAGCCGATGAAGATCCCGCGGCCTTTACACGTCACAAACAACGACAACGCCATTGTCTCTCCTTCCAGGAAGTCCTGGATTATCAGGCTACAGGGGGAAAGATGTTGATTTGTTGGGTGCACTTCTTGGATCATCTCACGTAGCTCCTCCCGGAGTACGGCTATCGCATCCTGTCGATCGGATTCCGTGCGCAGAATAAATGTTCCCTGGCCGGAGATTGATTGTGGGACCTTCACGATGAATGGGAGGTCCTTTTCGTGGACTGTACGCAGCATACGTTGGGCTTCGGCGTCGACCAGACATGAATCGTGCACTTGAGAAGGGAGTAGATGGCTGTCAATCACAACGGACGGCGGAGTTGGAAGGCCGGAATACGCTAGCCCTCTTTTTGATAGCAAGTTATAGTGCGCCTCCGTATCGACGACATGCGGCAGATGTGCCAGACAGTCTACGGGACTCAGAACGGCTAACCGCACATTTGGCGGCAGGACCACATCTGCTGGGCTGCGAGCAAAGATGACTTTGGGTTGTTGGTCCGGGCTTAATTGTTTATAGACCTCCATAGTATCAATATGATGGGCACGCAACTTTACCGGCGGGTCTTGTGCGTTCTTCTCGTGGTCATCGAGATCGAGTTCGAATAGCACCAGAGGCATCTTCCCCGAAATGAATCCATATCGCTGCGGTATGCCCTGCAGAAGCTTTTTGGCCAAATCCTGCTTGCAAGGGTACTCCGCCAGTGGGCTCTGGTACGTGAAACCCTTCGATAAAGGCAGAGAAGATGCGGCTTGTACGCGAGGGATGGGAAAGGCAAAGGCCAGAACAACGTCCGAGGCTTTCCCACCATCCAAAGAGTACAGATCTTCCAATGTATAATCGAGGACGACTGGGCGTGTGTGAGCGTGCATTGTTGCGGAAGGTGCCTTCTAGCTCTGAGGTCTTCTTGGAATCCGTCAGAGAAAATAAAGACATGACTGGTAAGGGCGACAGCCGCGCGTTTTGAGATTTTCCATGGTGCTGGAGACAGCTCATACAGCGGGGTACAAATCCGTCGATCTTGCCCTTTAGATCTGGATGAACATCGCGCCCCGCCATGTTTGAGGTCATTGCTGCAGGGATACCCAAGACTGCATGGCAATCACCTCGCATCAATGGCTCAAGCGCAAGCGCAACTTCGAGAAGTGATATGTATACCCCACCCACGAGCGGAGACATCGAACAATCGCCGCAGCCGCTGTCGACGTAGCCTATATATTTATATCACATGAACTTGGCTGAGCTCATTCTACATATGGATGCATATTCAGCCTGCATGCGGGTTATGAGCTGTCACAATGGAGGCAGCTCGTCGGGTTATATTGCATATCACACCAACGCAGTGGGTTTCGAATGAATACCACCATGAAGACTATTGTGGCTGTTGGACTTCCAAGTGACAACTAATCTGCCTGCTACGGCCAAAGCTAGTACTAGTACTCGCATCATACATCCATATGACGAGGTGTGGTACGTAATCTTATGCAAGGTTTCGCGGGGAGAGCTTGCGAGTACTTGGATTTGGGCATACAAGGAGCGAGCCTTACAGTGATCTATCCCTGAAAAGAGACACTGATGAAGGGCGTGACATCTTAATGCGATTGCTGCATTGCTCTCAGAAAACAACTCTGCGATGACATAGGGCTTGCGTTGACCATGCGTTTTCGGCGAGATCAAAGCGATGGGCATTTTTTCAGGACGACATGATGTCCTATCGTGGATTGCGATGGGCCTCGTAGGGTTGTATCGCTTTTTGTACGACTTACGATGTATGTGCACGAGAGGCCGACAAGTTATCCGCAAACCGTCTCTCCCTCCTGCTCTCCGAGACAGTCTGGGTTGAAGCGAACGGCCTGGCTAGCCTTGCCACTACAGATTTCCAGGTCAGCGCAGTGGAGTTCTCGCTCTTCTTTATTCGGACATGGTTCATTCTCAATGTGTCTCTTCTTGTGTCCAAGCTGGAGTTGTGCTACAAAGGCTATTTCATGGCGTATCTCATATCATACGAGAGTATTAGCACAGTGCGCTGTCGGCTGGCTTGGCGGGTACCATCCAAGGGGGTGAATTTGAAAGAATGTATTGAGGCCACTTGGAATGTTAATTTGTGATCTTGAGTAGTGTCTGTATTGATAGAAAGCCTCTATAGAGCCAACAAGGTGAAGGATGGCGCTCGAAGAAATCCTGTGCTGCTGCTTTTGAAACCAAACAGCAAATGATACAATATGTTTGCAGGGAGAAGGGAGAATACTGCCTGGGGCCATCTTGCCTGCTCTTGAGGTCGCTCCTGGCGCTCCAGCTCCTCCTCTATCTGGCCACCCTGCTCCACTTGCTGGGCCTGCTGCTCCTGGGTTCCCTGAGGTTGGCTCACTGCCGGGCCCAGTTCTCCCGTTCGAGTATAGGCCATCAAGATTGAAGGAGGCGATCTTTGGCGACCTTTCCTGAAGGGGCCACAGCGCACGAAGACAAATAGAATTGATACAAAGAATACCGAAGCATACTTTAGAGAAAGGAATTTGCCTTCTGCGTGAAAGGAAGCGAAGCCCAACTAGTACATATCGCAGTGCTAAACTCTATATATCAACCGGGACATTGTCAAGTGCCCATAACAATATCTCCGCATAGTAGCGCTTGCCCTCTATCAGCCATAATGATGCTCGTTAGGAGAGATTGACGACAGTAACGCAATATCAGGTACAAACGCTGTTTTGATTTAGCAAGCAAGAGGGGACAAGAACAGTAAGAAGAAGCAGAAGAGACAAGAAATATATAAAGAAATAAAGAAATAAAGAAAAAGAGGAAGGAAAGAGAAGAGAAAAAGGAAAAGCATTCACGGAGCAGAATAAACCATATTCATTCGCGCCCCACTCCCGGTCTGTCATCAGATTCAAGCAACAGTATATCCAGACCCATCATAGAAAAGCAATACCAGAGCCAGCCAGTTGCAAATGATCGAACGAGAATCCTATATCGACAAGGTGATCAGCGGGGCCTCAACAAAGATGAACGCGCAACTTGGTGCACTTACCACCGCAGTGTTGAGACATTTTGAAAGTCCTCTTAGCCGGGTGGTTTCACGTGGGACGTATAGGCGATTGGCGCTGGCTTTTGTATGGAGTCTTGATTTGGAACCCATTGCACGATGGGCGGGGGCTGAAACCCATGCTCGAGTTGCCTTTCTTTGTCCTTCCGGCTTCGGTGCCTTTTGATGAGGAAGAACACGACGACCGAGATGACCAGAAGGAGAACGATGGGAATGAGGATAGCTTTGAGCAGAACCTTTAAGACACCCATAATGGCAGAGGCTTATGTGGGAGACAATGGAAGAAGGTGGGCTTATGAGAGGAAAGGATAACTCGATGTTGTCAGATGGTTGCGAGTTTGGAAGCCTGTAAACGAAACCCTCTCGATGGCTTTATATCTTGGACGGTGCTGGGCGACAGTTGAGGGCTTGCACGCTCCAGACGGCATGGCCGCGCCAGGGGGAGTTGATTGGGAGATTCCTCTGAATGTGTCGATGATCAAAGGCGCTTAGTCTCAGTGTTGGATTGGGTGACACATTGAGTTCCTGCAGGCGATAGCCCATTCCCTGACCAGAAGCACCAATGGGGTGTCGTAAGGTTACACACCGATTGAACGCTGTCGAGGAGACATAAGATAGGCAGCCATTATATTCTCTCTCCGGCGACTACGTATCCAGTACCACCACCTGCATTCAACGGGAGAATCCTGACACACATCGCCTTCATTCTGGTCACTGTGTGTGATCGCCCCCCCGGAGTAACCAGCGAGTCGGAGTATCTCACTGAGAGCACTTTTGCGACGGATGTGATGTGCTATGCAGAAGCTTCATTCTCGACTCGCATTTTATGGTTCAGGGATGAGTCTGATTGGTCGACTATCAGCCCTACGGCCGTGGGTAGTGGAGACGATACGTTGAATCGTCTGCTAGGCAGCCATGAAAACGAGGGCGGACGGAGAGCGACGAGGTTGCTGGAGGGGGTCGCCCATCATTAAAATTAGCATCGTGAAGTCATTTTTGTCATGTAGGCCAATAATTTGCCCAGTTCAGGCGTGTAGTCAACATAATGTTATCTGAGGTTGAAGGCATGAAGAGGAAAGAACATCCAATGTGGCTTGCCGGTGCATCTCCACAGATGTGGCAGTGCCCGCAGCCCTGTAAGGCACAGCCACCCCACCATTGTTTGGGTCAGGGGGGTATAAATATCACACCCTCGACTGCCGCTTCTTCAAAGGACACAGATCTTGACTCACTGCCTTTGCTTTCGTGTTGGATCTTCACTAGTAGTGATTTATAACTCTTCGTACGACCTCCGTCCCTTCACCATGACGATGCGAGATTATCCTAGTGGGGACCAGCAACCCCCCACCGGCTATGGCTATGGGGCGAACAACTATCCTCCAAACAGACAAGGCAACCCATCTCCTCCATCCTTTAACCCGCAGAACAACAGTGGCTACCCTCCATATCCTCCGTCGGGCGCAAACCCATCGGAGACCAACTATAACTACAACTCTGGCAATCAGTCCTACCCCGCGCAGTCCGGATATCCTCAGTCGCAGCCATGGGCGGGGCCCTCCCCGTCACCCGGGAACTACTACCAGCAGCCGGACAACCGATCATATCAGAACCCTCCATATGGGGGACAGCCACCATATTCTCCTTCCTCCCCACAACAGGCGGGCTACGGGCAACACCCCCCACCTTATTCCCCCCAGCCTACGGGGAGCACAGATACCCCAAATGCTGAACCAGAGGAGAAGGACCGAGGATTTCTGGGTGCGGTCGCGGGCGGAGCGGCAGGTGCCTACGGTGGTCATAAGGTCAACCACGGCTTCCTGGGCGCCATCGGTGGGGCGATCAGCGGCTCAGTCGCGCAGGACGCGATGAAGAAACATAAAGAAAAGAAAGAAGAGGAGGAAAAGAAAAAGCAATGGGCCGCTCAGCAAGCAGCAGCCCAGAAGCACGCTCAGCAGCAAGCTCAACTGCAAGCCGAGCAACAAGCTCAGCAGCACGCTATGCTCTCCCAACCCCCACACCATGGACCTCCCAGGCACGATTCCACCCCACTGCGTGGGAACTTCTCTGCCTCATCCCGCGACATCCGTTTGGAGAGGGGCCATGAGCTCGTCGCCCATTGTGGCGCAATCTCGGGTCAAATGTGTCCATCTTCCATTCCACTCAATAGCGTACTGTCGAATCAGTTTGGTAAGTTGGTGTGGGCACGGAATGGCAACTTTGCAGCGTCGGCGCGGAATATTCGTCTGGTTGAAGGGGGTAAAGTGCTGGAGGCCGAACTGGCGAACGGTCGGGGAGGATGGGATCGATCATGGGTGCGGTTGGATGAGCGCATCTCCAATCAAAATGGCAATCTTGTCTTTCTAGACTAGACCCGGCACTGTTTATCTTGCCCTCAGTCTGGTTTCTTTGTTCTTTTCTTTTTTATTTTCAACCGTAACGAGATCGCTCCCAGATAGCCAGAATGAATTTTAATGTTACGAATCGGATAGTCATTTTCATCGAGGATGTTTGGTTTTTGTTTTGGATCGGAACGGATTCCGATGTCAATGTGGGCGTTACGATGCTCGAGGATGCCAGATCCAAAGATATATATCTTCCTTGCTTCTTGTTGGCCCACACGTGACCGGATCCGGAAGTAGAATGCGGTCAGCCATGCCGAAGGTTGTTCCGATGCCGGGATGTGTGTTTGATACTACTTAAGTCTCATGAACTTGAGAATGACCATCCACTGAGCACGACGACAGCAAGGTGAAGGTGAGTACTAGACATTCTCTTTCACTCCGTACCAACGGACGGACCGCTGAATTTTGAGCATAGGAATGACGTCAACTTCCGCAAACAACCGGAAGTATGCCGAGGACTGTTTCGGTGGATGCTCGGCTAATTCTTAGTCCATCACTAAGTGGGTGTCAAGCGGCCGACGCCGATGCCAATTTCCGGCCGCACGCTCACTTTCCTTTCCTATTTCGCCGACAGGGGAAGTCCTTGGCACGGACGATGCGACTCCCGGACGCGAATGAGCGTTGGGTGGGAAATTATCGACTCACATTCCGACCCACCGGCCGATTTTGTTAAGAACCGCGAAGTCAACCCCAACGACATCGAATCATACCATCTTAAAATTTTTTTTTTTCTGTTACTTCCTGGGTTCCCTTTCTCTTTTTGGCCTTTCTCGGGCCATTCCCTATGCTCCACCGTCACCCACATAACCCGCACGCACACACACAGACAGTGTCGACCCCAGTAGGAAGAGGTGAAATGCCTCAGCCCCAAAAGCGCCATGAGGAGAGCGATCCTGCATCCTCAGGTACCATAAGACTAGATGTACCGATAGCAACAACGCTGGCCCGCGCAACGACACGACACCTGTTATTCACACCGAAAATGGGGGCCCTATGTATTCGTACCGGGAAGGAGCAAGTTTCAAGCGGACAACATCAGCTCTGCCGTAGTTCTGGCGTCGAGCCTAGTGCGGTGGGCCTGCTCGTTCTGCGTTGATGTTATGTCAAATTTTCACCATTGGTCCTATAACGGAGATACATTGTTGCATGAATCGGGGGTTATATAGGGTGCCACAATTCCCCCGTCCGTTGTCTGCTGCTTGCGGATTCCTATCCTATCCTATCCTACCCTCTTCTTCCCCATTCTTTCCTCTCCCCACTTGCCCCATCTTTCGGAGGAGGTATTCCGTTACCTTCCTCAGTTCACTGGAGTCCCATTCTGACTACCGCGGAATCGTCTGGCCTCCCTCTTTCCTGTGTGTCATCTTTGGGCTGTGAAGGACTGTGGTTACCGGGCTATTCAGCCGAGATAATATACGAACCAAAAATTGTTACGGACTTTTTTCTCTGTGGTATCGGACAACACTAGATATAACAATTCTAGGACCGAGACACCCATACCGGATACTCCACGCACCCAAACGGAAATCCAGAGAGCGACCTGTGTTGATAGAATTCCATTGCGCCAACTCCCATTGTGACAACCCTCTGCAGCTTTGTTGCCCAATCCTGAACTCACGCCAGCCATTGCGCCATCTAGCATCTGCCCTGAATAACGCCTTGTCACGACTTGCCCACTCACGATCCAGGTTGTAAGAGTTACCCAGGAGCAACAATTCCGAAAGACAACCCCAGCAGCCTTTAGGTCGTCCGTTTCTGCTAGCCACGCGCCTGATCCCGATCCCCTTTGCGACCACCCCGAACGCCTGATCAAGATGGGTAGTTGGATAAAGTCCTGGCAACGGGACCGCCTGCAAATGCCCGAGGTCGTGATCCCACTCGCCGATGCCCCAAGTTCGACCCCCCATGCGGAAAAGGATGGCGAATCCAACGTCAATAGCCTGGATTCTCAAGAAAAGGGCGCCGGCTCTGCGCCCGAGTGCTGCACGCTAACCCTGGAGGCCCTTCGTGCAGAGGTGGAAGGCGCCGTTGCCGCCTCGGGCCATAACTCTGTCTATGATCGTATGTTCCTGTTGCCTTGCCCTGGAGTAATCATTGAATCCACATGAGCCGGCTATGGCCCTGATGCCACTGTTGCCGATCCTACTCCTTTGCCATATCCCGTTTCGCCTTCCCAACCATGGCCCACGACCCGAAATTGACCGAGGACTCCGTATGTCTGACTGAGAGATCATCACAGGCAAAGCCAAAGTTATTAATAGAGCCATCCAGGATATCGGCATGGGCCGTTATCAATGGGAGCTCTTCATCCTGTGTGGATTTGGCTGGACTGCTGATAAGTGAGCAAACCTATTCCTCATCCAATCTACATGATCTCGCTCTAACCACCTCACGCGTACAGCCTCTGGCTACAGGTATGACTGCTCGATTCTCGTCCGAAATGCGTCGAACGAAGTGGGCCAGCTAGACTAACGTGATCGTGCGCAGGGAGTTGCCCTGACCCTCACCCCGTTGTCAATGGAATTTGGCATCTCCGAATCCTACGTTCGTTTCACCACCTGTGCCTTGTTCGTGGGCCTGATCGTTGGCGCCACTTTCTGGGGTCTTGCATCTGATCTCATTGGACGTCGATTGGCTTTCAATACGACGCTGTTCATGTGTGGCGCGTTTGGTCTGGCGTCGGGCGGTGGTTCAAGCTGGGTCGGGTGGGTTATGGCCAGCCCTGGTTTGCGTTATCGTGATGGCTAATGGGAGTTCCAGTACTTGTGCTCTGTACGCTTGCTTGGGATTAGGAGTAGGTGGAAACCTGCCGGTGGATGCTGCGATCTTCCTCGAATTCTTACCCACGTCTTCCGGCCATATTCTGAGCTCGCTGGCCGTATTCTGGTCGGTGGGTACTTTCATAGCCAGGTTTGCCTCTCCACCTTCGTGCAGTTTGATGTCTCCAAATGTACTAACCCACGAGCAGTATGCTGGCCTGGGCCTTCATCCCCAACTATTCCTGCACCGACGCCGCCACCTGCACCAAGGCAAACAACATGGGCTGGAGATACCTCGTCCTTAGCCTGGGTGCCATCACTATGGTCTTCTGGATCTGTCGATTCTGCTTCTTTAAGCTGTACGAATCGCCCAAGTTCCTGGTCGCCAAAGGCCGGGACGATGAGGCCGTTGCAGCGATCCACGGCGTCGCCCACCGCAACAAGAAAAAGACGTGGCTCACGACGGAAATCCTGAACGAGCTCGGCGGATCCACAGAGCAGACTGAGAAGGAACAAAACCTTTCCTCGAAGGAGATCCTCGCTCGATCTCTCTCCAAGTTCTCCGTCCAGCAGATCGGCCCGCTGTTTTCCTCCAAGCGTCTCGGCATCACCAGTAAGTCTTATTTTCCGAGTGAACGGGCAATAACTGACAGCCAAACCTAGCCGTTCTCATTTGGCTCTGCTGGACCACCATCGGCATGGGATACACGCTGTTCAACGCGTTCCTGCCCCAATATCTCGGCTCGACGGCCTCGACATACGAGACCTACCGGAACTACGCCATCACCTCCGTCACGGGTCTGTTCGGCCCCATCCTGGCTCGCTACGTCGTCGACATCAAGTACATCGGTCGGAAGGGTACCATGGCCATTTCCACTTGTATCACGGCCGTCCTGCTCTTCTGCTTCACCGCGGCCAAGACATCCGACACTCAGCTAGTCTGCTCCGCTCTTGAATCATTCACACAGATGATCATGTACGGTGTGTTGTATGCGTACACCCCGGAAGTCTTCCCGGCTCCCAACCGAGGCACTGGAACCGGTATCGCGAGTTGCCTGAACCGAATTGCTGGTCTCTGCGCACCGATTATTGGTATTTATGCTTCAGGGAATCCCAGTGCTCCTATTTATGCTTCCGGTGCGCTCCTGTTGGTTTCGTTTGTGGCGATGGTGTTGCTGCCAATTGAGACGGCCGGAAAGCAGAGTCTATAGATTGCGTTGTGGGGAGGTTTCATGTGGACTATAAAACGATCAGGATGTCTTTCAGATGATACCATACTATTGTGTATATGTTGTTTCCAGCCAACTCAGCGTTCATGATTTTACTTTGGCTGGGTAGATAGAAATAGCTTCCACAAGGACTGAAGAAGCTATATTTGCTTCTTATCATACATAGTACTCATGCTGGTCACTAGCTTGAAAAAACCGAACACAAAACGAAACAGCCCAAAACGTGCCTTAGTTTGCATTTGAAGCATCTTGCATAAATGCCGTTGAGCCCAACCCGCCCTCCCCACGCCAACCAGCCACCCATGTGCGTCGTGCCCCTCCTGGCAAATGGTATCCCTGGGAGGAATACGCCAATTGTCGCCATTGCTACTGCGCCGGAACCTCCTCCAGGACCTCCCTTAGTAGGACCCCCAGCCCTAGTGCCGCCCCCCCCCCCACAGCTGGGTTGTTAGCTCCGCCCCAGCAGCATTGTTGGCCTCCCCCCCCAGTGCGATCATTTGCGCTCCCATCATTGCGGTTGTTGCCTGCCCGGTTCCAGTCTCCGAGGGGGACTTTATTCCCCGATGGTGCATTTCTGCTGCGGCAAAAACAACAACAAAAATTTTGGTGCAGTACCACCCACCATTTTCTTCGGGCTATAATATCTTCCTATTAGTATAGCTTCCAATGAAGATCTAAAGTTACCTTACGTGGGGGTCGGGTGAGGGTATCAGCCCTTTCAAAATCGTCGATGGTTTGGGCACGTATTCCTAGTAGGAAACCCAGCACTAGTGCCCGCCCAGCCAAGTCGTTGGCCCCTCCCCCAGCGGCGTTATCTGCCCCAAGACGTCTGTTCTGGTCTTGCAGGGGAATGTCCACATCCGATTGCACATGCCTGCCACGACACAAGTAGCAGCAAAAGTTCTCATGGAGTACCTTACCATACATAGTACTCATGCTGTACGCTAAAAATCGGCCTTTTGCTATTTAAAACCTTTCCTCCACCGCTCCCTTGTGAGCCACTGCATGGTCCCAGTAGGCGCTGGTGGTGCCGGTGCTTGTGCCAGTGTTGCTGGTGCCGTTGCCGTTGTTGCCGTCGTTGTCGCCTCCGTTATCGCAACTGTTCTTGCAGTAGGTGTTGCAGCTGTTGTTGCTACCGGTATTATTGTTGTTGTAGCTGGTGCTACATCCCCTCAGCTCAGTGCTGTTGCCATTCCCGACTTCCGAACAGCTACAACAACTGCAACAACAACAACAACAATTTTGGTAACAAACTATCCACCACTTTCTTCGGGCTATTATATCTTCCTATTGGTATAGCTTCGACTCAAGATCTAAGGTTATCTAATGCGGGGGCCGAGTTAGGGCATATGCCCTTTCGAAATCGTTGAAGGTTTGGGGCGCGTACTCCCCTCGTGGAAGTCTATATAATATAATAGGAGATATTATTAGCCCTTTTTCAAAGTTCACCAAAGGTAAATATAGATAATACGAACCGGTGTTTCGCTCGCAAAAACACGATTGCAAGCCATGTTGATACACCCCCTATTATAACTAAACCCAGGACACCGAACCCAGAATATCCGACGTGCCAGGCTGGGCTCAATTCGGCCGCTGTAATCTCAGAGGCCGATAGGTTTGTTATGGTTGTTAAGGTAGGCAGTGACGGCATTTTTGGGATTGTAGAACACAGATGTGAGTGTGTGCTGAACCAAACAGATAAAGGTATCATAACGAGTAGTTATACCTCACTGGGGACGGCTTTTCAGCACGCGCAGGCCAACGAGAAATCAGGCGTTCTGTGACCTTGTATTGCCGGGGAAGCATCCTATACAATTCCTATATTAGTGTAGAACATAGCTGCAACCGAAGAATATCTTGCTCTATCCATGTGGCAATCCCAATGTATTCTCCAGGTCCGGGCGTAAATGCCACAGTCATAAAGACTGTGGGGACTGTTGAGAAACACAAAGAAAGCACGCAAGACCAAAAAAAGAAACAGAAAAGGCTCATTTGGCCGGTTTCTGAAGTCCCAAGACGTTTCGGAAGGCGCACGAAAATGTTGCGCTATGGCTGAGGGGTTGTGACTCGCCCTCCCCTGGCCAAGTTGTTGAGAGGACAACTATTTTCTCCTCACCTCCTTGACCAGAGTCGACTGAATGTCGATTGCAACTTGTGATGCCGGATTCGACGAAGGCCCAAACCACGGTTGTCACCTTATTAACATACTCGGGATTGAACATAGGCAACGCTTTTTGGTGCCGCCACAAGCTAGAGTCCGTGACAGACACGAAGAAGGAATCGCCGGTTTTCACATTTTATCGCTGCCTTACTGCGGCCCGCAACGCCTCGCACCGTGTTGCACCCCGGGTGCTACCATGCAGTGTTGAAAAGTCGGATACTCTTGGCAGTGCTTGCATCCAGGTGGGCGACGAATTTGGCCGGTTTGGTAAACCAGAATATTGTTGCGGTATAAGGCAAGGCCGTGGGTGCCATATCATCAATAATGACCGTAGAGAGCGGGATGAGGAATATGTGCGTTCACTTTGCGGTGCGGATATATGCGTCAAAGAAATGTCCACTTTGCCTGTGGTGTTGGAATTCGGACGAGGAACAGCTTCGACTCTGCACACTCATCTCGTCGCCGACAACGAATTGCCCTCCTAGATAGCAGTGCTGATCGTGTGATCGATTTAAACCCCAATACTGGATTCCTGTTCCCCAAGGGACAATCGACATTCCGGCAACTGTCGATTCTCAGCTTTGGATAAAACAAAGCTGGATCGCTAAGATGGATTGGAGCCAACGCTAGACTGATCACGAGAATCCTTTCTGGCCACGAGCGCGGTGTCCAGTTGGCATCACAAGTACCAGATTCAAAGATGAGTGGCACGATAGAGGGCCGCAAACGTGCTATCATATCACCCCTATCACCTCTCGCTATGAGCTGCTCACGTCGAAGATTTCGCACAGCCCGGGGGTCGCTATCATATCAATGTGCCGTGGCGGGGTCAGCAGCAGTGTTTCTGACGGGCTGATAGCTAGTTAACATTATGAACAAGACTAGAACGATTATAGACTGGGTGTTGTACATTCAGAGAAAGGCTTTGTATGTTTGGAAAAGAAAAGTGATCTCATTCTTGTATTGAGCCGATTCGTGGCTCCGGCGAAGCCGTTCAACATGTTGTCGAACGATCCCCTTCGCGAAATACGTTCTCACTATCCGTGAATCGCGTCGGAATCACATTTGGATATGGGCTTGTAATGGGCGGAAGGATGTTCGTGGTAGTCACAGATACAAGGATAGAGAACAGCAAGCGGTGGTAGAGGTCAAAATGATCGAGATTGTGGAGGGTAGATTGGCAAAGGGAAGTATGGTGTAAAGTAAGAAAGTGTTGAAGAGGAATGATGATCAAGCAGAATGTGGGATCAGAGGGAAAGTACGAAAGAGTTGGGGAAGTACAAGTAAGTGAAGGGCAGTCAGTCACTTCACTGGTTTAATACCAGTTCTGTAACAGGTCGGTAACAGTGTCCACCTTGAACTTCTCGTTGCATACGCAAGGAGGAGCTCGACGTGTGGGTGTGTTAGTGCATCCGTACCAACACAACAGCAACAGCAGTATCAGTTTTCCATCACACACACCTCCACCATGGAAGATATTATACATACATTCGCCTGGAAAAGAGGATGCAGGTACAAAACCAAGTTCTAAAGCACCGAGGACAATTGAGCCTACTATCCCAGGCCCCGAGTAGGCACAATGCTCCATATTACTCTGTATACGTCGTTTCCAACCGACCCAGCGTTCGTGATTCTATTTTGGCTGAATAGATAAAAACACTACACTCTTCAATAAAATATACCAATTATTAGTGTACAGCTCTAAGAATACCATGCACAGAAAAAAGAAAAAGAAAACCAAAGAAAACCAAACAACCCCCCTCCCCCCCCCCAAAAAAAAACAGAAAACAGAAGACAGAAAAACTCTACTGCCGTTTGCATTTGCACTCCAAGGGTTTTAGCCAGAATTTTCACAATGGTCAACCGAAGCTTGTTAGTCCTTTCTGGTGCTGGCCCGTTCCCCGGCGTATGCTGCTCCATATCCCCCCTATCCTCCTGCTGTGGCGCATCGCCCTCATCCTCTTCGACCTCCCCCTCGTCCTCTTCGGCGTCCCCTTCACCATCTTCGGGGTGGCCCTCGCCCTCTCCGACGTGGCCGTCCCCCTGACCACCCTCGGTATTCAAATCGTTTCGTCTAAGCCTCCCCTCCTCGACGAGTCGCATTTCGATATTGGGGTATGGCTCCTCCGCTGCGCAAGGGCAGCCGCAGCAGCAACAAAGGTTTTCCACCAAGCATCGCCATCATGGTCTCTGGGTTGTGACAGCTTCCCATCAGCATAAGTTTCACTCAGGAGCAGGGATCATCCTACGGCGAGCTTGGGTCAAAATGTGAATCTTTAAAAGTTCACTAAGTGTCTTTGGCCTGTACTCCGGGTACCTATATAATTGTAGATTTATTAGCCGTCTTTGAATATGAAAACATATTTAATATTGACTTGAGCGTACCGGTGCTTGGCCTGAAGCAGGCAAATGCGATACCATGTGTAAAATGCCCCGATTAATATGATCGCCAGCAGGCCCAGGGCAGACGAGCCTATATACCATCCGGGTGGATGTTTGGCGGCATACCCGAAGAAAGGGGGTTAGACGCCCCTATAGTGGAGTTCATTTTTGTCTTTGAACGTTTCGAGAGACTCTTTGTTTAAATTAATTTGTGAAATTGTGCGCTTATTCAAAAGCAGCTCGAAAAGTGGCTCAGAACGTGGATTGACAAGTGGGTTGATTATTCGATGTACAACAAATCCAAACAAAGGGTAAGGTCGTAGAAACCTGCACGTTTTTGGAAGGCATTGGCTCGGTTGTTGTCATTCGAGAGCCCTGAGATCTACTGCAGTTGCCTTAAAAAAAAAAAAAAAAACCACAAGCATGGGGAACTCGACCAATGATTGTGGGCGCGGTTGATATGGCAACAACAGCCTGAGCAGTCTCATCGGGTGGCTATGAACCCTCCTCCCTACTAGTTTGTAGCAGCTTTCGGCAGTAAGAGACCGGATTTAAACCGGTGTCGTAAACATTTTTATATTTGTATACATATCTGTTTGTATGATTTGTAGCGTGATGGCCAATTCGGGAAGTCGCTGGACTGGGTCCAGCCTGCCGTAAGATGCCTGAAGCTGGCGGTTTAGGATACTAGGTATTCATTGCTCTGGGAAGAATTGGGATAGATGATACGCCTTTCTGCACCGTCTAGAAGGTTAGACCTAAAAAAGATTATATCTGCTAGGAATACTTGCGGAGAGGATTGACCGGTCTAGAGCATAGAAAGTTTGACGATAGTGATCATAATGAAATAAGGTGATAGAACAATAAGGGCTGGATGACATCTTCTACGAAGAGCTTTCACTACATTACAATGGCTAATTATTATCTTGTTTATCGCTGAAGCTGATACCACCAAAACAATGCCTCTAAAAGATTGCCTTGCAAAGAGATTTGAGCCGCTTCTTAGGTATCTCGAGGATAAGGTCGAGCAGGGCGGCCACTTCCGACAAGCCCAGCAGCTTCGCCGTAAACAGCAGAAATGGCGCAGCTATCAGGCTGAGCTCTGAGAGTGCTTCCAATCCTACATGTTCGCTACTGTGTTCCTGAGCTACCATTCAGAGCGAGAGGGTTACCTACAAGCAGAGCATGAGACTCTCTTTCAGCAGCTCCAGAAGAGTCCGTCTGTGGCAGATACCTTGGTAACGGAGATGGAGAAGATTCAAGGAGATCTCCAGGAGATCAATAGGACTATTTGGACATGTGAACGAGACTTGCACAATACAATGATAGATATTCCAGATGGGCTCTTAAAGCGTGCTTTGCGTGCTCGGCGCCGAAGCAGTGATTGGTATCTTTCAGAATGGTTGCAAAACCAATGTGCAAGTGTGGGTGGCTGTTGTGCCCGAGGGTGTGGCTGTTGTACGAAGCCTCGAAGCTCTAGACATCCAAATCATCTTGGGCATTGTGTAGGGGTTTGCAAGTGTTGCGAGGAAGCGAGAGGATTCAAGCTTGATCTTGAGGAAGGTGATGAGAATCCGATGTTAGTACAATTTGATTATGAGGAGGCAGACATCCAAGAACGGCACTCTTCCTATACAAAAGAAGCGCTTAACGCCTATATCTGGGGAGTTTGATAGCTGCTTCATCCTGCTCTTACTTTCGCTTTCTACGATGAATACCAATACTTTTGCTGCTCTATCCTGTGAGTAGTACTGTAGTCATTCACGCGACTACTGTGGAAGGAATATTGCATTATTTCAGAAATAGCCAAAGAGTAGTGTCAAATAGCCGGACTGAAGGCCTAGGATCAGCTGTATGGAAACCAAACCCCTATTTCCTTCCACCTCTTATGAAAGTCAAATACTGTATTTATGGATCACCGTGCCAGGAGCCCTTCCGACCTGTGGATTTATACAAGATCCCAGTTTTGTAGCTTCAAGCGGTTGGATGTCACCGGCTGTCTTGCTGTCTGTCTCGTATTTACCTCCTTTCTTTAGCGTCTCTCTTTGGTATTAGTATTGGTATTGATGTTGCAAATGATTCCCTCTGAATGACTTCACGAAGGAGCATTCCCCTTCGACAGATACGATGACGATTCACATGTCCACTTGCTATGCATGATGAATTACGCGGTGACTTAACTCTGTCATTCATTCTCTGGCATGGGAATATTCCTTCGTCTATATATTTCTTCTCTCCATCCTCTGCCCCATCCTCTCCTTCTCCATTCTATCCTCCGGCCTCCCTCAGTAGGAACACTTCTATCAGCCCTCTCCTTTTTGGCATAAGGTGCTGACTTGTCTTATCTTCCTTGGTCATTTGGCACATGGAAAGCTGGCGGATTTAGACCTCTTAGTATGATTTGGTTTACATACTATCTACTAGCAAAAAGGTTCAGAAGCAAAGAGCAAGGCAAAGCACACAATGCCAGTGCGGCCAACACTGGCATCTATCATAAATCCTTCTGCCTCCGCCACTGCACCAGCAGGAGTAAGCCCAGAGTGGCGCCTTGGTTATTCTGGGTTCGGGGTACGTGGCCTCATAATAATAGGGGCAGTAGCAACATGGCTCGCGATAGGTTTGATGAGCCAAATATCGGTATGTATTATCTATATTTAGCTTTGGTTAACTTTGAAAGAGGACTAATAATATGTTGTACTATTATATAGACCTCCAATGGGAGAATACATGCCCCAAACCATTGACGATTTCGAAAGGGCATATACCCTAATAAGACCTCCACGTATGATAATCTTGGATCTTGAGTGGAATCTATACTAATAGAAAGATCTTATAGCCAGAAGAAAATGGTGGATAGTACTACACGAGAATTCTTGTTGTTGCTGGTTTGAAGCCCGACAGTAAACGGTCAGACTGTCGGGAGGCCAGGATTTTCCACCCAGTGTACGACATTTGATCAGGATTTTGCAGATGCGTGTGCATCGTTAGACCTCACCGGCCTAGTCCGACGAAACATACGGTAAAAGGAGGAATTCCTGCTGTTCCCCCTGGCCCTCTCCCCTGGGTAGAATGTCATAGGGCAGGTAAGTTGCCTGACGCAAATATCCATCTAGGCTGGTACATCGCGTACTCGGGGCTGAGTCTCCTGGGCCTAATCTTCGGCGACTTGGTCACCTGGCGTATGGCACGTGTATGTATTGACGATATTCAGTTTTATGCACGTTGAAAGAAAGCTAACAATATCTATTATGATATAGACACCAATTGGGGAGAATTTACATCCCAGCCCACTTCAAGGAGCGTGCCTATCGTCGAGCCCAAATGGCACGCCATATATTCAGCCATCGGAGTTGGTGGGCTAATTATAATCGGTGGCTGCACCGCATTGTTTGCAATGGTACTACTGAAAGCCAAGAACAGGTATGTATTATCTATATTCAGTTTTATGCATATTGACAAAAAGCTAATGATATCTACATGACATAGGCACCCTTTGGGGGAATATACCCCAACAACCTATGAAGATTTTGAAGGAGCATACAGGCTCACGCGCCCTCCACGTAAGATAACCGGTGATCTCGAGTAGAATCTATACTAATATGAAGATCTTATAGCACGGAGAAAGTGGTGGAGGGTGCTCGGAGAGAACATTCTGTGTTGTTGGGTCAAACCCAACAAGGTGTCGATGAATGAGCTCCTTCTTGAAGAAGGAAGGCTGCCACCTGCGCCTGTCAATGCCCCCGTCAACCCGCCCGGTGAGAATTGTTTGGCCGTAGGGAAAGACAAAGCAAGATTAAAAGGGGAAGTCCAGGGCCCCTCTGTGTGAGATGATCTCTGGCCTTGAGAACCTGTATTAATGAGAAGCTGTCATAGTCAGACAACGATGGTGGCGATGTACCATCGAGAGCATTTGTTGCTTCTGTTGTTGTGCTTGGACGAAAGCGCAAACACATCCAAATCTTGAACCCCGTCCTACAGAGGAGGGGAGGGTCAACAGGGGAAAACGGAGTGGAAGAATGGGCAATGCCAGCGTCCAGGATCCGGCCAATACGAATACTAACACGACGGCGGGACGTGAGGCAACGAATCCAAACGATGGAGGGGCCATTCAACCCAATTCAAACAACCAAAGCACGTGGTCATATATTATTTCAACTTGAGCAAAGATTTTACGAGTTAAAATGGTCGCAACTAAGTAGATAGGGCGATTGCCGAGTATCATGGATTTACCAATGTGTTTTATTGATTCTTGTGAAGCTACTTCTATCTAGCCAACTCAACTAAAGTAGAATCATTAGATTAAGGAGACAATCTCACCAACCGCTCTGCTGACATCGTGACGGCGATATCCAAGTCTCTCGACATCAGCTGGATCTGGTTCATATGACACCATATTTCCTCGGCCCGAGTAAATGACAGCATCAGGTAACAGTGGGTGCTCTTGATCAAGCGATGGAAGCGTCATGCTATTACCGACGGCGTCGAAGAATATCTGGAAATAACTTGCGAAGCTGAGATTCTCGTCGCCTAGTAGGTACGCCTTCCCCGGCTCACCGTGTACTAAAGCACCTGCAATTGCTTCCGACAGGGACTGGGTTGACATGAAGTTCGATCCACCACGAGGGCCAAAAAATGGGATCCCTAGCTCCCCTTTAGCGTAGCGTATGTAGGCTTCAAACACGGGCGTACTCATTCCGGGCACGATCCCTACGACGAATGGTGCCTCGAGAGCGCATGCAATGAACTCCTCTCCTGCAAGACCAAGGATACCGTCGGTGGCCAGCTTCCGTGAGCGAACGTATGCGTTGGAATCAATCGATGCTTCCGCAATGTGAGGGTAGAAGCTTCCAATATAGACAAAGCGCTTTACGCCGGCATCACGCGCTAAACGAGCGAACCGTGGGACGGCCTCACCATTCACGTGGAGAACATGCTCATCGAAGTTCTCTCCCGGTGGTGTATGACGGATATCATGGCCAGCAGCGAAGACAACTGCATCGAAGTCAGTTAATTGGTCCGTGGTGAAAGTGTCTCGGACGAAGTCCCCCTGGATATATGGAAGCCGGACAAGAGCGGTTGTCTCTGGTGGAGGGCGACGACCTGCAATTGAAACGTCATGGCCAAGTGATTGCAGGTGTAGAGCTGCGTGTCCACCAATGGTCCCGGTACCGCCAATGACAAGGACTCTCATTGTATTAGTAGGTGGGATATCGCGGGGAAGGTGAAATGAAAGTGATTGATGCAGTGAGTCTGTTCACGAAGAATGGCTACCGTTGAAAGTATACAAGGCCACACAGCGTTTATAATCAGATATGAAGCTATGAAGCTGCGCTTCTTTCTTGGTTTATCAACGGATAAGAGGTTGTGCTGCACAACGATGAATATGCAGCGCTGGGCAAGTATATCGTCTCGTATAAGAAGGCTGCACGTGTCCGGGATCGGATCTTACCGAGATCCGGCTTGGCGATGGACTATTCCTCTTTGGACAGCGAGATGAAGCTAAGTTCAAACTCGGTACATAGTACTAATTCCGAGGTCCCGAGCCCCGAGTCACGTTGTTATCATCTCGAGAATGTGGTAGAGACAATACAAATGATATGATGTCCTTGATACTGTTCAAAATGAGGGATACATTAATCTAAGGTTGTGCGTTCCAGCTTCAACTAGTTTCCCAGGTGGACACAATGTATCTTTGCATCAGAACAAATATATATATCTCGAGGCTTTGTAATGGCTCCATCATCCGACCAATACTTACCTCCAGGCCGGGGAATGAAAGGGATGAAAGAAAAATCACGATATGTAAATAGTTCCAAACTGCAAATAGACCGGTGCAGTAGACTCATACCTACAGGGCTACTTGAAGCGCATCCTTGAGTCGTATAGGCGATAGCTCGGCTACCCGATGTTGGTCTAAAGTGTCGGAGTTGCGCCTCTTGCACTACATACATTGAAGTACGAGGAAAACGTGAGCTCGTTAGCAAGATCCAGTACATATGTCACAGGATATGAATTGCCATTCAGGAGTCTAGACAGCAACAAAACTCCATAGCAGGCTACTCTGCCATGTTAACTTCGACATTCCAAGTTTTTAACGCTGAGTTAGAAGCTAAACTCTAAATGATTGGCCATCTATGTCTGTAAGGGACCCGAGCGCCCACTGATGCCTCAATAAGGCAAAGCTGCCACTTGCGGATAACTCAATGGGTTTGAGGAATGGAATAGATATATTTGACTTCCCTAACGCACGGGGTACACGTCACTGGCAAATTAACAAGGGAGATTAAGGAGTTATAGTAATGTTAACATAAGGTTAAACACAAGAATGGTTGCTAATTACGATCTACAAAGGAGGCTCTCTACAGTGAGGCTTTTGAACAAAGTGTCTATATCCCTTTCCTTATCATGCACATACCGTGTTCGCACATCATACTTTTCAAAAGGCAAAAGGTTGCATTGATTAGCGGCGATTGCCGCTTTCCCCGACCTGCACTAACCTTGGCAGAGATTGCCTGTGGGAGGATCGATGACACATTGGTCATTATATGAAAGGTTAGTTAAGTTCGGCAGTACTTGCATGTTTGTGCGTCCAGCTGAAACACGCACTAGACATAAAGGCTATTTGACGTGACATGAGTGTTCACTGTTGTCTTGACAGCTCGGTTCGTGCAACGCCCCACATCGCGATGCAGCACTGCTCTACTGTGTAGTGAACTGCACATAGTTAATATCCCACTGGAGCATTCGTAGAATTCATCAAGAGATATGGCTCAGTTGTTCGTACCGCCTCAAATATGCCTGCAGAAACTGGCTGGGTCCATCACCTGAAAATGATGTGGGCCAGGTGGAGACTTTTCAGGGAGAGCATCATTGGGCGGGCAAGAGGACAAGATAATGGGCCATTTAAACTTTAGAAGATCGATACTTTGCGCTCCACCTGATGGCAGATGGCTCTAGGTGGGCAATTGCTATTCGTTCGCGACGTTGAGAATCTAGGCGGCTGAACAGTCCGATCCACGATAGTCAACGATGGCAATGTAACCTTGCGCTGACCAAATCCTGAGGTGATCCTCCAAACCCATGGAAAGAAGGTGCAAAATGTAGAAAGCTATCGAAATTCGGGACTTGGAAAGGAAAAAAAAAAGCAGAAATTGTGACTAAAGGTTTACTTTAGACATGAGTAGCATACGACGAAGTCTGAAACATAGATAAGCACAAGGATGCGATCGTCCGCCAATCGTCGACGCGGAGATGCCAGGATTAGAATTAAACAAGAGTCTTCGGTTCTTGTCCTGGTGCTCCTTGCTGTGACGGTGCGAGATTTAGTGAGACATTTGGCCAGGGTTTGAAGGCGACGATCACACGCATGAAGCGCAATTTGAGGTTTAGGGCTTACCGCTAGCCATGAGTCTAGTTTCAGCGGTTCCAAAGGTTCAGACCACTAGCCGCCACCAACCTTCTTGCCCTCCGAGATTACCACGAGGCTGGGTTCCTTGGTGGGATCCGAAAAGGGGGCGACGAGTGAGCGAGAGATAAACCAACAATCAGAACAAAGAAATGATTCTTGTTTAGTAAGATATCCAACACCCGAGGTAGAAGTCCGAGCAAAATTAGGAGGGTTAGACTAAGCATGATGATAGGGCATGCTTCTTTGATTTTGGCACCACGCCGCCAGACGTCAAAGTCTGGTTCTGTCCAGACTCCAGGTTCCACCCGCGCTGAATCAACGGCTTTTGTCCCTTATGCATGAGGCGCCCCAGTAGCCAATCTTTCGCAACCATGACCAATTTGATGCGCCGTGCGGGCGAGACTTTCCGAATATACCCAAGGTTCTCCGCTCAATAAAGCGCAGTCTCGAACACGTGCCAAGAAACCCTAAACTGTGTTCGCCAAACTTTCCCCTTGGCATCGCGTCAGATTTTCGCGCCTTCTATCCCAGCTGCTGACGGGATGGAGACTTGGCTGAGCAAATTCTGACCCTGCGGAGGTGCAGACTTTTCTTTACCGTAGGGCAACAGGGAAGAGTCGTGATCACGATCTGCTGAATGATCAACTGCAAATTATGGATAATATACGGTGTGCAGGATGCAGCAAATACGGCGTCGCACCATAACCAACGTCGATCGGGGCACTGTCGCGAGGTCAGACTTTGAGTTTTTCCCAGTTTTGTGAAGTAGATTACGTGCACAATATTCGACGGTACGTCTCCGATGGGTCTCAAGAGTCCCAGGATCTTGGTTAGCTCCAGGCACGGGATCATCATGGCTAAGGGCAATGCCCACAAAGAACCCCAATTGTTTGACTAGCACATGGTACCTTGAGACGGGTTCTTGCGTGGCCCACTTTCCCAGAGGAGCCACTGGTAGTATCCAATGAGACTACTGGACGAAGAGAATAGCATTTTGGGTGAGGGTTAGTTGTAAATCGTTGGCTGGTCGCGGTTGCACAGGCATCGCGTGCGCAGGCGGGCCTGGTTGCCCTCAGTTTTCCTTAAACCCCGACGTCGTACCTTCCACGACGAAAAAAGACTCAAACGACCAACCGAAACTGACAACAGCACATAAAGATACACGAATCCCCACTTTAGACATACGAAACACCCCTCACGTCCCGCAGTGTCATGGCTCCTACCCCGGAGGATGCCGTTTTTGCAATTTCTGCCCAGGCAACTCAACTGGGCAATCGCATCTCCGTGCGGATGCTTGACTACCTAAGTACGGTTCATGACATCCCAGATGGCTTTGGAGATCTCTCAAAGGTCTTTCTCGATACATGTCGCTCCTTGTGGACAATTGAAGCCGGCCTCAGCGAGTCGACAACTGCGAACCGGCCCCTGCCCCGGATAATTATTCAGGAGGTGGAAAAGAAGTTCACAGATGCATACCGAGAGTTTCAGCACCTGGACCGTGTCGTGACCAGGCTTATCCAGTATGAACACCGTGGGGCGCTGGGAAGGTTGCAAAGAGGATGGAACCGACCTAGCCACGAGCTGGGCAAGATCCGGGAGTCGCTCAAGAGCACGACAGAGGCTCTACAGATCAGTGTCCTGGCTTTCCATTGGTCCCTAGGCGATGCAAAGCCGGAGGAATCGGTCGGAGTGGGATACGCTGGGCTCGCTGCGGCACTTGATCGGATGGCGAAAGGGAGATCAGTGGCTGGAATCAACAAGGCGAAGACACTAGAGCGCGGGATCGCCGAGATGAAGCAACCATCGCAGGCCGTAAAGGTAGCGCCCGCTGGGCCTCCTCCCTCGGTGCCTGTTCCACCAGTACCCCCGAAACCCTCATTCAGCAAGGACGATGTCAGCAGAGATGCCGGCCTGGGCAGTCCGGGCAGAACATTGGTCGACTCAATGCCGGAAACCATGTCATCTGTCCTGTCACTGGATTCCCTCTCGTTATCGAGCTCTCAGCATGGGAGAGATCTAGAGCTATCACAGACCAGGACTCGTACTACAAACAGTATCCGAGATGATCATCCCCACCTCCAGAGCCCTTCGGCATCCACTCTAGCTCAGGAGATAGAGACCAATGCTAGTTCTGTTCTGCCGAGCAAGGCATCACACCGAAAACATGATCTACCTCGCATGCCGCAACGGACGCCGAGTAATACTAGTGCTGCGAATGTCGGTCACCTGAAGAATGCTTTAGCATCTGCCGTGCGAGCGAGAAACCATCAATTAATGGAACAGCTCCTGGATAGTGGCGTATCACCGGACATGGGGGAGAATACACATCCCCTGAATGAAGCGATTCTGCACCGTGATATCGAAGGGATGCGTCTGCTTCTGGCCTTTGGAGCCAACCCGGATGCACCGGACCAAGAAGGAAAGTCACCACTCTTCTCTGCAGTGGAAGGATCATTCATGGATGGTGCAACCTTACTGTTAAAGTACCGTGCCGACCCATGTCTCATGGCCGGATCCGAGCTCGAGTCTCCACTTGGTTTGTGCATCACGAGCCTTAAGACGGGTCTCGTCCATGTCCTACTCGCGCATGGGGCAAATCCCAATCATGAGATGAGAAATGGCAGCACAGTGCTCATCGAAGCTATCCGGAGGAAGGCTCCTCAACGACTAGTCGATCTGCTCTTGGATGCCGGTGCAGATGCAAACTTGAAAAACCGGGAAGGGAAGTCGGCGTTGTTTGAAGCCGTTCAGACCGACCAGGTGACGGTCGTGACAACACTCTTAGACCATGGGGCGAATCCAAACCTCCCTGGACCGGAACATGTGCTCTGGTCAGCCATCTATCGGCCAGCCTGTTTGCGAATCCTGATGGCCCGTGGAGCCGATGTCCGAAAGACCCCAGGTATTATGGAGCAGGCAACAGGCATCAACAACATTGATTCCGTGCGAGTTCTACTACAAACTGGCGTTGACCCCAACTCTAAGAAAGATGGAATTTATACTCCATTATGTTCCGCCATCCGAGACGATCGTGGAGATATTTTTGCGCTTTTGCTGGCTAACGGCGCCAACCCCAATGTTATGGCATCCGAGTATCCTGCGTGGAAATGTGTTACTCACTTCCGGACACATCTCCTCCCGGATCTAGTCGACGCCGGCGCAGACCTCCACCAGCCACCGGGCATTGTCGAAATGGCCGTGCAAGTCAACAACGGAGAGGCCGTGCAGTGGCTCCTGGAGCACGGAGGCGCGAATCCGAACGATCGCAATGGCCAGGGACACACAGCACTCACAACGGCGATTCGGGATAACCGCGTCGATCTCCTGACTCTCCTGCTGGCGCATGGAGCGGATCCTAACCAGCGTGGTCAAGACTGGCCCGTGTGTATGGCCGTCCGGTCTCCAACACTCCTGCAACAGATCCTCCCCGCCGTGACAGACCTGTCGGCACACAAAGGCGTCATGGAGATGGCCGTGTTGGCGAACCAGCTAGAGAGTATCAAGTTGCTGCTCGCTGCGGGTGCCAGCGTCGAGTACAAGAACGGCGGTGTTTTCTCCCCGTTAACGACTGCGCTGCGCGAGGGCCACGAAGATATTGTGCGGTTCCTGCTGAATGAAGCCGGCGCAGACCCCAATGCGCCTGGTGAGCATCTTCCAATTGTCAAGGCAGTCCGCAGATGCCACGATGGGGACTTCAAAATGATCGAATTGCTGCTCGAGAAGGGCGCAGACCCGAACATAACTTATCGGGACTGGAACGCGGTAATGGAGGCCATCGAGAACCGAGACCTGAGGCTCCTTCAACTTCTGGCAGAAAAGGGTGGAGGCGTCGATCTTGAAAAGCAAGATGAGACTGGCAAGACAGTAATGCAGATGGTGGATGCATCTGGTTGGAGTGAAGCAACACAGCTTCTACTCGACAATGCGCGCCGATGAGGAGGTTTTAATGGCTGAGACTATATACCCAATTTTCCTTTGTCTATACCGAAAGATAATTTGCCAGAGAGGATATTTGAAGTAGTTGACTTCGTACCAAGTCAACGTCCGAGGAACCATTTCTACGAGGCTGCCATGGAAGAAGGTCAGTGAAGACCAAACACCGATGCGTTTGCAGAGAATCACCTGACCATGGCTGTGCCTTCCAATATATTGTTGAAATGTGAAGTACCATATACTTGGATTTCACCTGCAATGTAAATACCACTATAGTAATGAAGTAGAGCAAAGAGCTTTGTCGAAAAGGAAACCATCAAGCGATTTAGCAGGTTGTGTGAAAAGATCTGTGCTCTGATCGATCCGTGGATGAGGATTTTGATGGCGCTCGAATGAAATGCTATGTGACCACTAAATACCTATCCATGTATATATTCTATATTCTATACCGATCCCTAGCTTACACTGCTTAAGATACATAGATTGCTTGAATTACTGGAATTAATTCAATTACTTCAACTGCTTCAATTGTTAAATTGATTGAATTACTCTTGGGTCATCCCATTGTTTCGCTGCGCATATCTTTCCAGCCCATTACAAGAGAGGCTGGAAGTCCCTCATATTTACCTAACAATAACTTCATGCCTTCAAGAATACGACGTTTTGAAGGAAGCAATCAATACCGAAGTCAAACCATCATAACTTGTACTATGGATGGCACCAAGTCCACCCAAAACACTCTTGTATGTACCGTACAAACGGGTGTTCGAGACGCTCATTCCCAAGATCCCAACTGGACAAAAAGTGCCTAGATCGCACGTTATATAGCTACTACTAAAGGTGCCAGTGTTCACAACCACTGCGCTGTGACAACTCTCCGCGGTGGGCTACACTCTGGTGGCATATTGGCTATCTAGTCTAAGGGCTCATGCCCTTCATTTTATCCGGTGCCTTTCGGACATGGTTCCGAATTTGTCTGAAGAAGACAAATACCAGGTATGTATTGTCTATGTTAAGCTTGACCTACTTTCAAAGAAGGCTAACAATGTCTACTATTGGATAGATATCCCGCACAGGAATTCAATGCCAGCAGTATAGATGAGTATGAAAGGGTGTTACGGTGTAGAACCCTACCAAGTAAGATAGTCTCTGATCTTAAGTGTATCTATACTGATGACAATGTCTTATAGAACCCAGGATATGGTGGCGAGTAATTGTGGAGAATTGTTGTTGGTTCAAACTGCAACAAGATACAGCATTACGGCACCTCAAAAAGCCTAAATAGCTTGGGCCAAACTATTGACGACTTCGAAAGGGCATACGAACCGATAAGTCCCCTACGTATGATTATCTCGGATCTTGAGTCGAAGCTATATTCCTGGGAAGATCTTGTGGCACGGGGAAGTGGTGAAGGGTGCTAGGAGAAGACCGCAGGCGCCCGCCAATAGTTAACAGGTTCCGGGGAGGTATCAGATTGGGAGCAGAAATAGAATTGAGAGAGTTGTCTTGTCAATTGGTTCTTAGAAAAACGGGTGCAATAGCTGGAAGGCTTTTTGTTTTCCTAGTCTCAAAGTCTTTGTCTCGTCGTTACACTCTCGTGCCGTGACCCTAAGGCACGCCCATAAGAGATAGCCGAATCTCATAGGATAGTTGAATCAGAAAAGGCCTCCATTCTCTTCATGGGCCGCGCCAATCGGTATGTGTAGGAATGCGTGTGGAATTGCCCATGAAGTCAGTTCTTCCAAGGGATCTCAGTGTATCTCGCAGCATGATTCTCCTAGCCATGCCTTCACTTCTCCGAATCATCGGTTCTGATCAGGCGAAATTGCATTGTATCTCGCTCGGGTGGTGTCATCCAAGGAAGGACGTAATCTTTTCTTGTCACCTCGACAAGTTCAAACTCACATTTGCGCAAGACCTTAACAGACGCCTCATTCTCCGTATCGCAATATGCCTCCAACACCTTGAATTGCGGCTTGCATGACCAGAAGAGTTCCACAAACGCCTTCAATGCCTCCGTTGCAAATCCCAGCCCCCAGGTCGATCGGTGAAAAATGAAGCCCAGCTCTGGGAGCGGATCCGTTCTCCATGTGCCCACCCATCCGATAAACCCACCATGCGCCGAAATATCATACGTGTGGTTATCTTCGGTGCCTTCTTGACTCCCCTGGAGCTGGTTTGAAAAGGCTTCTAAATCCACATCTCGTCGGAGAAGTACCGCATAGTTCTCGCCAACGGGGTTTTCCTCGAGTAACAAGCTGGACATCCACTGTCGCGAATCGTCCAGTGTCTTGCATGGGCCATGGGCGCTCCATCGGGTGGCCACCGGATCGGACCAAATAGCATGGTAGCCAGCCACATGGTCCTCTGTTAAACGGACGAGTTGTAGTCGTGCTGTCTGCATCTTGGGGAAAGGTGAGTGAGTGACAAGCACAAGAAGACCGCGATGCAGGATTATAAGATAATAAGACCGAGGAAACCAATGGCGCCGCCAACTTCGGAAGGAAGAAGAAAATATGAAAAATACAGGTGGAGAAGACGAAGCAGGAGATGAAAGAAAGAGAAGTATGGTTCTTGCCGTTACAAAGCAAATGGACTTCGTATGTTCGGACTGACTCAAAGGGCTGCGGGCACCGTATGCAGTTAGACAAGTTGAAAATCTATTTATAGTAGTCAGATATAGTGATGCCGAACAAAGCACGTACGTACTAGTACTAAACAGAGTATATACCGTTGATGTCGCTATATTATGCTACAGCATTGTAGTGTCCGCCATCACTCAAGGAGACTTATATTTGTAACAATACGATACAACGTTCGTCACCTGATATACCTGGTTCGAAGACAGACGCATAAATCATGATACAGAGTAAGAGGATATAGTCCGACAACTCTATCACAAATGCAATCTTTCTTAATCTATTTGACGCTACCCCGATTTTCTCTATGCATGTTGCTGAGCTTTGTGAATGAGTTTTACACAGTCGATGAGACCGTGCTCCTCCTCAAGTCCTCCCGGTAGCCGACTAACCACTTTGACCGGCTTCTCGAGTCGTAGCTCGACGTTCTTCTCGCCATCACTTCCGATGGTCCATGAAACGGTCGCAACATTGTCCTTACCCAGCGCAACCTTGGCCTGTATTGCGTCACTAAGTCCAAGGCGCGGTTTGAAGAGAACTTTAGTTGACCCTGGTGCGATAGGTCGAATACCAGCCAATTCCGTGCAGTACTCGTAGATGGGCACACTAGACCACGCATGACAGTCTGACCGCTGTCGAACATCATCCTCTTCCCAGGTTGACAGATTGTTGACTAGCATGTTGCGCCACGGGTCCCACAGCTGGGGCCAGAAGCTGTCGTAGACCTGATCGCCAGCTAGAGACAACGCACGCAGTGCATAAAATCGCATCATATAGGAGCATTTTGCGAAGCGAGAGTCCGCGAACGATTCGGTTAGAATGCGAGCCCGATCCTCCGGTCGCGCTGTCCCAGACAAGACCGCAAAGACCTGGCAATGTTGTGAATAGGACAATTCGTCAGCGATGTTGGCCATGGAATCGGTGAAGAAGCGTCCGTCGTAACAGTGCGCTCGAACGGCTTGTTGCAGCGCGCTCGCCCGTGCTTCGTACTCCTCGGCATAGCCCGGTCGGCCAACGTCGCGCACAAGCTGTGCAGCCTGTTGGAGGACATAAGCGTATAGCATACTGAAGTACGTATGTCGGTTTGATTTGCGACCAGAGGTGGGCACCCCTTTGTCAGGGTGATCCTCCGTCGCACCCCAGGTCGTGACCCAGTCGACATACTGCCACACATCCTCGGGGAGCCCGCTTACAAGGCCAAAATTATCGATATGTGAGTCGAAAAAGTCGAGGACGCCGTCGATCCGAGGGAGGAAGGAACGAGCAAAGCGAGTGTCGCCGAAATATAGATGGTGATCGCACACCTGCAGGACCCAATACAACGGGAAGCCAGCAATAAGCTGAGGAACGTGAGAGGGGAAGCGCGACTGGGTGAGACCCTCAAAGGTGACTGAAGCTGCAAAGTTTGTGATAGCTTGTCGCATCAGCCGGTCGTCACCCGAGAGTAAATAGTGAAACAAGCCGACGGCGCGACTGTCGCCGGAGTATCTGCCAATGTTAACCTCTCCCCGAATACGATCGGAATGACATGGCTGGTAATGGACTAACTGAAGTTGCTCATAGAATGGACAGTCCGAGTATCCGTCAAACATGCAGTTTCGCATGGTGCGAATTGACACGTCCCATATCCGTTCACTGTATTCATCGCCAGACTCGGCCCAGCTGGCCTTGACGGCGAGGGGATAATTCACTTGCGTCGCTTCCAACGGCAGGATACGGACCGGCTCCTCTCCCACAGTGATCTCGACCCGAAGAAGGCGAAATGTTCGGAACCAAAAAGGCTCATACACCACGGTGTGCGTGTCAGGAATATCCAACGTGACCGCGTCGTAAGGGCCAAGGAGATGACCAGCCTTTGCATCTAGCCGGTCGGTCTTCTTGCGAAAGAACGGATAGGAACGGGGCTCCAGCTCGTACCCTTCCGAGTACGTCACTTTCATTGTAATCTGCGACGAGCTAGTTAGACCTTGAAAAGCCCATCGGAGGAACGCAGTTGAATGTGTATCGGCCTGCAATTCCAGCATGTGCGAAGAACGTGCACGAAGGGTCAATGGCCCACTCCCCGATAAGCAAGATGCCCACTCGTCCGCACTAATAGAACTCTCGCAGGCGCGTATCACGTTCACAACGATGGAGTTCTGATCAGGCATTGGAATTCCGCGTGGACGTAAACGCCAGGGTGGGAGATCACCATTTAGCGTTTTGATCCCATATGTTCTTGGGGTCACTGCTGGGCTATAGATAGTTGGGGCAACTCGTTCGTATATCTGTCAAAACGAGTGAATGAGTGCAGCCTTCAGGACTATAGGATGAACCCAGCTTACGTGTAGAAATCCGTCATCTATCAGACCCATGGGAAACTGGATACTCTCATCCACTTGTGCCTGCCATCCCTTCTGCGAATCCAGTTCCACAACATGACTGCCTGTCTCTACACGGCCGACTACCGTGAGTCCCGGCAAGGTCGTCCTCTCAAATGGCATTGCGCCGCGCGAGGATGCAAAGTATCGCACCACCACGAACCGAATCACATTCTGTCCACGGTTGAGATAAGGTGCGATGTCGAGAGTGTCATAATACCAGATCCACGGACTGCTTCGCGCTGGTCCGACAGCGACACGGGTCCCATTGACATAGAGCTTATATCGCGTATCCGCAGAAAAATGCAACTGCGCGCGGGTGGGACGCTCCGGAAGGTCGAGCTCACGGCTGAAATGGACAATTCGCCCCGTGGTATTAACTCGCGACGAATCAACCCAGTCTGGTGTCCAGATCCAGTTGGCCTGGAGGGAATTGATGACCTGGTGAGACGTGTTAGTAGGTCATAGATGTGTCAATGGACTTTTGTCTCGGTCGCGCATACTTTCTGTTCCTCGGGTGTCACCATATTGTCTAAACCAGAGGTGTTCTTTCCACATGTGAGTGTGAGTTCAACGATTCGTATTTGAAGGCATTTGTCGGTCCATGTCGCGTGTGAGGGGCTTGCCTTGTCTCGGGCTATTATCTCCCGAGTTCTCGGTTAATTAATTGCATATCATGTGCGTCGTAAAATCTGATCTATGCGTTATTCAAAGACGAAGTTTTGTACCTGAATACCGAGAAAGGAAAAACAAGAAGAAGAAGAAAAGAAAAAGAAGAAAAGAGAACATAGGGTACTCAAGCGGAAATATAGGAAGGTCTAATGCCTCGGTTAGAACGAATAGCTGCATGCATCAAACACCGGAATCGATAAACACAAGAGGCATGAGTCATGAGGTGACACTAGAGTCAACGTAATATTCCCTTTGCTTGATTCAAACTCGTAGATTGTGATCTGTCTTGTCAAACATCTGGAAAGCTCGTCCATATTCTCTATGACCTGCAACCAGCAACGCCTCTCTTTCCCATCCGACAAGGGTTGACAAGAGCATGCCATGGGAATAAAAAACGTGGATTCCTTAGGAAACACATTCAATTATGCTAGCTGGCGAAGTGGTTAAAATACAACCGAATAACCTCTCTCATGAAATGTCTAGCAAGATCCCGCTGGGAATCCTGACACAAGCAATAACCATCGTGACCACGTGAAGAAGACAGGATACGTGATTCAGGTTTATCAGGTAGGAATACAGGTCCTCTCTCCAAGCATGCGACGAGTTTGCAAAGCCAGTCTAAGCGGCAGTAGCCTTTGGGGTGATGATGGTTGTGGTGGTCACGGTAAGGGTAACGGTTGCTTGCGGGCCACACGCATTACTGGTAGGTATGATGTTAGCCTGAGTCGTTACGGTGGTCGTCTCGGTCACAGTCACGTAAACCGGTTCAAGGTTGCAGGAAGTTGGGGAGGTAAGAGGACTGCTGGCCGGGAGGCTGGGCTCGGGCGTTGAAGATGTCGTCGGTTCTGCAACAGTCACCCCGGTTGTTGTGGAAGAAAAGACCGAGCTAGACGAGACGCCGTGGATGGTAGCAGACTCTGATACAGTGGCAGTCACAGCCGATGCAGACCAGGAGCCTGACGGGGCGACAGAAACCCCATCAGCCTTGACCACATTCGAGCCACCGTCCGGCCATACGCGAGGCCCGGGCATGGTGTAGTTGGTCCAATAAGGGCGATACATGTAGAAGAGAATACCAGGTTCATAGCCATCATAAACTCCCGGGATCTTGACAACGGGTTGGGGAATAGCGGTGCTATCGCTCTCGACTTCGATCTGCGCGCAGTTGAAGTAGAGCTCCGCGCCACCCCACTCACCGGCACCATGTAGGGCAATATGCTCGATGCGAACCAAGTATTGACCGGCAGGGGTCTCCTTGGGCAGGGTGAAAGTGAAGTTTGATCTACCTGTAACTCCCCATTCGATGCCATCACTGCCGAACGATGTCGGGCCTAACTCATATATTTTGAACCAGTCGCCGGACCCGTCATAGTCGCTCACGTCCCCAGGCGCCTTGGATAGGTAGACCTGCATCGGTCCGGGATGCTCGATCAACGCGCCAAAATCGGTGCCGAAGCCAATGGTGTCGCCGGCCTTGACCTTGTAGACGTCGGTCTTGCTGGCAAACTCCTGTGAACCAACATTGCAGCGGAAGTCAGTGCTGTCGTAGCCGCCCTTGTAAGGCATGTAGCCCTGGGTATCCTCGCGTACGTATTCGAAATACTCGGTGAAGTTGCCGTTGGCAATGAAATTGGGGAAGAAATAGTGAGCGGATACTATAGGCGCGGCCGCCAGGGCAAGCGCAAGCTGGAACTTCATACTGATGCAAAGACCGAAAATCTATCAAAGAATGTAGTTCAATCGCCAGGACTGATGATTGAAAAAAAAAAAGGACAAAAAAGAAAAGAAAGAAAAGAAACACGAAAAGCAAAGGCTTTTAACGACTATCCATCTTGGATAGTAGACTACATTGAACTCTGGTACGGCAGAATTGACGGCATGAAGAGCCGGGAAATTGAGGATTAGAACAGCCAGCTCGGCTACTAATCTGACACGACTAGGCGGAACTATAGAGCCACCGTTGTTTCAGTCCTAGGACCGTGGAGCACAAATGCTCTTATAAAGTTCAACGTTCCAGCAAGAAAGCGAAGTAAGCCTATTATACTAGACACTGCAAAGGGCCCTCTCCAACTATCCAGGGATGGTCATGGGTAAGAGCTAAGTCGGTCAGCCCTACTTGCAGAATGGATAACTGCCGGACCCAGCAGGGACTTTAGCCGGTGCCATTCTGCCTGATCAGCTCGTTTTGTGTGGGTAAACAGCTCTTACTACGGAGTACGTAGCTCCCTATACCTAACCACCGTGGACTTAACCTGCGATCTGACGCGACTCAAAATCTTAATTTAACTCATCAACCGAAACACTGAAAGTACCGAAAAGCTCAATTTATTTAGTGGGCAACTAGAGGGCTAATTTATATTACCTATATCTACTTTACAAAATAACATCTTCAAGGCATGCGGGAGGCAGCGCATATATAAATTACCTGGCTCAACTACATCCGATTCAACGAATGGCGGCAGTTTCCGCTTGGACCACACGCAAATAGCCAATTTACGACTATTTCTGAAGAAGAATCCGTAGTACTTTGTGCCATGGATTTTATTATTGGATCGACATGGAATATCCAAGAATTTATGACGAAAGTTGCGTGGAGAGTGCAATTGCGGTAGTGAACAATCGGCATATACTAGTAAGGTTAAGCAGGATTAATTTAGAGCCAGATGATCAATGTCCTGCTATTAACTAATTCCAGAGAATTGAATAATTGGTTCTTCGCTTGATGCAGACCATAATAAGGTTGCCAGATGTACCAACTAACATTTAACTATGATTAATGAACTAGGTTCCACTGTATTATTGACTAGCTCGGTGCTAAAGATCCCTACCACTCTCAATATACTAGTCCTGCTGTATTGTACCGCTTCTAATAATTATACCATCTACGAACGTATGCTTTCCTTCCACACTACTAACCATAAAGTGCGTGGCAGGCGTAGCTGAATCGCAAAACGCCAAGCGGCCAAGATTTCGGCAAAAAATTCGTAGGTTGAGCTGAGCGTAAGTTAGGCTGCTGCCACATGCCGCTTGCGTCAATGACCAAAGTCAAAAAAACCTTATTCACCCAAACCAGACCATTCCTCCTTCATAACTCTGCAATAGCATCATGAAGTCTCCTATCCCCGACTATCTTCGCCAGGTATTGGAAAAGGCCCGCCCAGAGGAGTCCGGAAACCTTGCCAGCTATATCGATGTGCTGGCGAAAGCGGACCCCTCCAAAATGGCCGTAGCGCTGTCGACGGTAGACGGGAATCTATACTCGGCCGGGGACGACGAGGTCGAGTTCTCGATCCAGTCAATTTCCAAAGCCTTCGTTTATGCCCTGGCAATTGAGGATGCCGGACTGCCACGTGTCTTGGAAAAGGTCGGGGTGGAACCATCGGGCGACGCATTCAACAAGCTGTCGTTGCAACCTGGTACAAATCGACCAATGAACCCCATGATCAATGCCGGTGCTATCGCCTCCCACACCATGGTGGTGGGCGAGAATGCCACGGCAGAGCAACGGGTGGATCGCATATTGAAGGCATTGTCCAAACTGGCAGGTCGGGAGCTGCAAGTAGATGAGGAAGTCTACGAGGCTGAACTTAAGGACGCCAATCGAAATATCGCCATCTGCTACATGCTCAAGGCAGCAGGCATCATTTCGTGTGATCCACAAGAGGCTGTCCGCGGGTACATCCGCCAATGCTCTATCAAAACCAATGTGCGTGACCTCGCTATAATGGCAGCAACGCTTGGCAATGCCGGCGTACATCCTATCACCGGAGAGGAGATTATGCCCCACGAAAGCGCCCGCCAAGTCCTCTCCGTCATGACTACCTGTGGCATGTACGATTCCTCTGGGGCCTGGGTGTCCAGGGTTGGCATGCCCGCTAAGAGTGGCGTGGCCGGCGGTATCATCGGCACTCTGCCCGGCCAAGTGGGCATTGCCGTCTTCTCTCCGAAACTAGACGAGCGTGGCAACAGTGTCCGAGGTGTCAAAATGTTTGAGCAGCTCTCATCCGACATGGGCCTACACATGATGGACAGCAGCCAGGTTGGAAGAGCCACCGTGCGTACATGGACCATGACCATAGCCGGCGGCGCCGATCAACCCCACGAGTGCGAGCAGGAGGTGCCCGTCTTTGGTCTGCGAGGCGCAGTCCGTTTCGCAGGTTCTGAACGCCTTACTCGCGCTATTGTGCGCGACCTCACCCCTCCGACCTCTGCCAACCCCGAGTATGGGCGATACAGTAATGCTTGTGCCGTTATCTTCTCGTTCAAGGACACTTATTCCCTAAACTATGTCGCCCAGCGAATCATTAGTGAGGATACCCGCCGCCTTCTTGACGCAGGTAGAAAAGTGGTGGTGATAGACCCTGCCAACGTCCTAAAGATTGACGGTAACCCTGCTTTTAACACGATATCTCCTCACGTGGTCAGTGATGAAGCTGACGCGCGTCATTATATTGGTGGTCAAGGCTGCAGAGCCATAGCTATTAGTGAGGATAGGTAATTGGTGATGGAGACTGGGCACTGCTTTATATAGAGGAGGGAGGTCTTCGTGCTTTTTAATTGTATTGCAACAGTTCGATAATATCAGTATCTCCTTGCTGTGTAGAAACCCATGAACTCAATAGATATCAGACGGATAAATGTTATGGGGTCATGATGCTTGATGAAGATTCCCCTCGGAGATAGATACTGGCTACAGGACGTCAGATGCCGGAGATAAGGATCTGACTCGGTGGAGACTAATCCTCATTCGGCAGTCAAATGCGGTCCGCTTTCTCAATTATGCAGAGTACAATTTCGAGAATCCTTGATTCCACTTCTGCTAGAAGCATATCTGTGGTGCGATTCGGCAACTTACCCCACTGGCATGGATGTTACGCAGATCTTGACCATGCTAGCGCTACTCGACTTCTACTGGAGTGCAATCTCCAGAATAAGAAACAGGAAATGAGCTTAGACACGCCCCGTGCCGCCTGGCAGACACAGCCCCACGATTGCTCACACCGCGTGTTCTAGAGCGCGTTGGAGAGTTGGTACTTTGGTCAGGTACGTGGATAATGAATCAAGTCGCCCGAAGAGGAATCATATCTATACTGTTTAAATTCGCGAGTTGACATAGCAAAGCCATGCATGCTCTCAAATCCCCTGGGAGCTACCGGAAGAGTTCTACTACTTAGACTTATTTTCAGTCTACAGGATCAACAGTCTTCAGTCTTATATATTGTACAGCATCTAATATCTGCGAAGACAGCCAAGATCATATCAAAGATACGAATTCCTCACACAAGTTAGTCCATTTGCTGCCCTTCTTCAGGCCAATATCATACCCCGTTTGCTATAAGGGGAATAGAGCAATTTAACTGATCCACTTGATCTGCGCTCTGGTGTTGCTCCTACGTCTCATAGTAGCAACACGCGTCACTCCGGATAATGTCGCAAGCGGACGGTAATCTCGTTCGACTGTCATTTACCCCAGAATGCATGATAAATACCCAAGGGTGCCCCTAAGAATCTATACATATGAGCCTTTGAGAGCAGATCTAGTATTCTCCCTGTGTTCATTTAATTCGAGTATTTACTCTCCTTGACAAAGAATGGTCTTCTCCAAGGGAGCAGCTCTTGCTGCTCTGTCCTCTCTTATGACTTTTACCCAACCCGCATTTACCAGTTCCAATGGGCAATTGCCACTTCTGAAAGATTTCGATGAGACTGGCACACTCGGTGCTCTCTACCAGCCCAACTCTGCAAGCGCACGATCACGCATCGCCGTCTACGTTATGCATGCGGAGCAGGACTACACTGCTTTTGTGGCCTGTACAGAGCTGCCTAAGCGCGGTTTCACTACTTTCTGCGCCAACAATGAAGCTAGCAAGTATGGATATATGTCCGACCTGAACTTTGAGGACATGATGGCAGAAATCAACACCGGTATGGCCTGGCTACGCAACCTGACCGACATCGACAAGATTGTTATCCTCGGCCATAGCGGCGGCGGCGCAATGATGGCAGCATACCAAAACATCGCGGAGAACGGTGTATCAGCCTGCAATGGTGCTGAGAAGATCTACCCCTGCTCCGACGCGATGGCTAATCTTGAACCTGCTGATGGCCTAATGTTGCTAGATGCCAATTACGGTCTTTCGACTATGGCGTTACTGAGCCTGAACCCTGCGATCGAGGATGAGACCGATGCATCTAAGTTGAACCAATCCTTGAGTGTCTACAACCCTGCCAACGGATTCAACAATAATACCCAGTCGAACTACACCGCCGACTTCAAACACCGGTTCCAACAGGGTGTCGTGGCACGGAACAACTGCATCTTACAGTATGCCCAGAAGCGCCTAAAGGCACTCGAGGCCGGCAAGGGAATGTTTGGTGACGATGAGCCCCTGACTATCCCAGCTTCACTCTATATTGGATTCAACAATCTATTCTTTGCCCAGGACACCCGGTACCTGCACCACACCACATATTCCTGGCCTTTGCTCCGTAAGAACGGCACCACAACGTAAATTGTCCCTTCTGTACGCGTCCCCGGTAACTTTAAGGATTACTCCAACAACTGGCAGAGCGGGGCGCTGAAGACCACCATCCGTCGATTTTTATCTACCTTTGCCATCCGCGTCACCGACAAATTCAACATCAAGGCAGACAACATAGAGGGCATTGGCTATGCCTCGAGCCAGACAGCACCACATGCATCCGTTCAGGGTATTCGCGTACCTCTTCTAACCATGGGCATGACTGGTCATTACGAGTACTTAAATGCTGAGAAGCTCCACCTTAATGCCATCAGCAATGACACTGCGATTGCCTTCGTCGAGGGAGCTCAGCACACCATCAACACTTGCACCGAGTGCGAGTCCTATCCGGGTGAATTTGGGGACACTATTGTGACGTGTTTCGATTATGTTGCGGAGTGGTTGGCGAAGCCAGGGTGCTTCATCTAGGCTTTGTGAATTGCTGATATGTCTCCTGTACATATAATAAGCTTGTCTAGCGCGAGATACTACACGGTATTTAATGGTGGCTCCAAATACACTCTTTAGAGGCCCAGGACTTCTTTAATGTCTTTCGTGGCGTGTTACAAACGAAGCGAACATTGCGAGCAGGCGTAAACGAAATCACTACTATTCAATCATGGAATCGCTCATCCAGTTACAAACAACAGGTATGTGCCCCTATCCTCGCCCGGGAAGAAAGACTCTGGTTTTAAGCAGATGCGACCGTCGCAAATGACTAGGGAGCTAACACGCCACAAGGTGCAGTTTTGTTTCCGCTGGAACTGCTTCAAGAAAAGCCCCTACATCAATACCAAACATTTTAGTATACTCAAAGATCTGGTAGAACCAGTCGCGCTCAGGGAGATTATAATAGTCCAAGTACCCGAATGCAATTGACGCCGGAAAGGAGATCGCACCAGCACCCAAGGCAATTGTCTTTGGCTGAAGGAAGTATTCGGCAGATTTGGCAATGTTAACGGCCATTTCTTGCATCTCTTGTGTATTACAAGGGAACGGAGGGAACGGAGGCCGACTCCCCTCGGGTGCCTTCGTTAGACAGCTCACATATAGCATACCGAGATTGCTGCAGAGAAGGACATGAGAGGTCCAGTATAGTAGGTAAATATGACCCGTCTCAAAGTCAGAAAAATAGATGCTTGTCGGGGGGAAACTTTCCTGTGCGATGGTGTGGCTTGACTGAAAGCTGGCAGGTTGTTCCCAGTATAGTTTGCTAGGGTAGTCGCTTTTGTATGCCTCATACCAGGCTCGTAGACGTGCAGAGAGGCTCAGATATTCCTCGCAGACTGTGTACAGCTTTCGCAAATTCTGAGGAAGATCTGACGCGTTAAAAGCCGAGTCAATCATCTGCAATAAAGCTGGAATTTCCACCATCAGGTCTAGTAAGTATTGTTTCGGTTCCTTCTTATACCCCTTCCAGGGAAGAGACGTCCATTCCGGCGTTGCGAGGTATGTGGGCTTCCTTGTTCCAATACAGTGGATCATCTGAAATGAAGCAAATTAGTCCTGGGGTTGTACACCAACATCGCAGAACGTACAGCAGAAAGCCGTAATCCGTCAAACAGTCTATGTCTCGCCGGGGACCATTCAGTGTCCAGACCTTGTGAGTGAACCAATGAGAGGGCCCCGTGGGTATGGCTCGCCCAACCCAGGCCTCTGCTTGAGGATCCTTCTAGAATCTGTAATGAGGGCCTGCTGTTAGCACCGACACGACTACTAATAGGATGGAAGCCCTGCCTCATAGATTGCCAAGAACATCATACTTGCTAGGTTCTCGTCTCGGAGGCCCCGGGTTCCATTCTGAATGGATCTGTGAAGCTGTCTTAGTGATTGGGAATATGATTCTGAGCTTATCCGAGTCAAACGAGGATCCTGGGAAAGGTGACCCATTCGAGCCGCACCAAGGGCTAATAAAGCTGAGTTCAAACTCGGCTCGTCTACATCGAGGTCAGGAGTAAAGGCCATCCAGTCGATATAGCTCGACTTTCCAAAAACGTCTAGCCCCGTTTGGATGACATTGTTATGGAAGTATGCGCCACAGTAATACGCAACCGCAGAGCGCTGGAGGGTAAGGGCATGGGAGGATAGCCCACTGCTGCACACGCGATGTGCGACCGCAAGCTCTGACCAGCTATCAACCTTTCGACTGTGGGATCTGACTTCCGTGGTCGAACTAGACTCCGGTGCCGCTTGACTGGAACGACATTTGTCCTGATAGGATACATTTATGAACTTCATTTCGCGCGCATACCCCGGACAGGAAGTGTTTCGCGACAGACATTGGCCACACGATGGTCGCTGTTCGTCGCACTATTGATATAGTTCAGTGGGACAGCTCAGTATCAGCCTAAGAATGCCACTCACACGCTTCTTGCGCCTCCGGCATGCATGACAGCCTTTCGAGCCTCCTGCGATTCGTGCCATTGCATCAAGAGGAATGGTATCAAATGCTTTGTTCTACTCTATTGCACACCGAACATAGATTGAGACCCAGATTCATACCCTTCAGAGGATCATTTGTGGCCCTTACATAGACCATATCGTGGGGCTGTGAAGGTTGTCCACGGAATACGAGGTACAATGGATCTGGTGCCAAGGTTGAAACAAAGTCCAGAAAACATTGGACCATTTGGCCCGGCGCAATACATTTCCTAACTTGGTATGGCTCATACTGACTAAGAGATTGCCCACGTCGTGGTTGGTCGTTATATATAGCGTCATATTCTAGTTAGGTAGGCTTCAATATATCCATTCATATACATGGAAGACCAGATACATTCATGATCAGGAAGCGCAAAACCTTTCTCGATCCAGTAGTTAGGAGTTACGATGGTGCCTAAAGCTCAATACTTCAACAATCTTGTTAACTCAAAAATTGAACCTGATAGAAACGTTATCATCTTGATAAATAGGTGGTTTAGAACATATAAATAAAGCAGTTTCCGGAATATCACACTCCCTCACTGCTTCTACAAATCACTTCATCTTTGATTATCAACGATGGACCGTGTTCCTTCAGGTACTCCTAAGGCCAGGCCCCGCTGGCTCGAAAAGCTATACAACACTTTGGGATTCAAAAAAGGGTATAACCTCATTCTATGTATGTCCCGTTTTGCGACCCGCGTGTGTATAACGACAAGACGCTCACCGTATCTCAGTCTTCATCTTCGGCGGTGCTTGGATGGGATTTACGCTTGCTCGTCTGGAATTCCTAGACTTCTCCACGTTTTGCGAGAATGCAGCGCCCGGGGAGTGCTTTTACTATAAGGGGCGGGGATACGTAGGACTATACCTACACCTCGGTTGTATACTTCGTATGCATCTTCACACGGAAATGTCTTCAATCGAGTCGCTAATATCATGTCAGCCGCTGCCTTCCTTGCCTTCTTCCAATTTATCCCAACCATCCGATACAGGGTTATACTGTTCCACCGCATCAATGGTTATATCATCATCCTGTTGGTCTTGCTCTCGCATGTTGGGACTTTCATGATTGCAAGACATGCTTTCGGAGGACTCATTCCCACCCAAGCCGCCATAGGCCTTCTGGTGATTATATCGACCTGTGCCATTGGCATGGCATACTACAATGTGAAGCGACTACAGCTAGAACAACATCGAGCCTGGATGTTACGGGCGTTTTTCTATGTAAGACCACTTTTCTCCAAAGAAACCTCCTCTGCGAACCTACTAAACATCGTCTCCTCACAGATGGGATGTATCATCACCGTGCGCATAATCCTCATCATATCAACGACCATCATCTCAATCTCACCGAGCTATTACATGGCACAACCGTGCGACAAAATCGACTTCATGATCGGAAAAGAACAAACACTCGAGCGCTACCCCGACTGTGCCAGCTTTTACAACGGGTCGCAGCCGGCACAGAATGCCCTTGTCCTGGGCGACTTTAATGGCGATGCGGACAGAATAGGAACCGCCATGAACTTGAACTTCGGGATGGCATTTTGGCTCGCCTTGTTTCTTCATGTTATTGGTGTGGAGATATATGTAAGTTCAGCAGAGTCGATGCTTCTCTAGCTAAGTGTAAGGTACCACGGAAGCTGACTTGAATCGCGAATCTCACTAGCTGCAATTAACCCCGAGAGAATCTCAACGGCTGCGCGAGATTTCCTACGCTCGACAGTTGGAAGCTGGGTTCGAAGACCCTGGGAGGGCGGGTCTCACTGTCGACAAGTTTGGTGATAGTGAGCCTTGGGTTTCTGGAAAGTGATGTCGGTGAATATTGCATGGTACCCTGATCTACTTCCTCGTCTATCTGACCCCGTTGAATTGCGGATAGCCCTTTATTGAAAGAATTGTACCTAGTGAAGTTAATGCTTTTAGTGTTCTGCAGCCCTATATATGAGATTGAAGATAGGGTTATGTTTTTAAACTATTCAGTGGGTATGTATGTGGTGTTTGAAATATAACAGAGCATCGAGTACCAACAATTGACGCACAGAAGGACAAGCATATGTAGAGACTTGTAAGGTAGGGTCTTGAAAGATGGAGAGCCCGAAGATATTCACCATTTCGGGTCAAAACTACTCGAGTAAAAGCGATAAAGTCACAAGAATTGGTGATACTCTATCTGTCCTCCTCGTAGTCGGCTGGTAGTAATCAACTCGAATTTCTTTAGGAACACACGCAAATATGAAACCTGGATCAAGGATTGTACTTTTCCTCCTCTGATGCCTTCCCTGCATGTTCAACACCCCATTGGCATAGGACATTGTTCGATGTGAAGCTGGAGCTTGGGAAGTAGTTAATGGAACTTCCGGCCTTCTACCTTCACAACAGGGCCTTCATAAACCTTCCTCGCAACCAGCCAATACAATACTGCAGATAATCCCATGACCCCGACAAACAGAACCGGTGCCCAGTTCAGAGTTTCCGCAGTGACCTCTCCGTTTACAGGCCAAAAGCTCCAGAAAAATGCCCACAAAGCATACACGAGGGCTAGTATGTTTATTGGCATGCCGAATCGACCAAGCGACCAACGGGAAGGTGGTAGCGGTGGAGACTTTGTTATACGGCGCACGATAACACAAGCAATGGAGATCATATATGTAGCCATGAGAGGGCTGGTCGAGAGTGATAGCAAGGCGTTCATTGCGACTCCAGAACCAATATTGATGAGAAACATAATGAGTGAGAAGGCGCATGTTATGATAACCGAGTTGACGGGGATATGGAGTGTCGGGTGGACCTATTCACGATATCAGTATTGAATATACCAACTACTGCAACCTATGAGGAACTTACAGCTCCAAGCCAGGCAGAAAAAGGTAGGCCATTATCGCGAGCGAAGGCGAATGTCTGTCGCGATGCTGACGCTATGCAGCTAATAGTGATCATGAAGAATAAGAGGAGGATGACCACAACTAGGATACTTGCACCGGTTACATTCTTCGTAGCCTCAGAGAACACATGGATAAATGGTAGACCAGTAGGAGAGTCAAGGGCTTCTTGCATGTTGGGCATTATAAATAGATATGTCAGAACTGAACCAATGGCAAATGGCATATTGAGGAAGAATGATAGGATCATGGATTGAGGAACTGTAACACCAGCGTTCTCAATCTCCTCAGCTGTGATATAATTAGCCACTCATGAGCTCCCATACTAAGTAATGGGAAGATCTTACACATATGTGCGACCGAGTCAGAGCCTGGTGTAGGACAGAATCAGCAATAGCCTGTTGAAGCGCGAAGTTAGGACGCTCACCCATAACAGTAAACATTTGGGACACCTGTCCTATCATCACTGCCAAAGATGGGTTCTCCCATCCAGCTCCGTGATCCTTGAACCCGAAGAATACGTCTTGTGCCTTTGCCTTGGGAGCGAGGACAAGTACAGTGACTATAATTGGAGCAAATGCGAAGAAGTGGAACGTGACAAAGATGCCCTCTGCAAGTGGAAGGTGTTTTGCAGCAAATATATTAAAAAGGCTCATGCCAATTGACGCTGCAGAGACAATCAAGGTTCCTTGCCAACGAGTAGGCACATATGTCTCATTGTTCAAGAAGACCATGCCCTGAATCATTGTTCCGGTTAAATAGGTATCAAATGCCACAACGCTCTGCCAGGCGAGTGCCGAAAGCCATCCTATAGTAAACCCATGTGTTAGTACGCATGGTCAGTTTAATGACATCCACAGCTTTCGCACACCTACCGGAGGCATAGCTAAGAAACCTTTGGTATTTCCTAGGAGCGAATTCAGATACCCACTAGTAAGGAGCTTCAGCTTCACACTTTCTGTCGTCCGGGATAGACTACCTCCATGGTACTGGCCACCTGCGGTAGGTGCCCTATGTGCGCTATATTAGCCCTATAGTCGAAAGCTAAATTGCCGTACTTACATAGAGGACATTTCAGCCAGAGAAAGGACAATAAAAAGCTGTCCGCAGTATGCCCACACCAGCGACCAAAACAGACATGGTCGCCCGCCGGTCCTCAAACCCTGGGAGGTTGATCTGGCATCAGGTTAGCTAGTTTCTGACAGGTGTAGATGTACCTACGTTAGCACATTCTCCCACGTTCCCATGATACATGTGGTGAAGCCAATGGTACTGATAAGCCGGAAGTTCCTCTTTTAAGCATTAGTGCTGTACCTTGAAAGGTGCAGGCAGGCTGGATACAAACCCTCATTTCTTGTTTTTTACCCATCCGATGCATGTCTCTCTGGTCGTTCACCGTGAATCCAGTTCTGACGTCCTTCGATACATCGTCAATAAGACATTCCCTCGTATCAGGCATTGCCTCCACATGTGGGGTGCGGTCCGAGCCCACTTCTTTCAGTTCCAATCGCTCGTTAGCCATACCGACGATGAAGGATACAGATTCACAGATCTGAGAAGGTTGACAGATTGTGGTGAGAATTGTGTTGAGAAATTGAAGAGTGGGGGTATCCTACGCTGCGTCAATTTCACCCCCTGAGGAGGATACGTAAATACGAGCACAGGGTCACATCACCATTGCATCTCGCCAGGTTGTACACGGACTGTAGTGGGTTGTAGTCTGCGTGTGGAAATCTCAACATCGATTGGAACATCTCCCAAACTGCCCAATGGCCTCACTGGTGGCGCATAGCTTGCCTAATATCGCAGTTAAGTTTCAGGGATCATGCACAAAGAATCCCCCCCGTTGGGCCTTTAGTCGTGCGAGGCCTCTTTGGGAACGCTCTAAGTGATTAGAGTCTCGATCTGATAGATCATGCGCTTCCAAGATCCGCCTGCCTCTTGGCGCTATTTCTTGCTTTATTACGGAAGGTACGGCTTGAGGCCGTCGTATTTCCAGACAAGGCAATGCAGGTATAAAGCCATGAAGTTGCACACATATGTGATGTATACTACCTAGTAACCTTCCAACATACCCTTTCACTGGGGCCATGTAATTCTGCGCCTCCCGCATTGCACTAGAGCCATTAATATCTTGATCAGACTTGTTCTAGCCCCGCCCCGTTCAATCTCGTAAGCCGTTTTTCCAAACCAAAGGATAATGTCCGACCGTTTGTGAAACAGAATAATCTGAGCGAACAGAGAAGCGGGTGTGTGCCAAGGAACCCTCTGCTGTCGGGTGCATTTATACACCGTTGCGAGAGTCCAGGATCCCTTGTCCGCATGCCGAAGCCTTGGAAGTACCTCCCTTGGGGTTCTCTTAATAGCCAAAGGGCCTTTTCAAGTATTTGAATGCAGTTTGGTTCCTTTCGTTCCAACTAGAATGGCTTTCCGCACATATGAAGACCATTCCTCCATGGAGTTTACGCCGGATAATCATGTCGCAATCATTGTTATTGCGGCAGTAGTTGGATTGGTCTGGTCGATATTGATGATTATAATGAGAATATACTTGCGATTGCGTCTTATTCCTCCGCTTGGTGTTGACGACGCAGTCGCTGTTTTTGGAACGGTATATAAACAGGCTTATCTCATCTCATCCGTTTCTAATATAAAAACTAACTGATACAACCAAAGATTGCGGGCGTAGTTCAGACATCCGTAACACTGCACGCTGTGCACAACGGCATCGGCAAACAGGAAGACTTACTCGCGCCCGACGACGTTGATACCGGGTTGAAGGTATGTTGTTGAATTTCATTGTGCTTTATAGGATATGATAACCCAGTTACTGACTGTGTCTTATTCGAGTAGAGTATATACATTGCCTGGTTGCTTTACCCAATCGCGATCTGTTCGTCCAAAGTATCATTGGCATTACTTATAGCGCGCCTTACAGTAGTCAAGATGGAGCTTCGCGCAAGCCATGCGCTCGGCGGAATAGGTGTTCTCTGGGGAGTTGTTTCTGTCATTGTGGCAGCAACGCAGTGTAAGCTGCCGCAGCCATGGAACATTGGGGCGTCCCATCAATGCGATAGCATGGTATAGTCCATACCCAGTCAGTCCATATATATTACACAGTATAATCTTTCTAACCTGTCTCATGGTCATCAAGTTCGTCCGATGGACTGTTGTTGAGACGGGAAATATGTTGATCGAGCTGCTAATCCCCGGCCTCATCATTATGATGCTTTGGAATCTTCAGGCACGATTAAAGGCAAAGCTTACAGTCCTGTTGGCCTTTTCAGTGCAACTTCTATGGGTGGTTCAAAACCTATTTCCCTTATCTTCGTGAAAAGGTTCATATCCGAGGTCATACTAACACAGTCTAATACCATGCCTCCAATAAGTGTCGCAATCCCAACAATCTTCCGATTATTACTCCTCCACGAAATGACGACAGAAGACATTCGTAATGACCGGACTTTCGCATTGACTAATACGGTAGTGCTCACCGAAATCACGATGCACTTTTCCCTCATGGCTGCTACCTTTCCATGTCTTCGCAGGTTCCTGCAGGCGTTTGATACTCATCTAGGCGCAACCACGCATATGACTGCTGACCTTGACGGCACAGACAACACTGGTTTAGAGGGAAGTTATGTGCTGAGGTCCTTAGAACGACCCTCTCAGGGAGCAGGGAGCAGCTTCGAGCAGTGGCCTCGAAATAGTCGCCGACCCGGTCGGAAATATCAACCACATACCGTGACAACCATTTCAGCGGGCAGGGATTTGAATCCTCAGTCACATGGGGCCGATGGAGGGAAAAGGGAATGCATGGGCAATCATGATATAGAAAGTGGGAGTGTAGAAAGCGACGATAGCCAACTTGCCATAATCAGGCGGACGCAGCATTGGGAGGTTACGATAGAGTCGAGAGGAAAGTGATGCAGACATGTATTACTCGTGTCTGATGATGCTGGCCTGTGTTCCGACCTACCGTGTTCGTAGCGTGTTGTTATAGAAGCTTGGATTCCATAGCTCTTGAATACAAAATTATTCATATATTGCAATCACATACATAGTTCTCTTTGCTGAAGCTATACATCTGGGTCAGTGCTCTAGTGCCCAAATGAGGTGACTGTAGCAGCCTTGGCCTCATCACGATGCTCCTTCTGCCATTTCTTGGAGTAACCCACACCAAAGCCATCGCTGAAGACTTCGCGGATGGCCTCTAGAGGCATGCCCTTGCATTCCGGGAAGAAGAACAAGACGAATACCCAGCCAGTGAAGCAGATGCCAGTGTAGAACCCAAATGCACCGCTCGGCGTGATGCCCTTCATCATGGACAGGAAGGTAGAGGAAATGATAATATTGGTACTCCAGCAAGTAACGGTGTTCTGTTCCGCGACTGTTAGTCATATCGAACTTGAATACATATTGGGACAAAGTGAAAAGGGGAAAGGGGATCATTGGGGAATAGGAAAGGGAGAACATACCATCATTGTCCCTACAGCTCGGACTTCAAGTGGAATCAATTCGGTTCCAATCCATGCAATGGTCGCAACACCAGACGAATAGCAGGCAACGTAGCAAATGATGGTCACAAGGACTACAATTCCCGGCCAGCCAACATTATCGGTCTCCACCTCCAAGGTTTGCAGGTTCACTGGAATATAGTGGAACGCGACCGCGGTAATGAGCATACATATGGCCATGCCGAGCACGGTAGTGGTCAAAATCATTCGTCGTCCAAATCGATCCACAACCAAGAGGTTGACAACCGAGAAGACAAAGTTAGTCCCTGAGACAGTGATACCGACGGCCGTGGGGTTGTTGAACCCGACGATCGAGAAGAGCTTGGCCGCGTAATACATAAGCGTGTTGAACCCTCCTAATTGACTGATGGCCATGACCACGCATGCAGTTAGGACGGCGCGACCGGTTGACGGGGTCGTGAAAACACGTTTAATCGTCGCCCAGATTGTGTCTTCAGACATCGCGTGGGTTGCCTCCTGAAGCGACAATTCAATCGATCGGATCTTAGCTTCGCGCTGGTCGGTAGTAGACCGTGGGTAGATGCGCTTGAGGACAGCATCTGCGCTTGCATTGTCACCACGTGAGACCAGCTGACGAGGCGACTCGGGACAGAGGAAGAGGAGCGCAGCAAGCGCGAGGGGCGGTGCAGCTCCGATCCCGACAGTTGCTCGCCACGCTTCTCCCTTCACCTGTGCAAAGCCGGCTCCGATCGCGCTCGCTAGTAACTGACCAAAGGTAACGCTCATGTTGTTGAATGCCACCATGCGGCCCCGATATTTGGCAGGGGCTATTTCACCGACTATAGATTGATTAGTATGCCAGCCAGCGGAGGTGAATAACGAGAGTGGACGTACTGTACAGAGGGACCACCATGGCAGCACTGCCGACACCGAGGCCCACGACGAACCGACCGACCGCAAACTGAGGCACAGAATAAGAACATGTCTGAAGTACGGTTCCCAGCACGAAAAGGATACAGGCCCCCCAGATGGGCCAGCGGCGACCAAAGCGATCGGCCGACAGACCAGCTCCCACTGCGCCGACCAAAGCACCACCGCTCGTCAGTGAGGTGACGAGTTCTTCCTCGCTAGAGCTCAAAGTATGACCGAGGGACGTTCCAATCGTCACCAGTACCGATGAAATATAGCCTGTGTCGTACCCTGGGAGGGAGATTGTTAGTTCCGCCTTTCTGATTCTCTGCGACAGACATACCGAAGAGAAGGCCACCGATTGAGACAGTTACGGAGATCAACCACGCGGCCTTGGAGGCCGCCGTGTCTTCAATGCCACTCAGCTCAGAGACATCCTGGAGACGTCCCTTTTCGGTATCTATCGTGTCAACGTGCTCCACTTGCTCTGTCTTTTCTTTCTCGTACGAATTGTCCTCGCCACCGTCCCAGTTCGGTGCCATGATGCGCAGTTTGTTGGGATTTGATCTGAAAATTTCCAAATATGAACGGTTTCACTAAAAGAAAAGAGCAGCTGATCGATTGAGGTCAGTAATGGAGAGACTCAGAGATAGCGCTTCCATGTCAAAAACGCCAGATGGAGTCCGGGGATGCATGAAGCCTTTTAATTCTTTGGTTGATAGACATCTAGCCCCAAACTAGTTGCGCTCTATTCTTCCCCACTCACCCAGGTCCATTTTACCTTTCCCCGTGGGGTACATATCGAAGGCCAATGATGTTCCTCCGATCCAGCAATGTCAAAGACCCCAGACAGCCAAGAATGGCTCTCCAGATTGTGGCACTGAAGGTTCAATAACCGATGGAATGGATAACCGACAGAACCGGGGGAAGATCGTTTAGCCACGCGGAGTAAGTTACTCTCCTGGTGGCGCCCAGGCCCTAACTGACTTTCCAACCAAGTCCAAGGCGCAGTCGATACCCCAGGTTGACCTTTTTCTCCGCATTGATAGGCGTCTGGGGTCAACCTTAAATCCTAGGCAGCCCCACTCAGCCCCTTCGAGAGGCAATTCTTTCCAGCGGGGTTTATTCCCTCTTTAACCCATTCTTTATGTTCAATCCTTTGAAAGCCAATGTACGCCAAGCCTATATCCGCATGGGATTGTCATGTTGCAAGTTTCCCCGATCTCTACATCCCAGGGTTGCCGACAGACTTCGGCACGTTCCAGACAAGCCAAGACGGCTTTCTCCTCACGTTTGTCCGCTTGCAGCCAGTAAGACGCCGTGATGATACGATGGGGAACTTATACAAGAGAGCATGACATCATTGAATTATCTCTCCTATTGAGGCATCTCTCCTAAAAGTGGGTATGTGAGTAAAAGTCCAATCGAAATTCCCTCGTGAATGATACCAGTCTTACTGCCCTTGGTTAGGCCGCATACTTGGGAGGAATTTGGCTATTTCAATCAAACAATCCCTTCAAAGGGCACTCGGCTCCTCCCCCACACTCCTAAACATCTTGGCGATAGTTGACTGGCAAATCAGATTTTCGGCAAGGCAAGTTCCTCCGCGTGGCTCTTTTCCCATGGGTAGCTCTTCTCAACTGCCCGAATAAGACTCTCGTGTTCGGGGCTACGGACGCGAATGCTCAACTCAAATGGAGCCGGGTGACTGATAACCCCTGTCGAAAACTCAGGAGTGACGGGGACTTCTTTTCCGTCTCGAACCGCATTGGTAATGTTGAAGACGGCCAAGGACCGCGCGATGGCAAGGTAAAGATTGGCATCAGCTAGGTGCTGTCCGGGGCAAATCCGGCGCCCGAATCCGAATGACAGTAAATGCGGGTCATATTCTGGTGTTTTTCCATTGACGCTCAGGAAACGCTCTGGCTTGAACTCCATTGGGTCGTGGTAGAGGTCTGGATCATGAGCCATGGCCCTGTATGTGTGAGGTATGTCAGCGGATAGCACTGGATATGCAAAGAGGGCTAGCGCACCAGATATTTGGGACCAGGATCGCGCCCTTAGGAATGAGGTATCCTTTGTATGTATCGTCCTCGCTTGACGCATGAGAGACCCCCAGTGGGGTCACCGGATGCCATCGGAGGACCTCCTTCACCACAGCATCGATATATGGCAGACCCTCACGGTCAGGCATGTCCGGTAGACGGCTTGTTCCGACCACACGGTCAATTTCCTCCTGGGCCCTCTTCTGCACATCCGGGTTCAGCACCATAGCCTGGAAAAAACATGCTAATGATGAGACAGTCTAGGGCAAGGGTTAGCTGCGGACACCCATGAATCGCTTTGCCGGGGAATGTACTGTGTCAGCTCCTCCACCGTAGAGCGACTGCGCAGACCACTTCGCCACGATTTCCTCCTCCGAGCCTGGCTCTACACGGCCATGCTCCAGAAGACGCGATACGTACGACGGGACATACTTCTGCTGTTTAAGCTGTTGTCGAACAAACTCGTAGGGCACGTCCTTCATTGCGGTCACCCTTTTCTTGTATGCCTTGGCCGTCTCTTGCCAGCCGCTACCGGGAAACCAGCCGGGTAGGTATTTTACTGCACCTGGTCAGTACCCATTCTGACAAATAGTGCAGGCCTCATACACATGGGAATGAAGTTGACCAGCCAAGCCCCAGGAAGGACAAGTTGCGAAAAGTCCTCCATCGCCTTATCGACCAAGTCAACCAGAGGGTCACGCGCATGTGGCTCAGTGATATAACCGTATCCGACTCTCAAGATAATCGAACCAGCCTCTCTAAACGCAGGCGATGCTTTAGTGAGTTGATTCAAGTCTGAATTTCGAACAACTCACTTCCTGATGTGCTGAATGAGGTCATCCGGGTTGGCAAGTATACGGAACACTAGACGATGTGTTTCCATATCGATGATATTGTGATATTTCGAAATCAGAGTGACAGTGCCCATCTCTTGGTGCAGGGCTTTCCGATAGGCGCGGAGCCGACTGTTGTACGGCACCAACCCCAGTGTGTCCTCCCAATCCGTTCTAGATACTCAGCCAGTTAGCCATATTTCGCTTTGGGTTTCAAATGCTTTTGGCTACCGCACATTTCTGCGATGGGCAGGTGAGGCCTGGAGGAGTGCAATCCCGAGCGCTTCTCCATCAGATCCATCACTACCTGACGGTCGTTCATGATGACGAGTGTTTGTCCGAAAATCGTTACCGAGCTAATTGGCCCTATTCAAAGGTTCTACGATTAGTACTTTGAATCCTGTAATTTCCGACTTCAATCATCCTGTTACCATAAAGCGCCTTATGCTTGAGCCAGTGCAACCAGTCTGGCGTGCCCGGTGACGGTAAGTCCAGCAGGTTGCCGATAATGGGCTTTGAAGGAGGGCCTGGTGGGAGCCTGCTTAGCTTCCGCTTTCCCAGACTCCATCGGATGATGTAGAGGCCAGCGAGGCCCAAAAGAAGGCTGACTACCAGCGACATGACGACTACAAACCGCTACAGCGAGGTCGAGTGCCACGATCCGGGCTTATTCCATATTTATGGGATTCCCTTGAGATCAGACCTAGCTGCCGATCTCTCCCTTCATTCAGCTGAACAGGTAGTGGCAACCATGACCAGGGGGGGTTACATCGCCTCTGCAATAATCATCTCTCGCAACACTGTGGTTGGTTCAATTCAGTGCTTAGTGGAGCCAGTGCCCTGCAAGATATATGAAGAATGCGCATGTCTTCAACAAGGGCCTAGGTCTTGTTTCGCTTATCTACTGTGGCTTTACGCCACATCGTGTATTAGTGTCTCCATGATTCTTGATTCGGCTTTTTCTTGGTTTTTTGTCATGTAAATCAGGACCAATCCGTTCCTGTCAAGAGTCCCAACCCACGTCTGTGCTACCAATGGTCGCAATCCAACAGACTAAACCACAATAGTGCATTAGCGGGCATTGTGACATATTTTTTATGGTTTGTGCACATTCTTCATCTGTCAGAAAAACCTTCAAGATTCTGGTATGAACCTAATGTGGCTCCTGTTCATGCGGCCGCAATTGACACGGATGGTCAAGCCGGTGTTCTTCGGACTTGGTCATCTGATACAACCTAAAACCTCGCTGACGAAACGGGCAACTAGCAGCCAAATATCTGTCGGAATATTCTCGTTTTCCTGGTATGTAAGGATTACGGATTGTACGAAAAGCCTGGCAATACCGCAAGGCACTTCGAGCCACCCTCTGCATCGTGGACGGGCCGACGGACATCACCAAGCCCTAAGCCGCTGAGATCAGAGGCTACCCACTACCGGGAACAGTCCGCAAGAATCATGAATCTCCAATGAAGAACAAACACAGGAGAAGAAGAACTTGTATTTTGGGAGCACCAGACTGTGGCACTTTCGTCAAGAGCCGACCACATCCCTTTCTCGCCAGTGCCGCCGTAATCTGGATTATGTTGTACCACTCATAGTGAGTGAAGCATTGTCGTACAAGGGCGTCCGCTGTCTTGATTCTCTTTGCTTACCTTTTTTTTTTTTTTTTTTTTTTTTTTTTTTTTTTCTTTTTCTGCACAGGGAGAAAAAGCCGACGCTGCAAACGCCATGCGTGACCAACAGCTCCACCGTTTGGGAATCTACCAATCAAGACTGCCCTACCTTCTTCGACCGCGTTTCCCCGACGGTGCATATCTTTAGTCACACATGCAGCTAGGGGGGGATCCGCCGTCTACCGTAGGCCGTATGGAGTGTAAGGTCGCTGCCCTAGCGCTCACTATTGCCACGTAACAGCTGCATGTCTTACACTAGGCCATATACGGATTAGTTCGGGAACGGCCCGATCAACACTCCACAGTCTGTCTGGATGGAATTTTGCAATCGGGATCCCTACCTTGGGCAGATCCTTGAACAATTTCACAACAGAGAGATCTTCGTAGCTATATATTTGACTATTTCAGGTATAATATCGTATGCCTGGACAGTACATCACTCATCAGCCATCCCTTGGATCACAAGGCTCGTGCTCCCTATGTAACCTGTATCACTATATATATATTTGATAACATCACCTAGTTTAGTGTAAAATTACCTCTAATTGACCATGAGATATTCGGTGAAGACATACTCTACCTTGAATATTGATACAAGTATTCCTCTATCCAGGTTATCCACACGTGAATGGCAACTATGCTCTCGGCACTCACAATATAAGCAATTATAATCCACAGACTCGTAATACATTGACGTTGTGCATGTCAGTTTCTTATACAAGGCCTCGCTCACAAGAGTACCTACCTTTGGGAACCGAGTAGATATCAATATAGATTATACATAACCGGAGGAGACCCTCTCCAGAATATTTCTTTCTTTCTTTCTTTCTTTCTTTTTTTTTTCCCTCAGCGGATTGCTTTAGAGTTTTGCGAGGACATATCAAGCTGCATTCCTGGTTAAAGTTTATCTTTGACATGTTGTTCGTAACGATCAGCAGAATGTCGATGATACTTCATATCAAGCGTTAGCAGCTTTGTGCTGTGGGAATCCTACAGCTACAATATATAACAAGAGTAAATGGAAGCTGGGCCACATACATGCAAAGTATCTACCGAATAACCGTCCCTCGCTAACTGTTATACGATAACAGAGCTGCGTCGATGATGGTCGCCCTCTACCGCGGCTCGTGAATCAGAACTTGTACTCGTCAAAGGCATCAATGACACTTAGGATGAACCCCCGACCGCCAGGTATCAGGCTCCACCGTTGGACCCTCAATACGGAACACCAAATTTGCGGCCGAGTCTTTCTGATACATCGGCCATTGTATCTTCAGATATGGCATTACATACAGTGAGTAACCTGATTGGGAGAAGCAGCAAAGTAACCTACAATGGTGATTATTCCTCGATAGCGTGTCTACAATGCTTAACCACATACGGGCCATCCTGCGGTTGGTTCTCCATCTGGCTATCGGATGAACGGAGAGGAGGAACCGTAAACCCGACTCCTTCGGAGTTGTTGAGCACGAAGGCGGCCTCCTGGAAGTGAGTAGCACCGAGGGCCCGAGGGGACACTCCATTAGGAACAGCCGCAAAGAGATACCTATAAACGGGCGTCTCTGATTGAGCCCACATTTGAGTACTATAGCGCTTGGGGGCGTTAACGAGGTAGTCCCCAGTCTAGAATGTGCTATAGCCGTACAGTGAGTCATACTTCCAACTAGGGAAGATGAGAACTGTCCCCAGGTTAGCTCTGAATTGCCAGATAGGTAGCTGAAGATACCCATCTACTATTCTGTCAATGGTGTCATTGGTAAGGTATTTCCCGGTCCCAAACCCGGTGATCACAGCTCTGAGCTCAGCCCCCGTGTTGACAGCACCGAACATGCCGGAAGCGATATATCCAGTCCCTTCGTTTAGGTTGGACCCGATTAGCAATCGTACTTTCACAAACTTTCCCTGCTTGAGCACGTTGGAGGGAAAGTCGGTGATAAATTTCCCATCCATAACAGGAAAAAAGGATCTCTACTGGAATGCAGCCTTAAGTGATTCCACTGGTGCCTGTCGCAGGCCCTCAATGGGCTCTATTGGGGCAGTACACCCAGTAGCGATAAGAACATCTTGATACATGCGCTCCTGTTCGTCCAACGGAACGAGCGCAGCCGAACTGAGGGGAGCACCGTGATAGCAGCGCAAAAAAGTCCATCGTACGCTAGAGGATGGTATCTGACGGACAAAAGCCCCACTGGACTCTGCTTGAATCGTGACGCGAGTAGGGTCTCCGCCGAAGGCGGCAATATTCTCTTGGATCCAATACAGCGCCGTCTGTTGGTCGTATAGGACGAAATTTGCGAGGCTCGGATCATTGAACGCGCGACCGGACACAAGTCCAACCCTAGAGACCTGATAGCTAAAACTAACCCCGATCGTTGGAGTGCCCATTGCAATGGATTCCTGGACGAGAAAGGACATATTGTAAGTAGCGTTGGTCCGAGCTACCCCCTTCCTGTAGCCCGCCGCCATAGATATACACCAGGACAGGGAAGCGAGAAGATGGGGTCGCCCCAGAGGGGCGGATAATATTTAGTGTCAAGCAGTCTTCGTCTTCTTCGTGGTGAAGCCCATCGTGTGAGTAGCCTGGGAGAGAGAGCGGCGCGGAGTCGCACCGGAATCCGTAGGCAGATGCCTGCTTCGCGACTTTCCACGGCTCATTCAGCGGCAGTGCGTGTTTGTATCATAAATCCTGGACTGGGGGGGGAGGGAGCGTATAGGACTCCAAGGAGGAATTCCTGATGGTATCGAGTATTGTGACCACCAACCAGGGTTCCGTTTCGGACCGCAACGACGGGTTTCACGTTGCGACCATTTACGTGCGACGAGGGAAGTAGTAATTCTACAAGCCAGGAGAAGGCGATGGTCGGAGAATACGACCACAACTTCAACGACTATCGTGTCGCTTGGAATTCCGAGTCGGACTGACGTTCGATCCAACGGACGCATGCATTCTTGCCAAGCAAAGTATGTCACATGCTTTCCCAGCATGTTTTCAATAGTTCATGCAGGAATATTAGGCAGAAGAAGCAGAAGAAGCAGAAGAGTTGTGGAGACGGAGTACAGGCGTTGCAGGGGCCTGCCTGTGAGATCGTACTACGGAGTACTAATCAGTTTATTGGACTGGGCCATAGGCAAATGTTATCGTACACATTGGGAGAAAGTTCTGGTATCAAGTATTCAAGTTGATTATCACATTTAAATGAAATTCCTTGAGTACATCCTCATCATTCGCTCTCCATGTCTCCCGTCTGTGTGACATCGCTCAGAAGTAACGGATTTCACGAAGGAATTAGGCAGACAGCCCCAACACTATGGAAGCCTAAATCATGTGTGGACGTTAGGCATTAGATTGATTCCCAGGACTCCAGGAATCTTGGTTGATCGACGAGCTTGGCCTTGTTGGGAGATAGTCACAACATAAATGCTGGTGTTCATTGGCTGAGATATGCCATAAGCACGCAATCAACCCTGCGCGTGTCGTGTATAACACCTCACCTTGGTGCATCCTTCACAATATACCTAGTAACGTTCTTATAATGATTGATTGGCCTCATCCGGCGCTGGTGAATGTTCGGTTTCGAGGTATGAAGCTAAAACAATGTTGTCGAGACGGGGAGCGCAATGGGCAACAATAGGTTTTGCTCACGGGGAGCAAAACAACTATAATGCCGCCACGAATCCGAAAGGTATTGTCAGCTTTGCGAATGCTGAAAATGTAAGACCAGTGGCCACAAGGATCCACGACTCTTTCCCGGAAGCCTATACAAGGTGTGGCGCTGACGCGCAGTAGTCGTTAATGCATGATGACCTTACGAGTTTCATAAATGAACATGTAAGCCACCTTTTTGAATCAGTATCGCCGGCAATACTGATATCTAGATGTTAAGAACGACTTTGATAAACGATGTTGCGCTTACGGGGAGGGGTATACCGGCACATTGTGTCTAAGACGTGCGATGGCTGCGCATCTAAATGCTCATTTCCATCCTGCTAACAATATCGTTCCCGAGGAAATCACCTTTGCGGCAGGAGTGACCTACCTTAACGAGGCATCCACGCTGATTCTTTGCGACCCGGATCAAAATGATGGTATCATGCTTGGAAGGCCAGTATATGGGGCTTTCGCTAGGGATCTTGCCATGAGAACGAAGTGAGCAGATCAAGAGCAGATGATGGTTTCTGGCTAATCTTTTCCAGCATACACCTGGAATATGTGTCGGTTGGTGATACAGACCAGTTCTCTCCATCCTGCGTGGCCGGCTTTGAATCTGGGTTCGAAGCTGCGAAAGCACGGGGGACCAATATCAAGGCTCTCATGATATGTAACCCGCATAATCCCCTAGGTCAGTCCTACTCGCAACGATGCCTTTTCGTGTATAACCGTTAACTATGTTACACGTGAGTAGGGCGGTGCTATTCTCGTCAGACACTTATTGGGTTGCTGCGTCTCTGCGCCTCGAAGGGAATCCATCTCATTAGCGACGAGATATACGCACTGTCTGTTTATGAGCGCCATGACCGCGAGTCAGAGACTTTTACTTCGATCCGAGCAATAGACCCTACCGGGATCATTGACCCGAGCCAGGTTCATGTTTTATACGGCATGTCAAACGTACGTGACGAGTTTGACCATACTTCTGGAGAAGGCATCTGTAAACGTTCTCTTGCAGGACTTTGGAGCTAGCGGAATGAGAATGGGATGCATCATATCCCAGAATGAAGAGTTCACGAGAGCAACGCGTGCTACTTGGTTAGTCACTCACTGTCCTTAAAACGTTTCGCGGTAACTCATGATTTCAGTCGCTTTTCCTCGCCATCCCAGTTCTCCATGGATCTAGCCGTCAAATCCCCCGAAGACCAAGAGTTTGTTGCGAAGTTTTTGAAAAGGTCGCATCACTGTCTGCTCCAAAGCAGATTACTAGTGGAGGACCTCCTTTCCCAGGAAGGAATTAGTTATTCTCAGAAAGGGTACGATGCCACAAAGCTTGAGCTATCTGTTGCCTATAAGCCAATCTCTGATAGTCCCTAGGAACGCAGGCTTCTTTCTATGGCTAGACTTGGGCGCTTTTCTTCCTCTCCATGAAACTGGTGGGGATGGCTGGGCCGCGCAACGACTGCTCACAGACCGCTTCAGCAAGGCTGGTGTCATAATGTCTACCGGCGCGGAATATCGAGCGCCAAGTCCGGGGAGATTCCGCTTAGTGTTTTGCCTCGACCCAGACACCTTGAAGGCATCAGAAGGTAGAAGTCTTTCCTTTCCAGGGTGCGACGTTGCTGACGGAATACGTAGAATTTCACGCGTTCTAGCATAGTAAGGACGTGGAGAGGTAGCAATTAGTCGAACTTTGTGACCATGAGTGAGAGAACAAATATCATTTTCAAGTTTTGATTAAATCTGGGTAATGGAATTGACGGTTTGTGGATCATGCATAAACTCACAACACCCTCTATAGAAGACCAGCCCCAGAATGTAGTGTGAGGTTGGAACTTGGCCAATGGCTTCAGAACACTCTTTCATGGAACGAAAAATAACCACTAGTACAACCATTTTGTTTGGTGCGAACCCAGTGGGACCATCAATAGTATGCGGAACCGACCGATATCCCCGAGTGGCTGATCCACACATTAAATAGCTGATAAAAGTTGAACTTGGAAGGAGCCGAAATACTCTGAAAAGGTTGAAAGTTGATCAGGTCCGTTGTTTGGCTCTTTTGTGCGGTTTACGATGTTTGTCTCTGCACCGCCCCATTCGACAGGAGATAGAAGCCCTAAACTCTCTCGATCCCTGACTTGTTCGCGGCTAATGTCTGGTTACACGTCACGACATTGACAAGTGCACTGGACTTGATGGACTAAATGGACCGTGCAGCACCGCTTGTCCGTAATCGGCAAGGATATACTGGGTCGATCTTGAGACAAGCCGAAAAGAGCCGATTAATGAATGACTTGCCAGACCGACAGCACAGTAATGCTCATCGCTGTTTTACCATAGAGGTATAATACAACGTCACCTCTGAGCCACTCGACGATGACCCTGGTACAAATGAGTCTCCACCGAGTAGACTGCGGGCTTGCGACAGCCAAGATATAAATCTGCGCCGAACAACCCCGCCTCTAGCCAGCCAAACGCAACGAATACACAATTCAAAATGTCTACCATGTCAAGACGGCCGACCTTCCTAATTATTCATGGATCATGGCATTATCCCGAGGTGTACGATACCTTCTGCAAAGCGATCGGAAATCGCGGCGCGGAAGTTGTGTGTCCCCGCTTACCGACCTGCAGCGGAGAGCTCCCCCAGAAAACAAGCATCGAGGACGATGTCGCTCTGATCCGAAAGACAGCTCAGTGCCTGGTTCAGGAGGGAAAGGACGTTATCGCTGTCATGCATTCATATGGCGGTATGGTCGGCACAGACGCCCTGGAAGGGCTGGGGGTCCAGCGTTTGATTTACCTGGCGGCATTTGTACCGTTCGGGGGGAACTGTCTTGCTGATATGTTTGATGGCTATCTGCCCTCATTCATAGTCTGTGTAGGTGAATGATGTTTGCTGGTCTAACAATGCCTGGCAGCCCTGGTTAGATGTAGTTTGCTGATGTACCTTCCGTGCCAAATAGGATGAACAAGGTATGTCGCGGGTTCCCGAGGCAGCTTCGGTATTCTACCAGGATCTTCCCGACGACGAAGCCGCTTTCTGGGCGGAAAGACTCGTTCCCCAACCAATATCCGCACACCTCAACCCAATCTCCCACGAAGCCTATCGCGGCATTCCCGCCACATATATCGTATGCGAGGACGACCGGGCGATTCCCGTGAGCGTACAAGAGAGGATGATCTCAAATGTGCAGAGTGCGGGTGTAGGGATGGACATTAGAAGAATACCCGCGAGCCATAGTCCCTTCCTGAGTATGCCTGAATTGACTGCCGAACTGGTGGTCAATTTGGCAGCAGAGTAATGTCTGCAACTTCGCACAGTATGGGGGGAAAAATACGGGAGAAAAATAGATTAAAAGAAGAGAAAGGATTCAAAACCAAACCGACTATATTGACACGGGAAGCGACACCAAGCCAAGAACTTGTTGCTTGGCCCTTGGGGACATCGCAAGCGCAGGGTTTGAGAAGCGGCAGAGTTGATAGCGCTTGTGCAATGTGGGCTTAATAATCCTGGGGCGATGATTAGCGACCGGCTGTTCATGTAAGGTATCAGTGGCGGTATAACGCATTCATTCTTCCTATCCTGTTTAATTAATTCCATGATTGGGTTGGCAGCGATCGAGAAGTGTTGGGATCTTGGTCCACCATTTTCATCTAACGCAGCTAACGCGCACATTTTCCAACACTCTGGCCCTGCTGCCCAATAACCACCAGAATAGAGCATGCGAAAAGGCGGCTCTAGAGTAATTCGTTACCGACACAAAGGAAAGTAAAAGATCGGAGATTTTGAGAGCGATCCACGACATGTCTTGGCAAGGTTACCGCTGTTTTGTCGGTCTAGAAGATGCTTGCTTCCGGATGCGAGTCCTTGGGACCCAACGGTTTGAATTTCTTTAAATGGCGCCAATCTGAAAGGGAAGCCACCTTAGTAGGCTGGTTTATGACGTGTCGCATCTCTAGTCACTCAGGAAGTGCTGATACACAGTGCTGGATCCTAGAGTAGGAACGGTACGGAGTACAGTGGCACGCCTTTCTTCCCTTTTTCTTTTTTTCGTTTTTCTTTTTATTTTCCCTTCCCGCGGCAAAAGATAGTCAAACAATTTATCTGAACCCTACCGCTAGGGACCAAATATCGCTGCGGCTCCGGCGCCTTTTCGAATGTTAGGCTAAAACTATAGCACTAATATATAAAAACTGTAGAAAGCCCCCGCGGACCTGATCTGACGAGGAACATCAGACCTAACCATGGATTATCCAATTCTGGAATTATTTACTTCGCTCGTTATTTCTACCACTGCCATAGACAATCATCCCACCACACACGACGCAAGCTGCGAATTAAGCGAGAGCGACATTATATTTGGAATGAACGATGGTCTCTTAGAAATCATAAAACGGATATCTTCCCTTCACCGTCGCTCCAGAACCGGGAAAGTGAACAACTCCACCACAATTACGGAAGCTGTGGGTATATGGCAAGACTTAGCGACCTGGCAACCGCCAGAATCTCTGCCCGGTGAACAATACCAGGAGCTATACGATTCGTACACATCTGCACTTTTTACTTGGCTCTACCTCATCCTGCATCCCGAAAGTATGTGCGACGAGAAGGTCCAGTCTATGGTGGAACAAGGTGTGGTTGCCATGTCGGCTGTCACGGTTCTCGAATTGTCACCGTTTCTGCTCATCCCTCTCTTCATTCTCGGATCGGCCAGTGTGCAGGACGAACACAAAGACTTTATCAGTGGGCTGTTTGACCATATCGAAGAGCACACCGCGTGTGAAGAGGTGGAAGTATATCGCACCATGGTAGAACGCAGTTGGGAAAGCCAAGATCAGGGAATGCCGAGGAGTTGGGAGTGGATCCAATGGCAGGACGCGGGCCCTGCAGGATGACTGTGTTTCTGATTAGATATCGCATTCGATCAAGTCGAATTGGATGTCGCCGTATCGTCCTTACAACAGCGGCTAACGATAGATCCGTCAGAAACTCAGCGGGAAGGCCCGACGAAAGACTCAAATTGAAACAAGTCAGATAAGAAGAGAGGGAAATTAGAACATGAAGTTGGTATAGTGAGCGTATCATATGTTGACATGCTGTTACATACAAACACGATAATATGCAAATGATAGAAGGGTTCAATGTCTACCTTGACTGCGCTTGAGAAAACAATTTCCCCAAGGAATGTAGCGTAAGAAGGAGGGTACCTCAGTGTCCAGAGCTGCCGTATCGGAAGGATGCACTGACGACATGGGGCAAAGGAATCGCCTATATTGACCGCAATACGGCCCTCATGTGGGATAGAATCTGTCTTGGCAGGGCAGGGATCTTGATGTCGGAGACCAGTTGTACACCATAGCCGTTGTAATCTGGCTCTGTGAGAGATAGACCCATTGCCAGTAAGCGGTTCTGGACAGAGAATGGCGATTCCCATCCTCAAAGACTGGCGCAAAGCGCGCTGACAGTGTTAAGTACCAAGACACTGGCAGCAAGGCATGTCTCAGAACCCCTTGCGCAGATGACTTATGGAATGCACACCCATCACATGGCTAGTGAGGACAGATGCGGTGCTTTTATTTGCCACAAGAGGCAATATTTCTTTCTGTGTCACAGTGTGTAGCAGCCTCGTCTTTGTTGGGAAGGTGTTCATGAGCAATAGCGACAGGAAGATCCCGTGAGCTGTAACACGAAAAACAAAAGAAATCCGATGTTTCATTTCACAGCAGCAAGAAGCCAGTTGTCTATTAGATGTGCTGCTGTCCTGTAGTACGTCCTGCTGGTATTCAGGCTTGCGCAACTCGGTGGCATGTCTGTCTAACCACCATGCCGGTACGATGGCCATCGCCGAGGTCTACCTATGGATCAGGCCACGTAGGAGGTCGCATGCCCCAGATTGTAGACACTAAAACTGACAGACCCACTGCAACAACTCATTACCATGTTCTTGACACTGGTGTGTTGGGGATCTGTGCTTCATCTGTGTAGCTCCGTACGCTTACATTACGATGAAAAATGGCTGAAGCGCGCTTTCCGCGAAAGACCTCCAAGAATAGTAAGGTATAGCGTGAGGCCTTGTGTCTATGCATGGTCATCTCGCTTCCCCAGTCTCTCCACAGTGGAGGTGGCTCGGTGGAGACGAGGGCGGTGGTTTGAGACGCTAAAATGCGCTGGTAGTAGTAGATTAGCAATCGTCCGCCCTCAATAGGCTGCAACCAGTCAAGACTTCGAGTGGCAGGCAGAAACAGCCTTGTATAAGGACTGAATATTGTATTCAAGAAGAGTTTTGCTCTTTTCTGCCAGTGTCCCAGCCTGCAGTGAGCGCGTGTCATAGCTGTAAGTGGGCCAGCTGAATCCACCGATAAGCGCGGCTATTAAGAAACCGAATGGGGTCAATTAGTGGAATGTTAAATCTGCAGTTACTTCAACACTTCCATAGTTCTAGAACGTACTTTTGTCCAAGATCGCATGTACATTTTCTACGACTCTCGAGTGACTTTCGTAGTGCCGCACTATTAGGAACTGGTTCCACTGCCCTGGCCATGCAGCTTGACAACCTTCCATCGACTGGGGTACATGATGAACTTTATAAATTACATGATAAAATGTGTTCTATCAAGGTGTTACAGAGTTTCGTTGGCATGCGAACCATGTGGTTAGTCTTGAAGTCTTGCGGGTTATGCGTGTCATGCGCGATTTACGGAACGCTTACAGATGCATAGCATGGATTGGACATAAAGCAGAAACAACAAACATTATACCTCCTAGTCCTATATTCGAGAAACGAAATCTTCTGATGGGCACTACATCGAGTCGTGATTACTGTTTCACATCATATGGAAGCAATTTTGACCATGTTTATTCTATGGCCCGTTATAGCCGTATGCATTGCGTTTGTGCACATGCCCAGATACATTATTTATATTATCCCTTCTTTATCAACATCATTTATTCATTGATGATAGGACTTAAGGTAAGAACTATGGTACAGTATATATATCTACCTCCATCGCATGGTGCAGAAACATTGACTTATATGCCTAGTAACTGGCAACCCGGCCCCTGGTCCAACACCGAGAGCCACCCACAAACTACGATACATTTATACCAAGTGCAGTCATCTTTAGGAGGTAATATAAATACTACATGTCCAAATTATGCACATGCACAGAGAACGATTAGATATAAGTCCTCAACATTAGGAATTTTGTTCACCACACGATCTAAATGTAATAAAAGTCCCTTCGCAGGTACGAATCCTACCGAATCCAATAATAGTGCTCATCAGTCACCAATAGTATCCACCGGAAGAACGCGGAGACAATTCCACCGTGGTCCGGCTTGGGGAGTAGGCTTCCGGTAACTAAGACAGCTGTCTGTGGGACTAGACGTTGTTATGTCATACGAGCTTCCTGAGCACAGACCACGGATGAGGAAGCTGCAGCAGCGTGGAGACGGCTTGTTGCCCAAAGGTCTTGGGTCCGGAGCTAGCCCAAGGGACTAATCGGAGGCCGACAGTAATCAAAATGAGTTATTCGGGTCTTCCAGACGGGTATTGATCTGCTTTGTTGGGCTCCATAGCTGGCTGCCCTTATCACCCACATTGGGACGGAGCTACAGACGAAAGTGAATTTTATTCGATGATTGGTCTGTATGGATGTTGAAGGAGTTCGCACTTATGCCCTCCTATGTTGGAGGTACTAATTTACGAAGATTGTGAAGCCCTACCTTCGGCTTGCGTGAGGATATACTACCGAATCACAACACGGCACAATGGCGAAATGCCGCATCATAGAATTTCTCGGGAGCTGCCAATGAAGCATTCTATTTACATATGCAGATCACTCTCTTCCAAGAACGGCACGTCCCGAAAATTAGACCCAAGCGATAGTGCCCCCAGTCTTGCCGGACACGCACATCCAAGACAACTACTCAACCGGGACCTGCGGGATTTCCATGCTCTGAAACCTGTGAGCCATCCAACTCGGCAACAATGTGGTGTTCCGGCAACTCGGACTTGGGTCTATTTGCCGATAGCCCTTGTGGCATGCTATTGTTCGTGGCAGGAATAGGTGGGATTTGCGCACCACCCATCTCTGACTTGGCCGAAGCAGTGTTGTTTCTGCGTGACACACACCTAAACCAGAGCCATGCAACCAATCCGAAGAATATTATTGCGCATAAGCAGGCAGCGACGATGATTCCAGCCCTCACACCAGGAGACAAATGCCCAGATATGGAGGCGCTGACCTGTATTCTAGAAGACGAGTCCGATGAGGTAGGAGGGGGTTGGGTCGATTTCGGCAAATCAGTTGCCATGTGGTTGATCTGGATCATGGGAGCTCTAACAGTATACGCAGAGATTGTGTGCGTCACCGTCATAGATTCGGATGGGGTGGCCGTGACAGTCGCCGGGACCGTCTGATAAGTATAGTCATTGCTCGAGCCGGACTTGCATTGCACAACTGGGAAAGAGCCAGTAACGTAAACTGACTGGCATGTTTGATATTGATCCTGACCATCATGTCCACAGGAATAGCCGCTGTCGGAATTATTTTAGTTAAACTCAACATATTAACATCTCCCATGGAGATGGTACGATCGCGTTGGGCAAGCGTACCTCGGACAACAGCCTACAGCAGTCTCACCGTCGTTCAACGAGTATTGAAACTTGAATCCATCATTTGATCCGCCTGTTGCCGAACAAGCAGTCACCATCCCAGCAGGGCAATGTATACCTGGCGAATAAAAGCCCCAGCCGTTGAGAGCTACTCCTGTCGTGAGGCTGGGATTGGCCCGAGGTGGCCAACATTCGACATCGTCCTGCACCCCTTGGTGGTTAAAGGCGTTATTACTGCAGGTTTGAGCCTGCCATCCTTGTGTGCAGGTCAGACATGCTCCTACAGCAACAGTACATGATTCCGGATAAGTAAATGTTGTGGTCAGTGGTCCGAGGTTGGTCCGGAGGGAAGTCATCGGTGCGTTTTTTGTCGGTAAAACGTTTGGACAGCCCGTTATCTAGGACAACCATTCACTGCCTTATTTGGAATGCAGGAGCGAACAAGGGGGGAACCACCGCCAAGCAAGACACATTGACCTAATGATCAGACTAGGTTCTAATACCACGTATCTCACACTGTATTCAATCTGGGTATCTGCACCGTGTCAACAGGAATGGCTTACGCGACGAATATGTAGCAGAGGGAAAAACAATCTCCTGGTTCAGGCGGGACGAAGAAAAATCCGTATGTCGATCTCGCAAGACTCAGCCCTCCATAACATTATAGAAACCCGAAGCAAGGGGGGCTGAACTATATACGACTCATCATCCCTGCCAAGGCTCAGCTGGGCCTCATTCGCGGGGCTGATGGGACAAGGACAATAATGTAATAACGACTAGCAAGTAGGATGTGTGATCGCAATAGAAGCTCAATAACCTTGCATGCTATGCGCATGTGTTGGAATATCTTCGGATATTTTGGCTTCCTTTTGGCTTTTCAATGCTTGTTATGCTTAGCGTACCCCCTCTGGCCCCACTCTTCCTCACCCAGGGAGTAGGATTGAACATATCTCAATAGTCTAGGTTAGGTATTGTACGGAGTAGTTGATTTGCACTCTACTAAATCGAGATCGACGACCTATGGTGTCGGTTGCCTGTATCTGAACCGTATACGGACGACCAGTGTCAAGGCCCCGTTCGTCAAGCTATGGTTGCAATTATTTTTGAGAGTCTTCGCCTTTTCCTTTTTCGCATGAACACAGGCCATGGTTTCGCCTTGATTGATTCACCGTGGATTCCATGTCTGTTGTATATATTCCCGTCGCCGAATAACAAAGTTTGTTAAATAACAGGTCTTTGGCCCCGACCTAATATTAATTCTGTTAATTTTTCGTCCAACTTTATATAACAATTTTTCTCTTTCATGACCCTCCTACATTGATATTACATTTGCTAAATGGCGGAATGCTGGTATCTTTCTTAGCTTATCCACGGGCTAGGGCTATGATTTCAAGTTGAAAACAGCGTACTAAGGTACTTTAGGTATGGCATTGTTTATTGAGCTTAGGGACGTTACTGCAAGACCCAAGCTCATGCTGCTTACCTTTCGTATCGAGCAACATCTAGTTGATGGTGTCATTGTATCCTAGGTAGCAGACAAGCTAATATTGCCGGCAATTTGTATTGAATGGAAGGCTGGCGCTTGATGATCTATAATATCTATCACACTACCCAAATTATAGCACCCGGCCCCACTTCCCAGCCCTAAAATTAGGAGCGAAGGTCCAGTATACAATCTAATCTATAGATGAAAGTTTCACTCTGTATACTAGTATGAGCCGATGATAGCCGAGGGCGAGCTCGTTCTGTGGGACGATATGGAGTAAGCGCCACATAGCGTATCCAGCCAGTAGCTGCAGTGGGTCTAATGATTCAGGTGCTTAAGTGAACTTTCTTCAATTTTAACTTCTGAGTTTCGCGCCTAACCTAAGCTTTCGAACACAACCTTCTGCCTGCAGAATAGGTGGTTACCGTGTGCACACATCGAGTGCATAGGATTACATGCCACATCGCGAACTACTTAATACATAGAGTTCCAAATGGGTGACTAGGAAGCGAAAGAACGAGGTGAAACATTTTATTATTCATTCTTAACTACAGCTCCGCCGTTAGCCGCACCATTTGTAAAGGATACCAGCTTTTACATATTCTGTCCCGATATCGGTGTTCATACTCTCTGCAATGAAATTTGCCATGACTATGGCCGCTGTTTACGTTTCTTGTTTTAGGGCTATGCCTCAGAACTTAATGCAATCAATTTTTTCTCTCGGTGTTTTCTCAGTTGTAGAGCGGCTAGTATACTGGACGTTTACTTCGAAAACGAAACAGGACCGGACCCGGATCTTCGATTTGGAATAAGCTGCAGTCTGAAGATGACAAAGAATGATACGAAAGCTCCTTCTGGGACGGATTTGGAAAGTGATCCCAACGACAGCTTTAGATCCCAGACATCTTTAGAAGCGAAGGCCGAGGATCAAACAAGCTTTGCATTGACTCAGGATGCATTTGGCGACGAATCGAATGCTGAGGTGAAATACAAGGTTCTATCATGGTGGTAAGCATCAAAGCATGAAGACTGACATGCTTTTGTTGGGATATGGCTGATAGTGACCAATAGGCAATGTGGATTACGTCTGTCTACCAAACCAAATTGCTGTATGCAAGTCAAGCTGACCTAAAGCCAGTCATGATCGCAGAATCGATATCCCTCGGCGTCTTATCCTTACCAGCAGCCGTTGCTACGCTCGGCCTAGTCCCGTTAGTGATCCTTTCCTCCCTACGACAGCGACTTTGACTGATAATCCGGCACACGATAAGGGCTATTATTCTGATCATTGGTCTTGGGCTTTTAGCCACATACACCGGATATGTCCTTGGTCAATTCAAGTGGAAACATCCCCAGATCTCCAATATGGCGGACGCTGGTGAGGTCCTCATGGGGTCTTTCGGTCGAGAGCTATTATGTGCCGGACAGACGCTGTTTCTTATCTTCCTCATGGCAGGCCATCTTGTGACCTTCACGGTTGCACTGAACTCTATCACCGGCCATGCGACCTGTTCCATGGCCTTTGGTGTTGTTGGGCTTGTGGTCTCGTTCATTTGTTCTCTGCCGCGGACGATGAAGAATATCTCGTGGCTTTCTATAATATGTGAGTGCGATAGCCATGAGTACTCTTCATCTTGCATTTGAGGCTAACAAACGCTGGCAGCCTTTATAAGTATCTTAGCCGGCGTGTTCGTCACGATGATCAGTGTGGGTATCACAAAACCTGGCACGGGTACTGCAGCAACGACAAAAACCAACCTATATCATGGATTCTCAGCAGTATCAAACATTGTATTCTCTTACGGTGAGCGTCTCTCTCAACTACTTTGAGTTGAGTACTAACGCTAGTACGTTCTCAAGCCGGGCATATCGGGTATTATAGTTTTATGGGAGAATTAAAGAACCCCCGAGACTTCCCCAAGTCCCTCTATCTGCTTCAAAGTGCTGAGATTGGTATTTATCTATTGGCATCTCTCGTGATCTACCGATATGCAGGTGCAGACGTCGCGTCGCCTGCGCTAGGATCAGCCCCTTCCGTCGTCAGTAAAATAGCCTACGGCCTTGCGTTACCAGCTGTAAGTATCTTCCAGGTCCATTCACGCCTAGTTTCAGATGGTAAACTAACACATGACCCAGATACTAATCTCAGGCGTCGTTGCAGGCCACGTCGCCTCAAAGCTTATCTACATGCGCATATCGTCTGGCACAGATAGGATGCACAAACGGAACTTCGCCGCAATTGGATCCTGGATTGCCGTCATTTTAACACTATGGGTCCTTGCGTGGATAATCGCCGAAGCCATTCCTGGGTTTAACAGTATTCTTACTTTAATCAGTGCGCTATTTGCGAGCTGGTTCTCTTACGGTCTTCCCGGATTCTGTTGGCTGCATATGAATGCCGGCGCATACTTCGCCTCGGGGAAAAAGGCCTTGCTCACTTTGATTAATGTGACGACAATCGGTATGGCTTTTTGTATATGTGGCTTGGGCGTTTATGTTGCGGGGAAGGATATTCATACCAACCATTCTGGGGCTAGTTTTTCTTGTGCGAATAATGCTTAGGTGATTTTTAATCGGATTTTACTTTGAGGACTTTATGTTGGGGAGTGCTTCTTTCGGAAGTATAAAGTCTCAGATTTGCCCGTGAGCTTTTGTATAATGTTTCTTTAGTAGCTATAGGGATGATGTCGCTGAGATCTGTTTTATGAGTTATATATTGTACAGTACATCAACGTATGATACACTATGTATTTATATTCTAGTGATATTACACACTGCTAATGTTCTCACTCCAGTGAGGGTATAACGTAGTATATACATGATGGGTATTCTTGTACAGAACGAGTGCCTAGTCAAAGAAGCTCTCGTCCCGCTGGTATCGAGCCCACGTTGGCATATCTTACTGTACTTATTATGTCTTTGAGAATATCAGTGCCTGATACAGCAAAGCTTCATAATAGTCATTCACGCGAATCTCACACTGGCAGTATATTCCGGTGGTGGGTGAGCATCCATAACCGTGGAATCTGACGGGTGTGCGTCATAGTCTAAGCCGGTATAGTGATTATTGGGTGCGTATTGTAGCTGTAGGGGTATCTTGATTGTCGTAGTGATGGTCTGTCGAGTTGTTCCGGTCGTATGGAAAGAAAAGCGAAGGTTAATGCTGTAAGTCTGCGAGATTAAGCAAGAGTGAAAGGTCGGTATATGGATCCCGCGTTGTGGAAAGAGGATAGGTAAGACAATATCAGCAGTGTAGTAGTTAGATAATGATGGTTCGTCCAGTTCTCGAATTCGGTGCTCGCCATCCATATCATGATGCTTCACCCACTGGAGTGAGCCCATGGAAAACGCCATGAGGGGAAATGTTTCAGTAACCGCTCCTCGGTCCCATCCATTAGCGAGTCCCGGGTCAGCCCAAGATGGGTAATCCTCCCATGGCGTAAGGCTGTAAAATGTAGAGACTTGGAGTTTCGCCGTTGCCTTTCTTAATCGTGGAGGTGCTTGGTCTGTTAGAGGGTTGAACCGCAAATTGAGACGCACGGCCGTATGCAAGCCATTATTATCGAGGGGATATTGCAGCGAAAGTGGAGAGGAGGCTTCCGTGATTAGCTCCCCGAACCCAGGTTGCGCAACCCTCTGGCTAAAAGTTTGTTTTATCTGTGTATGGATATGTGGGCTGACTGTGGGTAGACTCAAATGCGGTGCATGTACAGCGGTAGGAAGAACCCGCACATTCTTAGCACAGTCCACAAGCCAGCTGGGTCTTTTATTCCCTGGTATGGAGGCCTTTGAAATAACCACTCGCACGCGGTATGATATGCAGCACTTTCCTGAGGAAACATAATCCAGGGTTGGCATTTTTCCATGTTTAAGTCTCGGATCGTCGAGCGTCGGGGGTAACTGAAGATGGGCTTGTTTGAAGTCGGGGCAGCTGATATTGTGATTGCATGATTGACAAGGTAGATATTGAGGAACGACAAAGGTGAAAGGAAGCTTGTAAGCGCATCCCGGTTGAAGTGCTTTAGGTACCGCATCTATGCCTCGTGCAACAGGTTGTTTGAGTTGCAGAAACGTCTGAGTAGCTTCGGTGTTGCTAAGGGTACAGGTCGCGCGCCCGATGGATACCTTCGCCGTGCCTTTGCAATACAATTAGACTCTTGTGCCAGACAAAGAATGTAGGGATGGGGGAAGCAATTAATGAGCTAATATCATACCTTCAAAAGTTATGCTGATACTCTCAAGTGGGGTCTCGGAGTCGACGGTAATGAGTACCGTTCCTTGGATCCGGTCAAATGTGGTATAAGTATTTTCCAGGCCATGGTGATGCTTATCAAGCTCAATGGAAACTGCTGGGGAAGGCCTGCTCATAGATTTGAGCAGGTTGAGAGTGTGGCGTAGTCTTGATTGTAGTGCCATCGTATGTAGTTTGTGTCAAAGTTTTGCTGAATGCAGACTGGACGCAATAGAACTCAAGGCAAGGATTCACAGCTCCTTTCTTTCACCCATGCCCAGGCTTTCGCAATAACATACATCCACTGCGTATAGTACCCTGATAGACTGAACAATGGCATTTATGCTGTCTGGGCGATTTTGGTTTGCCTTTGCAATGGGAACTGATGATCTGTTGTATCTCTAGATAAAAGACTAGATAAACAGGAAGTCTCAGGCAAATGAAGACCCTGAAGAATTACGAGAGGCTCTGCACGGTGCTAATTATGCTTTTTCTTTTATTTTCTACTTTTCCTAAAGTGCCCTTTTCTCTTACACTCTCTTTCTGTTTTCTAATGTAAATGTAGTTCGGAGACAAACCGGAGCGGCAGTCGGAGCAAGGCCCGAGGCTAACCGAGAGGTCATTTCGAGAGTGATCCAAGCTTGTTTCAATGCCCTAGTTACTGCTAAGTCTGTTTAAATTATGCCTGGACAAAAGATTCATATTCCCCACATACTCTTTGAATTAACTTTCTACCTTTCAGGCTTATGTATACCGAGCGATGTTCGGCATACCGCTTCGCCCACCAATGGGACGGACGGCATTTCTCTTGACTTTCCCTAGCACCAACTAAGTAATGCCCGATTCTCAGGGCATCTTTGCCACCTCTTCTTATTCTATCTACCGCAGGCTTTCCGATAAAGGGCGAATCATCCGTAGAGTAACCCTTGCACACGGCTCTGGAACTATTGATGACGTCCAGAGTCCGCAATCATCGGCGACATGTACGGAATCTACTAAGCTATCCATCGTCCTATCGCTATATTTACACGAGTAGAACTAAATTTTCAACATCTGTTTAGGGTTAAACGCACGTTCCCGGTGCTCATACCATTTGAATATGGGTCGGTTTGTAGCTCAGTTCATTCAGGCTTGTTTTCAGGCCCTTCGGAATCCTCCTCCATTTCACAGAATATATGCCACATACAACAAACCTACATTTTGCCATCGCGGTATTTTACTCTCCAGGATACATAAGAATATCTTCAATCGACGGCTCGTCAAGAGAAAACTCCGACAAAGGGAGTCTCTATTTAATTTTAGACCAGGTTAGCGCCAGAACACTAGCAGCCGCACGTAGTGCTACTCACAGCATTGAGAAAGAAATCAGACCCATCATCGACATTATCGTTAATATCCGCCTCGGTCGTGTCGTTTCTCGTTTTGGTGGCCGTCATAGTGCGCTTTATCTCAGCCACTTGATCGAGGATGTGACTGACTTCGTCTGCCTTTCCAGCCAGCTTGGCACCTTCAAACATATCCCTTGCTTGCGCAAGTATACGCATGACCCCTTCAAGGTCAATACAGTCATATGCAACGCAGGTGACACGAGATAGGAAGTTGATTGCCAGGCCTAGGGCTGAGCCGGAGTAGTCCTGTTCAATTAAGTATGCGTTATGTAGTAAGTACTCTGGGAACTACATACGATCGAATAGTTCAAGTTGGCCTGGTAGTCAATTGAACGTAGGGCGCATTTAAGCAACGCTTTCCCGGCATCTACAGCTGCTCGTATGAATTGGACTCGAAGCTGGTCGTTGCTAGCACTATCTGGTTTGAGACCGTAGAGGACAAGTCCATTCAGGTGCCTGTACTGTTGCTCAATATGTCATCATTCTGTAACCACAAACCGTGTTGCTCACTTACATCCGGGCAAAATTGTAAGGAATCGCCATTCGATTGCGGTCCTGGGGCTTGGAGAATGTCTGGTAAATAGGATCCATTTCTTCATCATTTCGTCGAAACCATCCTTGCAGCTGCTCGTCATAGAGCTGGAGCTGCCTGCAGACATCCGATGTAATTGGCTGCTGCTGGATATTGTCTGAGATTATGACGTCCTTTTTTGCTTGATCTGATACAATCAAATAAATGATGAGTTTATATGTTGGCCAACTCCAGATTAAAATCGAGATTACCTACTGAGGATGCCGTAGATCTCCAAATATGCCCGTATGCGATAGTCCACGTTACGCCGATGGGGCATCGACGTCAAATGGCTTCCCAATCTCGTGTAGCGATCGCTCTCACTGACAAAGTACGTTTTGCTGGTATTGTGCCTGGGAACCGAGCAGTCAGCTTTGCTACAGGAAAAAGAATCGAAAGGAGTACACAAGGTCCACGCAGCAGAAGGACAACCATGTCCTTGCTCTGTCAATAGAATCTTCATCATGATCACTAGTCTTGTCTGCTAGACTCAACGCCGTCTCAGGAAGTTGCATTTGGTAGGCAATTGATAGCACCAGTCCCAACAACCGGTAATTCTTGTGCCACACAGCCATTAGCAATATACCCTTTAGTGTCTCAAGAGAAGGGACAGGTCCAAGTAATGTTTGCTGAATCAACGAGTAGGTTTCATTTAGACATGGGCGATACAGCCGCGGTGCAGATGCACGCGCACCGATCGTACACATGGCCGCCAAGAGGAGCGGATATCTCCGAGTTTCCTCGAATGAAGTTATTGTGTTATCAAAAAAGGCAATAATTTCACTGCAGTTGGCCCCGTAGCTATAGAATATCGCAGTCAGTCAAGAATATGGTTGTGGTATACACGGGTATGAGCACATACAAATCGAAGAGCATTCGACAATCCTCCAACATCAAAACCCCCTTGTCGATGAGATCCTTTTTTTCATACTGTGGTTCGAATAATTCAAGGGTTGATTCAGCTTGAATATCAGGACGGATTGCCTGATCCCCGGCCGACCGTGCAGTAAACCCAACTAATGTTCCAGTCACATCTTGAAGACCAACATGACTAGATATCTGCTGCAGAGCCCCTCGGAACGACTGGAACGAGGAGCTTACCGCATCCTCCAGTTCTCTAATCCGCTCTTCCAGCGCTGCTGTGCGATCATATTGTTCTGTGCTATTCGAATTGTAAGTATCCCATAAAGTATGATAGATATGGGTACTCACTCGCCGGATGCGGCTTCTACCATTCCAGCGGCAGCTCGGGGACTCGGCTTAGAAGGGACGAATTTACAGTCCGAGCGACTGGATTTGCATCTGCCTTTGTTTAGAAATCAACCTAACCCAGGTTCATTGTGCATGGAGGTTTACCTCACACAAGACCCGTCATTGAAACCGGTACATCGAACTCTGCGTGGTTGTGAGAAAGCTACCCAACAGCTCCTGTATATGGGACCCTCACTTCAGCTTCCTGCAGCGCGTACAAGCGACTAATGACCTAGCATTTATGGTGAGTACGGTGATAAGTAAGACACCGACGCACAGGCATACCGTGGGGGTATCGATGCTGCGGATATAGTTTCGAGAGAGCTAGCCTCGCTGCCCTTCGCCTGGAGATAAAGATCAAAGGCCGACGTCTTTGGGGGCTCATGAAACCGTGACCTTGTCCATTCAGGAGGTGGAGTGTAACTTGTAAGATCTTGGCTGAAGAGCTGCGGAGATCAATTTGTTTATCGCTCCCGTGCTTGGCATTTCAATCTGCCCTCTTGACTTAAAGCTGAACTCCTCCATACATTAGTACATCGTGGACAGGTAGACACTGGCTATAGGTAGTGGTGGGTGGTTATTAAGAATTATGGATACTTTAAGAAAATAAAGTCCACTCCTTGAGTTATATAACGGTTACTATATTTGTTTTCGTGATTAACTATCGGTTGAAACGTGGGGGACGACGCCCAGAAGGAATCGCGTCGTGCGGATTTCATTGTTGAGATTGAAACTACAAAGCACCGAAACGAAAGGACCAACACATATGAAACCATCCAAAAGACCCATGAACTCGCAAAGACGTTACCGAACCCTGAAAACACCAGAACCCAAGTACCCCCCATCCATGATCGGCCGATTAAATCCGCACCGCGTTTCTGGACGTATCACCAATAGGATTGCCCAGGAGCCATTGTGCGAAGGTCTTGAACCCAGCTTCGTTCAAGAACGTGAAATCATAGGGTTTAGTGTGGCGTCAAGGCTCAGATGTTGAGCCCGAACTCTGCACCATTTCAGGACGGTTTGGTCCAAGGTATGGGTGCCCGTCTCTGCGAGGGCTTTGATGTCCCTTTCCATGAGGGTGAGTGCTTTGCGGAGATTGTACCAATCGCGAGGCTCAACGACGGTCTCCATGATCACGATTGATGTATGAAGTGACAATCAGAAGGAAGAAAATGAATATGGTAACAAAGACTTTCCACTCTGAGGAGATCAGGAGGAGCCCTGCCGTCTTAAATGTTCGCAGCAGGTGTGGCTCAAGGTCGATTTTCGCCAACGGAACTTTGGAAATCTGCTGCCGTTGCCCCGCGACGGGCTCAAGCCCAATTCTTCTAGCAATCAGCCTCTATGCTCAACATTACTAGACCGACGAGTGCGTTGTGAAACCTTCTCTTCGTTCTTGCTTTTTGTGTTTATTCTGTCGATCTGCTAGTACTAAGATTTGTAGTTATGTAAATTCCATTCTGTAACTTAAGCTCCTCCTTCAGCCTCTGACCTCATGGCTCGGTAGTATTGTTTCTGTGTTGCTTTACCTCTCATGCATTCATCCCAAACACATGATTCAGAGCATACCAGAGTATATTCCCGGCTTTGTGGTTTACGAGGCCGATTCAAGTAGGATTAAATGTCTGTTGAGCTGTCACATACTTGAATCTGTAGCAGGACAGATAGAGAGACGAGACACACACACTCTCTCTCCCTCCCTCCCTTCCTGTGCATGTGTGTGTGTGTGTGTGTGTGGGTAGTTCTTATATTACTACAGTAAATACAAGATAGTATACTGGACTAAACCCGAAATAAGTATAAAAAGCCATCGCTTGATATGATAAATAATGAAAGTAGCAACCACTATGTGCAAGTACTAATTCCTAAACAACATATCGGAACGAGGGATTTTCCATCTACACCAGGTCTGTTAGCAAGCGAGAATGATTAATCTACAAACATCGTCTTACATCTGTCAGATCAGTCAAGCCGGAGGTACCATCAAGGTTGACTTCTATCGAGGACTTTGCTGCGTCTCGCTATATAACGTATCAGCAGTTACTCACCTGCCACAAACTTGATGGTGAGTCAGCTTACCTTTTTGTTCTTGAGCACGTACAACCTATGCAGTATCACAAGCAGGACGAAATCCAGAGCCAGGCAAATAATCATGGCAATGAACCCGGACCGATAATGCGGTTCCTCTCTTTCAAAGAATAGCTGGGGCCCGATCAGATTACCAACGCAGTACCTATACCATATTAGAAAACAGGATAGTGACAGGGTGTCCATGACCAAGCATACGCAATGAAAAGAGCGGCTGTGACGACGGTCTTCTTCGTTCGGCCGGCGATATTGGCTTGGATCAGGCCTAAGGAAAGGACATAGGTTGCACTAAACCCAATGGCAAGATAGTATCCGCTGATTTGCCAGTCAGTAGGAACACTATACGAGGAAATCTCGAATATCTCATAGGGAAACGTACAGAAGGCGACCAATCTTATTTTCCTCGGGAAGAGCGTACATGAGACTCATTCCTAGAATGGCGATGACAAGGCCACCGCACATCAGTATGATTCGGCAGTTCTTGATCGTTCCTGCAAGAAAGCCGGTAATGAGAAGGGCAACGACCTGTGCTCCTCCAAAGGGCATTCCCAGGAGCGTAGTTCCAAGCTTTGAGTAGCCAAACCCCTCGATAATCAGCGGTCCGAATGCACTGATGCCTCCCTGTATAGATAATCAGCTGTGCCTGGACGGCATGTCAATTGAAGGTTTTTAGTATACATTAGGAATGTTGTTTGCAATCACAAAAAGTATCAAGATCCACACTTGAGGATCCATAAAAGCCTCGCGTGCCTGATAGAACTTGAACTCCTTGTTGTCCAGACCGGTCTTGTTCTCCGATACTCGTTTGATGGCAACATCCTTCTCCGCGGAAGACAGCCACTTCGCTGCGGCAGGGCTTGGAGCAGCAAAGAGGAAGAAGGGCACTGCCCAGACAACTGTGACGGAGCCAAAAATCAGGAATGGGAACTACATGTATTGAAGCCCAGGTTTAGCTCTCTGATATGAATGCAGAGACCTCTTGGCTTACCTTATAAACCGGGATGTCGCTCTTGATGTGCCCTATCCCGTACTGGAGGATCATCAGTCAACATTTCTTCTATATTTGTCTGGGGCCCGGATTACTGACTGCCACAATGCCCCCAACCACTTGAGCAATCCCGTTCATCGAGAACCAAATGCCGGTCCGAAGAGGTTGCTCGTTCCTATCATGGTCAGTATCCCCATATATTCAATCCAGGATGGGCCACACCTTTTATAGAACATCGATGTCAACTGTACAAAGCAGGGACTAACCCCACTTTCCAAGACACCTAAAAAAAACGAACAGCCATCAAACCGGAGAAGTTATCTGCAGCTGCCATGCAAAGAAGAACTGCCCCCCAAAGAAACCTAGCATCCTTTAGCTATGCCAAGTATCGAAGCTGCAATCACTCACATCAAAGTCCCACAAGACCTTGTGATATGCACCTTTTGAAAGAGGACATTCATCGGAAATTCACCCACAAGATAACCCAAATAGAATATGGTCGTTAACCCTGTAGACTATGGTTAACCAGTCTTGTCAAAAGAGAACGCCCAAGAAACAAGCATACATGAGTACTGGTCGCCCACTAGATGGGCCTCCTGTTTCATTCCCCACAGGGCAGCATATGAAATACATGTCTTATCCACGAATTGGATGAGGTACGTGCCCATAAGCTAAGTGAATCAATATCAGCACGGTCGCATCTGGCATATGTGATCCGATGAGTACCCAGGGAAGAAGAAACCAGTCAATCTTGCGCAGCACAGTTCGGTTCTCTGCTTCAGTGTACGGAGAATTCTCCGCAGTCCCATGCACCGTTCCCTGTGCAATGTCCGGCTGCTGTGGAGCAAGGTCGCATGCTTTAGTGTCAAGCGTGTCTGACTTCTCGGTGTCGATCTGCAACATCGTGTCTCGATTCGTATTCATCCGAAGAAGCACCCTGGAAAGATTTGGTAGACCGGTACAATATTGAGTATTTATATTGCAGCAATGCCATCCACCCGGGAGATAAGTCTATTCCCAAGGGGTTTTCCATGTTATATACACAACGACTGCAGTGCGACATGGCCAAGACGACGATAAACGAAAGGATATCATCTGCCCCCGTCACTGGTCAAGACCACCGTACGGTTGGACTGGCAGGCTCTTGGCTGAAGTTAAAGAGACCAGAAAGAGGAGATGGCGATTATCTTCGTCGGCCGGGCCGATCTATATGTCGGTCGGCCCGCCCGATCCGATCCGTCACTGGTTATCAAAGGTGGAATGATGGGTTCGAACACATATAAAGAGTGATAAATATGTATATCTTTCTTGAAAACCACTCTTTGTTGATCTCTGAACACCTTCAAGACATTCATCGCAATCATGACAACTAGTTCTATCAAACAACCCTGTAACGAGGGCACTGGCCTTCCAAAGCATGTTATCCAATTGGTCTCAGAGGCTATTGACTCGGCATCGTCAGAGTTGCGTCGGCTAAATTTGGAGGTAAATTCCGCCAATCTCTCATATCTTGTAGGTGGCTAACATTTGAAGATCTGGAATAATCCCGAGGTGCGGTTCAAAGAAGAGAAAGCATGTCAGTTGCTAGCCGGGTGGTTTGAGAGCCAAGGCTGGACTGTGAAAACTGGAGTATACGGGATCTCCACGGCGTTTGAGGCACGCTTTTCCGTCACAGCTGGGCAGAGATCAGTCTGCTATAACGCTGAATATGGTGGGTCTGTCCACAGTTCATAGGCTCGCTGGGTTCTAACGATGGAGTGTCTTCACAGATGCCCTTCCTGAGCTTGGCCATGCCTGCGGCCACAACCTCATTGCCACATCAACTCTGGCCTCAGCCGTCGGGGCTTCTGCCGCTATGAAGGCACTGAAGATACCAGGAACGTTGATCGTGATGGGTACTCCCGCTGAAGAGACTGGCGGGGGTAAATACATCATGGCAAACCATGGCGCGTGGAAGGATTGCAGCGTTGTCCTCATGACACATGCAATGCCGGACTTCTCGACTGCCAGAACTGTGACGAAGGCTTCATGGAAGTTCAGAGCCAAGTTTTACGGAAAGGCGGCACACGCAGCAGCTGCGCCGTGGAATGGAAATAATGCTTGCGATGCTATTGTCATGGCGTATAACGGCCTAGGGCTGCTTCGTCAACAAATCCAGAAGACAGAAAGCATTCAGTCTGTCATCCTGGAAGCTGGGAAAGCACCGAATATCATCCCCGACTACGCCGAAGGTAGCTTTTCTCTGCGTGCGTTTGACTCGAAGGCATTGGAGCTTCTCCGAAGCCGCGTGATACCCATTTTCGACGGAGCGGCGGCGTCGACAGGCTGTACTGTCGAATTATTTTGGTGCGTCGATATGCATATGATACAGGCTATGTAATGCCTATATACTAATATACACTCAGGGACGCACTGTACGAAGACGTCGTGACCAACATGGCTCTAGCGAACCGCTATACCCACTATATGATCAATGATCTGGGCCTCACACCCGCTGATATTCTTCTTCCCTCAGATTTATCACCGAAGGTGAACCAGAATGGTAGCTCGTATGTTGCAAGGCGGAACACAACTCGCTCGTCGCAAAAAGGACTAACGATGCAAATCTCTAGCGATTTCGGAAACTGTTCTTATATTCAACCAGGTATTCAGACATTGTTCAGCATCAACGCTACGGATATGCCTCATACTCCTGCCTTCCAGAAGGCAGCAGGTACAGACTTCGCACATACAGAGTCACTTAGAGCCGGAAAGGCCAATGCTCTGATAGGGCTTGAGGTCCTGCTTGACGAGGGGTTCTACAACGAAGTAAAAGGTGATTGGATAAGCGATATGAGGGAGCGAGGTCGTCTTCCCGAGTAGGCATGTTTGAAACTTTAGCTCGCGGTCGTCTGTCTCTTCAGATCTTCAAGATAACGTTCTGGTGTCCAGTTAGCCATGTTTAAATTATACCTAGGAATATAAGACATACTCCCAGCCATCCATCGCGTGCTCATGCATTGGAGCACTCTTTCTAAAGCACCTACTGCTCTCCTGGAATCAAACCTCGGGCTATCCCTTAGCACACCCAGCAATATCCGAGCTGCCTTGTAGATAGAATGCACTACAAATACGGGCAGCGTCTCCAAGTCAGCCGGTGTGATTTGTGCAGCGAAGCTCTCGGACGCATTAACAAGTTCCTCAATTACGTCGTGCATAAGTCTGTACGACCCAACAACACAGGAGTCCATGCCGGAAGCCTTAAAGCTGCAGCCAAACTCTAGGACAGTCATCAAGGCGCTGGTTTAGCTCCATGTTAGTCTCCGCCGGATGCTGTAACCGATGGGGTTCCACAGTACCTGCGGGGTATGGCAACTGCACTGTAGCACAGACTATGTGGGACAGTGTCCTCATCTTGGACAGTTCCTCTGAACGAGCTGAGTGTCTTTAGAATTTGTATAGCTTCATCATTGAAGAATTCCAAATGTTGAACTGGGTCGTGGACGTGGGTGAGCACTTGTTCCAGTATACGTGACGCTTGAGCTAGTTTATTGAAGTGGTACAGAGGTTTCGACGGTGTTAAAGCCAGGTCGAACGAGTCAGAGTCCTATCACAAGGTTAGTAATCTGAATTGCACTTTCCAATCACAATACTTGCGTCGTTTCCGCCGACGGCTCCCGACAGTAGAGCTTTCGGGATAATAGGTCCTTTGTTACTCTCTAAGGAGACATATCTGATCATAGGTTCACGATCCAATCGTTAGTGTTCATCTAAGAATAGTAAAGCATATGGAAGTGAGCCGACCGCCAAGCTGAAGTGGCGGTACAGATCCTCGAGTAGTGTTTAACATGAGACGGAGATGAACGGGACCAACCTATCTGTTATGACAATGCCACGCCATGTACATCGAGCCTCATCCGCTTTCTCTGAGGACTTGAACGTTTTTTCTAGCTCGGCTTTCGATGCTTCATTCGCCCCGAGAGCCACTGCTGCCCGAACATTTGCACCTATGGAGATATATGCTGCAGGGTACAAGCCGTGGCCCACTTCGAATATAGTGAGTAGTAGCCTACACTGCAGCAGCTCCAATGAATTGACGTCAATCGCTTCTAATGATGCAATGTACCCCTTCACTAATATGTATAGGGAGCGCATCCGGGGTGTTATCTCATCCTTGACTGGGTTGGCACCCAAAAGAACCATACAAAGCGTGAGCAAGCTGAGATCCGGGCTCGAATGAGTAAAGATGTGGGATAGACACTCGTAAAATGGTGCTTCAGCTAGTATGGGAAACCAAGGATGGATTGTCCGAAAGTATATCGCGGCCACCGCTCGGATCCTACTTTCATCCCCAATGGTGGTGAAGACTTGCGTCCTGATAGTGTGAGATATGTTGGCCGATGTAAGCTGGGCGAGATCAGGTACTGGTAGCGAAATCGAGGACACAGCCTCGGGAGAGTCGCCGGATCCAACTATTCGGTTTGGTTCCGTATAGCAGCAGACACGGTTGAGTCTTATTGGAGTTTGTTAGCACGTATGTACATATGTAAGCGGAACCGGCCCATTTCAGCGAGGTGCACTTACCTTTTGCATAAAGAGCACACTGGAAGCAGCTTGTCGCATTTACGCTTCTGCGTCCTACAGCGTAGACAGACGTGGTTCGCATGGCTGCTCATTGCGTATCGTGATGGTGCGGATGCAGGTGCGGATGAGTAGCGGCTCCGTGGATTTAAGTACCCACTAATCTTGGTCGTCAGCTCATATATGTCTCAAATTGCCTACATTGTCGCCCCACTTGATGACTGCTAAGTGTTATACTCCACAGTGCGTAGGTATCGCGTCAATGTGGGTTAATTGCTCTCCTTGAAGGCGAATCTTGGGATCCATGGCACTAGTCCCATTCAGGCTTAGCGGTCCGCACCTGCATCCGCATCCAGTATCGGAATCTTAGGGTTTGAGAGAATTACAATATGTACAGGTCCTTTCTCCATATATGGAAGAATCTTCGAGTGATGTATGGTGTAAGCAATAGTAATCATCTAGTAGTAATAGCTACGAAAGGGCATTATATAAAGCCCGTTGTCCACCACACTCTACACCTCTTAAGAATCACATCTAACAACATCCCTTTGCCTTCCCCGAGTGTACTACATAAGTTATACCCTGATCATCTCCCAGTCAAGCCTTTGATATTTCTGGCCAGATCTTCCAATCATGTCTGTGATTCGAAACGTTGCAATTGCCGGTGTAAGAACCCACCCCTTCGAACCAGGATCACACCTAAGTTCTAACAAACAAAGGCCTCGGGCGACCTCGGCACCCCAGTCCTAAACGCCCTCATCGAATCCAACAAGTTCAACATCACCGTTCTGACCAGACACTCCTCCAAAGCACAATTCCCCGCTACTGTCCGGGTAAACCCCGTCGACTACAGCTCTCTCCCGGAGCTCACAGCCGCTCTAAACGGCCAAGACGCCATCATCTCAACCCTAACAACCGCCGCCATGGACGTCCAGCACACGCTAATTGACGCTGCAATCGCTGCCGGGGTCAAGCGATTCATCCCGTCCGAATTCAGCTCCAATATCGGCAATCCCAAGGCCTCCACACTGCCCGTCTACCAGTCCAAGATCGCCGTCCACAAGGCTCTCCAAGCTCAATCAGCAGAGAACCCCACGTTCACCTATACATTGATCCGCCACGGACCCTTCCTTGACTGGGGCCTTAGGGCGGGGTTCTTCTTTGACTTCAGGACCGAAACGCCCCCTTTCTATGATGGCGGCGATCGGCCGTTTAGCACCACTACTCTATCCACGATCGCTCAGGCGGTCATTGGCGTTCTGACGCATTTCGACGAGACGAAGAATCGACCCGTCTATGTGCATGATCTGGTCACCACGCAGCGCCAGATCTACACAATCGTCCAGAAACTGGCTCCCGGGCGGAAGTGGAATCCGGTGGATATTAGTACAGCCGAGCTGGAGGCGAAGGCGCGGGAGGAATGGGCGAAGGGGAACACGGATTTGCGGTCTATTGTCGGTCTTTTGTGTCGGGCGGTGTTTGCGGAGGGATATGGCGGGGAGTTTAAGGAGGTCGACAATGAGCTTCTTGGATTGGGATTGAAGACGGAGGCTGAGCTGGAGGAGGTGGTGAAGGCAGTTTTGGGTGATTTACTGTGATGGAGGCATGGAGGAATCTAGTTTAGTCTGGTTAGGGCAGTGGACTGGGACCTGTTTTGTAGTCATTTTCATGGATGAGCTTTGCAATTTGACTAAGGTTTGATTGAAAAGATGAAGTTTTGGATTGACTGGTTGGTTTTGTATGTGTGTAGCCCCGTAGGCAGAGTATTTGAGCGTAGTCATCGTGAACTTACAACTGTTCTATGAGGGAAACATGCGACAAGTCCTTTTGTTTTTGAATATCATTTCAGTGTCAAAGTCTTTCGTTAATCAATATACAATATAGAAATAACCCAGCTATATCTTATCATCATCGCGCTCGCTCTAGGCGTAGCTATAAACAGAACAATGCTCTATAACGTCTAATCGTTCACTAAATTCCGAACGTTCATCTTCGTTTTTAATTCCATCTCACTTCATGCATTGAGACTTATATCGAAAAAGTATGGGGAGTCTTGAGAGCAATAGGAGCATCCTCACGCAGGGTTTTGCCGATCAGGTGATCGAAAGAGGGAGAGTGGGCGACACGAGGGGTGAAATCCTCGATATCCCAGAGATATCCGAGAGTCTTGAGGACGGAGGTAGCACTGTAGGGAGCGGGCTTGCCGGTGACGGGATCCGTTCCGTACTGCTCAATGTATCCCTTCTTACTGTAAGGGGAGATAACCCAGGTTGGCATGCGGCCACCGAGACGGTCGAAGTTGAGAGTGTACTTCTGGCCATTCTTCGCAGTCTCAGTGTAGGTCAGGTTATCGGGGCGGACGGCGAGCGGGGGAGGGACGTGGTCGTAGAAGCCACCAGTCTCGTCGTAGGTAATGAAGAGTAGGGTCTTGTCCCACTGGGGGCCCTGGCGGATGGCGTCATAGATCTGCTTGACAAAGACCTCACCGTAGGAGACGTTGCCGGTGGGGTGCATGGAGTTCGTGTTGGTACCGCAGCAGGACGGGTTAATGTAAGAGAATTTAGGCAAGACACCAAGGTAGGCGTCTTGGAAGAAGTTTTCGACGGGCACCACGTTGGATCGGGAGGTCTGGTTGACGTAGGTGAAGAAGAGGGAATCCGGTTCGAATGCTCCGTTGGTGCCATCGTAGTTGAGCCAGGACACACCCTTCTCGTTGGCAGCCTCAAAGATGGACTTGGAAGAGATGGCATAGTTCATGAAGTCATCGTCATTCTTGCCATGTCCGGCAGCGGTTCCTGCCAGAGCACACAGGCGGTTGGGGTTGGTGGGCTTTCGAATGGGTTAGTCAATTTCCGAAATATATATATATATATTTATCACACTTACTCCTGGAACACACGAGAACCAGCTGTTGAAAGTCGTGAACTCATCCACAAGGTCTACGAGCGTAGGAACCTCCTCCTCCGTGTAGTATCCCATCACTTGCCGTGTCGCCTCTTCTGGGGCCAGCTTGGGGTAGTCCTTGAGCTGTGCGGTGAGGAAGCCGGACTGATCGGCGATGACCTTGCCACTAGCAATCGCACCATTGTCTGGGGTGTAAGTCCCGTAGAACTCCAAGTTATTGCCCGTCACGGAGTGGTCGGGATCATTGAACACGGAGTCGTAGTCCTTGGCCTGAGTACAGTACTTTCCGGATGATGGGTCGCTCACATTCTTGTAGTTGCAGAAAGGTCCGTTGTTGATCGGGTTATCGAGCCCTTGGCGGCGCACGCCTCCCAAAATGTTATCGAAGGATCTGAGCCAGATGTTAGTGCTTGCCTTCACGTGCAACTAGCTGAAAGCCAGGGAGGCGTTGTTCGTTCAACATATGACCGACACAAGGGCACACAAACCTGTTCTCGAGAATAAGCCAGACAATGTTCTCGACCTTGTCCTTCAGGTTCTCAATGGACTCCTTAGAACCAGGCTTGTAACCAAAAGGAGCCTCTCGTACGCTCGTATACTCGGACGTGACAGGACTAGCAAGACCCAAAGAGGCCAAGAGGCCGAGACCAGTAAGCAAGGCGGCGGACTTCATGATTACACTCCGATTGAGGTCGTGAGCTTGAACACTGCTGCTTGCTCGGGAACTTGAGCCCGTCCAGGGCGAGGCTTATATATCCCACCGGAGGAGCTACCCTCCAATCCCATTCGAATACCACGTGCGCTGTGCGTCGGGTTGAAGCGCATATCTGTCGAGGCACGTGTGGCTTCGGCTTCATACCGAACAAGGACAGCCTATCGCCATCCATCTTTAGAAATTGTTCTTCGTGGAGGCCACCGGAGACGGAATGACAGCCCTATCGACAAAGAAAACGATATGAAGTGGAGGCCACATGGGTGGGGCTTTCATTTGACAGCCTTGGTCACGAATAGAGCGTGATGCGAGATAGGAATGGGATTGGACAAGCAATGGCTAAGCTACTAGGGTGGGGAGATGCACTAAACCAAGACATGGGGCAGCCTACGCTAAGGCGAGGAACGTGAGCTTAGCATCCCAGATCAATCCCCTCCTATCGCTCTCCAAGGGATCATTGTCCTGCAAGGGATTGACTCGACATTCACCTGGTTAGATTGAGTACTCTCAGGCGACAGACAACTCTCCTTGAGTTGAGAAGTTTGCTCAGTGAACAAAGCAGGGTATATGGAGCAAAAGGGGCAAAAGTAAAATAAAATAAACCGGGAAAAAGGTACGGTGCACTGTGCGTACAGATGGTTGCCATTGGCTCAAGAGCCTGCACATCTCGTGCATGCAGAGCGGCATACGACTCGTTATCAGGATATGCATCATCCAGGAACCACGACCGTCCGTCTGCCAGTGAGGTTTAAGAACGACAACACGGGCCGTGGGAAGGCGATCGGGTGCCTTTTGGAGTATCCACGCGAGATTTCGTTCTGCTCCACCCGCCCCACAGCGTCTCGAATACCGAGAGACATTCCTATCTGACAAACAAGCGACAGTGAAATGTAATACGCTCGAGACATAAAGACATCCAGGATGTACTCCGTACCTCTGCATACATCCGGATCTGTCGGCCTCTGACTTTTTCCCGTCCAATAGCCAGAGTCATAAGTGACCTCACATTTGCCTGTGGGGATAGAAGAAGCAATCTGACTCCACTATCTGCTGATATTTGAGGTGGATGGAACGGCAGAATTTCTCGCTTCGCGATTCTTACTATAACAGCACACGGGTGTGGACTGGCTTTTCTGATTCGTCTGATACATGATGCTCCCAGGGTACCTGAGTTTGCGCAATGTTGAGGCGCAGTAAGGGATAGTGGAAGTATATGTCTGTTGCTTGGACGCAAAGCCTGTTAATCCAGTTTAGTATGGAAAGAAGAAAGTGACTGAGGCTCTGACGGTCACGGGTCTACAGAGCAATTCTAATCTTTACCTACCAACCTATCTCTCGGCAACCATTCTCCATACAACGACATTGCCCTCAATACCAAGTAGCGATATTCCGGAATAGACTACAACACAACTGCTATATCTGATCGATGGACTGTAATTCAGTCACTCGAACAAAAACATATGCACAGATACATATGAGGTAGAGGCCCCTGAATATCTTCGGCAAGTATAAGATAGGTCACATCAATTACTTCGGGAGTTGTTTCTACCGTATCATCCGTGGTCGCTAAAGTCATCATGAATCTATTATCATCGGCTATATACAATCCCCGTCTCCATATGCGTTAATACATGAAAGATTTTCCAATTATGCAACCCACCATCTTCAGCAGGACACCGGGTGTGGAGTACTATACAAGGCCAGCATTTCAATTAACGGCGGCTTACGCAGCACATAATACCCGACTTGGCCAAGAAGTACATGGAGCCAAGGAATCGGAAGAACGACAGTCCAGCCGTGGCCCACAGAATGACTCGGAAATACCACGAGGTTCTCGTGGTGGAGGTATTCTGTACGACTTGTTAGTATCGGCAGGGGTGCGATCGCGGAAAAGACATACCGTCAAACACATAGAATTGACCCCGGTGGCCGTAATCAACAGAGCCACAATCAGGTTGCTAAAGACCCAGAGCAGCACCAGCATCGTACGGAAGTTCTTATACGAATCGTCCAGACTGGTGGATTCCTCTTCTTCTGGTTCCACCCACGGCGTCAAGGCACGCTTGACTGTCGCCTCGAACTGGCTGTCGATATCCGCTTGCGGCTTATCCACTTCCTCAATGAACTGCTGCTTGCTGCCGTCTTCCTTCTTCGTCTGCGCGGACGGCAAGGCTTCGGCCTTATCGGACCCCTTGGTACCCCAGGAAACGTCATGCCAGTTGCAGAAGGCATACACCATCAGAATGTTGATTGAGGTCGTCATACCGAAGAAATAGGCCCACGAACTGGTGAGAATGTGCCATGGGTCGCCGTAGAGCAGACTAGCGATGACGTAGATACCGTAGGTCGAAATCAAGGCGATCAGGACAATACCACCGCTATCAGAAGCAAAGAACGACGAGAAGAACCCACTCGCACCGTGGCTAAAATCGAAGTCCATCATGCCACCCGTGAAAGCATTGGCGACCAGGTAGAACGACAGGATCAAAATATAAATCTGGACGATGGAGAAGTACAGGAAAGAGAGGGTGTAGGGCAGTCGTGTCCTAGTCGGGGGAGTTAGCGGGCCTCCAAGAACAATCGCAATCGGCAGCAAGACTTACCCTTTCGGTCGGTTTCCCAGCGCCAGGATGAACTGCAGCATCAAACAGAAGATATAGCCATATTTGAGGAAGGTGTTGATGATGGGGGTAGCATCGTTTCCGAACGGCCACCCCTTGTTCTGGTTAGCTTCAGCGGGCGTACCGACGAGATCCATGATCACCGAACTGGTGAGCCAGTAGGATGCTGAACACCCATCAAAGTCAGCGGACGAGAGTTTTCGTGTAGGGCAAGGGGTGCGGGTGGGACATACAGAGAGAGAACCAGGTCATGATGAGTTGACAGAAGTTATAGACCATTTGAATATGCAAGAAAAACATGCGAACAAAGCTGTGTCCACTGCGATAAATTCGTCCGAAGTGCATCATAGCATACAAACCGGCGGCGAAGGAACCGTTCAACCAACGTCGTCGCTGACCGATAAATTCGGCTGAACCCTCGGGCACGTCCGTTTCACCTTTGGATGCCTTGACGTACGACAAATGCCACTTATAACCGGCCTTGGCCACCAGCTCGAAACACAGGATTCGATCCTCAGCTAAGAACATGTTCTTTTTGAAAATATTCATACCCTCGATACCTTTCTTTCCGAGGCGCTTCGATAGCGTGTGATCTCCGTGGAAGTACTGCTCCAAGGGACGGCCCATGATAGCGCGATAGCGGTACGCCGAGAAAGCACCGGGTAACACACTGACATATCCGAAGGCACTTTCTAGCGGTTTGTCTAGAATATTGGAGATCTTATACTCGAAGTTCTGCGAGGCGACTAGCGGATTCAAGACTTTACGCCAGCCCTTTCCTAACATCGCATGAATTTCACCACACGAGCCACCGAGATTTTTATCGTTATAGAAAGATTCCCAGAGGGCCAATAGTGATTTCTTGCCGGGTTTCGTTCCCGCGTCGATGAGGATGGCAACCTCCGGGTTCAGAATTCGACTAAAGGCGTTGAAGAGCCAGCGGTGAGAATTGATCTTCTTGCTGTTCTTCTGTTTGAGACAGAAAATCATCTGGACCGGGGGGAGATTGGAGGGGTCGTTGCCTTGCGGGCGAACCAACTGTTGGTTTGCGGTGACGGACAACTGCGTGGTATATTCGAACTGTTCCGGTCAGTCCCATCGATTCATCGCGGCCTTGCACTTATTGGGATGGTGTCCGCCGTTGGCGGGGACTGGCAAAACTTACAATATGAGCGACCGTTTCCCGACCGTCAACGTCCTTTTTCATCACGCCATCTTGGTAAATTCCGACCGTGGCCAACACATCCAGTGTGTTCTTGTCGCACGGCTCGATTCCGTCAAAGACTAGACAGACGACGATTTTCTGCCAGGCAGGACCTCCCTTGTTCCAGAATTCAGACTTTTTCAAGTTGACGATATCGCGCACGTTCTGCATCACACCGTGCAGGGTTCGGGCCGTCAGAACTTTGTCTTCATTGTAGTAAGTGATGGCGATCAGCAGTTCGGTGTGACGGTTGTAAATGGCGGGGCGCAGGTTATATCCGTTTCGCAGGGTGAATTCGTCCGGGTCACAAGTGGCCGCCGTATCTGTGACGGTAGGGATTAGTCCGACCAGTCTCTTGGTGCTGCTGTATGAAAGGACCTACACCGCATATGCGTAAATTCTTCCGAGAACGCCTCCTCCGCCTCACGATATTCAGGTTGAATAGCATTCTGAATGGCACTGGGCACCGGATAATCGACACTCAGGACGGAGCCCTGGACGAGGTTGATCTTACGGGTTCCATAACGGCGCAGACCCGATCGGTTACTGACGCTCTGGGGCTGGAAGGTATCGAGCTTTATCCCACTCGTCTCCGACATGCCCGTGGCATCGTAGATTTCAGCCGCTTCGGACTCTTGGTAGGGAGGCGCAGCGAAAACGGTGACGCCGGGATCATGGAGGGTATAGCGGCGCAGTGAATCGGACGACAGACTGGGATCCTCCACGCCGTAGATACTGGGGTGGTTATGGCGCAGGAGCGACGATTGCTCCTGTTCGTCTCGGTCTGACAAGCCGGGCGTTTGCTGTTCCGGTTGAGGAGGCATTAGAACGGACGAAACTGGAGGCTCTGCCACAACAAAAATTCATCGGATGGCAGGGAGGGGATTCCGAAGACAAGAAGAACAGTGAACGAGAGAGAAGAGAAAGAAAGGAAAGACAATGAATACGAGCAGAGCAAGCAAGCGTCCAATTATTGCAGGTAGTGGTAGCGCTGATCACACTTACAGTTCGAGACGGATTGGTATGCGAGTAAAAACTGCTCCGGCTTGGCTGAGGAGAGTGTGTGGAGTTGGGCCGTACGGGTCCCATCTCGACGGGCGTCTGGACGAATGTGCACCGTCAACAGTCGACAATCAACGGGATCTATCCGATCCCCAATTACAACGAGTGTGTTCCTTTCCGTATCCTATAAGCGAAGCTGCATGAGAGACAGCGAGCGAGGGACCAAAGCGAGATGTAGGGGATCCGGCAAGGATCGTCGTAGGGTCAGTTCGTTCGATCCGTTGGGTGAGGAAGGACGAAGAAGAAGAAAGGACGGAAGGACGGGAAGACGACGAGGGTACGGGGGAAGAACAAGGGCTTCGATTGTTGACCAGGGGAAGAAAAGAAGAGAAAGTAAAATCAAAATCAAAATCTCCAAAGGCCCAGAAAAGAGATCGAAATCCCCCCATACAAGAAATAAATGGGAAGGTACGAAGTCTGGTCAGTCAGCAGCCGTGGGTGTGGAACCATGGATGCATTCTATATATAAATTCGAATTTCATTATTCCTAGGATGAATTCTAATTTAATTCTTTGGAAGGGGACAACAAGTCCCCAGCTACCCGGAACGGCGAGATCCTGCCATGATCATTGGATCCATGCAGGGACATGGCAAGAAAAAAAAAATGAAAATTAAAAAAAGGTTGATAAATGAGCTGGAGAATTATTTTTGGTATTTGGGGAAATATTTGATTAATCTCAGAGCATTATTCCTCTTCAGGCGTGCACAAACACAACTACCCACGCAGGCTGCAAGGGGGCGCAGTGATGGGTGTGGCTTGGAAGAACCTCCTTCTCCCTCTGAAGATCAACAACAAATACATGAGACTCCATGGCATCAGAACCAAATTAAAGAAAGAAAAAGAAATTATAGACGAGAATATAATTGAACAGGAAAATGGATAGAATAAAACGAACAAAATAAAATAATGTAAAGTAAAATACAACAAAAGAAGGAATAGAGACAAGGTCATGCTACTAATACAATACCTCTCTATAGTGATGCCTTGTCGGTTGCTCCGTCATCAGCTTACTCTACTCCGTACGTGGCCCACACCTCAAGAAAAAAAAAAAAAAAAAAAAAAAAAAAACCGTCGATCGATAACCCCTTCAGGAATATCCTCGAGTCATCCCTTGGGTGCCTGAGGTCTAACAAGCCTATCAATATTATGCACCGGCCAGTTGCCACTCCTACCGGGAGGGAAAAACCCTAAAGCCCTCATCCCAGGCACAACATCATCCACTCCCTCAATCCGAACGTAGCGATTTCATCCAGGCAGGAACCAATCCTGAACATGATTCCTTCCGGTGGCTGACACCGATGGTCCATCATCATTGGCCTTCCCCAGGGAGCAGTGCCTCCCTTCATGATCGCGCGACGCGCATCCGGGTGGAGTCGCTCCAGTGGCTCTCCCGATCGCTCAGTGGCCGTTCTCCAGGCTTTGCGGGTTGTGCCATGTCTTCTGATTTGTGTTGCTTGAGGAATGCCTCCCCCACTGTGGGCCACAACATGCGCATAGCCGAGGGGGGCTTTCACATTCGATCAGTGAATGAATCTTTATGACGGCACATTCATAGACAACGGGTGCAGTCGTCCGGTATGGACCGTGGCAGGAAACTGACATTTTCCTGCCTTGGAGATGACATTTCAATCAGCATCTCCGGGCAGGAGGTTGGTCGACTAGGGTTGAGAAGCGGCCCATGGAGATGCGCCGTGAAACGCTTGTCACACTGCCAAGAAAAAAAGGGAAAGAAAAAATAAAAAGTGGAGATCTCAGTGAGAGAGAAGGGTCCCTGTCTCTTTCGACTCGTCCAGGGCACTTCGTTGTGCTGATCACAAGATGGCGGTTGAACACGTTGGACAACGATTGACAAAGCTAATGGACAGTGTCGATAGTCTTTTTCATTCTAGAATTTCCGGTGGGATCCGTCTCCATAATGCAGCGTTAATCTAAGATACTACTAGTACGTAGATTCTATGGTATTTATAGATTTTAGGCTTCCTCTGGGAACTTTTTGGTATAATTAAGACCAGATCTTATAGAGCATTGTCTCAGAGTGCTTGGTGCTTGGTTCTTGGTAGATTGGTTCCTATCACGCATGACGTGCCTCTTGATCAAGCATCAAGGGATCCAAGGGAGACACCGTGTAACTTAGATAGCAGACCGTTTAGATCATCAATCACCCTGTAGCCTTCCGGGTGGTGAAATGGGCATCCATGCGTTCCTATATATGTCGCCGATTGGCCAACCTGGATGCAACCCTACTACGGAGGACATCTCTTCAGCAACAACACAACCACAAGAATGCAATGTGGGAATGGCCGGAAAGAGAGAGGGAAAAAAAAAAAAAAAAAAAAAAACCTAATAAATAAAGATAAGAACATCACACACGCAAGGATGGCGGGTTTGAGCCATGTGGCTTGAAAGCTACAATTCGGAGACCAAGAATCAGCATCATTCGCGGTCAACCCCTCCCCGTCCTCTGGCATCAAATTTCACCATCTCTGGCCCCAGGGGTTACGGATTGCGATTCCACCTTGATTTGACAGGGTGCTGGCCCACTTCCCGATGGTGTCTGGGGGAATACGGTTTCAGACCATCACCACTGCATCTGTTACTAGGTTTAAGAACCCCTCAGGAGGCGTTGCGATCAAGGGTCCGTCCGTCCAAGAACGGAGCACGCCGAAATTCACACCTCGGCTGTCACCAAAAATACGATTTCATTGTGCGAGAGGAAGAAGTGAGAGTCCCTGCCCTAACTGATTGTATCTGCCAAGGTATAAGCATAATACTTCGGCGGCTCCTACAGGTTGCCCTTCATATGCTGCCTGAGGCATCCATGAAGCTTTCAGTGCAACCTAGATCACTGCAGATCGTATAGAATAAAGAACAAACCGCAGTAAGAGACGGTACAGCATATATATCCGTGGATGCAATGACTCAATAAGACAAATTATTCCATGATCACCATTCTTCAACTGTATGATGGAACTAACCGGCATTCTAGGATTGACATTGTTCGTTTCCTGCCCCTGAACTTTTCGGCCTTGATCCACAACCATACCATCTTAGACATTAAACGTATAAGCGAACATTCCAGGTTGGTCACATTATGTCTAGTGGGTCCCTTCAGCTTCCAACCCCTCATCATACTTTTTTATGGAAGATTCTAGCCCCTCGTGCCAATCAGGCACATTAACTTGAAGTTATACATAGGGTGCTTTGGTATATATCCCCAGTGTCTGCGTACCAGCCGCCGAACTCCCAATCGACAGGTGCAGCGACTCTGCCATAGTATATAATAATATTCCGCGGGCAGTGATCGGCGTGGGTAAAGCAGACTCAATAAGAACCGGAATGACAATCGCTTATCACTTAGCCGAATACTTTGGTGGCGTCCTCGATCGGGATATTTTTCTGGAGGAAACAATGGAGCTTGTCAGAACAGGCCCAAAGGAAATAGTCCAATGCAATAATCAGGGTTTCCTTCAAGGCTTACTAAACCAACTACTTCTTTTTACAGTAGATCTAGATCTCAAAGCTGATCAGTGTAGCCTGTAATCTCACTAGCAATCTATTTCTTCCGCGCTAGTGGTACATATCCACCAAACCAAGCTCTTTGAAGATCCATACCATAACATATTTTAATTCAATATAGATTTCATCCGAGCAGTAATAGATACTATAGTTTTTGGGGACAGGTCTATTTGTGTGCCTAGGAATCGCTCGGATTATTCTGGTAGCCTGTAAGTCAATGGCCTGCCACCCATGGTGATGTCGTCCAACCTGGCTCAACCGGGGAAGATGTCAAAGACAATCACCTACTTTATATGTATCGTATGAAAATATATGATGTCTGGTAGGTCCTGTGTATCTGGAAGTATTACAGTGGATGGTAAGTGTGTAGGTAGAAATAACAATAGGGATTAATCCTTCTAATTTCGGCTTATACGCGTAACGCAAATCATATCGCAGGTTGTGAAGGAAATAAAGAGAAACAACAACAACAACAATAGCATATGCAGTGCGTGTAAAAGCATCACGTGATGCAGTGGGTATCTGTGATGTGTTGAGAATTTAGCCAGAAGGCCTGGACCTGGCCGATGCCCACCTCAGGCGCTTCCAGTCGACTTGGCCATGTTCTGGGTACTTTGTCGGTTTCTTTTTTTTTTTTTTTTTTTTTTTTTTTTTTTTTTTTTTTTTTTTTTTTTTTTTTTTTTTTTTTTATGTTTTCGGTGTGTTTCCTGCTTGAAGATCTTCGGGACTTTGAATGAGTGTGCCTTGAAGAGGTAAACGTGGGATTGTGAACGTCTATCATAGCGCTGATATGGTAGAACGTCTGTAGCTACATTATATATTGAGGAGTGGTCCTAGTCTTCGCATTGAAGGTGCAGTTCACCGAAAGGCATCTGGGGCGCTACTTAACTCAATATCTTGTATATAGATATAAATAATCTTTTGGGTCAAGAGAAATAGTAGAAAGATGAAAAAGAAAGAAGTTATGAAAACCGGTGGAAAGACCAAGTCCTTGTAAAATGCGGTGATAGACGCTAACCCGGGCGAGTGGAGTAGTGAGATTGATAAGGTGATTTAATGCTTGATGTCAAGTCCGTGTATTCCTTGTTTTTGAGGCGGTGAAATCCAACCACCTAAAGAGGAAGACCGTTCCAGAAGGTACTATCGGACCCGATCGCTCAGTGTCTAGACATATATTCCTTACATCATTCACTCTCGCTTTCTCGTTACTTCACAGAATATGTAATCTATCCAATTACTGCCTCTCATTTACTTGAATGCGCCTCAGTTGCGCAGCTTCTCACCATAGTATCATGTCCCTAGTGCAACGGGTGTCTGCCATTGACGGGGTAGATAATGTGGATGTCGTCGAGACGGCGAGTATCCTCTCCATCCCCATCCGGCGCGAAATCAGCTACGATGTCTTACCGCCGCCTCCCGTGGAAGAGCGTTTAGATACGAAAGCGGCGACTCCAGCCTACAGAGTGTCAACCGCAAAGCGACTCGGTAGGTAAGAAAGGCTATGGTGAACGCATCAAGACACTGACTCGTTGTGAAGCTCAGGTGATTGTGACGTTGTTGGCCTGTTGGTGCGCCTCTGGAATCGTCTTCGGCTTCGCGGCGCTGAAGCCGGTGATGATCAACGAAGGTGTGTACCGGAACCTGTGCACTGAGACGGTGTTGCCCAAGGAGGGCAACGTGTGTAGGGCGCAAGATCTTCGGTACGTTCTCCCCATTTCGGCTTACAATTCATCCGTCTCACACGCGTTCTCAGCCTAAACCTATTCTTCATGGTCGGCTCTATTACAGCGAATGTGTCCGCTCTTCCGGTCGGCACCATCCTCGACCGCTATGGCTCTCGATGGTGTGGTTTTATCGGCTGTATAGCTTTGGCCGCTGGTAGTCTGCTCATGGCCTTTTCTTTCTCGCGTGGCGTGGACGGTTATATCGCGGCAAACTTGATGTTGGCGTTGGGAGGCACATTCATCTTTGTCCCGTCCTTCCGAATCGCCAATGCGTTCCCCAAGTACACCGGAACGATTGTCGCGCTCGTCACAGGCGCATTCGATGCATCAGCAGCGGTCTACCTCTTCTATCGCCTGGCGTATGAGAAGAATCCAGGGACCTATTCCCCGGAGCGGTTCTTCCTGGCCTACCTAGCGGTACCGGCTTGTATTCTCGTCGCATTGCTTACGATTATGCCGACTCACGACTACCAAACCACACAACAACTGCAAGTCAAGATTGAGCAGGCCGAGGACAGTATGCAGGATGTCCATGACTCGGATGCCGAGATTGAAAGCAATTCAGAGTTATGGCAGGTTCGGACGGACCGCGCGAAGCATCGGAAGGATCAACTACGCAAGATTGACAAAGTCTTCGGAGACAAGAGTGAGCGTAAACAACGCCAGGAATGGGAGGAAGAGCGGCATGAAACGAGTCGGGTATGGGGGGTCTTGCATGGTTTACCGGCCCACGCACAAATGAAGACACCGTGGTTCATCCTAATCCTTCTCATGACTGTCCTACAGATGTTGCGCATGAATTATTTTATTGCGACCGTGCGATCGCAGTACGAGTTTATGCTCCACTCAGAACGGCAGGCCGGAACGATCAATGACTTCTTCGATGTTGCGTTGCCCGTGGGGGGTGTGCTTTCCACGCCCCTTATCGGGCTCCTGCTTGATAATCTCAGTGTGCCGGCTACGTTGGCAGTGATCGTGCTCTTGACCACAACTACTGGCGTGCTGAATTCTGTCCCCGCCGTATGGACGGGCTATCTGACCGTTATCCTCTTTGTTCTCTTAAGACCATACTACTACTCGGCAATGTCGTAAGTGCACCCACTTGTGTCACGTATCTACGTAGCACCAATACTAACTACTTTAACCTCAACAGCGACTACGCAACTAAAGTATTTGGCTTCGGAACGTTCGGCAGAGTCTACGGAACGATCATCTGCTTTTCCGGCCTCGTCAACTTCGCCCAATACTTGTTGGACTATCTAACGCACGGTCCGTTCCACGGTAACCCGATCCCAATTAATATCTTCCTTGCCACGGCCGGCCTCATCGTGGGTGCAACGCTGGTGACTTTTGTATATATCGCGGAGAAAAGATGGAGGGAAGAAAAGCGAGCGGAGTGCGACGAAGAACGGCAGCGACTGATTCCGGAAGAGGCGGAAGAAGAGCAAGCTTGAGACAATGAAGAACACTCCTTTGGCCGTTATAACGATTCACCTCGTTGCAGATATGTTACGAATGAGTCTAAAAGGTCTATGGTAAAAGGCATGCCTTACGCAGCGAACACTTTTAATGACACCGCATACATTAGATGAATCATATTGAGTCTCTGTTTATAACTGTGGAATAGTGGTCTCGCAAGGATCTGTTCCTCGTAAAGCCTATCTACTGTACTGAGTGTCTAGCTATATAGTCACCTCGTCGATGAAGTAGATTTAATGTCATATACACCTGAATATCCCGGAAGCCTACATTACACAGATCTAGATAGAAAAGTGGCGCATGCCGAATCAAAATGGCATATAATAATATGCAGATAGCATATATCTGTATGACCATGTGGTCTAGTTCGGGGTGGGCACAGTCTGATGAGCTATATTCACGACGATCATAACCGTAGTGATAAGTCAAGAGGAATACCCAAGCTGAACCTAGCACCTTTGACTCGGACTCGGAAGTATAAGTATCCGTTATACCCATCTAGCTCGAAGCATGTAGCTTTTCACTAGACACAGCCTATCATCGGTATTGAGTCACTGATTATTCTTGTCTGTTACCATGAGGGAGAGTTTCAGTATAACATCAATTATTGAATCCCGAATTTTTATTCGCGCTAGAATGTGCTGGTTATGTTCAATATATGATTAATCATATCTTTACTTTGTTGGATGCTGAGATCTAAGATACATTGTTTTATTATAGTAATCAGCTATTATTAACAGGTTTATAAGGTTAAGTTGAAGTCATCATCTATTATGAAGACAGAAGCAATGGCCGGTTTTCCAGGCGCGAAGCCACCTACTCACTGAGAGCCTGCCCAGCCTTCCACAGCAGTGTCAGACAACTCAGATTGCCAACCCACCAGAAGAGGCCTCGCCACGCAGCGGTACGTGGCCGTTCCGCGGTAATGTAATTGATCGCATAGAGAATCCGCGCCACAGTGTACGTGAAGCCCACCGCATTGATTGTTGTTCGTGGTACGCCCGCGTAGGTGGCAAGGGTGATGCCTGCGACGAAGAGGGTATAGTTCTCGACGGAGTTGGCATGCGCCGCTTCGTTGCGCTGGAGCATTTCGAGCTGCTTCCGGGTAATTTTGCCGTCCCGCACGGCTGCCTCGCCGTACTTGTTCAGGTCCTGACGGGGAGATTCTTGGTGGTCGATGCCGTAGTACTGTTTGAGGGGACGCGAGGAAAGGATGCCATAGGCGAACGCGAAGTGGAAGATGAGGAAGCCCGGGCCATAATTAGGGATGGGCGCCGACAAAGGGGCTTGAGTGAGGCCGACAGCGGTTAACAAGGACGCCATTATCGTGAGGTGAGGATATGATTCGCCGCTTGCTACAGGGATGAGTGTGGTTGTAAAAGAAGATGTGGCTGTTCACTGCAACATATAGCACCGAAATGGCCCCCATTCCCGCGGCTCGGAGCTTCTCGGCGTTAAGGCGGGTGAGATTTTGGTCTAGTATGTCAGACGGAATGCTAGGCGGCGACATGCTGACAGATCAACTCACCGGGTTCTAGATGTCCATAGAACCCCGCACACGATCAAAATCGAAACCGTGGAGTCGCTGCCTGTGATCGGATATGTGCAACGTCAACTAACCGTCCCAAAATAATATATTCCAGCTTCAACTTGATGCTATAGACCAACACCTTCGTGGTGACCTGCAGGGTGAAAAACCCAGCGAACTGAACCGCCACCACCACTAAATCGAGCACCATGATAGTCACATTGACGATGATGAGTTGCGTGAGAATGGTGCGCGACGGCCCTGCCTGGTCCAGCCGCAGTAATTTGGCGGTCTCCACAATGTATACGGAGGAGATCAGGAGCTCTTGCACGCAGAACCACACCACCTGAATTCGTTCCATGATCCCGAACGCCACTGTCACGTTGTGAATGTAGTAAAGACCATTGTTCATAAACTCGAGCGTGGTCGCCGCGACATGGAGGAGGACACCATCGATGATAATGAGGTAGAGAATGCCTTTGAGAACCTTGCGATTGTGAACGACGAGGTGCAAACGTGACCAGAGGACGAGCGATTGACCGGTGACCATGCCTACCCAGCCGATGTCGGTGATGGCTAACTCGAGGTATCCATTGGTGAAGGTGATGTGAAACATCTTCAGGAGATATCCCAGGCCAAAGGGGATGATGGAGATGGAGGCCACGAAGAGACTCCAAAAGTAGGTACCGGCATAGCGTTTGAAAGTATTGAGACAGAGGACCACCAGCTCGAGGGCATTACACCAGGCGAGAGCGATAAAGACGGAGTAGACATATTGAGCAACGAGCGGATCGGTCAGTTGCCGCGCTAAACCCGTGCCGTCATTCTCGGGGGTGAAGCGTGGCATGAATTCGTAGGGAGAACATGAGATGGTGTTTCTCTTCTCTTGATCGACTGTATCGATCGCGCTATCAACCCATGTATGTCGTATCTAGCCGGAGTTGAGATTGACAGACGGGTTCAATTCGTGCTAAAAGGAGAACGAAGGAAAAGGAAAGAGAAAAGAAGGGGAAAAGAACCGGAGGCTAAGTCCAAAGCGTCAGGTGAATAAGCTTTCGGCGAGAATATCTTAGTTCCTCAGGCTTGGAATGGAAGCCTCAGTCCGACGTCAACCTTGTAAGCTCAGGACTCCGCCATCCATTCATGGATCCAGTACCTAAAAGTCCCATGGGAGTTGAGGAAAAACTTCTTGGGTCAGCCAATTGCGTCATGGAAAGCCCCCTTTTGCAATGTGCCCATATCTTCAATTGGCTGGAGATCCATACCCCAGATAACCGGAACCCAATCAGATGTCCGTCATTTTGCTTATCGCGTGGACGCCACCAATCGGCGGCCTGGACTTCCGTCATTGGTCAATGAGGGAGGAGAAAAACGAGTCTGGTTTACTCCTGGGAGGACTCGTGCCGCTCCATCACGTGGTGACTATCTGACTGGTAGCCTTCCATTACTCGACAGACAGCTATAACTACTTGGATCCATTATGTGACAACGGCTATGTGACAATCTCCTCATGCAAATTGTGTACAACATTATACCTCTTCGAAATCATTATATACCCCCCGACACTAACCATGCCCGAGAATTAGTCAGGTCACTGGGTGACTACATCCTGCTTTTAACTCTCATCCGAGCTTCATGAAACCTGCTGGGCCCTCCCAATCTGGTATGTGTTTGAAGAGGATTCAATATCCGGCTCACTGGCCTTGCGCAGCTGGTTCTGATGTGTAGCGCCCTTACCAGCCATGAGAAATCCATAATCGTGTGGAGCCTCCCACACGCCCAATTTGTCAACTTCCTTGACCGTCCAGTGCTGCGGGTTCCGTCTCGTCCATTTCTTTTCTTTGGCAAATTTCTCACTTAGTCGGTTGAACATGTTCTCATACCTATCCGATCCCTTGCTCCAGCCACCGTTGCGCTGGTAGCATCTCTGGAGCAATGCCGTTTGCTTGGAGGCAATCTCAGCCGCTTCCGACAGCGTGATATCTGTGCTATCCTCGAGGAGCTGGCGTAGGACAGATTCGTGTACCCCCATCGCGCGAACGTTATCACCTTCAGTGGTGTAGAGAGCAGAGAGTAGATTAGTCAACTCTAGAGCACTCCGATCAAATTGACCCCAGACTCGCTTAACATTATAGCATAGATCCCCGCACAGCTGAGTCGCTTGCATAGTCCGACCATTTGAGAAGCGGGCCTCGACCAACCGACGTCCCACCAGAATGATAGTATCCGAAGACCATGTCTTTTGAACAACCCGAGAGGACCACAACTCGCCCAGGAGGAACTGCATGTGTCAGCATTATAGAAAGACGAGCAAACAAACAAAAAAAAAAAAAAAAGGAAAAGAAAAGACTGCAAGGGGGCCAGGTAAGCAAGGATGTTTACCTCTAGATCTTCAAAGTTCCTCTGGCCACCTAACAAGATTGCAAGTTGATTGAGATCCGTGGTCTCAAAGTCCGTGAGATTCACCCCTTTCTCATGATAAGAGGAGACAATCTCATGCAAAATGGTCTTGGAGAGTACTAGCATTTTCCCACCCAGTTCACGATCGGGACATTTCCGGGAGCCTTGGACAAGAAGATGCTCGGAGAGTTTTACCCCATCTCGGCTACTGTCCTGATCCTGAAATCCGCCGGAATCTTTGACGAACTCGTGAAGTATGGTGGCATGGCTATACGCTTGTCGAAAACGACCGGTAGCCAGCTTTTGATAAACATTATCGACGATCACGCGAGTCAGTCTCCTCACTAGGCTTCCCTGCGGTGCCTGCGAGATACAGATGTCGTAGAACTCTCGCAGGACTGTCTTGCCAGTTTCAACACCAGTGAACCGCTCTGTAAACAACTGGAACAACTCTGCATCAGTGGTGTTGGCATTTTCAGTCCAACCATTGAGGCTTTGGAAGTTCATCAAGCGAATTCCAGCAATGAACGTGTGGATGAAGCTCTTCTGTTTTCTGGCGTGATGGAACATCGAGTAGAGCTGAATCTCTGCGATAAGGTCGGCCATCATGGATGCATAATTGTGACTATTCCTCAGAGACATCTCAAATGCGACAACGAAGCTGGCGGCCCTGTGAGACCCCTTCGTTTCCATCGCTTCTTGGATGAGTCGGCGACGGAGCTCTCTCGAAAGCCGGACGCCCTTTTCTTTCAATCCAAAATTCACGTACATTTGCGCAAGCTCGACAGCTGCGGTGTACAAATGCTGGCTGTCGGTCTTCTCCTCGAAGGCTGCCACCGTACTTGTTCCGAGAGTCTCCTGAAGGTCCTGATGAGCAGCTTTACTGTTCTGTCGATGCAGTAGTTGTAGTAATTCCCGCAACTGCGGGAGACTATATTCCTGAGAAGCATATCCATGCTCATGAACAGAAGAAGTAAATCTTTCTCTGTATAGCGCAGCAGCCTTATGGGTGGTCCGAGACTGGCGGGCATAGAGATCTGCCAAACAGCTCTTCATGGCCATTGTGGTTATTTCCTGTCGCCCAGCGAAAGTTTCACTCTGCTCAAGAGCTGCTTCATACAGCTCCACTGCTTCGTCATGGTATCTCTCATCTCTGCGAGAAATTTCTGCCAAAGAAAGTGTTGCCTCGTAGACTTGTCTACTGGAGCTTCCATGCCGTCTTTGGCAAATCTTGCGATAGCTAGCTGCCAGATCATGAATTTCCACGACATTTGCATCCAGCTTTGTCTCCAATAAAGTCATATAATGCTGGTAGACCTCTCCGACAAGCTCACTATCTACCACATGGTCCTTGTCGCCGGTGGATATTGTACGCCACAGCGTCTCATAAACACCCCTTGCATTTGTCCACCTTTCAGTTTCTTCGTAAATGGTAGCCAGAGCACGAGCAGCGGCAATGGCTCGATGGTCTAACTGACTGTTGTGGCCAAGGTTGTTGTATATTTCTTGATATGCTTGTTCAGCTTCCTTTTTCAGGTGACACCTCTTTGCCAGGTATCCGCATTCGTACAGTATCTCAATGCTCTGCTTGTGAGCCTTGCCTAAGCGCGATGAAATATTCCTATACAAGCGTCCATACGTCCTTATTGCGTCAAGGAAGCGATATATGGTTCGGTAAAAAGTAATTACTTTGTCCGCGGTGAATCGAACCATCTGAGTATCAGTTGCATCAGAGGAGAGCACGGCCTCCAGGATGTTCTGATAAACCAGTGCCGCCTTTTCAATTTGCAGATCCTTGAAGTAACACTCCGCAAGGCTTGTGGCTAGTTCGACCGTTTCATCAACGTTATCGCTGAGTCGTATCGTCGTCGACTTGCTGTCAATCTCGGCCCAGTGATGAGACAGAGCCCGACAATATATACTAGCAGCCTCCGCGTATCGTTCACTTTCCATCAATGGAGATGCCACCTGCTTAGCGGCCTTCATCGAAGCCAGTGCAGTATCGGATGAATGCATCCCTACTGATCTGGCAGACTCCAAAATCTCATGGATTATCTCAATTTGTTCCTGAGACATAGACGCCTCGCCTGATGAGGCGGTAGAGCTAGATTGCTGCACAGTCTGGGCTAATGATGCGGTGACTTGGACAAGCCGGTGTGAGACTTGCTTCTGGGACTTGCAAGATTTCCACAATGTTCCCATGGCAGATTGGGCTAGTGCGTCCCATTTCATTTTCCGAATATGACCGAGTACCAATTCAAAAGTTGAGCTTAACTGGTCAAAGCGAGAAGCCTGAGCTTCCAAGCAGAACCATGCAGCGCTGGCAACGGATTCCGCCTCTTCCTGACGAGAATGCCGCTCTAAATACTCAGCGTACCTTATAGTGAATTCTGCCTGTTGCTTGATGACAGTATCCGAGGTTTCCTCAACGGCTAAAAGCTTTCTCCATGTATCCATGAAGAGCGCATCGGCTTTGGAGGTTTCCCCTCCTTCCTCGTAGACCTTGATCATTTGCAACGTCGAATCGATCATACGTTGGTCGGTGACCGCTAAACTCTGCCTCGAGAATTCATGTTCTGTCTGCAATATTTCTGCAGTAACGTCAGGCATAGAAAGTCTTTCAAGTTGCCTGTATATGTGCTCAGTTGTTTCTTCCATCTCGCGAGAGTGCTGGCCATATCGAGTAATGCCCATCTCAAAGAGCTCTTTGGATAATCTTCTCACCGACTCCTTGTGTTTCAGAGTGACATGGTGATCAAGAAGCATCTGTGTGTATTTGATTGCCACATCATTTGAGAATCCGACTTCTTCCTTGATTGCTTGCAACAGATATTCTAGTACTTCCTCCTTGTGGTCCAAGAAAGCCTTGTGCCTAGAGTCCCTTTGGGCTACAACGTCAATGAAGACCTCTGCGCTAAATCTCGTCACGATATTGCGCGATCCCAAGAGGGAGATGCTCTTTCTCCAGGCCTCATAGGAATAATCAGCAGTGTCAGCGGATTCAAGCCGCTGTGAAACTTGTGCAGCGCTGATTAAGCTTTGCAAAAGTGACAGGGAAAGGTCAGGGAAGAGCTGCCGACGAAGTTGGACGGAAAAGACCTGCAGCTCCTGCACCTGGTACGGCAGATATTGCAGTTGATGGCAGCCACCTTCAAGCAGTGCAAGCAAAACGGAGTCCGGGAAGCTCCGCTTGAATAGATTGGTTACCTTGAAGTTGTCTCTTTCCTTTTCGTTCATCTGAGAAGACCTAAAGTGCAGCGTCCAATACCTTGCCGCATACTCGAGAAGTTGATATTGATCAAAATATTTGCGTTGGACAGACTCGCTCAAAGGTGTCGTGGACACCTCTACCTCATCAGTCACATTGAGCTTCACATAGGCTAGCAGCCGCGTAAGAAGGTCGGAATGCGCTTCCTTCATGGTCAGTGGCAGTTTTCCTTTGTCACTGTCACCAGCGGCTGACTTCGCCTGATTGATAATATACTGTCGTAGGGCAGAAGATCTAAAGGAAATTACTTCGTCTTCAATGGTAATAAAAGAGCCAAGCATCCGACGAATGTCGCCTTCTGCATTTCCTACACGAGGTACAACCTCCGTCCTTTTCGTGTCGATCTCCAAAAGAGAACGAATCTCTTCCACTCGTAGAGGGCGGTGGGAAACGATCATCCAAGCCAATACTGATCGGGCTGTCCAATCACTCAGATCAATCGAATCGAGTGTCTGCTTTAACATATCTTGAAGCAAAGAAGGTATTCTTTGCACCAGAGCTATCATGTCTGACGAAGTTCTCAAGGCATTCAACTGACCGACCGCCAATTGTGCAAGAGGAAAACATCCGTTTGCTTTCTTTACAATGCCAGTCTCGATCTCCTCTCGGTCTCCTAATGTTAGCCCAATGCACACTTCGGAGCACTCAATCTCATTGCGAACTACGGTTCGAACATCGCTTGCGGTCTGGTTTGGCTCGATCTTGATCCGGTAAGCATCACTAGGCACGCCATTCAAGGGCCTGAACAGGGCAATCACTTTGATTGCAGGGCTTTGTGAAACCAGCGTTTTCAAGTGATCAAAGAGACGTGGAATAATCTCTGGATCACCGTTGAGACTGTCGATACCATCGAGGATAACCATCATTTTGCCTGTTTCTTTCACGGCTATGTTTATGGCCTGCCATAGAGAGTCCTCAACACTCTTACTGGACGCCCCGGACGAGTGCAGGCGCATTGAGCGTTCCAGAGCCCTTAATAGGTCGCCATCCTTTGCTTGACGTCCGAGTATCTCCAATAGTAGCCCTTTCGCTAAACCTATAGGACCGGTAGTAGCGCTAATATCATCGTCTGCACGAGAATTAGCTCACTGTCACTACAATTTGACGTTTCTTAGAATTTTTATCTCACAAACTCTGAACGTGACTACATCATAGTCATGTGGATCCATTGATGTTTGAAGTTGCTGGACGATCCACTCAGATAAAACAGTCTTCCCAGTGCCCGTGTCACCAGTTACAGTAAATAACTGGCTCTCGCTCGATCGTATCTGAGAAAGTCTATTGGAAAACCACTCGCAGGTGTACTCTGCGGGCTGAGGTGAACGCGCAGAAAGGACCCTCGAAGCCACCCGATCCTTGACGGACAAGTACTCCCATATCTCTTGCACCTTTTCTGATGGATCTACACTGACATCGCTCATGATAAGTCTACTCCAAAGTCTTTCTTTAACCGCGATCCGATGGGAATGGAATGCTTGAATCTGTGGTTTGAATCGAAATTGTAAATCGGATGTATCCAGAGCCTTGGAGGAGCCATGAGCCTTTTGAAAATAGTGCACACTGGCTGAACAAATGAGCCCACATAGCTCAGCATACGCAGCAACAAGCTCTTGTTGTGCAACGTTGTCGGCCATTAAGAGCTCCAGATTGTTCCTCACATGCGACAACTCAACTGCAAGTCTATGGAATATCTGAAAAAGCGAGACGAGGAGTTTTGCTTGTTCTGAACCACACTGATCTCAAGTTAGTGGGCTTGCTTCGGCATCAAACCTCTGTACCTATCTGGCTACGCACCTGCAGAAGCAATAGAAAGCTTCCCCCCATTAGTCGGATTGCGCGCTCGGTTCCGGATGTGAAACTCGACATTAGTCGGGCGAGCTGCTCCAACCGGCCCACTAGGACCACGGCTTGTTTGGAAGCTCGATCAAGTTGACTGCCATTCTCAGGCATAAACCGTAATCGTTCCTCTGCGATACCGTCGAGGACCTCTACCGTCGAACGTACACTATCGAATACTTCTTTTGCGGGTGCATCGAGCTGAGGTCGTACTCGGGAGGCGATTTGATCACTAGCCCGCTGAAGGGCTCCCAGCTTTCGAGCGTCACCCGTGCTACCATCCTCCTCTGTTCCAGAGATGGCATTGTGGAATATGTCCTGCCGGAAGGACGGATGCCCAGCGGTGGGAGGAACGACCTCAGCCGACATTTGCAACTCAACTCAACCCTTTCAGAATACTGTGCTGGTGCATGTGCGTAAGTCTGGATTTGCTTAATTTGCAAAGAGTCGGGCCGGAATAGCATTTAATGGACATCAAAGTCTCGCCAAACGGCTGTCGGAATATGTAGTGATCTCATTGACATCATCACTTCTGAGAGACTGGTGTACGCACGCGGAAGTCGTCTGTATGACAGCATCTGTACCTGACTGTCTTTCCCACAGAGGAAAATTTCTGATGGATACCTGGATGGATGGTGAACCATTCACAGCTTTGGCTAGAATTGCGAAGACATCATGCCTTCCATACTAGGGAAATGAGTGGTCCGTGTTTCTATTTACATCATGGACCGGATTGAACCCGTGACCACTTTCCACAATGGTCCATAACGTAGCCCTAAACACTGACTTTTACACTTTGATATTCAACAGTCTCCATTGCTCCCGACCAGAATCCTGCTATTGACTGAGTGCATGGATTGGTTTTCTGGTACAATCGCTCATACAAGGTTTCTTCCCCACACCCCGCACCATGCCTTTTATCCGCGCACATCCGGTGCTCGATTACGTATTTACCATGGCCTGTGAACAAGAAATACATACCTCTGTTTGTTCGTACTGAGTGATGCTGTGACGGATCGTCTTGGAAAAGCGCGAGATAGACGTTTTAGACTAGTGAAAGAAACACAGGTCCACCCTTCTTGGTGCCAGTTCGGACGGTCCAACCAACTTCGTATGCTTCAGCTTACGCTTCCTTACATATGTTTATATCCTCTTAAAACCCACCTCATCCGACCCGTTGGTACTAAAGCACTCTCAAGACTCGGAAGATCACCGAAGAGCATGTTTTCACTCCCTAACGCTACCGTTTCAGTACTAGAGTCAAAAATAGATCATATAGATGGGAAGCCTGAGGCTGAGCGAGCCTGTAGTAAGTTATGGAATCATACATGGTTTCGGGCCAAGACCGAGGTTGGACGGGAATCCTTCAAATAGTGTATTCATAACGGGTTTTCTCCGTGTTTAGGAGTAGCACAATCGGCTTACCGAGAAAATAGTTGAAAAAGAAAGGGGCTTGTGAGTAACATAATAAAGATATCATACTATCGGATTTGATATCGCATGATTGGGAGAGTGTGGCTTAGCTACGCGTCTTCTTTAGACTGCGGAGGGAAGCTCCTATGAGGCAATAAAAAAAACAAAGAGAAAGGAGAAAGTCAGTATGTATACCGCAAAGTTATGCATCAAAGGAGAGCAGTGCCCTGGTGCCCCGTTGCCCCGTGGCTGTATAACTCTGTGCAGTGTTCTGGTCCAGCCGATGCATCGGTAATGCAACGCTCAGATATTCTCCTGCAGAGACTTCCGGGTACATTTGAATGCAGCTCTAGGCACCCCGGTGCTAAGCTGTAGCCGAGCCAATCGCAGTGAATATCAAAGAGGAGAAAAGATGGATAACGCGTCGTGCGAACATATTTAATATATTGTGGGCAAGCACGTGGCCCGCCTGTTGGCGGAGATCAGCTGCCGATTTGCCCTAATTGTCAAATGATGATCGTCTGGCTCGGCAGCCACGGCATACTAACTGGAAAGCGCTCCTTCACTCTCAAATATGAGACAAAGTGAAGGCAGAAAGTACTATATAAAGGACGTCTGTTTCGCGATAGACCTTATTGAACAATTAACTTTGCTACCCGAACCGTCGCCATGCATCTTCCGCTCACCCTCGCCGTGCTGCCTCTTGCAGCCCAGGCTGTCAACATCATCTCTGCCAACGATGACGGGTGGGCCGAGAAGAACATCCGCACTCTCTACGACACGTTGACCGCGGCTGGTCACTCAGTTGTGATTTCGGCACCAGCGGAAAATAAGAGCGGAACTGGTATGCTCTCCTTGTTGCTTTCCTTACCACTCAAACTAGAATCTAATCGTTTGCACATTTAGGCTCCATGGATGCAGATCCTAAGCAATTGACCGAAGCCTGCGAATTTGACAGCTGCCCCGTAGGCAGCCCCGCAGTGGGAAACAACGCTACCCAGCCGCGGTGGAACTACGTGAACTCGTACCCCGTCACGTCAATCAAGCATGGCATCCAGAATCTCTCGACCACCTATTTCAGCGGCAACCCGGACCTGGCCGTCACCGGTCCAAACGTCGGCGCCAACCTGGGGGTGGCGAACGCCATTTCCGGCACGGTGGGCGCCGCCTGCTACGCTGCGCACGACGCAGGTATCCCGGCAATTGCCTTCTCCGGATCCAGCGGCTCTGCGACCGCATGGGATGATCCCACGCCCGAATACGCTACCATCTACGCCCAGCTGGCGGCCAAGGTCGTCGACAAGGTCGTCGCTGCTGGCACGCCCTACCTCCCCGAGGACGTCTACCTCAATGTCAACTTCCCCAAGGTGGACGACTGCGCCAGCGTCGACGACTTCAAGTTTGTGCTCTCGCGCATTTACACCGCCGTGCCCCTTATTTCTGGCGACGATGTAGAAACCTGCAACAACGATCAGCGTCTGCCGACGGAGACCAAGGTCACGGGTGCGGGCTGCTACGTGAGTATCTCGGTGGGCAACGCGTCGAACAAGAGGGATGCGGATGCGACGAAGCAGAAACAGGTGCTGGACAAGTTGGGCGACTTCCTGACTTGTCTACCTTGACTAGCTTGAATGATTGCGCCACCATCAACTGGGTCGAACGTGCATGATTAGGGCGATTTATATTAAAACCGTTACGTGGTCGTTAGATTGCATGCGATTGGCGATATTGTTCAGTATACATAGCCGACTTAATTAATATCAGTGCTATCACTTAAATCTTCCAATCCTGCAGACTATTTATCTTTCTTGTTTGAATTATGTTATTACCGCCTAGGTCTGCAGCTTATTGCGTGCCTATTGGAACTAAACAACATAGCTCGAATCCTTCATCATGCAGAAAATAAGCTAGTAGGGGTGGCTGCATAACATGATACGCATTAAGCGCTGTATCTACTCGATTAGTCAAAATCTCCGAACGATAAGACCTACCAGAATGGGTACAACAAAGCGCACAGCGCGGTAGACATGGCTAGACTTGACATGGGCTACATCCATCGAGCATAGTAGCACTCACGAGCAAACTATTTAGCACTAGGAGCATTGGTTCTATAAAGCTTGCCTGCCATTGGCAACTAGTACGGGGATGGCCACCACCTGAGACAAGAAATGCGTTAAATGTCCGTCAATCGAACGGTGCCTGGCAGGTTAGAACACTCCACCAAGCCAGGATCAGTCTGATAGACCCTGACTTATCCACTGACGATCCTCTCAGGTACCACGTTCCTGATAACGCTCGGTTGGTCGGATATCGCGCTCTTCCGCAGGGGGTCCGCTGGTGATCGGCATAACGTCGGAGAATTGATTGCGCGAAGGAATAGGGATCGACGAACTATGCGGAATGGTTCGGTCGCCTTTATAAAAAGTAACGGACGCCTGTAGGTACATTATCGGTCAATTTACTGATCATCTCCAGTCTCCAACATGGTCTCGAAACTCCTTCTCCTTACCGCTGCGCTGTCGCAGCTTGTCCAGGGCGGTCTCATCCGCCGAGAGTCCATCGACCATGACAAAGTGGTCGGATTCCCCGAGACAGTACCCTCCGGGACCACTGGCGAGGTGTACAAGGCGTATCAGCCGTTGCTGAAAGTCGTCAATGGATGCGTCCCGTTCCCTGCCGTGGATGCCCAGGGAAACACCAAGTAAGCTAAACAAGACACCCCTCGCCGTGGATTAAACATACTAAGTACATACAAACAGCGGGGGCCTCGACATCTCAGGCTCCAGCAGCGGCGACTGCTCCAAGAGCGACGGCCAAGTCTACGTCCGGGGCGGGAAGTCCGGGGACAAGTACGCGCTCATGTACTCGTGGTATTTCCCCAAGGACCAGGCCGCGCCGGGCATGGGACACCGCCACGATTGGGAGGGCGTGATCGTCTGGATCTCTGACCCGGCCAAGACATCCGCGGACAATATTCTTGCCGTGTGTCCCTCCGGTCATGGCAAATGGGATTGCTCGACGGATGGCTACTCGCTGCAGGAGACACACCCCTTGATCAGGTATTACAGTGTCTGGCCTGTGAACCACCAGTGCGGGCTCACGGATGAGGCGGGTGGATCGCAGCCTTTGGTTGCCTATGAAAGTTTGCCCGAGCCTGCGAAGAATGCGCTGGAGTCAACGGACTTCGTCAAGGCGAATGTGCCATTTAAGGAGGAGAACTGGGCGGAGAATCTGGGAAAGGCTACTTTCTAAGTATTTCAAGGGATTGGTGGGAGTGAAGCATATGGATAGGGTAGAGTACGCATTGTATACATAATGTTTAAATTGGGAGCAGACCATGTACATATATAGCTTGAGAGAACAACATTCTCAAAGTACCATTTCCAGATTCCAGCATGTTAGCTGATATTGGGATAGCCATCTCAGTAGCTCCACCATGACTGTCTTTGTAAGTGTTATACTGTTTCTTTCAATGAATTGAGCCGGTATAAATGAAGCCGCGATTGCGGGCACCAGGTCCACACTGCATCGAAGGCGGAGAATCCGTTCCACATCATGAGCAAAGTCAGTCTCAGGATAATCACACTGTAGATTGTTAACGATGTAATAGCTTTCCCAAAGACCACCGCTGTATCTTTCCCTGTCATTGACGATTTTAACTCGCATCCAGTACTATCAACTTCCGTAAGCTTGAAGATAACAATATGCTTGCTTGGTAATATGTTCAGATGAGTGCAATACCGTACTAATATCGTCGAGTCTAGTGCATAGAACATTAGAGGAATAGCCCTTAGTGATTGAAAATTCGCGGTCTTCACTAACATGGAATACTACTACAATTTAGAAAGAGCAAGCAATTCACTACGTGATAGAAGAGGCTAGACCAGTAACACAACTTGGTCAATTGAGGCTGTGGCTCATATGAGCGGACGGAGAGAACCTATAGTACAGTTTTCCAAAGCATTTCGATACCCCTCCAGCGCAACAGTATCTTCAACCCTAATGATGTCCTGTCCTCGAAGTCAACGCTTAGCGGGAGGCAGCAGCAGAAGAGGAGGGAGCAGCCGAGGAAGAGGGAGAGCGAGTAGGGGCAGCGGAAGAGGACGTAGCAGCCGAGGAGGAGGCACCAGAGCCCGAGGCAGGGGTAGTAGCAGCAGCGCCAACGGTGAGGGCGGTGCCAGTCGAGGTAACGGCAGAGGTGGCCTGGGTCACTCCAGTGGCGGCACCGGTGTAGAGGGCTGGGCCAGGAACTGGGTAGCTGGAGACGGCCTCGTAGATGTTGAAGATGATGCCATCGCTGGTTGGGGTGTAGAGCTCGGTTCCAACGACACCGGCGGGCTTGTCGGTACCATCGCCGTTGACCTTAAGGTTGAAGCAAGAGGGGTAGTTCTGAGCGCCACCCTCGGTGCCGGCGGAGTGGAGAGCGATCAGCTCATGGCGAAGGGCATAGTAGCCCGGGGCGATCGACTTGGGGATCTCGACGAGCCAGCTATTGTTGTTCTGGATCAACTGGTCGTCACCCCAGACACCGGGGACACTGGTGCCATCCACAATACCGACACCATCGATCTTGAAGAACTCGAGAGAGGTCTTGTCAACCGAGGCGCAGTTGGGCTCACAGCGGGCGAGGTAGTCAATGACAGGGCCGTGGTGGGATTCAGGCCATGGGGTCCATTGAAGGCTGATGCGGTCTCCGGCGTTGACCTCGATGTAGCCATTGCCAGCGGTAGCATTCTGGTGGCAGATGATGTCGGGGGAAGAGTAGTCATCAGGGGCGAGAGGGCCGTTGCCGGTGTTGGGAGTGGTCCAGGCGGCTACAGTGGGCGCATTTTCACCCATGTAGGGGAAAGAGTTGATATCGAATCCCTCGTAGTAGACACCGTTGACCACAATGTTGGTGACATGGCCGTGGGCAGCAACCTTGGTGGCCGAGAGGAGGGCCGTCAGAAGAGAAGCAGACTGAGCGTGACGCATTTTGTCAAGGCAAAGAAAGAAGTTCAGACAACGAATGGAGCTAGATAGTGAAAGAGTGAGATATGCGATCCAGCGCAACGAATGTAAAGATATAGCCGGGTAGGCAAGTAAAGAATAAAGATGTTGAAAGAAGGACCGGTGCTTGAATGGAGGAAAAGAATGTACAAGCCCATCGTCCTATTTAAACACGGAGATAAATATGACCGCCACCCTGTATCTCACACCTCAAACGCCCGTTCTTCTTTTCTGCATGCACGACGGTCCATCGCTTGCGTGCCCTGGAAGGTTAGCCCGAAGAAAACCCACCAGACACTGCTATTCCACAAGCGCCCAAGTAATCAATGTGAGAATACACGGTGCTTGATGAACTAATGAGTGTAGGCGACGACAGGATAGGGCAACTTTTCGGATCTTCCTCTGAAGATACCGAGTCTGCCAGGAGTTTAAGCGTAGCAGATTGATTTAAATTGGCGCCGATCTCCGTTAGTCGGTTTGGGGGTGAAATTATCCGTAGCATGGATCCACCACTCACGCCCTTGAAAGCCCTTAGCCGCGACAAGAGTGGAGTTGGTCTAACTAATTGTAGTCGTTATTATCCCTACTGCATCTCTAGTGTACTATATAGCTGGAAAGTAAGCCCTGATTGCTGGGATTACCTCACTCCATAGGGTGGTTTCATGTCCATGTTGGCTGTCACACCATCATCAAGACAAGTCCACGGATACTCGCGAATCAGCTGGAGTGTAGGCATAGCAAAGACCCCAAGAAGTTGCCGAAGAATTATAGCAGCTCTGTTTCTTCCGCCTCTAATACGTAGCCAAGCCGGGAAATTATTGCAATGCAATCTTAATCTTTACCTGACTATGCTTCGGCCCGAGTCCGGACAAATAGAGCACGTTAAAGGATTCCTGGTATCTTTCTATTGATCCTCTAGAGCTAGTGGTTCCACTATTTGGTGCCAAAGCTCACATTATATGTGAAGCCAAAGAAAAGAGCGAGATTTTATCCTTCTAATAGGGAAGAAGTGGGGTGACTATGGGTTCCACAGGCCAGGTTGATATCTACAATACACACCAGCCACTTGTCGAGGACAGCCCTACTACTGCGAACCCACCGTATACTATATTATCTAAATCTTCTAGATGTTAGAACCTACCGTACTCACCTGTTACACGTATTGTGGACGGGTCTAGAATATCTCTGAGGTGCAATGAGCTCAGTAGCATCATACGTAAGTCTTCTCAGTTAGATCTGAATAAATACATGATGCAGGTGCCAACTTGCTGCACCCAGGCAGGCACAGGTATCCACCGTCTATCGTATTGCTAAACTAGGTGTAGGTACGGTATCTGGGTCGCAGGAGATGGATATACTTCCACCCCTTCCATTGGCCCTGTAGATCGTCGGCTTTTCTATAATAGTGGCGCCTATAATAATAGCGTAACTATGATCATCCCACTCGTACGAACCCCTGGCCTGAAAAAGGAACATATACCTCGTACTAACGATCCACTTCTAGAAGGAATGTAGGAGAAGAGTGATATGCGAAGAATGAAAATTTCCATGAAGATCTCACATCGTATGTTCTCATATCATATCCCTTAAACATACTCGTGATTAATCAGTGGTCTGCATGTTTCCCGGTTATTCTGGCCTTCGACTGGAATCTACCCAAGATATTGACAGGGATAGCTGGCAACCATCTAGCAAAACCCGCTTAGGATATATGTTGTCAACTAATCCATGTTCGTTTACTGCGTATGGTAGGCATTTATTAGTGAACAGCTGCATTATTTAGACTATTAATCATGATCTAGCATTATGCAATCCACGAGGACAGCTCTATAGTGGTCCTATCGCTTCCTGAAATGATGTATGTGTTTATGTTACTACGAAATGTGTTGTGCCTGGGAAGATATAATGCTGGTAGTGCGGATATATAAGTGCAGACTCTGCGAGCGCACCAAAGGTTGGCGGTTCACACGGGAAATAAGACAGCGACACACGTAAAAAAAAAAAAAAAAAAAAAAAAAAAAAAAAAAAAAAAAAAAAAAAAAAAGAAAGAAAAAAAAAAAAAAAAAAAAAAAAAAAAAAAAAAAAAAAAAAAAAAAAAAAAAAAAAAAAAAAAAAAAAAAAAAAAAAGGAGATATAAAAGGAATGAGGACAATGGCACACGGGAAAAGAGGTAGAGAGAAAAGCAGCAAAAAAGAATGACCGACGCAGGGATCGAACCTGCAATCTCTTGATTCGTAGTCAAGCGCCTTGCCATTGGGCCAGCCGGCCAGCTGTTGAAATAACTGCCACATATTTGACAATATAAATCAAAGATCAAGTTAATTTTAGTTTTTCACACATATGCATATACTGCTTAGAGATATGCCAAAGGTTTTCGAAGGCCACCACTGTTGTTTTTTTTTTTTATCTTTCTCTCATTTCCGGTGAAGCTTCCTAGTTACAGCCTGCTAGTCACAGCTTTTACAGATTTTCACGTTATATGGGGAATAGTTCACTTTCTGATTGGCGGCATATTTGTATGGAGTTTTAGTATATATCTATGCTTGTTTAATCTTAGAACCTACCCACTCAGGCACGAATTGTATCTTGAAACAGTTTTCAAATGTATTTTTGATTCTACAGTGTATTACACTATCTGCCATATAATTCAGAAAGAGTATACCAAACGAGCACGGAAATCTTGCGGACTATATACAATACCAACGCATAGCTCCAGTTGTGGTCTGTTTTGGACGTGTTATTCTACAAGGGGGAGTAAGTCCTAATTTGCTTGTTTTGGTGGAGAGAAAGACATTAAAAGGTTAGAAATTGTATTGAGATTTTTAGTACCTATACCCGACCCTTGGAAAACCCCAGTTAAGAGTTTTTAAGTCATGGCCAGAGCTACCAACACCAGCTACCAGTATCTCAACGATTGGTAAATTGAACAAAATGCGGCAGTTCTGTATCACATTTGGCAATGACTACCTCAAGCCAACGATAAAAGACATCTATGAAGAGCTAAGTATACATACAAAATAGTCGACATGTGTGATTGTGCTGCATGCCCAGCAATATATAGGAAGGCAGCCGAAGACACTATTCCAGGAATCCTTCACTGAGCACCGACTCTCTCCAACGAAAGCCTTCTGGTCACTAAAAGGGTCATCTATTTCAGCTCACCCTGACCGTTGCACATCTTCAGAGGGTACTTGTCACCCAGGCAAGTGGTGATCACACCCTGCACCCAGTCCAGCTTGGCCTCCTTGAAGGCGACGCTCTTGCGGTCGAACGAGTCGGCCTGGAAGTATTCATACTGAGCCTTGCCAGGAGCACCGCTGAAAACATAGCCTCGGCGGCGGTGGGTCAAGGGGTTGCTAACAATGGCACCCCACTTGCCCTGGGGGATCGTCATGGTGGCCGTGCCGGTAAGCGTGTTGGTCACGGTATCTTGGTAGTTGATGCTGGCGCCAATCTGGAGCCACTTCTCAACAGTAGCAGTGAAAGAGGTACCGACGCTGATGCTGTTGGCAATGCTCTGACCAGCAGCAATGGCGACAGTGGCGGGGGCTCCGTTGGCGTGAGTGATGGGGGACATGGCGACATCCCAGCCCAGGAATTCCTGGTCGGGGAGAGGGATGATGAACTGCGCATCACCACGCTTCTGAAGACCGGTGAAGCCGTCGGACTTGAAGGACCGGGGGAGGTTGTCGGTCGGGGGCTCAAGCGAGATGCCGTTCAGGTGAGATTCAAGGTCCTTTTGCTCAACAGCCTTGGTAGTGCCGTCGCGGAGGACGAGGATGGCCTTGTCGGCGGAGACTTGATCGGCAGGGAGAGCCGTAATGAGGGCACTATTGGCGCAAAGGGAGGCCAGCAAGACGAAGGGGACCTTCATGATGTCGAGATGAGCAATTGAATTGCTAAGAAGGTATTAAAAAGGATTGTGAAGGTTGTTTGAGGAGAGATAACAGGTCGAAGAAAGGGAGGTCAATTGACGGGAAGGAGGCTTCTATATAGAATCTGGTCATGGGGAGTATGTTGTTCTCACTGGGAATCAAACGGAAGCAAAGATCAAGACGAATACCTCCGAATCAGGAGCCACTCTCGGCATAGCTGACATGCCATTCACCGTGGCGTTGGAAGATTGGCAGGCGATCCCTCTATCCTATTTGGAAGGAATTCTCCGAGGATTTCCCGGAAACAGATGAGCGTCTTAGAAACAGTCCAAGACTAAAGGATCTTATGGTAGTTGAATGTCACCTCCATATTTGGAAGGCAGCAGTAGATGGCCGGCGTGTGGGAAGCAATAATTCCCGCAGGTTAATCTAATTAGTTTTACGCTGAAGAATATACGTGCTCAGGCATAGGGTCCACGTTTCTGTCGATCATCAGTCGTGGACCCAAGACACCGGATCATTGGCCATGACTTAATGTTAACTCTGACCACTGTGGGCCTTATGACTTGGACAGACATTCAGGAACCTGGCGAAGTGGAGCAAAACTGAGGAGCTTTCCCCAGGGATCAGTAGCATGGGGGATAGTCATACTCTATAAGACATTTGATTGCATCCAGCCCCACAAGCGTTGACGAACCACGAGTAGAATGAAGCCCGATGGTCTCACTATGGAGCACAGCCATGGATATCAAGACTTTAATCTACAGTTTTGCCACCCTATATTCCCTTGCCTTACTATTTTGTGCATCCCCATCGCCCACCAGTGTTGATCGCTTCCAAAATGATCGACCCGGGTATCCCTACGTGATTCCGATTGGATCTACAACTGAGACAGTGAGGTGTAACTAATGCTACGAAGGATGAAACGCAGTCCTGCATATGCGTCTAATGTCCAGAAGTGAAACTTATCCCGCGCTGAAAGACGTTGACTAGCCGGAAATAGAGTCCCGGATCGCTGCCGGTACCTGCATTATCAACGGTCAAGCACATTGTTCTGATTCGGGTCATTTCATGAGGAGTCTCGTCGGTTCACTGATTATGATCGTGGGATCTACATGGGGAATCTTCGGATATTTTGCCTTAGACCAAGACATGCAATTACCATGGCAGGAGCCCCGGGATCGGCTCTGTACACATATACTCCGCCATGGATACCCTCTGGTGACCGTTCGTTATCTTTCTTAAGTACTACCGTTGCTCGCGAACGTCAGGAGTTCCAATCTAGGATTCCCAAACCACAACACACTACCTATCATCTCTCACTTCTTCGTCGAGACATAATCAAACATGAAGGCATCCCTCTCTTTGATCGTTGCAGCTCTGGCCGCTGGGTACGAGAATCTATTTATCTTTTAATCAATTTTGACGACTGGCAGTATTAACAATTCTCTAGTGTCGTTGCGGATCTTCACTATACCGGTGTTTGCGTTGATTCCAACGGCGGTGTCGTACGTGCTATCCCCATTTACTTTCCCGCAAGACCCAGTCTAACGATTGACTTAGGATGCCTATAACCGGGCTGCCACCGAGAAGGCCTGTGCCGCATACAAGAAGCGCAACACCGGCGACAAGCAATGGGACCAGTGCCCCGACTGCACAGTGAAGAACGAGAAGGACCTCCTCTACTACTGCGAATCCGCAGCGCAGCACATTGGAGGTGACGAGCTGCTCTACTATTGCGAACAGAACGGCGCCAGTGGCAGTGTGGCCTGGTAGATTCATTGTCGTGGACTTGGTTAGGCCAACGCAACTATAGGGGATGGGCTTGAGTTAGTCGAAAGGCAGTCAGCGAGTATTGAACCTCTTTTACAACATGTATATCACAGAATATTCTCCTGTTTAATGGGCCCTTGAATGAGTTTGCAAACAAAGGGCGACATGCTTTTCTCATCGTCAGTTTGAACGATCCTGTACTTGAAACACTAGTCTGAGGGACGAACCATGGCGCCAATCTAATAGCATGATCATATCTCCATACTCGTAGTCAATGCTTGCCTTATAAAGGAGCAAGGGGCCAGGCGTAAGTTGTGGACTGACACATAGTGATACATTGTATATGGCAGATGTGAATCCTGAATCCTGATTGTGATATATAGGTATTAAAAAATTATAGGCATTATGTATTTTAACATGACATGATTGCACTCGCATTAAATACTAGTAGTCGTTTGAATAATACCATCATAGACCCGACAGTCTTCCTAGCCAAGAGACAGCTCACTAGGAGTTCCAAAATGAATGCCAGGTAAGTCAAAAATTAAGATGATGCATTGCATTCCATGTCCTTCCTAGCCATCCTCAGTTGTCGGTAGAACATTAAAGTCCATGCATATGCAGGATAACAGTATTATTGTGATTAAATATTATCGGATGATCAGAAAGCGCAATATTAGACATTAATGGCGAAGTGTTTGTGTCGTAAGTTCTCATGATTATCTTTATCACGAAGATATTGTCGCTAACAAGCGCTTAGATTTCTGTCTTGCGGGGCTGCTTCCTGAGACGGTCACAAGCCCAGCAGGCCCAGACGAACAAAACAAAATGAAGCACCCTGTTCACGTTAGTTTAAGAACTGCTTCAAATGCACCGATTTGTATTCATCTTACGAAGTGAGCAAGGCCATGGCGAATCCAAAGAACTCGACCTTTGGCAACGTAGTATCCCGGCAGGCAGATCTACGACAGGAATACCCTCCTTCCGCGATAGGCGTCAACACGATCATCGTTACGAGAGTCGTAGCAAACACTGCCGAAAAAGCAATAAAGTCGAATGCAATATGAACGCCCGGATGGAGAGCTCGACGGAGAAGAAGCCTGACTGTCAAGGGCACAAGCGACCAAAGGACTGCATATGAAGACTTCTCGACAATATGAGCTTCCGTATAGATAGCTTTAGATCGTAAAATGAGGTGGCTCACTTACTGTAGCTAATATCATGACACACAGCGAGGCGCCATTAAGATCCGTAAACACGCGATCGTGAGCTTTTATTGCCCAGGCGAATACCGCCAAAGATGTAAAAGCACTGACAAGTGCTGCTATGCGAAGCGATAAGTTGGCCGGATGGCCATCCAGCAAAGGATAGTTCCTGTCCGTCATATTTGGCCCGCAGGAGAAATCTGAACTTTGCGATTTAGAATAAGTCTGCAATATTAAGCCATAATCTGAGAACAGGCTGCATAATCCTTCTTTTGTATGATCTTGATGAGATGGTGTGTTGTTTCTTAGAGTTTCAAGCCACACTGGTGATCTACACGATAACATCAGCCAAGACTCAAACACGAGATTGAGCGAGTCGAGTACTAGCCACCCAATAGGACTTGACAAAGAAGAGGGCGGTGCCAAAAATATACCAGATGGCCGTGCTGCACTGCCCTATGCATGGATAGTGCCTTCATCGGGGTTGTCGCTGACCTTGGCTGGAGATATGATGCTGACCAATCAGGAAAACACACTATCCAACTGAAAGGTCGTTTTGGCTAACTGATTTCTTTCATTGGCTCTAATCCCAAAGACCCTTAATGGGATGAAATTAGGCCAGACACTTGTTTTGCTGGGTTCCGTTATAGGACCAATAATAGAAGTCGTGGGAAGTTCAGGACATGTGCGAAACATCACGGCCAAATATACATTACCCTCGGTGGTAAATTGTGTGTGCGTACCTACTCTCTAAGTGTGAGCTCTGCATTTCAATCCATTTTGATTTGCTCAGACCTTTGCCTGCTCATCCAACATGGCTTCCAGTGTAGTGTTTGTCTGTGTAGAGCTCCATGATGATCAGGGCTAGACTTGCATGCAGTGTCATATGTACGACAAGAAGTTGGATTAATTAAACCTGGAGATACTGCCGATAAACAGGCCTCATCCGTATCTAACCGTAATCACAAATCCATTTCTCTGGCTCCCATCCTGAGGTGTCCACCTACTTTATTATGATTGTGAGATAGCAGATTGGCATGTGAGATCATCGTTCCTCTCCCCGTGGATGGACTAGTCAATACCAGTTCATGCCAAGAGACAACAATTTTTATAGACTGTTTTTAGTACCCGCCCAGAGACTTGGGCAGGGTGCGCTGTCTGTCGAGCTCCCGAGATTTAAGCTGGCTAAGCGAGGAGTTGATCAGTGCGTCAAATTTACGATGACAGTTTATCCCTATAATAATCGCTCATATCACTGATAGACCAAGATAAGTCCAAGGTAGTTGCCGGATGCTTGTCTCATAGTGTCGATATGCTGACGACTATCTTCCGCCTCTTGGGGCCGATGGGCGGGGGATCCCGCATCGGGCTTTTCCGATCACTTCACTGCTATCTGTGATATGGAGGACCGAGAGTGAACTACCCATATTAAGGGCAGGCATAGGAATGGAATGGGAGAAACACACCAAAGAGAACACTCCATGAACCGCTGGATTACGCAACGGTTCCCAAGGCAAAGGTAGCGTTAATGTTATGGCTTTGATTGCGAGTACTTTGCTTCTTACATTGATCACCATACAAAAGACGCGAGTAGACAAACGCAGCTTCAAGCCAAGACATATCGGGTGTTTCACCGCACAACCTACGTCAAAGTCCAGTTGCCAACATAGAAGTCTAAGATAGCCCTCAGCCTTCAACAAGGCAGAAATGAACGGAATGTCTAACCGAGGGGCCAACGAGAAGGGCGTTTCCGATCATGAGACACTTGAGACAAGAGTCAAAGCTTCTGTTAATGATACAACATCCATCCCAGATGGCGGGATCAAGGCGTGGGTGCAAGTTATGGGAACGTTTTTTATCCTTTTTAACACATGGCAAGTTAGAGAGGGATAGCTCTGTTAATCAGGTCTGACGTGTATAGGGGTGTCCTGAACACGTTTGGCGCTTATCAGACCTATTATGAGACCCAGGAACTGTTTCCCTCATCCTCATCGAGTATATCCTGGATAGGTTCAGTGCAGTCGTCTTTGCTCCTCGTCTTCGGTTTGATGACCGGTCCGCTGTATGATGCGGGCTACTTTTATCCCCTTCTTGTTAGCGGCTCATTCATGATCGTATTTGGGCAGATGATGCTGAGCCTCTCCAAGGAGTACTACCAAGTGTTGCTATCACAAGGATTCTGTATCGGTATTGGAACAGGCTTAATTCTCATTCCTGGTATTGCTGTGCTCTCCACCTATTTTAGCACGAAGCTGGCCCTCGCGAATGGCGTTGCAGCTGCTGGCAGTGGATTGGGTAAGCCATAGGAGTTGTGCTTTCCTGTAGTGGGATGGGCATCTAACTTTAGCGGTAGGAGGTATTCTATATCCGATTATCTTTCACCGACTTCTCGATCGAATTGGATTTGGATGGACCTGTCGGGCAATTGGCCTCGTCATATTAGTCACCATAGCCATCCCTATCACGGTCTTTCGATTACGAGTGAAGCCATCTGGCAAACGGAAACTCTTGGATATTGGGGCATTTCGTGAGCCCGCTTATACGTTTTTTGTACTGGGAGGAACTCTCGAGTTCATCTCGCTCAACATCCCATTTTACTATGTTCAATACTTTGCCATCAGCCAGGGGATCGCCGCCAATGACCTTGGATTCTATCTACTCTCAATTTTGACCACCGGATCTGTTATGGGGAGAATATTACCAAACATATTTGCCAATATTATTGGCCCATTCAACATCATCTTTACATGCACGGTTATCTCGGGGGGCTTGATGTTTGCTTTGGTTGATTTATCTAGCCTGGCGGGAGTGGTCATCGTGGCTTTTCTTTATGGCTTCTTCACAGGAGCATTTGTATCCCTGCCGCCCACATGCTTTGTCAAGCTTTCCCCGGATCGGACTCTTATTGGCACTCGAATGGGAATGGGGTATGCAGTGATGACCGTGGGAAATCTAGTTGGAACTCCCGCGGCTGGGGCCATCCTGCAAAACCGGGGCTTCAATGCCGTGTGGATCTTTGGGGGTGGGGTTTCGATTGCAGGAGGAATAGCTATGATGATTAGTAGGAATTTCCAAGGGGGATGGAAGGTACTAATTCGACAGTGACGTCGGTATAGCTCTATACCTGGCCACTACTGCCATATGGAGGTCATAGAAAAGTTATGTGGCGTGCAACTTGGGTCATCATGATACACCTCAGGAATATGATAGAGATAGCTCAGATATCTTTGTTGTCGAACCCATATCTTTCCTCTCATTTGTGTTTTGTCTTATGCTGTAAATATTTCCATTATTTCTGGCTAGCATTTCAGCTTACAGTTCGCTGCAATTGATCCACCGGCGACCGTAAGGGCTCGAATAAGTTCACGATAATCATCTGGGAAGTCCTGCAGCGTGGTCCCATATTTCAATAAAACTAACTTTGACCATGGCATCATCCAGCCCTTTGGCCAAGAAATGGCCGGTTGCATGACTTGGTGTCCCCTGCGGCGCGTTGTTAGCCATCTCGGCCTCCAGTTCTCAGCGAGTATATCAGCCAATAAAGGGAAGATCCAGCTCAAATGCGATGCAACTGTAGTGAGACTAACTCTTGGGATGTGGGATGGAGGGCCTGAGGCTAAAGCACATAACCATGTGATCTATGGACCAAATAGGAAATGAGTCGAGCAAGCCTGGAGGTCGCAGCTCTCCTTTCTTTCATCCTTCCCCCTCGGAGTACTCTGTGAACTGATAAACATGAACATCATTCCACAAGAGGAGTTTTTGCAGAATATCAAGTGGGAGTCATGTCTCTAATGGCGCTGTTATCTAACCCACAAGCGAAGGGCAAAATTCAAAATTATCTCTCTGCCGCTGATGAATCGCTTATACGTGAATATGTTACCCCCTTAAACTAAACCTGTCCTTAAGAGGCTCAGAACCACATGAAAAAGAACCCTGGACGGAAAGCAACATCCAAAATGGACACCCCTCCTAGTCATTCATCGGGTTCCGGCAAACTCGACATGTCGAACCTGTGCTCTCGGACGACCAGCTGTGGACGCCTTGCAGGAGCGGCATATGTAAGCCAAGCGGCCAATCTTGCTATTGCCGCATGCGGGATATACCTATGGTAGTTTCCGTGAAAAGGGCTCGGGATGACTGGCTGTGCGCTCTCGGCGCCAAGCTGCCGAGAAGTATTAGGCCGACTGCGAAGATGCCGATTGCTGTGCTATGATGCCAGAGGGGAGAGGGCTGCTGTCGGAGCCTTAAGACTTGAGAATTCTGTCCAATTGACCTTCGGTTATTATCATAATGAGCCCCGCTAGTCTTTTCCCGGTCTCTTTTGGATTGGGCATACCTACAGGGGAATGGCACCGCTGCGTTTCTCGAACCACATGGCTTGCATGTATGCACTACCGCTGGAAATACTTGCGTGACTCCGCCGGCCAGTCATGTTTCTGCTACTGATCTAGTCCGGATTACTTTGTACTGCAACTCATTTGTCGTCGTAATAACCTCAAGTCCCGTAGCGCCCTGTCAGCCACAAAACGCCGCGAAGCAACTACATACTCCGATAAAAATCATTAGCTCATCAATCCAGCCGAACTGTCCGCTCTTCGTTACATAGCAGCAGTCACATACCCAGCAAAATTGGCAAAGTGGATCCTGGGCGGCAGGTTAGATTTCCCCGATCATGTCGTCTGGGACTTCCAAGAACGCCACTAGGATGCTCTTAGGACTCCAAGCCTCTTGGCCTAGGGACAGTATGGAGTGGACGGGAAAGTTTCTGGGGTACGTGTTAGTTAATCTGGGGAGGGCAGTCGTCATGCGGAGCAAATCAACTTCACTGGTCAGCAGAATGGCACGGTGACTATCCCTGTTGCTGTGCGGGCGACAGCTCTTCTTCTGGGCCCTTGCAGACGTTAAAAGCGACGGTCTGCCCCTCTCTGAAATTGTGTGGCCCCAGAATTTTCTCCTTCTGCTGCCTCTCATTTGCCTATCGTATCCTGCACCTCTTCTTGGACGTACTGACCCACGCCTTGTTCCTCAAATCTGCAAGGTGCTCCGCACCTAGACTCCTGCCATGGATAGGAAGATCGATGACCCCGAAGCACCTGCCTTGACGTCTCAGCATCTTGAATCCGCCGTTTCAGCTGAGAAACAAGATGCCGCGGAGACAGCCAGGGTTTGGTCACGGGATGTTATCAAAAGCAATGCTAACACTAAGTTGAAGAACCCCCTCACAGGATTGACTCGGGAGGAGCTTTACCGTGATGTTGAAGAATTTGCCCGAGAGAAAGATCTCGAGGACATTGTGGACCAGCTCAAACGGGGCGCGCTGGTGGCCCAAGACCCGAAAGCTTTCGAGGAACTGAGTGAATTGTCTGAAGGCGAGAAGGAACTCCTTCGACGTGAGAAGACGCACCGATGGAGTCAACCATTCATGATGTATTTTATGACCAGTAAGCACCGCATCTCCGAGCAAATAATTTTATTTTTTCTTTTTCTCCCTTTTTCTCTTTGCAATTTACTCTCTTTACCCTTTTCATTTTTTTTTTTTTTCAAATTTTCTTTAACCCCGATGATCTATAGTTCTCTGCGCTGGTTCCGCAATTGTTCAGGGAATGGATCAAACTGCAGTGAACGGAGCACAAGAGTGAGTAAAATCAACTGATTTAGGCAGTGACTGTCAGTTTAACAGCAGCCAGATACTACTTTGTGGAGTTCAACATCACGAATTCGTGGTTGCAAGGCCTAGTGAATGGTGCTCCATATCTTTGCTCAGCACTTATCGGCTGTTGGACTACTGCTCCGCTCAATCGCTGGTTCGGACGACGCGGTTGTATCTTTATCTCTTGCTTCATTTCATTTGCTTCCTCCTTCTGGATGGCAGCCGCACACACCTGGTGGAATCTCCTGCTCGGTCGTTTCCTGTTAGGGTTTGCGGTGGGTGCAAAGTCAACGACTACTCCAGTCTACGGCGCTGAATGTGCGCCCGCTAATATACGCGGTGCCCTGGTGATGATGTGGCAGATGTGGACAGCATTCGGCATTATGCTGGGCTATATTGCTTCTGTCGCCTTCATGGATGTGTCGCATGCAACCATCCCGGGCTTCAACTGGAGGCTTATGCTGGGGTCGACCGCCATTCCGTAAGTTTCTTCCACGGGTGTGACCACTCTGCAGCTTTATTCTATCTGAATTAACAGTCCCGAGTCCCTTTTTTGTTTGTATCCAGGTTTATCTGTGTCCCGAGTCACCGCGATGGTATATGATCCGCAACCGCTACCGGGACGCGTACCAGGCACTTTGCAAGCTGCGCCCATCGGAATTTCAGGCTGCGAGGGACCTTTATTACATTCACTCTGCGTTGAAAGTGGAAGAGAAGCTCCGGGAAGGCAAACACCTCTGGCGCGAGATGTTCACAGTCCCCCGTAACCGGCGCGCCGCCCAATCATCCTTCTTCGTCATGTTCATGCAACAGGTTCGTTTTTGAGCATCCCAAGCCTCTATTTGCACCTCTAATGTCTATAGTTCTGCGGGGTCAACGCGATAATGTACTATTCTTCGTCGATGTTTCGGGACGCGGGATTTGATCTCCGAACGGCGCTTGTTGTGTCTCTGGGATGCGGCATCACGAACTGGATTTTTGCTCTCCCGGCGGTGTACACAATCGATACCTTTGGTCGGCGCAACCTTCTGCTGACCACGTTCCCTCTAATGTGCCTGTTCCTGCTCTTTACCGGATTTTCGTTCTACATCCCCGATCAGACTCCCCGAACGGCCTGTGTCGCAACCGGTATTTATCTGTATATGATTGTCTACTCACCTGGGGAGGGGCCTGTGCCTTTCACATACTCTGCCGAAGCATTTGTGAGTAACGTTTCTTACCTTTCCTCCCTTGTCTTCGACCCAAGCTAAACTAGACAGCCACTGTACATCCGTGACATCGGCATGTCATTTGCGACGGCCACGACTTGGGGATTCAACTTCATCGTTTCGCTCACATGGCTCCCTTTGCGGGATGCATTCAGTGTCCAAGGGGCGTTCGGTTGGTACGCAGCATGGAATTTCTTTGGGTGGATTTTCTGCTATTTCTGCCTGCCGGAGACCAAGGCGCTCTCTCTGGAAGAACTGGATCAGGTCTTCTCGGTGCCTACCCGCAAGCATATCAATCACTATCGTGGCATGATGCCGTGGTATGTGAAGAAGTACATCCTCCGCCGGGATGTGCCGCCACAGAAACAGCTGTATGATTACGAGTGATGACTATCCTGGTGGACGTTTGGAATGACGGGGGCACTGGGCTCACGTAACACGAATCGACGATTAATGGCAGTATGGGTATTCAATATGGATTCCGGTAATGTGTTGGATATGATGGTCTGAGGCTTTGCGCTTCTTGTCGCCACTGGATCCAAGGTAGTAGTAATATGACCGCGTTGAATTATCAATCTGAATGCGATGTATCCATTTAAGGTTTAAACCCTGTCTTATCGGTTCTCCATGCATCCGACCGAGGTTAAGTCACCGAGTCCGTTTCCCGTTAAAGTTTCTGGGGTTCAACATCTGGATCGGCCTGGATGACCAGTGGTGTGCGGTGGAACTGTAGCCGAACATTCCAAATTCGTTAGTGGACATCCGTGATTGGAGGAGTACCTGCAGGAAGCCCCGGCCCTGAGGCACCCTAAGGCACTCAACTGAAATTTTCTAGGTTAGTGTGGCTGACGATCCGGCATCTTCAGGCTTCCTATTGGCTTTAGTGTGGCGGTGGCACTCCACATGGGCGCCACCCGGCCGGAAACTAATTAGGTAACAAATTCAACACACACTTGCAGAATATTCCCTCTTCTCCAGGCGAAGGTGAGTCAGGCAATAATCACCAGGCTTTCCTGACGTTGAGCTTGATTCAATGGCGTTCTTCTTTCATTTCCCTTAGACACCGTCTTCCCCAGAGTGATCAATCGCGACCGGTTGACGAGCGTGGAGCACTTCGGACCGTTGGTGTAGCTGTCTTGTAGTATCCGTCAACTTCATTCTCCGCTTCTTCACCCCATTTTTTCTTCGTTCTTTTTCCTTTTCTTTTTTTATTCTTTTTGCTTGTTTTTCTTTTCCGTGACCGCTTTCCTTTCTTTCCCGGTGCCCCTCTGCATCCGGTTGAGAGTCACCTCACGCTGGTCATCAGCCAGTTCAATATCAGACTTCCCCCAAAGCGCATCATGGCTCCCTCACCGGATCAGCATGGAAGCACTGTATTAAGTGACACGAGTCAGGACGCAGAATATGATGTCACCTTCAAGGATACGGAAAAGCAGCAAGAGGAGAAAGCTCGTCCGGAATATCAGGACACCTTTGGTGATGAAGAATACGCCGAGGTGAAGTACAAGGTGTTGAGCTGGTGGTATGTTGACGATTTCAATTCTCAAACGATTCCAGCTTACTGACGGGTTTTATACAGGCAATGTGGTTTTCGTGAGTAACTCTTGGGAGCTAGTGTTCGGGAAAATGTACTGACCCTCATGAGTGATGGTCGCGGAAACGGTCTCGCTGGGGATTCTCTCGTTACCCGCCGTGGTTGCTGCCTTAGGCCTTGTCCCGTAGGCACCCCCATTCCCGGAGGATGCTCATTTCATTTACTAACATCTACTAAAAGTGCTATTATTCTTCTGCTCGGCCTCGGCCTTCTGGCGACCTATACTGGCTACACCATTGGACAGTTCAGATGGCGCTATCCTCACATTCAAAGCATGGCCGATGCCGGCGAGGTCCTGCTCGGCAAATTCGGCCGCGAGTTCTTGGGGACTGGTCAACTTCTGCTTATCATTTTCATCATGGCTAGTCACATCCTTACCTTTACGGTGGCCATGAATTCCATCACCGACCATGGAACCTGCTCCATTGTCTTTGGTGTTGTGGGACTAGTCATCTCATATGTCTTATGTTTACCGCGCACATCGGCCAAGGTGTCGTACCTCTCTATTGCTTGTGAGTGATGCTAGCCACTTCGAGTTTCTTAAAATTAGGTTTACTGACGCCCTGCCAGCATTCATAAGTGTCTTTAGCGCCGTAATGATTGTCATGATTGCGCTTGGCATCCAACGCCCGTGGCACGGTGGGGTCCAGGCGACGGTCGACACCAGCCTGTACAAGGCATTCCTTGCTGTGTGCAACATTGTATTTTCTTTCTGTACGTTTCTCTCCCACCATGTGTCCTCTCAGGCTCACTAACATGCATTTTAGCGGGTCATGTTGCCTTTTTTGGATTTATGTCCGAACTCAAGGATCCGAAAGACTACCCCAAGTCTCTGTTTCTTCTTCAGGGCATTGATGTCATTCTCTACATTGTCACCGCTGTCGTGATTTACTACTACGCTGGCCAGGACGTCACTTCCCCGGCGTTAGGGTCTGCTAGTCCTGTGGTGCGCAAGGTGGCTTACGGCATTGCGCTTCCTACCGTAAGTGCATTACTAGTCAGTTCGGAGAAAGACACTATTAACATCGCATTAGATTATCATTGGTGGCGTAGTCAACGGCCACGTCGCGTGCAAGTACGTCTACGTCCGTCTGTTCCGTGGAAGCGACCGTATGCACAAGAAGGATCTAGTAGCCACTGGCTCTTGGATAATCCTCATGTTGCTTCTGTGGGTCGTGGCCTGGGTCATTGCGGAGGCGATTCCGGTCTTCAACAACCTTCTGAGTTTAGTTGTACGTCCCTTCGGTTACTCTGCATTTCTGCAATGTATCTAACTGACATGTATCCTAGGCCTCTCTCTTCGCAAGCTGGTTCACCTGTATGTACAGCCTAACCCCCAACCCCCGAACATCCAATACTAACAAAGCGAATAGACGGCCTCAGCGCCACGTTCTGGCTCTACCTCAATAAGGACCGACTCTTCGCGACGCCCATGAAAATCTTCCTCACCATCCTCAATGTCCTTATATTCGCAATTGCAGGATGCATCGTACGTTCCTTCCATGGTACCCTGACTGCCCTCTCAACTCTCACTAACTCACCTTACAGTGTGGTCTCGGCCTGTACGTGTCAGGCAAAGCATTGCATGATGACCCCAGTAGCGCTAGTTTCTCGTGTGCAAATAACGCTTGATTTTTGCATTGTTCCAGCATCGGGCCGGAGTTTTTGTATTTACGCATCGATAATTATATTTGTATCTATAGATTAGATTTGTTTGAATGAATTTACAGCCCGCATGGAAAGCGTTCTTCACCTTGATAACCAGTCGATGAAATATGGTGGAATCCTCATCCGCTTCCCGTTACCCTACATGTGATCATGACCCACGCGCAAAGGTTGCTCGTTTGGATGGATATTTACTCTGTAACTCATACCTGAGATTACGGTGACTTGGGATATAATACCCCTGGATGCTCCCTATGCTGCATTGACAGGTGCCTGTGCGGCAACCAGTGGGGTGTTGAGGCTTGTACATATACAAAGGCTGTTAAGGAATTTATTAGAGTATATTGATTTACAACTACTATATCTAAATTTCATGAACATGTATATTTAAGGGTTGATAGATATGAGCAAGCACGAAAGCCGTTTGTTGTCCAGGGTTGTACTCGTAACATACCCAATGGCACAGGTGTATATATGATTCAAACTAATATGAATTGGACAGGGTCTAGGCGTATATATTATGGACGCTCCAAACGAGTAGCCCTATCCACGTGGAAGGAATGGCGTTCGTTCTCAATCCTCTTGTCCTCGGAAACCGCCTGATGGTCTTTACTCCGCCCTAAAAGTCCCAGTAATGACAAGAGTAGAACAAAATTGCTATACCGATGGAGGGTTCTAGATATAGTGCGGTTTAATAGGGATCGCAATGAAGCCACCTGCAAAGATCTATGGAAAGTAAGACTTGAAACACCATCAGCCTGTAGGAGTCACTTCCAATATACATTCTATATCTCTATCTAATTGAGAAATCGGTGTGTTTACATGAGCTCTCTAGCGACTGGAATCTCAAAGCCTTTCTTTCCAGCTCACTCAATCTGCAACACGGAATCCAAATGAAGTAGATGAAACTAGTTCAGTTCCTATACTTAGGGCCCACAATTAACACAACTGCAGCACGGCACGTTCGGCCCAGTTCCGGTGCACAGTCCATATTTTCTGACGTTAATCACGGTTGTTACTTATTAATGTTACTCCTGGCCGAATATTTGCCGATCTAGCACAACAATTGGTGACAAGTTCTCCGCTCTCGCTGCACAGCATTCTTTGGCAGTGTATTAGCCTCGCTTTTCAATTCCCTGAAGCAAATGAACCTCGGGGATCTGGTCACCGGCCAAATGTGGTAAATTGTTGTCTCACTTGTAGAGTGGGTACTGTAATCCATGGAATTTATCATATCTGATCGATAACGACCTGATCAAAGGGCCCGGATTAATAGAAGGATCCCGTCGTGGGATCATCGCGACGGTTGTTGTATAAATTATAGTAATGCTGGATAAAATCAGGGCTCTTGCAGGTGGACACAGGTGGAAGCTGCTGTTGAAGGTTGTATTGACCTCGGGGATGATATCCCCGATCGCAGAAGCATATATAGACTGCCGTGAATCCCCAGCCAGGTCATGATACGCTCACTTCTTTTTCTCAGCATATTCGGATCCTGAGCTTGCATTGAATCTTTTTTGTCACTCAAAGGTCAACTCATCTCTTACCATGCACTTCTCCACCATCGGCATTCTCTGCTCACTTCTGGTGCTTCCTAGCTTCGCTAGCCCCGTGGAGACCAGGAATCCTACATCTCTCGCCGCTGACACGAGTGGTAACGAGGTTAGTATCCTCGGACTAGAAGCTTCCTAGAACGGACTATATCTCTTTCCCCTCCCATCTATCTGCTCTATATATCAGCCCGTATTGAACCGAGGAGGAATAACACACAATCTACTTAGTTCGTGGTCATATAGTCATGGATCGGCAAACGCTGCTGCATCCTCTTTGACAACCCGTACGCCAGATGCGGAGCCAACGACAAACGCGAGGCTGTCGAGACAGAGGAAGAAGCTCTCTTTGGACCGGAGAAGCGTTGCTGTATACTCTGCAATAGCCCGAATGCTCGCTGCAAGCGTGGCGAAACGCCAGCACAGTGGCCCGAGAAGCGCTGCTGCATTAACTACGATAATCCCTACGCTCGATGCGACGGTACAAGTGCGTCTGGCGGCTGTCAACCTGTTGATACGTTGGAAGAGCCTGTTGAGGGCCTGAACTAGAATTTTCAATCAACAAGGGTACGTCTTTTCGATGTAGGGCTTAAGGGCGGGAGAATGGATGTGTATGTGAAGCTAGATCGAGATAGATCAGTATGCATTGCATAGTCATAGGACACTCCCAGATTACTTACCGTCTCACGGCCATGAAGACAGCTGAACCTGATTTTGTATATACCATTACGTTCAAATAACCTTATTACGTACTATCATGCCAAGCATGGAGCTCTCGATGCTTGAGAGAGTCAAGCTTCACCGTCGTGCCTCTTTTCACACAGGTGTGCCAAGTTCTGCCTGATCGGGTACGCCATTTAGTGCAGCTCAGGACCATACCTTAGCTTAACGTGAGATCTATGAGGCCCTGGGCATTCTTCTTGAAACCACGAGTCATACTACCCCCTGATGAGTGTCTACAGGGCAGCCGTGTAGCCGTGGTTGCACAGAGTGCTTATATATGACATTGAGCTCCGGGTATGACTCGAGTGCTGGCCGAGCTAGGTGACACCGTAAACGCATGACATAGTCCTAGTTCCACCGTGGGAGACTGCGTGGTAACTTGACCTACAGAATTGAGGCTTCAGATACGTTTCAATGGCATGAAGCAGGACATATCAGGACTTTAGCTTGAGATGTTAGGCATAGTACTGAGTTGTAAAGGAAGAAAATAAGGAAAGTTAGTTTGTTACTACCCATTATGCTGTTAAAGTTATCAGTCCAGTATAGCCATTTCAGTTGAACGTGGCATGGCCGCAATTATGCTATCGAAACGGTCCGAGAGCTTTAATAGGTATTGATGGTCAAGCTACTCAGCATATCTAGTCCGCACAAGGGACTGAAAATCGGGCTAGGGTATCGCGAAAAGCTCACACTTAAGGTTAATCGAGTAGTTCTGGCTAGGGCTCATCAAAGACTTCCCTGGGGCATGCGAGCGTAGAGAGCATCAATTCAAGGAAGACAGATCTATTCATACTGACACCCTGGGTGTCAATATTGGGTAATCCAGCATTATGCCTCTGAGATATCACTGCGATTCTTCGGACCCTATCTTGGATATGAGGGCCTGCCCATGAGAAAGTCTCTTCCGGGACAAGGGCACATGCTTTCCAGCAGCGCCATCAAGAAATATGAGGCAAGTTGAGCCGAAGAGGATCAGTTGTACGAGGTGGATACCATGGTTAGCTTACTCCGTACACTTTTGTTCCTTTTCTGGGACCCGCTCGGTTTAGGCAGCGCCCTTGCTGAGACATTCCTTCGGCCTTCGAAGCTTCTATATCTTGGTCACATGTCTTGATTTACAAAAAGTAGATTCCTGACGCTAGTATGTTCTAGACCCATATGGTAGTGGGTGCGAACGTGCATGATTATATATCTTCGGAGCACCTGCGGTCGTCCCCAGATATACGCCCTACGACTAGAACGTTTCCGTAAGCCATGCTACTTAGCCTTATCCAGTTTTGGCGAATTATCATATCAACATATAAAGCAGGGTTATTGAGACATGGGGAGTTATCCCCACGCTATGCCCGTTCAAGACACTCAGACCATTGAATCACGTGGACCGAATGAGAGACCGACACGTGAGGGGCCGAGGTTTCGCAACACAGTAAATGGATGAGACAATCCCCATAGAGATCAATGAAAAGCGCCATCCACGTCACTGGCGTTGAGGTTGTCGTATCTTGAGATTTTTTTTCCCGGCGGGAACGATGGAGCCACAAACGGCACGGGGAAGGGAAAAGACTAGCGCATGCCGAAGCGGCAAACTGGCTTGCGATTTGACCCCGTTCAGCCAGCGAAATTGGACCAAGATCCGATACGCAACCCACGATAACTGCTCGGTCGGACCGTCACAGGGTTCAACCGGGAACTGCAAAGATCGGCAAAGCGAACCTAAGTACGGACTACGGACTACGTCGAACCGAGATGATGGCAAAACTTCGGCCACGTCAGGGTCAAGTGGTTTCCATCTTATCCTCTTACTGGAAGTAAGAGACTGTTCGGAAAACCTGGGGAAATGGCATCTCCCCATGGGCCCATACTGGCTATCGCGGAGATCGCGCGGGGAGAAGGCGTGAGACTACAAAGTGCCATTTTCTGAAACTCAGCCGAGGCAGGACAGGGATTCTGTAACCACATGGCGCTCTCTCGATCCCATTTTGGTCTGGGTTATTCAGTAGGTCGCCTCGTCGATGTGCCAAGCCGGCCTGTGAGTCGTCGGAAAAATAAATGCCAACAGGTCCTTGCCTAACAGCGACAGCTCGACAGAAAAAATTTCCTATCCAGGTGACTCTCCAGCGTGGTATCCGTGAGGCATTTCCAGTCCTCCACTTTCTTGGCGTAATCTCAGTGTGTCTGATTCCATATACTCCACGTCGCCAAGATACTGTCCTCGACCGTTGTGGGAGTCCCCAAGACTTCCAATGCACTCAAGCACACTCAAGCACCGGGGGGAAAAGGCAGAATTATTAAGCCACATTGCTTCACTCGCCAAAGCTAGTGCCAAGACGTAGTAGTCCATCGGCTTCACAGACTCGTCCTTCTCACAGGCTCGCCACAGGGCGCCAAGCGCAATCGCCCCAATCTTGGCGCAATCGGTCACGGTCGGCACAATTAATATGACCAATATCGAAAATTTTTTCGTCTGCACAATCTTTTCTCTATTGTCTTTCCCTTTTCCACAACGGCTCGGGCTTGTTTCGCCTTCTGCCGGGATGTTTTCGGCTGACATGTCAGCTGTACGTGCCAGCGCTCATGTCGCATCGGATGGCGTGGGGAATCTTTGTCCGTGAGGCGCCTTCACTAGTTCGATACTCCATACTCCGTACTCCGTAGACATCCTGGACGCCTGGTTCCCCAGGTACTCTCCGCTCTTTGGAGAGGGCCCTGGCCGCCACCCCCAAATCCCCCCCAGGAGAAGGGTGCCGATTGGAAGGTAAACCGAGATGATGGTGTGTGCCGGATATGAGAAGCCCCGCCGTAAGCATTGCGGCCACTGACTGTTACGCATTGGTCCGAAGTTTTCGTAAGTCACCAGGCAAATTTTGCCTAGCGCTGCGTGCGAAACTTGGCCCCCAGTGTTTGACATCATATTGGGGCAGCGAGGGCTCTCCACAGTCGACACCCTGAGGTGTGGACCTGCGCCAAGCGCCAAGGACGCCCGCCAAGTGCCAAGCGGACGGATTCCTTCGCGCTTCGGGAACCGTAAAAAGCCTTCTAAGGTTCGCTGGACTTTCCCCTTTTGGTCCCATGGTTGCAGTACAGATCCGATATTGAACTTACGCGATGGCTATAAGAACGCCGAATCGTGCTGTTCCGACGTCCCCTTTCCTTCCATACTACTCTTTCCCCAGGTTTCTTTGAACCCCCCTCTCCCCACCAAGAAACTGTCGGCTGTTACTTGGTTCCTACCGTCAACATGTGGACGACCACCAGCGGCTTGAGTGGTCGGCCACTCCGGCTGAGCATCACCTTCGCGGCTGTCGTGGGTTTCTCGCTCTTCGGCTACAACCAGGGTATGATGGCTGGCCTTCTCAACGGCAAGGAGTTCGTGAACACTTTTCCAATCCTGGCAATGCCTGAGAATCCGACTGCGGGGGAAAAACACTACATCGACGTCATCCGTGGTGCGGTCACTTCCTGCTATGAGCTTGGTTGTTTCTTCGGCGCGATGTTCTCCATGTTCTTCGGCGACAGACTCGGCCGTACTCGCCTGATTTGCATGGGTGCCAGTGTCCTGATCGTTGGCGCCTTGCTTACAACGGTCTGCTTCACTGGTAAATGGGAAGTTGGTCAATTCGTCATTGGTCGTGTTGTATCGGGCATTGGCAATGGTATGAACACGGCCACGATCCCCGTCTGGCAATCGGAATGCTCCGGAGCTCATAACCGTGGCTTCCTGGTCTGCTTTGAGGGCGCGATGATTGCTGGTGGTACCTTTATTGCCTACTGGGTGGTCTTTGGTCTGTCGCACGCCGCGGATACTGTCCAGTGGCGATTCCCTGTGGCGCTCCAGATCTTTTTCGCTCTCATTGTCGCCGCCGGTGCCGTGATGCTCCCGGATTCCCCATCGTGGTTTGTCCTGAGAGGATTTGACAAGGAGGCTTGTGAAGTTCTCGGTAAACTCAAGGGCGCCGCTCCCGATTCCGATGAAGTCCTTCATGACTTCAACTTCATTAAAACGGATATGGAATCCTCTAAGAATTCCCAGTCCAACTGGAAGGCAGTATTTACATTTGGTAAAACTCAGGAATTCCAGCGTCTTCTTATCGGTTGCTCTGGCCAGTTCTTCCAGCAGTTTACTGGCTGCAACGCTGCTATCTACTACTCCACATTACTTTTCCAAGAGAATCTCCATATGGAGGAATATCTATCTCTCATTATGGGTGGTGTCTTCGCGACTGTTTACGTCATTGCCACGATCCCGTCCTTTTTCATGATTGAAAAAGTGGGCCGCCGGAATCTCTACTTGGTTGGATTCCTCGGCCAAGGGCTGAGTTTTGTGATTACAATGGCCTGCTTGATTAAGGAAAACGAGAACAATGCGAAGGGTGCCGCTGTTGGTATCTTCCTATTTATCACTTTCTTTGCATTTACTCTCTTGCCACTGCCCTGGATCTATCCCCCCGAGATCAACCCCCTGCGGACCCGGACTGTCGGCGCATCGGCGTCCACCTGTACGAACTGGATCTGCAACTTCGCTGTGGTCATGTTTACCCCGCTTTTCGCTGGCCAGAGTCCATGGGGTGTTTATCTCTTCTTCGCACTATTCAACTTTATCGGCTTGATCTTCGGTTTCTTCTTCTATGTTGAGACCGCCGGGCGTGAGCTCGAAGAAGTCGACATCATCTACGCCAAAGCCCATGTCGAAGGCAGGATGCCGTTCAGGGTCGCCAACGACATGCCCAAGCTCACCTTCGAAGAGATCGTCCAACAGTCTCGCGAGCTCGGCTTGGACACCAACGATCATGGTGCTCCGGAGAAGAGCGAGCTGGGCCTCAGCAGTGACAGTGGCCCGGAGACCGAGGAGGTCCAGGAGAAGCACTAAATTCCTCTTAGTGGAGGTGCTCTAGCTGTGGTTGAAGGTGGTGATGATATGTGAAAGTGGTTGTTATCTAATGTCTTTTGATTGTTCTGTGTATTTTCGATTCCCCCAAGTGATTTCACGGCACGATCCTCACATGGCCAGGCCACTGGCAGTTACAATGTGATATTAATTGATAGAGCCAATGCCAGCTATATATTACAGACCTGTCTAGCGCAAGTTGTAGGATGATAATAACCGTAGAAGATGATTTGCAGCCGAGGCGTATTCTGCATATTATTACTAAATTATCCGGCAATATACCACATCGTCAAGCGGCTTTGTACCGATATACCGTTTTACAAGCCTGCGGAGCACATCGAGAAAGATCACAAGCTGTGAATAACTTTTACTTGGGAAACGTAAACTCGTTGCACTTCAACATATCTGATCAAGTAAAGGACGTTGGGCCCGTTAAGAAACTATCAGACCATACTCCGCGGCCCCTGGATCGTCATCTCCGCATACTTCCGATGCCATAACGGTGGCAATAAAGAAGTAGATTTCTTGCTTCGACCTCACCATACCTGTTTTGACATCTAGCGATTATCAAAGAAATACAACGTGACATCAGTGGCATTCGGCTCGCTTTCCTATTTCAAAAATTATTGTCGAAAATTTGTGATGACTAGTATCTCGGCAGCTATATGCCTAGATCTTGGCCCCGAAGCTAAGGGGCGCAAGTTGCACTGATACCCACAGATCTCCCCGTCGCCCATGTATCTGCCCGGCAGATTGCACGTATGTGGATAATTCTACTTACTCGCGTCCAACGCTCGCCATCGTCCCACTGCCCCCTCTTGCCGAGGGTTCGCCTGTTAGCGTTCCAGTGGCGGAGAGCTCTCGTTGAAAAACTTTTCATGTTTCCCCATGTGCTTAGATCTTGGGGGTCGCATTGGTCATGTCTCGGGACACTTGCTTCTACGTAGCTCGGTGGCACATACCCCATATGCCGTGGTCTATACTTGCTTTATCCCGATTATATGCATCTTTTAACCGACCGCCGAACTCTAGTCTAGGGGCCGGGTACCCTGGGACCGCGGTTCGCGCCGGGAGGGAATCGACTTGGTCTTTGCAGAAGGTTTCCTCGAGAATATGACTTGCGTTAGGGCCGCGAAGGAGTTTCCGTATTTGGTTGAGGAGGATGTTGCCACGTAGTATGGCTTCGGTGGTCCTGGCCAACGGGCTCTGAGCGAGGTCTCCAACGACTCCGACAGTACCGACTCGATGGCTGCCAGGAACAGCGACCCTGGGAAGAACTAAACACCGTACCAACTGGTGGGCAACAATGATTCCAGCCTATGAGGCACGTCTTTGAGTCATGCAGGTGGATTGTCCAATGATTACCCTTTTTGATCTTGTCAAATACCCCGCTACGGACTGTATATGTTGAATGTGTTAGTCGAGATTGTAGATTGTGGTTTATACTTGAAATTAACATCTTTGAATATATGTTTGCTGTTGTTGGCTTGCTAGATTGTAGATATAATACTATAGATCAATGACATGTACCAACCAGGTCATTTATATTGTCTTGAGTATAAACCATAGTACATATATACATATCGTGTGTACCGCACCTGTTACTTTTGCTTGACTATCACACCCTGTGCACTGGCCTACCATTGTATAAACTCAGGTTTACCCTCACATCTTGGATTGTCGAGTCAAATGTATGTTTATACAAGTGTCTAGCAAAGTATCTGTGATCAAGCGAGCCCTAGTAGTCACTAATACCAGGCTTACCTTGGGCAATCACGAGTGAAGTGTGCCTGCAATTGAAGACTGCATAAACCACAAGCTCTTCTTGAAGTGCATCGATATCCCCGCGACCTCATGCAGTAGTGCCCCCGGCCGAGTTGAAAACCACATGCATGGACGGCTGCATTAGGGCCATGGACGATCAACCATTCTAAGATATTGCACTGCGACTACAATCCATTGTAAGCAAATCTATTCCCAACTAAGTAGCCATGCAACCCTATTCCCCTAGCGCATGTAGTGTATCGCCGAGCCAGTCACATACATCTACAAGACTAGAGCCCCAGCCCCAGCTGCGACGTAGTTCTATAGGATCTAAACAGTGGAGAACTGTTCCATGACACAAGTCGGTCCCTTTCACTCCTGCCCCATTCTCGTCCTAGTCTTATTCCACTTAAAGTTCCGATCCCAAGCTGTTGGTGGATAACCAACACTGCCGCATTAGGCAATCCTAGCCCTAACCCCAGATCCCCTTTATTGACCTCTATCCGTACCACGATGCCATACATCCATCGTCACCTCTACCCCTCGAAACTATGATTTCCATCCATGGCTAACATCATTGAGATCAACAATGAGGCAACCAGGCAGCCGTGTTTCAACGGGGCTTGGATGACGTCATCCATGTCAATCACTGCGATAACGAGAGGAAGTATCGGTGAACAGCTGGAGGTTGCCCCTCTTTATATCCAAACAGCGCCCCCCCTCTCCAGCCACAACCACACTCTGTGATAACTCTTTCGCCGGACGAAACAGAACATCAAACACAATGCCTGGAAACTTTGGCCAGAAAATCCTCAAGACCTTCGGGTTAGACGATAACCAGCTTGGTCATGGCCAGGGCCATCCTCCACAACAGTACCAACCACCGCCGCAGCACTACCAACCACCCCCACAGCAAGGTTATCCAGGCCAGCAGCTGCCTGGGAACCGTCACATTGAAGACGGCGACCGGGCACTTCACCCGGACAAGCACGGTACATACCCCCGGCTCGCCAGACTCGGGGATGGGTCGTTGCTCGCCTCGTTCACCCACTTCCAAGGGAAGACACGCGTGCTGGCCGTATCGAGAAGTACGGATGGCGGTCGGACGTTCGAAGACTGGGGAGAAGTCTCCCGCGGCGAGGGCGACGTCGACAACGTGTTTCTGCTGGAGGTCGCTCCGGGGACCGTGCTGGCGGCGTTCCGGAACCACGACCTGGGCCCCAACGGGCCCACGCACTTCCGGATCACGGTGTGTCGGTCGACGGACTGCGGCCGGAGCTGGCACTTCCTGTCGCAGGCGGCGGAGAAGAGCCCGCCGCACGGCATCTGGGAACCGTTCATGCGGCTGGGCCGCGGCGGCGAGGTGCAGCTGACGTATTCGCTGGAGTTCGCGCATAACAACCAGAGCACGATGATGGTGCGGTCGTTCGACGGCGGCGCTACCTGGACTCAGCCGCAGTGTCTGCACGGGGACTGTGATCTGCTGCGAGATGGGATGAACGGTATTGCGCCGACCTGGGATAACGGTCGCGAGGCGCTGGTGATGATCTTCGAGACAACCTCCTTCGGCACGTTCAACTTGGAGGCCCTGATCTCCTACGATGACGGCCAGACTTGGGGCTGGCGTCATCGCGTGTATGTCCCGCCGCAGGGCCACAATGCCGGAGCGCCCCAGATCGCCTCCTTCGCTGATGGATCGCTGGCGGTTATCTTCATGACCGATGAGGACCACCAGGAGGTGTCCTGGACGAAGAATGCCTCCATCAAGGTCGTCTTTGCTGGACCCCCGCAGAACGGCCAGATTCACTGGACCAGACCGTCCGTGATCTGTCCTCATAGTAGTCATTGGCCGGGCATTACGCCTGTGGATGGGAATACTTTATTTGCAACTTTTGAATGCGAAGGACGCCCGAGGGCAAAGGCAATCACTCTACGCTGAGTATTTGGAGCGTGGGGATTTTGATCTAGTGAGGGGTGCAGCGAACGGCTTTAGTTGTAGAGCAACTGCCAGCAGATGTTGCCATGAATCAAAATCACGTATTACCCCTTGATAATGCGTAACTTTTAAGAATTACAGAAAACATAAAGCGTCGTAGAAACCAAACGGTGCAACATTCAAGTAAAATTCATTATCTGGCGTATCAATCAGCCAGCAGAGTGGATGGATAAAACCACTATAGGTTCGCAACCAACTCATCGACGCTCTTCATCTCCTTGGCATTGTTCTCCCCAACATCCAAAGCAACTAACACCCGGCTGACGCAGTTATATCCCGCAATACCGGTCGTCAATTCGACGATCTCACGATCCGAGAAACCCTCCGTCTGCAACTGCGCGAAAGTCGCATCCTGCACCTTGACCGTCTGCGTCATTTCATCCGCATACTGCACGATCGCCTGCTGTCGGGAGGTCAAGGCGCTTTGGGCCAGGGCCTCCTTGGCTTTCGATAGCTCTGCTGCCTCTCCGACCACGGTGGAGGGGAGAGTCCGCACGGCGTGTAACTCTGGTGCTTGGATTCCACCCTTCAACGCCAGCGGGGCATGGGCGTTCCATTCGTAGACTGCCCCAGTCAAGACCGCCACGCGACAGACGGCGAGCTCGAGAAGTCCCTGGTCAATGATGGTGCGGGTCCGGATGGCGCCGAGGAAGCTGTTCCAGCCATCAGCGACCGGGGGCGAGTGCAGCAGGGACAGATCGAGCGGGATGAGAGGGCGGGGGTTGCGACGGGCTGCAATGCGGGCGTAGATGTCCGCCGCGTCGGGGTCTGATGCGGGGGGTTCGGAGGGGGCGTAGGGCAGACGCATTTTCAATGGGGAGATGGTGGAGAATCTGGGGATACTGGTCAGTATCAGTGTTATTCGTCAGGCCGAGGATATATGTCTAGACAAGATGTACCTACCTGGGGTTGGTTCTATTTGCAAGTCTTTGGGCTGTTGTTAGGGGTAGAGTCACTGATTTGCAAAGGGACAGTCGAAGCGGAAAGCCCCTCATGCTTTTGAGAGCGTCACTTGGGCTTCATGATGGTGATTGCTTGACCAGGTGGGGATCTTCGCTCTTCTCTTCTCTCCTCATTTGCGTTTATCCGCTCGGCAGAACAAAACGGATATCCACCAGGCAAACAGGACAAACAGGACGAACTCGAGGACAAACGGATCGAGTCACGTGATATACACGGGCGATATGAGCTAAGCCTATCGAGGAAGGTGATCGGTGATCCTCGATCGAGAATGCGAGCTGAGTCTCGACCGCAAACGGAGTATCTGCCAGTCTGCCCAATGCTCAAATGTCACTCTTTGACGCCCAAGTCTTGTCGGAATCGAGTGTATCGATTCCGCAAGCACCCACTATAATATTAGCGTACCTCAACTTCGGGCACTGCCGGTCCGGGTAAAGATCTCGTTCCAAAGTGTCGGTGCGTAGATGAGCTGAATGATAGCCAACGCATCGGGTACCACCGCCCCCACTGCAGCTAGGAGAGGGCACAGCAGATACTGGCCATCTACTCCGGAGTAAGAGCTGTTCAGCTCACCACCAAAAGTCTGCATCACGTATTTGGCGTAGATTGTCGCCGGAGAAAGGCATAAAATGGAGTAATAACCCGGCGTCTGAGCCCCAACTATTTATCTTAGCTCTCCGGCAGACATATCCAAGTTTAACTCATCTTTGCCTCTTCTGCACATCATCTTACTACATCTCTCAAGCTGTGCCTTTACATATTCTTATACAACGATGGCTCACCGCACCGCAATGGCGCTCGTACGTAACGACACCTCCCAGCCGATCTATGCGGTTGGTCTGGCTCATAAGTACAGTGACCAGTACCAAAACAGCGACGAATGGGACATCATTCAGCCCGGAAAGACAAGTACTAAATTGCAAGTTGATTACACCACCGGGTGGTGGACCACCGGCCGGGACTGGTGGAAGGTCTTTTGGGTCACCCAGGACGAGTCCACTCTCAAGAAGACATTTCACTATTCCAACCCCGAGAATTTGCGCAAAGCATTTGATACGATCGAAGGTGTCGATCCCGCTCTTTGGGTAACACTGGCTGCTTCTGTTGGTTCGATAGCAAGCACGGCCGCCGGGAATGGACCATTTAATAAGACAGTCGCTGGGGTCGCAGCCCTTGCTGCAAGACCTCTGACGGCTGGATTCCTCGCCCCAACCACGACGGTTGGATTCAAGCAGCACATTTTGAGGGAGGAAGATGACAGTGCGAGTGTAGAAATCATCATCCACGAAGACACCACTATCACCATCAAGTCACCGTCGGGAATTTCTCAAACCGTTTCTACCAAGAAGGAAATTTGACTTAATCTTCCCATGACCAAGTCTCCTGTATAGGAAGCGACCCTTCTTTTCGTGAGTGGTTTAGCTCCCCGGTGTTCTATCTTGATAACCTAATCGAGTGGTAGTTGGTTATTCTACTACCAACAAATGTGATATTGACCTCTGGCAATGATATATAGCGGGATTACTGTGACCCATTCGTGACTTCCACGTTGTTTATCTTTTGTTTTACCATGTTTTTTGGAGTCTATATTACAACAATGCATGGGATTACTCATATACGAAGCCAGGTTTCATTGAAATTTAAGAATATGCTCCTTGGATTGCGTACTTCGCGATTACCATTTCTTCGTTCTGATTCTTCTTATGATATTTGTTACCATAGAAACCACATTTATATTGCTGCTCAGAATTTAAATTGGATGACTTTAGAGAAGGACCTTTTACAGCCATGGTGGTGTTTGCTAACTATAAATACTGAAAGAAGTACTAATAATCATGTCCCTTAACCAGATGGACAGTGGGCACAAGAGGTTGCAGACGCCATGTACCCGGCCAACCACAGCGTGTGTTAACAATCCACGGTGGACATTAAATGAATGAAGCACATGAACTCTAATAATAAGATCATAAATACACACCAAGAAAACTCGCTGATTGTCAATCGATCCGATCATAGCAGACCCCATCTACGGTATTCGTTGTCGTTGCATTCATAGGCCTTTGAACTCCATGCTTCCCAGTCAACAATATAAATCACAGCGGACAAGTATAAGCTTGATATACCACTAATTAGAAAACAATAGAAATCTGACTATTTCCTTTTCTGCTCATTCCAAATAAGATTCGAGAGATTCTCATCCAGGTGGACATTATATTGCCTGTAACAAGGCTGTTTATATAAGAGTAGCCAGAGTGGTACAGCCGGGACGTGCCACTCCAAAAGTATAAATTTAGAGATATTATAATATTCTATCCACTTAACTAATTGAAGAAATAGACTTGATACTGTGAATCTTAATTAATCTACTATTCAAAATATAGCCAGTTTCGTAGACAGCTGAGCTGAGTAATTTTCAATTGTTGTGAAATTATTACTAGATTGCCCCAGCTCTGGCTCAATACATACTGAGTACTTAGGAGTGCTCAGTAGAGTCCGTACATGCATATGTCTTGTCCTATGCTCCGGGAGTAATCACTGAATAAAAAGCAGCCCTAAGCTAGTTCTGTTCCGGAAAGCAAAAGTTGCAATCATGGAAAGTTTTCGCAGGAAAATAGCTCAACAGTAGATCCAAGATCTTGAGTCATCTCTGAGATGTTCAGTTCACCAACAAAGTCTCTATCACATATCTGGTGTAGACCATCGCCGTAGAAGAGTAAAGATTGAAGCAACAGCCTGGTCTTTGGGTGCTCTCCAACCATTCCTCTTGCACTATCTCGCAGATATATCCCAGTTCGATTCTTGGCCTCTTCTAAACATCATCTTGCCGCATCTTTCAATGTGTGTCTTTGTAAACTCTTACAACTATGGCTCACACTTCTCCGGCAGCTGTACACCGGGGCTGATGCCACCCAGGACCCGGTAACATCATCCCGGAAAACTGACAAAAGTTTTCGTTAGCCGTGCTACATCGGTTATTTCATGTGCACGAATATTCTCAGTGACCTCCGATAAATAGACTTTCGCCAGCCTCTAAGAATGTATACCATCTCACCTAACACTCGTTTATTTTGCTACCCGCCAGAGTTGAGACTTACTCATTCGGATACTGGTCATTTCGCGAATCAGGAATAGATCAGCCTTATGTTGCAGGCATACCTTCTCCCACTTGAGTAGCCCATAGTGCCAGCTCCCCGACCATCGAGAAGATAGTCGACCAAGTAAGGAGACCCTCGAATCATGCAAGGCCGTTTGAAAGAAACCCCTTTATGCAGTTTCATTTACTTCATCTTTTCGCAGAGGCTGCCAATGAGGTGGGTTGCATTCCAGCGGTATACACTGAAGGTGCATTAGTATCCTGTATAATAACGGCCACTATAGCTCTCTAGTACAAGTTAGCACTCTTCAATATATTGGCCCATCATACAATCCATGCCTAGCAAACATCATGCGATAGATAGCACAACGTCCTTAAGGATATTTTTCACGATTGTCTCGGAGATACATTGTACAATAACCCCCGAGGGAGCTATGACGTCCCCACCAAAATAAACATCGGAAATATAGGCGGATTTAACGGCCACTAACGTAATCCAGGGATGTTTATTCAGGCTATAGGGAGTACTATACTATGCATAATCATATGCATAGTACCCTTTCTGCCCCTGGCCCCACGTGGTTGACCATGGAAAGATGTCACGCTTTACATGGCTTGAAGAACCCTAATTCACCCTAATTCGAGTCATTTGTGGGCCATCGAGTCCGAAGCAGTTGCTTAGCACATGCCCATTTGCTTTCCTTTTATTTTTATTTGATTATATTTTATTTTACTTTGTTTTACTTACTTTATTTTGTTTTGCATTTTCGCCTTTTTAGGTACCTCTCCATTGAATTTTCCTCCTTTCCGACACGGATGAAACATTGGCGGAGGATTGAGCTCGGCATGTTGGATACGCCGATATACCTCCATGTAGTATGGGCTAGTATTGTAGGAGCCTCTGCCTCGGAATTAATAGTCAGATGAGTTATAAACAAACCTGAGCATCCGATACCCGAACTGATTAGAAATGCGTACGGAGCATGGACCAGATGACTTTTACTGCGTATATCGCGCTGATCCTTATTTATACCCGTAAGCAATACCACCCTGATTTATTGGTGTGTGCAGAGTGGGACCGCTAAACATCGGGTGTTCCTGAGATCCGCCGGTAGGCTTTTCTTGGGTTGTCTCAACTGTCCCAAAAAGAATACCACTCAAAATGGTGTGGCTCACTCAACCCTCCAGGAAGTCTACGAGACCCCGTTTCGATGACAATATTACCCATCGTCGCCTGGTTGGCCATGACGGCTGAATTGCTTCGAACTGTTTTGCAGAAAAGCCTAATTCTGCTAAGTTCCAATAATGCCTGCGCCAAGTGGAGCAACAAACCGACCAGAAGGTTGAACTTATTCCGTGTCGCTGTTCGGATGCGCTAGGATGGTGGATCAATTGAATAATCAATCATGATCGCATGTCTTACCTGGATACGGAGTATACTCCAGTTATTTCCTCAGCTGAGCACTCCCGTATCGGTAGCACGAGCCAACCTTGGATCGCAATGGTTGCTAACGTGCTGCTCCACAGCTCATTATAAATAAAAGGAGAAGATGTCGTCAAACTCAAGAGCATCAGTGTCAAATCCCTACCGTTGAGCACAAGACATCATGCGCTGGCTTCCCCTGTTCGCCATCGTCGCGGCCGATATCTGGTCTGTTGTGACAGCCAAACCTCTTCTGCCAACAGACGACCCCTGGTATGACCAGCCAGCGAACATTGCCTCCTACGCGCCTGGCCAGACGATCCGTTCTCGCGAATTACCGAGCAAGTTGGCACCCTCCATCCCCCTCCCAGTCGATGTGTCGGTTGAATCTGTACATCAGTATCTGTTCCGGACCACGGACAGTCTGGGAAACCCAATCGCCGCAGTGAATACGCTGATCCAGCCCCGTAATGCGGATCCCTCAAAGCTACTTGCGTACGCGCTATTCTATGACTCCTCCAACCCGGCCTGCGAGCCCTCCTATGTCCTTCGGCCAGACTCGGATTCTGGTCTTGTCGGAATTCTCTCTCCTAACAGCACTCTAACGCCAGATGCTGCGGTTGTAAGTTTAAGAGATTCAAGCTTTGGCCACTATATGCAGCATGACTGACAAAACTCGCCAACTAATAGTTGACCGCATCCCTGAATCAAGGCTGGTGGGTCGTGACCACAGACTACGAAGGAGTGAACGCCCACTTCTCGGCCGGTGTGATCTCCGGCCAGGCAACCTTGGACGGTGTTCGCGGGGCTCTCATTGAAGCCCCCAAGCTCGGTCTGTCAAAGGACGCTCGCTACGCCATGTGGGGATACTCTGGCGGTTCGATCGCCGTCAACTACGCGGCAGAGTTGCAGCCAACCTACGCACCGGAACTGAACTTCGCCGGTGCCGCCGCGGGAGGCAACATCGCCAATCTGAGCTCTACTCTACAAAGGGTCACGGGCGGGCCGTTCGCTGGACTTGCTTTCGGCTCGATTGACGGTCTGTCCAAGGCTTATCCGAATGTCTCCGAGTGGCTCGACCGGTCCCTTGTTCCCGAGAAGCGAGCTGAATTCAAGAATATTGCCAGCAGCTGCCTGATCGGTGAGGGTACTCAAGGGTTCCTCAAGGATGTCTACTCATTCTTCGTGAACGGCGAGGAGTCTTTCAATGAGGACGTCCCTCAGGATGTGATGCGTCTCGCCGGACAGATGGGTGTGCGCGGGACCCCCAAGATGCCCATGTACATCTATAAGCCCGTCCATGATGAGATCAGCCCCGGGGCAGACACTGATGAGCTGGTTGACACTTACTGCGCGAATGGTGCCACTGTTGAGTACGACCGCGATCTGGTCGGTGGACATGGTAGCTTATGGGTGACTGGAACTACCAATGCCATGGGATGGATCGCCGATCGCCTTGATGGGAAGCCGGTTTCCCATCCTGGAGCATGCACGAAGCAGGATGTGATTCTGTCGGATCTGAATCCGGACATGTTCCACTTCTTTGGAAATCAAGTGTGGTCGCTGCTGAAGTGGACTTTGGGTGGCTTCTTGGGACCCCGGTGAAGGGTTATTTTTAGGATCTATGTGCGAAGATGGAAGTTATTTTAAGTGGGATGTTTTATTAATTCGATGCAATATTATAAGGGACATATATATAATCATGTGATTACTACCAGGTGAGGAAAATACACCATTATTACCGAACTCTAGTAGCTCCAGAACAGTCTCTCGATCTTCAATGTCTAGTAAAAAAGAAAATCGGAAGTTAATAAAAAACTAAACTAAATATGAGAATACAAGTAACCACAGAATAGGACTGGAATTTGGTGATACTCGACGAACCTTCGGCATGCAGATTTGGTGCCGAGGCCGAGGTCGGAATTACTCAGGGTCCGAATCTTATCGTCTTTGCGACAGTGTCGGATCTTCGCATTCTTGGCATGGAGAGAATGTATTCATCCGCCGTCACTCCGCCATCATTCCCCTTCCCAGCTTGACCATGGGTAAAGCTACCAAATCGTACCAGTGCCAACGGTGCGAGAGGACATTTGCCCGCTTAGAACATCTTCAACGTCATGATCGTTCACGTAAGCTGCCTCTCCCTTTGTGTCCGGTCAAGTTCCTCCATTAATAATGGCGACTAGACACGAAAGAGAAGCCGTATATCTGCGACAAATGTCCCAAATCATTTACGCGCAAGTATGTAACATATGGCTATACCCGCCTGAAATTCTGAAAGTATATACTCATCGCGAACAGAGATCTGCTGGCTCGTCATGAACGCTTGTCGCATAGTTCCCCAACATCCGGTGTGGGCCAAGATGCAACCACTCCGCCGCCATCTTCGCACCAGATGTTCAATGGGCTGAACATGCTGGCATCCGCTGTGACGAATCATTCCATGGATTCAACGAATCATGGCAATCATGGTCTTCTCTCCGGAGGGCCGGCGCCTTTCTCAGCGCAAGCCACGCCAACCGCCGAGTCCTCTGGATTTAGCGAACCATTTAGTGGATTTGGCCCGTCCACTGCATATGATGGCGAGGACTTCACCTCATTCCTCGACAGCATTCCGTTACCCACCCACCCATACTCCCCTAGTTATCAACCCCTTCCATTGTTTCCGCCGTTTCACTTTGATACCGCCCCTGTCTATGACCTACAGAAGGAGAACCCGGCCGAAAGCGCGGAAACCCCTTCAAGCTCCATTCTACCTCGGCACGGCACCCAAATACCCTCACTTCAAGCCGAAGAATCTCCGACGGCATACAGAGCACGACACCCTCCAACTTCACTGTCCATGACGACGCAATGTAGAGAGCGTATTGACGTTCTTCTCTCTGATTACTCCAATGTCATCCCGAACCCATACGTCCCGTCTCGGCATGCCCTCTCACGGTGTTTGACCGGTTACCTCACCGGCTACCACGAGCATTACCCCGTTCTACATGTTCCCACCTTGGATCTCGATTCCAAGTCTTTGCAATTCATTCTATCCATGGCTTGTCTAGGCGCCCGATATTGCCGGGAGCCGGAAACGAGCACTGCCCTCTACCAAGTCGCCAAGGCTGTGACACTCGAACATATCCGAAGAGAGTTCCAATGGGTAGAACCTAACAGTGGTATTAACCCAAACCGGCACACCGCGTCATCTCCGGCGGCCCGAGAACAGGATCTTCTAGAGACGCTACAAGCACTCTTGATGTTGGTATCCGTATCTTCCTGGCACGAACATGAGCCTCCGTACGAGGAATCGTTGTACATGCGGAGCTACATGGAAACGCTACTCCGACAGGGAGGACTGAATGACCTCCCCGCGCAAGACGGTTCGTGGGAGAGCTGGGTACGGAGCGAAGAAACGAAGCGAACGCGACTTATTGTATTCTGCTATTTTAACATTCAGACGATTGTCTTCGATTTGCCGCCTATGATGCTCACCGAGGAGTGTACGCTTGACCTGCCGTGCACAGAAGTGGAATGGCAAGCTACAACTGCCGGCCAATGGATGGAGGAAAGGAGTCAGAGCCGAGGCGAACCAAAACTACAAGATGCGCTGGCCTCGCTCTTCAGCCAGAACCCGGAGATAAAAGGGCGACTAGAGAGCTTTTCTTCCTTGGGTGGCTACGTGCTTATCCACGCAATCATCCAGAGTATTTGGCTCATTCAGAAATCCCGTCGACTGCCTGGCTTCAACAAAAGCTCTCTGTCCCCGTCTGAAGTGACCTCGTTAGAACTCGCATTGGAACATTGGTGCCAATGCTGGGAGCGCAATAGGGAAGCATCCATTGACCCCTTCAACCCACATGGCCCGTTATCTTTCACATCCGCTGCCCTCCTCCGACTAGCCTATATCCGGCTGAACGCGGACTTCAGTTCCGCGCGTCGGCTCCAAACCTGGAAACCGGAGGAGATCGCCCGGTCGTTGAAAGAAAATCTAAGTGTCGAGCGCAACGACCGGTTAACTCGAGCCGCGTTGCATTGCGCCCACGCTCTTAGCACTCCGATAAAACTAGGAATCAACTACGTCGCCCAGACGCAGGTCCACTCATGGTCGCTCCAGTACGCACTGTGTTCATTAGAATGTGCCGTTCTACTCGCGAAATGGCTCGAAGAAACGACAGTCGCAAGCCCCAACCCTAGTCTGACCGAGCAGGAAAGTAAGCTTTTGGAGTTTGTCATCGAGATGGTGATGGAGACTCGACATGGAGTATCTCGGGAATGGCTCTTGGCCAATAATACTCGTTTGAGTGCCATTGTTACTCGGCTGTGGGCTCGGTTGTTTACTGCTGATTATATCTGGGAATTGGTCAACTTGATGGGTCGGGCCTTGAATAGCTATGCGGATTTATTGGAGAGCATGCATTAGGGTTGGTCTCTGGCGATCACGAAATAGGCCCCGGCTTCTCTTCAAGCTGATTTCGGCAAGAAAAGGCTGTGTCCACCGTTGAAGAGTGGCCATCACCCAGCATTACATCCAGTGCAATGCGAATGAGATTATGGTCATAATATGAGGCATCAAAACGTCGGGGCAAAGGACGTCCAGTCAAAGAATGCAAGAGGATCAAGATCCCAGGGCATTGGGGAATCTCCAAAATCTATCTCTGGGTCTGTACCCGGCAGGTCCATTAAATCTAGGCCAGACAGTTCCTCTCCTGGCTTTGCGCCTAAACACGATCGTTGGATCGACAAGGCCTTCTGCCGAAGCCGACATAGAACGGCCCAATGAGGATCAGACTCCCGCCAGCCTGCATCGCGCTCTGTTAATTCAAAACAGGTATTAACGGCACTCCAGGCTCGCTCAACCCCAGGGGTCTCGGGACAGATACACAGATGCCACAGGGCATACGTGAGCAAATGGTACGGAGTGTAGGTTGAAGACAGCCAACTGTAGCTTTTCAGAACTTCGTCCGTGAGCATCTCCGATCCACATTCGAGGCCCTCGCATGCATAGGATAGAGTCTCCTCGTTAATGTGCTTTGCAGATTGCTCCGCACTCAGACCATTGAGCGAGTGGATGTGTACCATAGCCCTGGCCTTCGATAGGAGTAACCGGCCCAACAGAAACGTAGCTTTCTGGACTGGAACGTTCTGATCGCAATATTTCAGATATGTTTTGCTCAAGCGAGCGTCCAAATCGGCCACGAGCTTCCGGGACTCATCATGCACATCTCTACCACGTTGTGATTGTAACGAAACCCGATTGATGCGCGCAAATACCTTACTCGCCTCTGCGGTGATCAAGAACATAGTCATCTCCGTCCATGTTTCTTTCGGAGGCGGCGCGGTCTTCATCTGCGGATTAAGATCGCTGTCGTCGACGTTCAATGGCAGCTTCGTATTAGAGATGGTCTCAGACCCCCCGACGAGCCCGTGGTCTTCGGCCACTCGCTTATCGGCGGTGATAATATGCCACCACAGGCGACGTCGCAGCTCACATTCCAGAATCGGAAGACGGAAATTGCTTCCGTCGCGATGGAGCCCGATTGACTGAGCCGCGTATATAGTCAGACCGTTCAAAACCCAGTTGGAGCGACCACTGCTATGGAATCGGCGGCACCGCTAGAACAGTTAGCTCCAACTCGTTTCCCTTCTCTTACGTTGGGAAAGGACTTACGACATAGATAGCCATAGCCTGTAGCGAGGTCATGGTGGGCGAGTCCAGAAACGAAGAATTGTACAGCGAGACTTCCAATCCTCGTTGATATTTCTGCAGCGCCGCATGTTTCTGACCGCCTAGAAAATCTCCTTCGTTGATAGATAGCAGGCTCGTGGTTGCAGCGAAGTAGATTGCAAATAGAAGCGCACTCAGATCCGCTGGTACATCGTTTGGAGCGTTAATGGCATTGTATATCTTTGGTAGTAGTGTGGGAATATGCACAACCCTCATGAGCGGATTCACGTTATTCAAATAGGCCTGCCATAGCTGCGTTGCCTCCCATCGAGACGGATATAACTCCGCCACGTCTGATACCCCGTGCTGTGGGTTTAGCAATAGCCCCTCGGCACGCAGAGGAGAGAATACAGTAGAACCTCCACTGGCGCTCTGTGGAGACTCTATAACTGTTTGAAGCTCTTTTTCCTAGTACAAAGTTATGAACATGGACATATGGACAGAAAACATGGACCAACCTTTTCCAAAACATGCGACAAAAAACTCTCATTAATATACCTCGTCGAAGCACCAGAAGTCACCAAGAAACCCTCTCTCAGTGCGTAAGGTTCCTTAACCTGTTGGCCGACAGCAGTCCGATCAGTAGAAACCGGTCTTGAGCCCAATGATGTTGGAACCGCAATACTATCCTCATCCGCACCCACAATCGCCGAGACAGCCCGTTCCAAACGCGCCAACCGGGCCGCCACCTCATTAAGACCTACATTCGGAGCTCGGCGCTTGGTCTTCTCTGATCCCGGGTAGCGGCAGGTCACATTGGACCGCGCGCATGTAGTACATGGGTGCGACTTATCGCAGCGCACCTTGCGCTGATGGCAGCGGATACAGGACCGCGAGACGTTGTAGCGACGGAGGACCCTTGGTTCCCCGTAGGTATGATCTGAAGTATTTTCGCTCTCCATATTTCTGGTACACACGGGGCTGTTGTTATTCTAGACAGCAAATATACGCAAAGCAATACAGGGTGGTTGGATGACAAGTAGAATATATCGGACGTTCGGCTGTTCGGTCGTTCGCGCTCGGCGATTGAACGGCCGATTCCGATGAGCCAAACCAGAGCTTGTGTAGCAATTCATTCTTACGTAGGGAAGCTGCAAGCCTACAAGATCAAAGTATTTGATATTATTCCATAAGTATATGGAATCTGTTAATCTCTGATACTCAGCCATCCTCTGTCCTCTGGACAATCGAACCTACTGCTGCTTTTGTTTCTGTTGTATGTGAAAGCTGGACATGTGGTATGGCGGCTCCGACTTCGAGCTAGAATTGAATGCCAGTCGATATGTATCTATCTTTGACGGTATCACACAGATCGGTGGGACATCTTGGACCTGTTACCCTGTGGTGTGGAGCAGAGTCCATCGCTGCATGACATCTTTTCCTCGTTTCAGACCAGTTCGCTTTCCAGTATCTCCACCCCTGTCTAGAGCCATCGCGTTAGATATATGTCAGTGAACAAATGGTATAACAGAGACAATATTTCATTACGCTGTACTGTAGCGATCATTCCACAGTATTGCTCTGTCCTCCAAATATAGTTCATCTTCAAGTGACAGGAAAGCAGGAGCATTAAACTACCTTGCAACTGATACGTAACCGAGATCCAGTTTACATTTCAGACTGACAAAAATGTTGCTGTCGTGTTAACCATAGCTGGGTACTTCACGATTATGGCAATCATCTCAGGGCATCCCAAGCCGAATACATCAACCAACCCGATGCCACTCAACATATCTTTCGCAACCAGTATGGCCAGACCAAAACGCCATTTCAAACTCATGCCGTGTGGGATTATCTCCCAATCGCATGGGCCATCTCGCAACGATGCTGTTATTGGTCTTCATCCCCAGACCAAGAAGACGACCCATATTTTTGAACCGAGCACGCTCAACAAGCCTGTTAAAGAGGGTGTCATTATCCGTAAACAAGTCTGCGGCACTCATCTGGTTGAGAAACTCGGCATTGTATTTATTCTTAGGGTCTCCATGCCTGGGTCTCATTGGTAGAAAGCGCTGCAGTGTTTCCATCGCACGAGGCATAGACGCGAGTTGATCGGCGGCGGTGGACATCTCTCTGGTGGCATTGAGGAATAGCATGATGAGTGTAGCCTTGGGGTTTTCATTCTTGGCTTTGAGAAGGGGCCCGAATAAGGCGAGCGTTTTTGCTGGGCCCAGGTATCCAAGGTCGGCAATATTAGCAAGCTGCGAAGTGTAAGTCACGACTCGATGATCGGTCAACGGAATGATCAGATGTATCTAACCTCGATTCTATCATAGAATGTTTCTCTTCCTCGGAGTGTGGCCAATTTGTCCGGCAAATCCATGGCGTCTTGCTTGAAGAGGCAGATGCTCAGCTTTAGGGTGTGTAGTCGTTCGCAAAAGCTATGTAGATTCCGCTTAAGGTTCACATAAAGCTGGCCATATAAGTCGTGTTTAGCACCGTAAGAAGGTCGCAGGATTTCGGTGAGTGTCCACCCTTGAAGAGGATCTGCCGAATCGGGCATTGGCCATGGATGTTCGTTATGGAACAACGTGCTTCCTTTCATTAGCGGCTCCATTTCTCTTGCTCAAGGATGGATGGGTGCGTCAGTACTTACGGGTTAGGAACCCTAAAGCCTTCACGGGATGCCCCAAATGGAAGTAATATCCCATCGCTCCGGAATTTCCACAAAGAAAGACGCCATGAAGGATGCAGCGGAAACAAAGCTCTGTCCCGATAATCTCGTCGACTATGGGCAAGGGTGATCGACTCATGGAGAGCAGCGGCTTTCTCATAGGAGATATCTGGTGCTTCTGGGAGGTAAGAGAGAACTCTATCCCACTCAGTTCTGCTGAGGGCCGCGGAGAGTGTACTACTCCCACATGACCACGTTTTCTGTAGGACACTCGCAGCCTGCACTGGATCTGCTGCCAAGAACTCAGTTATAGTCGGAAAGACCGCCCCTCGGACTGATTGCAGAAGGGACTCTGGCAGAAATGCTGAGTACCATAGATGCAATATTGCTACGCTGGCAATATCAGGGGGTAGATGGAACGCCACCAGGAGGAATATTAGGTTTCGTGCGACAACCGTCTCGTCCCGGTCGTTGATATCAACATGGACGCGTCCGCGGTAACTATTCGGGAGAGATACAACGGTCTTGACTAGATTCCTCAAGTCTCCAGAAGCTATAAGATATTAGAGACACGAGGTTCCACAAGGCCTTTTGGCCCACATACCTGCCAGAAGAAGGGAGAGATCCTGAGAATAGGCCTCGCCCTCATTATTCTTCAGTTGCAGTAGGTCCAAGGCCGGGACATTACCCCATAGATATTTGCTTCCTCCATGCATCGCAACCGGGGTGTGCTCTTCATCCGAGTCATCTATGAAGTGTGGCACGCGGTTTTCGACTTCCCATGCTGGGCGCCAGGAGGCTTTTCGGATGGGATTCTTACAGTCGAGCTTGTGGACCGGCCAATGAGCAGCCTGACAATCCTTGCCGCAGTACTTTTGCCCTGGTTAACTCTTTCCATGGAACAGACCGTTTGACGTGGGCTACTTACCATCACTAGGTGGCAACCGGTACAAGCCTTAGTGCCGGCTCCGAGACACCTGGTAGCACTATGATCTTGTCTCCAGTTTGCACACAGGAAGGGTTTCATCTTGCCACCAATAGACAAAAACTATCTAACCTCGATCAACTTTCAAAAGCTTTCGTTAATAAAAAGCAAATTAAGGTCCCTGAATAGGGTGGTGCACACAAAAGCAGTAGATAAGAGTAAGGTACCAGAAACGTTGAGCACAAGTCCTCCAGATGGTAGTTCAATCATCGAATATGACATATCCTAAATAGAGGAGGGGTAATCATGTCTCTATATCCAAAACCGCACACTATTGGTGACTCGGTTGCTTTGGCTACGGCAAGGCTGGCCTTTATGCAGTTTAAGACGCAGCAACTTGCATACAATCCGGATCAACGTGGCTCTGTCCTCCGTACTTGCGCTGATATTTATTCACCAAGCATCCAATAAAATCAAAATTAGGGCAGAATATGACGGGCACATTCTATGCACTACTCGTAGTCAGTCACTCCTCACGGAATTCACCTCCACACCAGTCCACCAATCATGGCCTATGGCCAGACCTGTTCGATAAATCCTGTACTTCTTTCTTCCATATTGAGTGAAAAATAGCCGCGGAACAGATTGACTGTTCAAGCACAGATATAGACTAGCACGTGACCGTGCCCTAGGCTGCCATTTGACCCGCCTCAGGCGCTATACCAGGCCGTTGCCTGATTGGCGGCGGGTACATTTATCTATCAAGTTTAAATACACACCATGTACTTTCAAAATTCATTCCTTCTCCAAATACTCTCACCATGGACAGGCTTCCGATTGAGATCTTGCTGAGAATCTTCAGCTATCTGCAACCGAAGCTTGGTTCAGTCCTCCGAGTGAACAGCCAGTGGTTCAACTGTGGTATTTCACTCATATGGCGGGAAGCATTCTGGTTCCACCTGTCTCGAATCCCAAAAGATCGACGGGTACGTTATGCTGCTGCAATTGGAAAGCTCTTTCTCTGGGAGGGTGCCACGGAGGAGATAGAGGAGTTCAGTCATTTTGCCTACCCTAGGCTGAAGCATCTAAGTATCGGCTCAAATCCGTCCGCCAAGGTGGACATCGCTTGGCTCAAACGGTATATGCATGCAAGAGTCCAATCGATTGAATTCACAGGAGACTTCGATCCGGAGCTACTGCTGCACCTTCAGAGGAACTGTCGCCAACTGAAGGAAATATCAATCAGTACGCCGGGCGATCGACTTACGGGAGAGATATTTCACAGCTTCCTCCAAAACAGTCCTGTCACTAAAGTCTCCTTGGATGGAAACAACGTCAAGTCATTATTTGCCCACGTCATTCTCAACCATCTCACCAATCACGACAACTTGGAAGAGCTATCTCTTGGCTACACCATCGACAAATTACCGAACAATATCAAAAGCTTAGAAACTGTCCGGTCGCTTCGAAAACTCTCCGCCACAATCACGCACGATATATTTCCAAGCTTTATCTCCGCCTTTACGTCTTTACATGAACTAAATTTGAGCGTGGAGGGGGAGCCAAAATCACGACTTACTTCCATCGACCTCAAACACCTTTCAAACCTGACCCCACTCCGCTCTCTCTATATATCTTTAAATGGCAAGATGGATTTGCAAAAGGGAGACCTTCTATTCCTCAAGAACCTAAAGCACCTAACCAAACTACAACTTACGGGAAAGATGCAAACGGCCTTCATTGCAGCCGGATTCAACAACGTCAATTTCGAGGACCTGGTTGCAGATCTGCCCAATCTGCGAGTACTAACGTTACACGTGTTCCAGTTGGCCCTGAATATACACAGCCTAGCAGCTCTCGGCCAATCGTGCCCGTTACTGGAATGTTGTGATCTCATGGGAAGCTTTAATATAGCACAGCTGAAGGAGTACCAGGCACCGCTTTTCCCCAAACTTCTTTCGCTCCGTATCCAGTGTTTCAACAGGCAGACTATTGATCGTACCGGTGCAATACTACCCGTGGGGAGAGGAATTGGGTAAGTACTGGTATATTATACTATTCCTGCGTAATTCCGCTGACTCTCTGTCTCCAAAAGTCCCGAGAAGTACGTCATGCAGCTGGAAGCGCACTTTCCGAAATTGCAGGACATTACGCTCACCAACTCAAATTTTATGGACGTCGCCCACTCGGAGGTAATGTTCTCGGACAGCGTTCTGCATGGATGGAGGGCCAGGCAGCACGAGCGAGAACAGGGCGCTCTGAAGAGCTATCGCTAGGGAATCACGTCTCCTTTTTGAATATTTATCTTTTCTTGTGTGTATATATACCACGAATCACGTGATGGGACATATTTGATGCTTGTGTATTTGTCTATCCGATCTAATGATTACACCGGAGCTGGGTTTTGGAGATTACCCTCTCTCTATTAAGAGCGCATTGGCGTAGCTAAATCTAAACATCTGCTTGTACGGAAGGCTCACATTTTGGTTGCATCGTAGCCACCTTTGATCCAAAGAACGGCCGGCATTTTGCAAGGCATGATAGTGGGCTGGCAGCAGTAACTAGGTAGGTCACGTTTTTTCTATGCCTTACTTGCATCTCGTATTTTGTCCCTATTCCAGGGCTCAATCGTACTATCTAAGTTTAATTTAGTGGCCCCATTGCTGATAGTTGGAGTTAAACTGATACCCGCAATAGTACCAGCAAGAGGCTTATGCTCGGCAACAGTAACCTATGATGGAAAAGAAACAGCCATATAAGTAAATATCCAATTGATAATCCCGCAACAGATATTCATTTATTAACTCTGCAATATTGCTAATCCCGAAAACCAAACCGATCTGCGTAATGTTCTAACAAAGTATCATCAACAACGCCAATACTCTGTCTATTGCACCATATCCTATTCAACGCCACGAGGATATCTAAAAATTAAAGTACGAGCCGGGGCCCGTGGTACTTCTTCTGCTCCGTAGCAAAAGCAGTGATGGAATCCTTCGTCCGCTCAGGGAAACCTTCAAAAGATCTAGCATAGGTGGCAACTGAGTGGGCGACAAGCTGAAACAAAAGCCCAGGTTAGTAGAATGTCAAATATCAGTAAAGCTTTTACCTGGATTGAGCGCTCTTACCTTGGTGTTCCACTCCCATGCTGTTAAATTCACATTGGTGACCACATCACATATCTGGTGATAGCATGGGTCATACCAGGCACCAGCAACACCGCCGAACATCTCCTGTTCCTCCTGTGTCTTGATACCCTCGGCTCCAGTGGCAATACCGCCTCCTGGAATGCCATGACGGATAAACGCGTCGTAGTCGCTGCGGCCATCAAATGGAATGTAGGTGTGATTGAGGTCGTGGGCATCATAAAAATCAACGTACAAGTCGCGCAGCTCCTCAGATCCGACCGGGTTCACCGCATTGGTGGCGTTGTAAACCTGGTACGCAAAGTTCGGGGAACCAAGCATATCGTAGTCCATGAACAAACGGATCTTCAGGTTCTCCTCGGGAGTGAGAATGGAAACATAGTAGTCCGATCCAAGGAGGCCTTCCTCTTCACCAGCCCACCATGCGAATCGCACGCAGTTGTTAACCCGGTATTGAGTCAAGAGGGTCGCAAGCTCCAGAAGTGTCAAGCTACCAGAGCCATCGTCGTTGATGCCTGGTCCTTCGGCAACGCTGTCACTGTGGCCACCGAGCATCACACAGTTCTCGGGATCGCCCTCGGTCGTCTGAGCGATGATGTTGGTCGTATGAATGGTCTCGACAATGGCATCCATGTAGGCGATACCATCGACCTCCTCGCCCTTCTTTAGTTTCTCCAAGATGGGCGCAGCATCTTCATCAGAAAGACCCCAGGTAGCAACATGGTCCGGTGTGGGGTTACCGAGCGTTCCACTCAGGCTACCTGGTTCATTGTTGTATACCACGGCCGCAACAGCGCCGGCTTTTCCAGCCAAGTCCGACTTCGTACCGAACGGACAGGTGCCACGGCTAACGAGCGCAATGGCGCCAGACACATCAGACGGAAAGTCTGACGCGTCACATCCGAAGTTGGAAACCGCTACCAGAGGTGCATGTACGGGCTGTTTGTGCTTGGTAGGGGGCGTCAATCCCATGGGTGCCGCCGATTTGGGTACATCGTTGCCGAGGACTAGGCGGGATTCGAAAACATTGCCTGTGACGGCAGGGAAGGACTGATTGGTGATGGTGTAGTAGTCGCCCAGCTTAGCAAGCGTCGAGTAGATGTAGTCAATGGTTCCGAGGTGCCCTAAGGGTGTCCATGGGTCAGCAGCTAGGGGCGGATTGCATAGTACAGCTACCTACCTTTGCTTCCAATGACTCGAGTCGGGTGGTTGTATTCTTCTTCTCCTAAGTCCGCGATCTTGGATAGTTCTTTGGCTCTCTTCAAAAGGTTCTCGGCTTTGACGTGACTTTGGAACGCAGAGGAGCTGACCAGCTCCTTGTCGGAGGTGATGGGAACCTGAGATTGCAACAGGGGAAGTTGGACTGCGCCTACTTCACCGAGAAGGAGGGTAGCAATTGCTACCTCTGGAAGCTGTAGTCGCATGATGATACAGTGTGGAGGTCGAAATGGAGATACTGGAATCAATGGGGAGCTGTTGACGTGAGTCAGTCAGGTTGGAGGAGATGAAGTCCCCGGTTTGTTTATCCGAGAGGCTGGGGCTGATCCATCACATCACGCGATAAGCGATAAGATAACCGCCATCTTCAACCGTGACATAAGATTGAGTCCTTCAATAAACATTTCAAACATGATGCGACTTAAAATACCAATTATATATTAATCGTTTATTTGGATGATCGGAACGAACGTATATAATTTTGTGTGAAAGCCAATTAGACCTAGAATCTGTAGAGAAATATATCTCTTTGTAGTACAACTGCTATCGTTGTCATCATCGTCATCACTATATATTTGCTATGAACTAGTGCCGTCCTAGTCCAGTGTGCATAACGCATGACTAAATCAAAGCATGTCACAACAACACTTTAGTAGGTTTTTATGCCTAGGTATATCTAATGTACAATTTAATATGCCAGGCTTCTAAATTGTACCCTAGGCCCACGAACTTGTGGGCCGGAGAAACAAACCTGGCCCCATGGCGAGGCCCATGCGCCTGCCATGTGGAGTTGTGTTGTATCCGAGGTACTGTGCAAGCCTGTAAGGTACGCCAGAAATGCTGTAGCCGAGTCTCACCTACCTTACAGCCTCATCACTGTTACTGCGTAGAGGGGATGTGGGTATTGTGGGGATAAGCTTGCTCCACTTCCAAGTTCGAGGAGCACAGCCCACCCATATTGGAGTTCAGTTACGCTGCAGGGTAAGATTTTAGTTGACCCCTTGTTACTCTGCGCTTTATGATAGGCCTTAATGACCGAATCAAAGACCCCATCGCACCACGGAAAGGGGTCCAACTTTCATGACATATATTGATGGCTATTAGTGGATGTTATAAGACGCCGGTCTTTTAGTCCCTGAAGAGGAAACAAACAAAGGGAAAGGTCCAAATGAAAGCTAACTGGAAGAAGAAAAATGCCTGGTCGACGCACTCTCCAGCAAAATACTAGTAGTTTCGGGTATGGCTGGGTAAGCAAGGCTTGGTATGATTTAATAAATAATACCCTGCAAAATATTTTATATTCTTCTTTCATCTTTTCGATGTTTTCACAGACAATATGCACTTATCGTTAAGGCTTCTGAGGCTGTCCTCCGTCCTCGAGTCTTACACATGCCGCGTGTTCCTATTCTTTTTAATTCCTTATGCACTTCTAGTATACTTGGCGCGTATAGCTAGTTGGCGTGACCCGACGTCACTGTTCTTCCGAGAAAATGAAGCCTACGAGCCTTCGTATTCTAGCCCGCGTGCGGTGGAGGGCATGGCGTTGATCAACGAAGCTAACAATGTGACGGAAACTCCCCGCCCCAAGGCATCTGCGAACCCTACCATGTGTGTAGGATTTGCCTCTATTGCCCGGGAGGGTGTAAGCTACTTTCAGAGTGCAGTTGGATCGGTGTTGGCGGGCCTATCTCCGGTGGAGAGAGCCGACCTATTTCTCATCCTATTCATAGCCCATACAGATCCCACGCAACACCCGGCCTACTCAGAGCCATGGCTGCATGAGCTGGCTGACAAAGTTCTGCTCTATGATGAGAAAGACGTCGACATTGACCACATCCGAAGTCTTGAAACAACTGAGGCCAAAACTTTAGCTCTCGAGAAAGGCTTACTGGACTACACTTATCTTTTGAAAGCATGTGCAGCTATTGGCACACCATATACCGTTATGCTTGAAGATGATATTGTCGCTCTGGATGGTTGGTATCACCGAACAAAACAGGCCTTGCGTGCTGTGGAGCGACAAACAGCGGAGAAGAAAGCATCGAAATGTAAGTTCTGAATCAAGACCACTCTGCCACTTACACGATTCTGGGATATGGAGACTGATATAAGTTGCACTTCTGAAGGGCTTTATCTTCGCCTTTTTTACACCGAGAACTTCCTGGGCTGGAACTCAGAGGATTGGCCTACCTATCTATTCTACTCTATACTCTCAACGACCACCGTCTTACTAACGACCTTGATCGTTCGTCGTTATCGACCGTCTTCGAAGCCGTTTTTACCAAAAGAAACAGTCTTTGTTCTTTGCTTCATCTGTACACCTCTCCTGATCATCCTCTTCTTTGCGACCGGGCGAGTCACAATGCTACCGATCCCCGAAGGCGTGCACGAGATGCCCAAATTCGGTTGCTGCTCCCAGGGGCTCGTCTTTCCTCAAGGCCGTATCACGGATCTAGTATCCTGGTACGAGTCAAAAGGAATCGGCTATGTCGACATGCTTACGGAAGATTATGCGAATCAGAACGGGGAGATACGCTGGGCATTAACACCCAGTGTATTGCAGCACGTCGGGAGCAAGAGCTCCAAAACCAACAACCCTATCCCGCAGAAGGGCCTCCGCACGATCCCTGAAACATTGTGGAATTTCGGGTTTGAGAAAAACGATGTAAATATTCTACGCAAAGAACATGAACAACAGATAAGATGGGGTGATCCATGATTGGATGTGTAATTGGAACGTCGCAATATCTCAATAAAGATGTATAGCCATATTCAACTGCCTGCGATTCTTTACTAAACCTATCTTTCCGTAGCAGAGTCCTACTCGGAACCAAATACACTATCCGAGATGATGATTGCTATGGCAGCAACCTTGTATGGATCAGTACTGTCGATTGAAAGGAGAGCTGCACTAAAAGGGATCTTACTAATGATAAATCCACACCTGGAGTAACGCTGATATCAAGAACCGGTCGGTAATTGCGACGCGTACTTGGTGTCAAGGCAGGTTTCTGGTTACGATGTACACTCTCGCATATACTTCAGCGAACTTCCTATCTCCATCCACGACATCAAAGGACTCCAATACACGTCCATGTCTTTCTATCTCCAGCGTGACCTCTTTATCATGCACTGGAACTTTCAAATCAGTCGCAGCTACATTAGTAAACGTGAACAGGAAGCTCCCGAACGGAGCCAGTCGCGGTGCGCCAGTGGCTATACTATCAGCAGTTGGGCTCTCCGGCAGTGTGATACACCAAACATTTCGAAATGAGATCTTCCTGTGAAGGTCGAACAAGGGTAGACCTGAAGCATCACGAAATTCTCGACATGAGCGACCGTTGTATTTCCGACCACTGGCAGTGAATCGTGTAACCCCGTTTTCGTCCTGTACTTTGTAAGCAGCCCCGGACTGGGCGTCGCCCTGGGGTCTGAGAGTCAGGAGTGTCTTCGAGTTGGTGATATAATGTTCCCGGATCGCGATTGGGCGATTAGGAGCTTTTAGGACCTTGCGAGGCTGAGAGGATATCGCATGGTCCATGCGTGCTGGGATGTACGCTGCAGACATTGTAGCGAGACTCTGGTATTCCTCTTGGTGGTGGGGTATGCTCGACAGAGGGCAGGCTTAGGAGTACAAATGATACGTGATTGTACAATTATACGCTGAAAAACCATGGTGAATGAAGGGTACAACGAGATACAAAACAGGGACCTAGAATATGATGCCTTTTCAACCCGTGGCAAGGCTTGCTGACATCTAGCCCTTACTCCTGTCCTACTGTATACACAGAAGGCAATGCACTCGGACTAGAAACTCCAAACTTAATTCGCGCGATTTCAGTACAGCCTTAGTTATACGTTCAGGAAGAAACCTGGTCCTACATAAATACGTCCTACTTGTCATCTGTATGCCAATCCGGCCTCCAGAGGGGGTCGCCCGACCTATTCATCCTGCTTTCAATAATAAGTATGTACTACAAGGTTCGTTCTTGTATTACCTTCTACCACCATTGCCTATGTTAGCTGCTTATATCCCGAACCGCTTGTGTGTCCTCTGTACATCCTCCGTTACACAAAGGGTCATATAAATACAAAGAAAATGTAACTTGATTTGCATCATATAGCGGCCTAGCAGCAGATCCGTGTCGTTGCTCGGATACTTCGCTTATCCTGGTCTAGTTTGCGTGAATTTGGTAATTCACTAGACGTATCTTTAGTAACTTAGTCGTTCCTTAGTCTACCATGGCGTGGAGTAATTGGGGTTGGTATGTATAGTACAAGGCCTCCTGAACCCCTCGAAAAACGCCCCAACTCGGATACACGGATGGTATGGCAAGGGGAGGCTGTGCAGGATCTGTAGCACATACTCTTGACTGTTCCCATCCTGGCGAGGCGCAGCACTGGTATTGAAGCAATATCGTGGCCTGCGGAGCGCGGGTCTTCATTTAGCATTACTAGCAGTCGAGTATGCAGGACGATCTAGTGCAGTTGACAAGATAGGAAAATCTTAGTACTTATTAAACAAAGAGTAAAACGTTAAACAAAAGAAGGACCTCGAAAGATACAACAATATAAGTGTAGACTAGAAAAAGACAAACTGACAAAAAGAATGACCGACGCAGGGATCGAACCTGCAATCTCTTGATTCGTAGTCAAGCGCCTTGCCATTGGGCCAGCCGGCCGGCTGTTGAAATTACTTGTAATTACTTTGCTACATAAGCAAAAGATACCGATAGACCGATCGGCCGAGCGATGATCCACCATCCCCGCAGTCCCTTGTAACACCGCTTTCCCTATTCGATCTGATATAATGCCAGATTCGGTTGGCGGTCTATTTGTGCCCCGCCTTTTGATAAAGTGGGGGAATTTTGAGATCATGCCCATGTCCTATCAACATCACCTTCACTATTGCGAAAGAATAGCTGAACCAATCTCCCGTTTAAAAATGCCTTCTCTTCAAGATAGCAAGCTTGCCTTTATCGGCGGTGGCAACATGGCCTCCGCCATCATTGGAGGTCTCCTCAACAAGGGCGTCCAAAAACAAAACATCTGGGTTTCCGAGCCTTGGGATGTCAACCGGGAGAAGATGGCGGCCCTTGGGGTGCAGACCACCACTGTGAATGTCGAAGCTGCAAAGGATGCGGATCTTGTTATCATCGCAGTCAAGCCACAGGTTACCAAGGGCGTGTGCGAGGAATTGGGCGCTGCCTGGTCAGGACGTACAACCTTGCCCGTTGTGGTCAGCATTGCTGCAGGAATCACCCTCGATAGCTTGGTCCAATGGCTCCGCACGAGCGATGGGCGCAACGCACACGTTGTCCGTGTGATGCCAAACACACCAGCGCTCGTGGGTGAGGGTGCTTCCGGTCTGTATGCCAGCAAGGATGTGACCTCGGAAGAGAAGGAGCTCGTCAATGCGGTTCTTGGAAGTGTCAGCAAGGCCACCGAGTGGGTGGATAAGGAGGAATTGCTCGATGTCGTCACTGGACTTTCTGGTAAGTTCTGCTCGTAAATTCCTACCCCGAGAGGACGCGCATTGACAAGGTTTAGGATCCGGTCCCGCTTACTTTTTCGCCATGGTGGAACATCTGATTGCCAGTGCAACCGCCCTTGGTCTCTCCGAAGAACAGGCTACTCGGTTGGCTTCCCAGACATGTCTCGGCGCCGGCAAGATGCTTGTCGACTCGCCGGATAGCCCCACCCAGCTGCGCAAGAACGTTACCAGCCCGAATGGAACCACCTATGCTGCCCTTCAGACATTTGAGTCGCTGGGCTTTAAGGACACTGTTGATAAGGCTGTCAACGCTGCTACCTCCCGGGCAGCTGAGTTGGGAAACACTCTTGGCAAGCAATAAACAGAAGCAAATTGCCGTAAGGGAAGTTAGTATTGGGAAAAGTGTCCAACGTACCTTGTATGTATCAAAACCTCGAGAAATTGATAAGACCCTGACAATTTAGTATTTGCTAGGATCATGTAATCCTCTGTCACCATCAGCGTATACATAGAATACTAAAGAGTCTATGAGAGCCTGTACTGTATGAAAATCAAGCAACTATGTTCTTTCCTAGTAGACTCCCATAATGTGCATGACAGGTGAAAGGCGTGGGCATTTACAAATGGCCATAATTCTATCAGCAACCATTGCATTGAGGCCAGCAATGACGACTGTATGCTTGCAAGAAGGGCCTAGGAGAAGGGTTTCCTTAGGCTTCAACAGCCGTATCCCTAACCCCTGCTTCAGTAATTAACCCTACTTTGCTGGGGTTGTGTCTTCGTTTGGAGTTTAATAAGACGACAACTGCTTGCTGTAGACGGTCCCGCTGGCACTGATAATCGGATAACACCCCGAACAGGAATGGACCATCCTTACAAGGCTGTAGTGATAAATGCTAGGGCCGGTCTTTATTCTACATGGCTATCAATTTATCCGATCCAAGGGATGCGGCGAATGGTCTTTGAGAGCCAATTAGGGTCACTAGTACCATAAGTTGACCGATCTAGAACTTACATACCAGTCTCATATGAGTGCTATATATCGTGAACAAACAAGAACAATTGTCCCTTTATCCCGAATAACCTGTTGTAGGGCATGGCAGATCCTCACTTAATACAATCCGGTAGAATATACTTGAAACTGAGGAGGTGGGCCTGGACCCTATTGCTGAGCTTATACGGCAAAAGCTCCGTGATAAAAGAATCGGCGCTGAACCCACGTTGTTGATCAATTTATCTACTAGTAGATTCATAGGCCAGGCAGCCTTCGGTTCGAATGCTGAAACAATGGCAGCTACTCCTTTCTCTAAGCGAGCTGGCATAGAGACAGCATCATATACTGAGTAGTTTAACATGTGATGAGAAAGGTGCGCTTTTTCGGATTGCTGTTTCATGTCAATCTGAAAATTTGCAGAATTTAAGCCAGGAGTACGTAGTATCGGTGCTGAGGAGTCGAAAACCAGTCAATTCCTCCTTAAATGCATACAAAAGCATAAATACAGCGGCGTTGTAGCTCCACTTGACTACCATCCATAAGTTACATGGGATTATAACGCAACCAACGATGAAGCCTTTTTACTTCTTGCTTCACTCCTCGCCAGTCGTGCCCTTGGATCCAACTCGTCATCCAGGGTGTATGGAATACCTGCTGGTTTTGCCTATAGTTTTACAGGAGGCGGAAATGTGACACCAGCTATTCCAGCTAACGTGACCCAACTACGCGACTGGCTTACGGATAACAAGCCTCGTGTCATTGTGCTTGACAAGGAGTACAACTTCATAGGTAGCGAAGGCTACTGCGAGAATTGTGCTTGCTGTGTCTTCAACACTGACACCTGTGGTGAGGGTGGCCAGGATGCGATCGAAACTGATTTTGGTTGGCGTGGAGATAGGACTCCAGTCGATTGCACCTATCCCGATACAACGACGATTGACGTGGCGTCGAATAAAACAATCGTGGGGCTTGGATCAGAAGGTGTTATCCGAGGCAACGGACTACGATTTGTGAACGGTGCCTCAAATGTCATCGTTCAGAATATCCATCACGGACAATAATCCGGGATATGTCTTGGGTGGAGATGCGATATACATGAACGGTTGTGATTTGATTTGGATTGATCATGTAACGATTTCACTGGTTGGACGCCAGATGATATTTATGGGATATGAATCCATTGAGTTACCTTGGATTATGTGAACCTGGGTATATTTTCGAAGAGGACTGACCACGTACCAATAGGTGGACGCGTCACCACCTCGAACACTGAGTTCGACGGACGAACCGATCATTCTGCTACGTGCGACGGACGCCATTATTGGACCATCCTTGGACTTGGGGAAAACGATAAAGTATCCTTTTTCAACAACTGGATCCATCGCACGTCTGCGCGTTCTGCAGATCTGGGCTCCGTGAGCGCCTGGCACATTTTCAACACCTACTGGTCTAACAACACAGGACATGCATTCTCTGTCACCCCCGAACCTGCAATTCTAGTGGAGGGGAATGTATTCACCGATGTAGTCAGACCGACTGAACCTGGCAATGGATATGGAATGTTTCTCACGAACTCCAGTACGATCTCTGCGTGTGACTCTACCATGGGACGCCCTTGTCAAGAAAACGTGCTCACTGGCAGTGGAGACCTATCGCCTTATACAACAAACAATGTAACATCCCTACAGACAATCGGTGATGCAGATGGACGGAACATCAATTTTATGCCAATCGGCCAGGTTCGAGCCTATGTTGTCGCTAATGCTGGCATTGGGAAGGTTGGATTCAACGGTACTACCACCCCTACAATTTTGCCCTCAGGCCTAGTCGTGACTCCGCCTTCCACTGCGGTACCTTACCAGGTGCAGAGGAATCAAGGCCACGGCCATCAATACGTGCGCTTTCACCACAGACACCCATAAAGAGGGTTTCCATTGTCTGACAATATAACGCCTAGTTTGCTCGAGCGCGCGATTCATTCAGTTTGAAACCTGATAACTGCGCAGTTGAACGTGGCATCATGTTTCTGAAAGAATGTTAACTTGTACACTATCATTTCCCCTGGTTCCTAAACCTGACAACAATACTCCCTTTGATTTCAGTCTGGACAAAACATATATGTCTAGAAACATAAGTAGAGAACAACTAGTCCCCCATTAATAGTTACCATCTTCCCAGGAAATCACTTCATCTAATAGTCGTTACTGGTCTATTCTTCCCATAAATCGGATTGCACCGTTCCTACACATATGTTCGTCAGAGTCCAAGTAGGCCCATACCATATTGCTCCTCTTCGAGTCCCGCTCCCTCTACATCACCAACCAGACCAAGAGCTAATCCCTAATCTCAATCCATTGCTCCCATTCATCCCGTCCCGCGACCACCTGATTGACAGCAGATGTAGGATCCCCATATCCTACCGCCAATCCGCAGAGAATCTCCATATCATCAGAAATGCACAGTTCCTTCTTAATGACCTTTGAATATCCAGCCACACTAACCTCAATACACGTATCCAAGCCCAACGCAGTCAGCTCTAGCACCAAAGTTTGGAGCCAGATCCCGACGCTGAGCAGATCCACATCATACAACGCCTTGTCAATATAGATAATTCCCGCCATGGGAGCACCGAAGAACTCGAAGTTTCGTAATACGGCCGCTGTTCGTGCTGCTATATCATCCCTCCCGATGCCCATGGCTTGACCATAGAGCTTGTGACCGAGGCTTGACCTATAGTGGGAAAAGGCCTCCGGCAGCTGCAGGATGCGTGAGGGGTCGCTATCGGCGGCTGCAACCAATGCCGTCTTTAGGGAGGTGAGAGCATTTCCTGACACGAATGTTGCCCTCCAGGGCTGTGTGTTTGAGCCTGAGGGTGCATTTTGGGCTAGGGCGAGGGATCTCTTGAGGTCGTCATTTGAAACTGGCTTGGGAAGGAAGTTGCGAGTGGAATGACGGGAGGATATCAAGCGACTCAGGGTGTCGTAGATGATAGGATTGATGATGGTGGCCATGATGAAGTAGAGAGATGCAATGGTGGTAATCGTCTGTTTGGTGTATGTCTTGCTCGGTCACCAACTCAGAAATGCCCGACAGGCTCACAATAGCATTTATACGATAGAATACATAGCAAAACGTGCCGATTACCCGGTGCGATCGCGTATACAATGTACTTCTTCATAGGAGCTCGGCATCATTATTCAAGTGGAAAAGGTAGAAGTACATATGCTGGAGGTGCAGGGATGTTTTGGTAATGGCGCGATGACTGCCGTTACTCCGTGGTTCTTGGAAAGGGTCAGACCTACCAAATATCCGGTTTATAATCATCGGTGCCAAGTTTCCCGAGCCGACCAGCCTGCGAAAGGTAATTAATTGTCGTATTAAAACTCCTACGTAAGTGGAGGGCTTAGTGCTGTCCTACGTAAATCGACCATTTATATGCGGTTGTGGCTTGGAGTTGTGTTGTGTAATCGGAATAAGCACGGCTAGGCAAAGGCATGGTAGCCATAGCCGATACCCATGTTGTGAGCTGCAGTGTCGGAAGGAAGATGCCGTATAGCCTACTCGGTAATCGAGTATATCTTACTCTCAGGACTGGGCTCGGGTTAGCACGGTGGTTTTCGCCCCGAGCTAGATAAGACACAGGTCCAGAATGGCCAAAAGGTTCACTTTTTGACATTTTACACAGCTATGATAATGTCAGAGCCCAATTGGCGAGCACTTTTAATTTGTGGATAATGGTGACTATGGAGTAGGATTTCTCATGCATGGTGTTCAAGTCTACTGAAAATCATGTCATGGCAGGGGATCTTCAGTCTACTCAATAGTTCTCTGGATCAGAGACAGCTACCATTCTTGACGTGAAGCCGTAGAGCTGCACAACTGGATGATTATACCCCAATCTCTTGTTGATTTGAGACTCAACCCAGAATAATAAAGTATAGAACTTTTAATATTTCCCAACCGATGAAAACAGCCACCGCTAGCTTTCCCGATACTATAACCAGTCGTAAAGACATTCTTAAAACCCTGAGACTATTATATGTGGGAACGCTAAGACAATACAATAATAGGCCTCATGATATACAATAGAGGCATATAATGCAGCCTCTGGCATCTGATGTTGGCAGTACTCCAAGGAACAGCGCTACAGCCCTACTTCATCACTTGATAAATCTTAGTTCCTTTGGCTTTTTATATTGAACAAAGGTTGAACTTAAGGGTCCATTCCTCATATCTTTCAAGATCTGTTTCTTCTCTAACCTGGAGTGAATTATATGTGGGTATATCATTCGCAGAGATCGGGTCATCCAGAACGAAGATTCGGATGGCACATCTACGACTACATTTAATGTCCAGTACAAAATGTATCTCGTATTTGGGCGGAAGTCTTCCGCACGCTAATGCTAGCGCGACTATAAATAACTGTTGCTCAGTTTAGTGAACTGACAGACTTGGCATTGAGCATCTGCTGAACATCAACCATATGCTCGCCCGTACAGAACTACAAATACTAGACCGGGCGTAGTTGAGCACTCATGAGACTTTGGATGTACCTAACAAAATGCCCACTTCCATTTTGGACCTACCGATCGAGCTTCTAGACCGAATTGTTGAGCTCGTGTTGCGCTACGAAACCCCGCCCCCTGAAGGCCCCCTATCCCAATGGCAAAACTATGAGCCTTGGTCCCGTGAGGCCGGGGGCGTTCTTTCAGCAGACGACGGCGTTTACAGCGTCAGATACTGGAGGAATCAGGAGAAATATCATGATGCTTGGCAATCAAACCCTTTATCCCTTCTGCTTGTCAATCGTCAGATTGGCGAAATAACGAAGAGAAGACTGGATAATGCACTTACGCCTTCCGTGTTCGAGCTCGATGTGATCATGAGCGACGAACAGGAGCTACATCCAAGATGGTGTTTTCTTTCAAACCCCTGTCGCCATGTTGAGGATTTCACAGTGACGTTTAGGGTCATTGGTACCAGTCCAACTCCAGCTTGGCGTCGATACCATCTTCTACCTGACGGCGACTCTCCGCCGCGAATTCTTTGGGCCTTCTACTATCTGCTGGAACGCTTCCTGGAAGTTGGCCCCTTGGCAGAGCACAGAAGACCGAATGATGAACCGCGTACGGACGATATGTTCTTCACGATCAACCGGTTAACCTTAGACTTTGTCTCACCAGCTAAGAAGGAAATGCTAGCACCTGCCAACCTGAGCTTCTGGGCCTGGTTAAATGGGGGCGTCGATGAAGGCGACCCAGAATCATCAACATCACCCTGTACAGGGGTTTTCAACTTGCTCATGCGACCCGAATGGCTGGCTGAATTTATCAGTGAATATGTTGGGTATCTTCTCGGTATGAGTATATCTATGGCACCATACGGAAAGATGCTGTATGAATATGTGGGAAGTATCAGGATCTGCGTCGATGGAAAATTGATAAAGGAGTATCGAATCGACTATAGGCTACAGGATCTGAATTATGTAGGCCTCGAAGAAGATTACAAAAGGTATTGGGATTTCCGACGGTGGAAAGAGAAGGTGTATCGTATGCGTCAAGAAGCTGGCCTTCCTGTTGTTCTATGATGAATATTGGTCTGTACTTTCCTTGATCGTTGGTATAAACTCTCTTTTTACGATCGCCATTGCGAGATCAACTGTCATAAAGCATATGTTCGTGTTGACTAGGTTTGCTGAAGCTATCTATGAGCAATTATATTGACTAGTGCACTAGGGAGAGATGGTTAAAGAGTCCCGGGTTGCATAAATGTGGTCTTTGGCTTATCACTCAAGAATAATGCCTGCTGAATCGTCCATGTAGGAGTCCTTGGAGTTCATTACAGTAGCAGGAAATCCCCGTACGTGTTCCGCTCCGTCACACAAGCATTTGTCACATACCTCAAGAAAGCTATGTTCCTACAATCTAGACGTACATTAGAAAATGGTTTCTGGAGGGCCTGATAAGTCACGTGATAGTCGTCGACTGCCTTGCAGTGCCAAATAGATGCCATCATCTCTTTTCCCGAACTCACCGCCCATTTGGTGATATAGACGACGCCATGCTTTCCTATCTGCTTTCGTGGATGACGGTGGAAAATCGCTTCACCAGCACCTCGCCCCTTCCTCCGTCTATCACCCCCGAAAGAGTTATCGAGGTACTCCACGACCATGTGACGATGATCAAACTGAATCCCTTGGTCATTGATCTCCAAAGATGCGAGCCTCACAAGGATGCCCCAGCAACCGAGCGTGATCTTGTCTGGTACGAGATAACCGACAAGGTATCCTATTTACCATTTGGGCTTTTTTCAGGAAAGGTCAAATATAAGGGTTGCTTTGAGGACCTTCCGATGGGTCTACAGACCCATATTTACGCTCCCTTGGGGCTACGTACCAAGAATACGTGGACTATTGAGGTCAGATGGTCTGCCACTCACAAAGACTTTAAAGAATTAATGAACTAACGATGTGCAGGATGAACTACAATTGAAAGAAGATGTTTTTATGACATGTAACATCCTGATGGCACCGTTCGTAAAGGCAACGATCAAGGCTTCCCACGGTCCTTTGGTAGAACGGCTGATCATGGAAGCGGAGTTACCAGACGGAGATCGGAAGTCATCTGTAGGAGAGCACGTGGAAGGACAGGCAGATCGGTCAGCTCTTTACAAAAGAAAGTAGCTTTGACTGAAATACCCATCCGTACAAAGCCATCGGTGGGCCGCGTCATGCCTGTGAAATTGTTGATAGTAGGTTTATACTCACAATACATCCACAACTTGCAGACTTAGAGATGCTTCAGCCTGCCCGTACATCTCGTAAGGCTAAGTAGTAATACGGACTTGGACATGTTACTTCATGTAGGGTCTGCAAAGCTTTCCACTATACCTGGGACTTAATATCCTAGAGTGTGTTGATTGTGTAGGGGACGCAACACGAAACATCTTTCAATAAGTATGAGACCCTAGATATGTAAGAGAATACAAAGAATGTCAAACTTGTATAAGAGCTCTGACTAACAAAGAGTGAGTAGCGTCAACAAGTAGGTTGCGTATATATTCTGTGATAGCCGCCTTATTCCACAATATTACAATCCTTATTTCATACAAACATAGCAACATCTACAAAATATGTCCGACAGTAGTGCGGTCATATTATATAGGCCATACAGCAAGGCTGCCAAGGCATTGTACCAACTAGAGCCATGGCGCGGAAGACAGCTTTGTCCATTCCGTAAATTACAACACTCTGACCTGATCTATGATTTGCTGCGTCGCATGTGGGATATAGTACCCTGGGAACCCCATGAACTTCGGGATATCAAGGATCTAGGTATCATGAAGCCTTACATTGCCTTGAATGAAGCATCGTACAAATGCTCCCAGTGCCCGTTGATCCTACGAGGTCGAGGTCGATTGATATGCCACGTTTCTCATTCAGAACACATGCCAAAATGGATATATGATGGCAATGATCTAGACAGTTGGGATCCTGAATCAAGCAGGCTCTGGGAGCCTGTCGGTCCATTTCCCTTTCTTCTCCTTCCGATAGGTGAGTGGACCTTATACACCACTTATAGCGACAATATTAAGTGAATACACGAAAATTATTACTAAGATTAGAACATTACACTGAAATAGAGCTACGATACATGGTCTACGAAAACGTGTTTTGCTATACAGCAATAGAAATTGGGTGCACCTGGTCTATTGACACCGACAGCACCTTCCTCCAAAACGGGACACACACCAGTCTATTGTCCTTGTTAGGAGTAAACCGTCAAATTTATAGCGAAGGACGTCTTTTCTTTTACGGTTGCAATACGTTTAGGTTTATAAACCCCGATTATCTTCCTCTGTTCTTGCTATCCATAGGGCGAGAGAATGCGGTACTCCTGCGGGATATACAAGTCCCTAACAATTTCGCTGACTGGGAAATCAATACCGATATGGTCAAATTCCACATGACTCGCCCGGTCATTGATATGAATGGTAGCTGGTGGGCGTCGGAGCTCAAGATCTGGAACAGTGAGATACTATATCTAATCTTTGTACGGATTATGGGATCTTGCGATGGGCAGTTCCTACGGCGGGTAGGCACGGATAATGCCTCTTCCCAGTGTATTTTGAAACGAGTCCTACATGAAGTCAGATACGAGAGAGGAGACAAAACACTACGAGGTGGAGTTGTCTTTGAGGTCCATGGTCGGCCGGCCTTTTCCAGCCTCCCGAACAGACAAGATTCCGAGACAGGGGAAAGGGAATAACACAGCGTGACTCTCTCTGTGATCGTGCATATGGTATTCGGACTTTAATTTAGAAGATGATGACACGGGTAGGTTATATATGGGAACGTGGGCGTTTATATAAAGGTTGTCCAGGAGAGGCTTAGAGCAACCAGCAATTGGAATTAGACATTCAACGAGATATGCGCGCATGAACCATGGTTTCACCTGATTAGGATATCTGACTTTAAGAATCTCTGTGCGTGCGGCTCTATGCTTCACACCCCTCTGTAGTGAGTTCAGGATAACACCAACAGATGTACAATGTCGGCGTCTCGGCCCTTCGCTATCCCCCGTGCCCACTTGGTGTAACCTGAGAAGAGCCGATATAAAAGAGACGAAGATCTCGCAGGGTTTGTACACACCTGTAGGGAAGACACTGAATGTGCTTTTGTATCAGTGATCTTTGATGTCGCATTAACTGCCATCCTTTCTACCCTGTGTGTTTTGAAGCATCATGCCCACCCCCACGGCTACAGATCAGTCTCTTCCAACAAGAAACGACTCATCATCAGCAGAAACATCTGCAGGTCATGAGAGAAACGAGAAGAATGAGCCATGGACGCCCCCTGACGAGGCTCCTGACGGGGGTGTGGCAGCGTGGCTTATGGTCCTGGGCGCGTGGTGTGTGCTGTTTTGCAGCTTTGGGTGGATCAACAGTACGCCTGCAGTCCCCAAACACAGAAGTTATACTTTCCATTGCTGACTATTGGAATTCATCATATTAGGTATCGGGGAATTTCAGGCCTACTACGAACATGATCTCCTCCGCGAGTATTCCAGCAGTAAGATCTCGTGGATTCCGTCGCTGCAGATATTCTTCATGTTTGCCATGGTACCGACTCTCTACCTCAACAAAGTCCATCCGCAGGCGGATGCTGAAATTTGGAATAGGGACCAGTCGCAGGTCAAATCTATGACAGATTTGGTCCTCGATATCTTCTTTTGGGAGGATCGCTTCTGCATGTCTTCGGTTTAATGATGACGTCCATATCGAAAAGCTACTATCAGATACTGTTGTCCCAGGGCGTATGTAGCGCCATTGGGGTAGCTGCCGTCTTTCAAGCAGGTATACATATAATCCACACCCTCCATTGATCTACTCATTTTGTCTAACATCGTACAGGGGTCAGCAGTATCCCCAGCTGGTTCAACAAGAAGCGTGGTGCAGTATACGGCATTGTGTCCTCCGGCTCAAGTATAGGGGGAGTCGTCTACCCTATTATGATCAGTAAGATCATTAGAATCCTTGGATTCCCATGGACCATGAGAATTTGCGCGTTCATGATCCTTTTTCTTCTAATTATAGCCAACCTGACCGTCAGGTCCCGTCTCCCGCCGAGTCCTCAGAAACTATCCAAGGAGTCCCTGATGCAACCCTTCAAGGAGTTAAAAATGATGTTACTGGTAGCCGGCTTCTTCCTTCTCACGTTCGGGATATTTGTGCCGATGAACTATCTCGTCACTGAAGCAATAGCAAAGGGCATGAGCCGTGATTTGGCCGAGTACTTGGTTGCGATTCTGAACGCAGGAAGGTAAGACTCAAGTCTGCGCTTGACATCGATATCACCAAGTGTCACTAAGCATACAAATCCATAGTCTCTTCGGTCGTCTCGGCGCCGGAATCTTCGCCGACACAATCGGCCCCTATAACATCTTCGTGGTTGTCACCTACATCGCCAGCATTCTCGTTCTAGCGCTATGGATCCCGGTCTCGAACAAACCCGGAACCATCGTCTTTGCCGTGCTCTTTGGGTTCGCCACGGGCGCGTACGTTGCACTTGCCCCCGGCCTTGTTGTAAAACTTTCCCCATACCCGGAGATCGGATATAGGACTGGACTTCTTTTCCTGTTCGCGTCTATCAGTGGCCTGACGGCCAATCCTATCGCAGGCACTATTTTCCAACACTCGGGTGGATCGTATACAGGCATGAAGATCTTCTCTGGCGTGTTGCTGATTGCAGGGTCGACCCTGACCCTGGGTGTTCGTCTCCGTCAGACGGGCTTGAAGTTGAAAGCTGTTTTCTGAAAAGGTCCCGATATACGTGCACCTGTGCTTGAAGCGCCTGATACCTCGATCGAGTAAGCTGACAGTCGTGGCGCTAGGTACAGCGACATCATACCTTTTTTTTCCACATTACGAGAGTAACTGAACGGAATTAGTGTCGCCTTTCTAAAACCTTTTCCTTACGAATAGCCACCGCCTTATGTGAAAAGATCATTGTTGCGCGCAGTTCAAAGCCTGAGAAACAAAACATCGAATAGGAATATCCGGGGGACATGCAAACTAATGAGGAGTTCATTCAAAGTTCACGTGGAGTTCATTAGTATTTTATGACAGTTTTAGGAAATGTTTATGAGGAGTTTATGGATAAATATGTAAAATTCCGTAAGGCTTATGCGTGTCTCTGAAATAGGCCATCCCCACAATTCGCCCCAGACTTATATTTCGGAATGTGGTGGCCCAGCTTGGGGTTATAGCCCCCTCACGCCCACTGCTAACTACAAACATTCCTGTCCCTGGCATTCTCTCTATAATCATCTCTACAACTCCCAAAAAAGAGCATCAGAGCGGCTTGCCTCTTGTTCCACGCAAACGTCTCCGGGGATAATCCACGAAATGAAGACTGCCTGCGCCGTTGGTGACCTTCCGCAATTCAAGTCAGCCTTCGAAACGTGGACTTCTCTCGGTCTGGATATACACGATCTTGACTCAGTAATGATCCAGGCTGTCAGACAGGATCAGAATGATGTTGTCGTTGAATTATTGCACAAGGAGCTGTCAATAAACCAAGATTATGTCCTAGAAGCTATAAAGCATAGATCAAAAAAATGTTCTCAACATTCTACTACAACATTGATGAAATATTAACTAGCCAACAAGCGAGCTGAGGCCCCCTGCACTCGGGCAAGTCGCTGCATTACTTTTCCAAACCTCAATACTTACTCGCAGTATTGTACTAGTTATGCAGTGGACGACGATGAGATGGCTCTTTGGCTTCTTGATTACGGAGCCGACCCAAACAAGCAGTGTTCTATTGATCTTACTCCATTGTCCTACGCGGTAGAACAAGCTTCCCTCCCCACCGTCAAACAGCTTCTAGATCGTGGAGGAGACGTTCACAAAGGGCAATTGCTTCACCATGCTGTTGAGCGTTAAACAGATACTATCGAGGTGCTGGGCATGCTTCTAGAGCGAGGCTCTCCTTTGAATTCAAAGATGTACGAGAAACACTATCCTTCAAGGAGACTATTCTACTTTATGGGCTTGGAAACCGCTGTGCACAAAGCAGCTGAGTTGGGGAAAGCGGATGTTGTGCGCTATCTACTCGAACAAGGCGCTGACGTCGGTATCATAGATGCCATTAACCGAACTGCGATGGACTGGGCTGTATTAAACAACCATCAAGAGGTTGTAGGACTACTCCAGTGTGTGGAGAGAGGACATCGTGCAAAAGAGGCAAATCGTAGATACAAAGATAGTTTGTGGGAATGAACCCTGGCACATTCATGCAGAAGAATTGACACATAAGGGCTCATGATGTATACTCGGATCTTGTTATTCACTCATCTTCTGCCATAAAAGGTTGCTGATATGATCTTCTCTATCTGGTCAAGGCCTGTCCCTTTCTTGAAGTGGCCAGCTGAAATATTTTCCAACGTACTACGGTGTTTCTGTCCTAAATCACGAGCTTCCCGTCGCGGCTGTTATCTTGGTTGCGTTGGCTTTTACTATGTCTCTGAAGTGTTTCTTCTTTCTGTATACTGTTGTGGATGGTTTCCTATACGCCGAGTTGCTTCATGGAACTTGATCCGCAACGATTGTCCATCGCCTGGTTGAAGGTATTGCCTAGATTACTGTTCAAGATCGTACATTAGTTGTAGGCATAAGAGCGTAGAGTCATCAGTGTTGTATTGCTGATCTTCTCAAGCATGGACACTGTTATCGAACCGACGGTGCCATGAAGCATAGCCCCTTCGCCGTCAGCTTGGTAGGTTTTATTCTCTTCTATTACTGGGCTATCAGACTCTGAAATAATAAGGCGACATAAACGATTGGTAGATAACTCCCATACATCTTCATACATGCTACCAGGTTGCTGCGAATAGAGCATTGTAGATATAGTTGATTCTAATCATGAGAAACAGAGATATTGGAGTAGAATATGAGATCCATATGACCTCACAGAACAGCATTGCTAGTGTCTGGCCAGCAGTCAACAACACTTTCACCGTACTGAACAGAGACAACAACCGAGCCCTCCCCTCTCAAGGGATCCCCTTCCCACACAACAAAGTCACCCGTGTACCGTTGTGAAGTATCGGCCGTCCTCTCTGATCCAGTGCCTAAGATAGCCTCGATATTGGTCGATACGAGGGCAATAGCTTCTTTATCACTCAGCCCTGCGAACTTCCCGGCCCACCGGGCCTCCTGTGCTAGGCCATGGACTTTCGAGTCGCTGCTTACGGCTAAGCCTAGCAGCACACCGGCATCGGTCAAGATCCTCGCGGGGCTCTTAGTTAATGGCGGCCCTGTGAGAACATCTTTCTTTTCCCAGTTATTCGGCGCACCACGATTGCCAGTGAGAATAACGGGTATGTTTGCTTCGGCAAGGTGCTTGGCAACCTACAGGGTATGAAGTGTGGTTAGTAACCACACGCTTGACTGGGACTATAAAACCATACCGAGACTGCACCGTGTGCCCCATGGATGACAAGGTTGACTGAAGGGAAATCCTGCTTAATGAGAATCAGCTGAGAGATATCATCCTAATAACAGAGTTAGAGATCCCACAATATCATTCTTTTGTAGCGACAGACAGTAGGTATTACCTCGTTGTATGCCCGAACCACTACGGGGATCGAGCCATTGGCAGCCTGCACATATATGCTGACGCTTCCATGTCTGCCTTCCCGACCAGCCTCTAGTATCTGTCGCACACGCTGAACTCCAGATCCGACAGTCAGTGTGTCGTCACCTGAGCAAATGCTAGTTAGCCATCTGTAATACCTTGGTCGTTCCAAGGCTATTGTCTTAGATCATTCACCTTTAGCTGATTGTCCAATTGTGAAATGTAGTGCAACGTCATCTTTCCAGATTCCGTTCTCAAGAATTGTGCCCGTCTCACTTGTACGTATACCAACACTGACCCCCTGGATAATGCCCCCGTTGGACCGAGGGGCAGTGATTGCCTTGGTAACTCCTCCGATCCTCCCTCTATCAAATGCCCTGCCATGGAGATGGACACCGTACTTGGCAAATTGCAGACTCTTTTGTTCAGTCAGAGGATCTGCACTCCTGCCAGTCGATCCATCGCCAGTAGATTCCTCAGATGGGATATCTTGGATTCCAAGGTTGTTTCCAAAGGCCACGAGACCTGGAGTAATATAGCCATCGTTCAGGCTGATTTCGGTAAGATTTTGTTCCTTTTGTTCAGTGGACAGACAGGTGGATCTCTTATCAAGGCATACAGCCTTACCGTCTTCAAGAAGTAACACAACGTCGCCTGCATCTTCGAGGGGAAATGGAGCATCAATTAGGACTTTCTTAATACCTGTAAAGAGTAGCTTCGATGGAGATTTATGGACTCTCGAGCAAATTTCAAGTTTCTGGTGCTCTATAATTGAAGGTCTCGTCGCTGGAGCATCTGGCGACGCTACAGAGTTGGAGCTGTGGATCAGCTCTTCTACGGAGTCATTATTACCCAAAACGGCATGACCATCGATGAAGACCTCGAGCGGTGTCGCGCCGACTTGGAGCGGATGATCATCCCAGATAACTAAATCTGCGTCGTATCCAGGGCGAACATATCCAATTCTGTGGTCCTGCTGGACCGACCGAGCAGGAATGGATGTAACTGCCTGCAAAGATTTGTCTTCCGGAAGACCAAAAGAATGAGAAACAGCGGCTTGGTACCTAACATTATTCGTGTCAAATCTTGATTCTGGAAGCTGCTCCTGAGGATGCTTACATTAAATACTTTGCGTAATTCTCCTCCCCAGTATGATCCTAGACCTGGTGTTAGCCGCAACCACCATTTCATGTTTCTGTCTAACAAAGACATACCGATTTCAAGGCAACCTTAACTCCATGGTCATCCAGTATTTTCGGCCCTCTCAGATTTGCACCATAAGCCTCGGCTTTGAAGAGAGAATTCTCTGCAAATGTTGCGATGGTGACGTTTCTGAGATATGTCAGCTAAATCCATCATCATGCACAGACTGTGTAACTAACTCCTCCAGGTGCTTCAAAAGTTCTGGTACCTGCCATGCCTCTAATGCGTGATGGAAAGCCTGCGGACGAACCCCGAACTCGTGGAGCACAGAGAGCATGCGCTCGAGGTCCTGGGGCTCGTAGCAATGTACATTTACATTGAGCTCGCCTCTGGTAAGCGCGACTAAAGTTTCAAGCTCAAAGCTCTGTGGGTGCGCTCCATAGTTCCTGATGAAGGCTGTCACCTGGTGTGCTTTAGCAAAGCTGCTCTCCTGAATCTCAAATGCCCCTCGACACCAGGCAGTCTGTCTCTCGTGTAACTCCCGCGCCTCCTCCAGACGTTTGCGCAAAAGCCAGGTGAGGCCAAGCCTGGTGTTGCCGTACACCCTCTTCGGGTTCTCGCCACAGGCCATTTTGAGGTATCGCTGGCGATCTTTCTCGGGTAGACCGTATTCCAAGAGCAACTCCTCCACGACGGGTTCTCCGGCTGCTCCGGATAAGGGCAGATTTTTGACCATGTACGCTTCTCCTCCGATAATGTTCGCCGACCCAGGTAGAACGAGTGAGGAAGTGACGCCCCCAGAAGCGATGATTTTGATGGCAGGATCGTACGGCTTAAAGCCATCTATGGCGCGGACAAATGGGGTGATAGGACCAAGGAGCGGACGCTCGTTGACATCATTCGTAGCTGGAAGCTGTGGAAATGGGAGCAACAAATGGTGGGAATGCATGTCCACCAGCCCAGGGGTAATGAACCTCCTGTGGACATTGATAACACGAGCACCCTCTGGAGTAGGATGGTTCAAGCGAGTGGGAGATACTGATCGGACCACACCAGACGAAAAATGAATATCGAATGTCCCGTCGAGGGTGGAATCTCCGTCAAAGAGAGTCGCATTCTGTATAACAATATCGCCCCTTTGGCCCGAGATTGGATTCCACCGCCTGTTTAGCCTGTTACCCGCGGCGACTCGATTGTGGCTCCGACTCCGAGCTTCATAACATCTCTTTATCCCTTCATTGAACACATCTGACTCAGTTGAATCAAGTGTATAAAGCACAATATTGGCCTTGGATGCGGCTTGCATCAGGACTGCAAGCGCTCCTACCAGGAGGAGGGCGCAAAGAGCTCGCCTCCATCGTCTCAAGCGATGTAGTCTTGACCGCTGTGTAGATTCGCCGTACGTTGACTCCGGAGAGAGAAGACCACCCTTGGTCGCCATGATTACGGTTTGCAATGTGAGCGATCTAGTGATATGGCTTGGGACAACTAGAAGGCAACAGCTTTCAGGTCTAACTCGCCCCTGAAGTACTTTTCTGCCACAATTAACCCTATTCTGGGTAAATGAAATCTCGCGCGATGGTGCACATTTTGTTCGGAGAAGAGAAAAAGATTAGCAAAGTAATTAAGGAAACAATATCGTCCTACGGCGCTTATCGTTGCGTGACTGTGGGTCGAAAGTGCGTCAGTCGGAGGATTCCCGGTCGACTTGATACAGACTATCCCCCATTGATTCACAATGTACCGTGACCTGGAGCTGTGAACTTCTTCCTTTTGTTTTTTGTTCGGTATAGCCACCTGATACGTCATGTGACAGCGTATCTTTGTATTAGTATTCCCATCCATTGTAGACTCCAGTCCACTACGTTTGCTGTTTTGGACTGCAGAGTCTTCGTTTAAATATCCTCCTGATAAGGCGTACAGTATTGTCTGAGGATAGTACGCTCATGGCACTGTTCCAACATGTTCTACAATTATCGTGAATCCTAAGATCACTACACCAGGATACTGTCTTGTACTAGCGGGACTTGCAAAGAGCAATCGTTGACTAGAATTTTAAAGAATTCTAAGACCAACAGAATGGCGAACCCACTCTTTTCCGACTATTCATTCTCATCTCAGTCCCCTATCATTCCTTCCTCCGCCGCCGCCACAAACAAAACTTGCTTCTCACTATGGGGCCTTGTTTATGGCGAGATGAAATTGGACAGTGCACATGCCCCTCTGGGTCTTCGATTTCGTACCTTGATGAGTTGCCCAATCTGGTAGCATACGACAAATGCTCCCATGCGATGTCTTCACACGTCAGCTATCGTGAGTTTCACTTAAGGTTGACTATCTGTTGCTAATGTCCCCCACAGCGTCTACTAATTCCTGACCTCCGCCCGCAATAATTTCTGAGTCTGTGGGTAATTAGTTCGCCGTTGAGACACAGCAAGAGTACTGTTGATTCTTGCAGACATGGGACCTCAAGTTGCTACCCAGAATGAACTAGTTGATGAACTTATTGCTCGGGTAAAATTCTTCCATATCATTCAAGTCAATGGGACCCCTGCTTCTGGTAAAACGACACTCAAGAATCTGATGGTTAATAAATTGCTTGAGTGGCGATCCAACAACACCCGTTTATATCGTTTCAGGCTGGAAGATGAAATCAGTTCGCAGTGCAAACGGCTGGGCTGCTTATCTCCATAAACAAACTGGGATCTCTCGCTATCAGTGGCTAATACATCGAGAGTATCTTTTTCTTGACGAGACTCAGCAGTCTTACTGGGACGACCAATTAAGGGCTGAATTATTCAAGGCTGTTGAACTAGTGTCTCAAATCTATATTGTCCTCTTCATGTCTTACGGCTCTCCAACACTGGGCTTCAACTGTTTCGAGCAGGAGAAATATATCAAAATGCCCATGGTCTTTGGCCCCGAACAGCAGATAGCACTTAAACCGAATGAGAATATCCAATCGTCTTGGAGAGCCGTCGGTCTACTATCTGAGAATGAAGGAAATCAAGTCCTAGATCGATATACGCAAAGCCTTATTCCAAACTGTGGCGCTATTTTGACACAAGACTTGAAGCAAGGATTCTTTCGGAGCAGTAGCGGACATGTTGGGCTGCTTAAATCTCACACATAAGTTCTAATTCGTGTACCGGTAAGCCAGGTCTTCAGTTAAGAGTTCGGTTTCTAATATTTCCCATAATAGGAGCTTTATGATCTCGTTCGTAGGCGTCAGCCGATTACTTGGTCAATGGCAAGCAAGATACTCTTCAGTAATCCAAAAGGATTCTTCGATACCATGCGGGCTCTCCCGTTTACGAGAGGTCTACCTCCAGCGAATATTTTACAAAGACAGGGTGTCGCTAGTGTCCTCAAGGATGCTATTGCTTGTGACGGGGTCTATCAGTCTAGCTTCGAGAATAAAAGTAGAGAATCACAAGAAGCTCTTGAAAGAATCTGGGTAAATGGGTGGTTACATGCAGAGACTTCAGGCAACGGTATACGTTTCGTTTTCGCAAGTCAGCTCCACCGCTGGTAGGTGTCTAATATTATAAGATTACTTTATTCAGCTTGCTAATACGGTACGCCAGGTATTGTCAACATCTTTTAACAGAGAAAGGTCCTGACAACGAACTTGCTTATAGTTCTCCTCTAATTTTGGCAATCGAGGCTATAAAGAGATTTCGACCTTACCAACTATCAGATCCTTTGCGTTCCATAACAGACCCAGCTCCATCACCCTATGAAGACCAGTGCCAAAAGGAATTCTATCGTTGTCTGTTTCCTTTGCTCGATGGTCATGCTATCATGTCTCCCGAGTTTTTAATCAAAACAGGTATCAAGGGTGGCACAATTGACTTCTATGTCGCCCAGAAGAAATGGGGATTAGAATTTCTAAGAAACCGTGATAGAGTATTGAAACATATGCAAAGATTCGAACCTAACGGACAATATTATCATATGATCGAGCAAGGCAAGATGGAACAGTTTATTGTTATTGACTTCACTAACGAACTGCCAAAAAAGGCTTATCCAGGTAGTTTCTATTAGCCGCTTGTTTATGGCCTAACTAATGTCTTTGCCAGAGTTTCAGGGCCACCTCTACCACGTCGTATTTTCCGAAAACTATCACAAGGTCCGAGTGATGGATGCCGGTCTAAATGAAGTTGTGTGTTTTGTTTTAATGGAGAACTCATCTCCTGTCCATTGAATTCTTGAATCTTTCCACCCATCTTGTCTGCTTTGCTAGCCAGTTATTCCGCCCAGACAAGTGCGCTTCTTTCCTTGTATCTTCTGATGAAGAGATTTACTAGTCATGCCTTCTTTAGTTCTACTCTATTTAACCTCCGATCCATTATCGATCGTACATTTCGGCTGCTTTTGTTTATGATTTTGAGACTTTTCTGGCTTAGGTACTTTCGGGTTTACTCATTATTTTATAATTTGTGGCAGTGTCCTTTTCAATTTGGGTTTGCCTGGTATAACGTCGAATAGTATCCTAGATGGGATACTCCTAGAGTCTAGTATAGTTTATAGTAGATTTCGGATTCTCTTTAAGTATCTATCGGATATACGAGCAAGGCTCGAATGACATTAAGCACATTCCACGAAGGTACCCGACGTTAAGCTTATCTTGGCGAGCGAAGAGAGTAGTCATTCACTCCATAGAATCAACCCACACGAGGTTTTAGCTGTGGATGGTCTATCCTGCTCGATTTGAGGCATGAGGTGGCTGTGTGCGAGTAGCCAGAATGTTGGATGAAAGAATGTCGAATATGTAACTGGTATAGGAACTTAGAAATGCACGGTATAATTCGCCGGCATCTGCTACATATCTAGCCGATCCTGCCTAATAGTCGAGACATTCTCTGATTGCATGTTGAGTTTGCTTCCTTTCGTCCCATTTGCTAATGCAACAGAGCGATACCTAGAATAAATGCGAACAAGGTTAACATACAGGATGTTCCTTCGGAATCGCAGACTCTCGTGTACGACGACTATTTGTCTAGACCCTTGCAGAGTGACAGAATATGGATGAACCTCGACCGGATAAGGTCTGATGCCAGATTTGAAAGGCAGACTAATACTGCCTCAGTGTAATATGTCACTAAGTTCAGCAAATGACTGATAACCGAGATTATCCGACCAGAGCCACAGTTGGCTGGCGTCAGCAAGTCCAGAGTCGACTAATGAAGAAATATTTCCATCCCAGGAGAATCCGGCGGACGAATCCAAAGCTGAGTCCATAGGACCCAGCCCTCCTGCGTCCTGCCAGGTGGAAGAAGAAGTCCCAGAAGTGGGAACTTCCATTTGGCTCGAAGGTGGTTGTGTGTGGTTAGCAAACACTACGTAGCCCTTGTCAATATTGTCCGGAAAGCGATGCACTTCACAACAGGGGGATTACCTTCTTGAAGAGGCGTAAGAGACGTTTGGGCAGTCACCGCAGTACTAGAGCCAACATCCGCATTTGCCTGAGTTTGACTGAAGTCGGTATACCCATTATCAACGTACTTTTCACGGTTTCTCGGTTTAGAGATAGACGCGGGGGTAGGGTCACCCAGAATTATTCGTTGTTCGGCTTGCATGACAACATTAACCAAATCCTCGAGTATTCTGACGCTTTGAAGTGACAGGACATGGTGGTTCGATACTCTTTCCTTCTGTAGCCGGATGATCTGCATGATGCCTGCTTTTGCCTTCTGACTCGTGATGGACAACGGTTCCATGAGGGAGAGTGCACAGAGGACAACACCGGATGTAAACAGGCATATCCCAATATGCATTACGGCGTGTGTCCTACGAGAGGCCTTTAGAAGATGAGAATATCGATAAAGTTCCGATGTTCGCAATGAAGCCTCTAGCAGCTGTTGACGAGAGAAGGCAGGGCCTTCGCTCTCGGCTATCCTTCCGCTTACGCCGAGCTCAGGGCCAATATCGCCAAATGCAACACTGCGATGAAGAATGATGCGAAGATTATCGTAGGTTAACTGAAGAGCGAGCGCTGCCAGCTGTATTAAAGGTGGATGTCCCGACTTATCATCTTCCTTATATGTTTCCAGACGTAGGCTATCGGGTAGTTCTCTCTCCCATGTGACTAGCCGATCATGAACAACTTTGACTGTGTCGAGTCGATTGGTCTGAAGTCGTCTTCCTAGGAAGGGGCCCATGAGGCGATAAAGCTTAAATTTCCATTGATGATATGTTAGGAGAGGACTCTGACGGGGACTCACTTCCCCCACATCCGTTACCATGTCAATATTACAATCAGAGTCGTCTATACTACACGGCCTGCCGAAGGCCACAGCGGCATACCTGAACAATAAACGATAGCGTCAGAAAGACAAGATGATAGACGAGAACTGCAGCAGGTAACTTACTTGTCGAAAACTTCCAAGGCCCACCATGACCGTCGTCTCGACTCTCGCGCGACTTCAGAAAGATTGTGCCACATTGATTCACGATGTAATCCAATGACCTGTGCAATTTTAATGCCACTGCCTAACACGCCCATACCAACAGTCGGACGACCATTGAACAAGTGAAAGCTTCCTAGGAGCACGCAAACCTGCACAGCTTCCACATTCGGACACCCAATAATCTGTAAGAACCTGTATTCAATCTGGGTGAGGAGCTTCTCGGATAAGACTGATAGGCTCTGGAGGTTTTCACCCAGGGGCTCGGAAAGGGACGAGTAGTGAGCGCCCAGAGCGAGGACTAACAGCACAAGCCACAGGAAATTGCTATCGGGTGCAGCAACATGCTCTGAAGCAATGAGACTCTCGTATCGATGTCGGAAGCTCCCTTCGTGGAATACCTGACGTAATTGCATTAGTCCAACGGAATCGACAATGAAGCAGACCGCTACACAAATGAGAACAGAGTATACCATCATAAACCAATCTACTGAGTCGAAGAACTGGGTAACAAGTTCATCCAGGACTTGCCGGTCAGGCAGCTCTGTACCAATTGCATCTCTCCATGGCATCGGGCTGGAGAGGAGAGGGCTGTAGGTCTTCCTGCCTCCGGGCAAGGCGGAGGTGTCGTACTCCAGTGCCTGATGTTGCTCATCGCGCGAAAATATCTATCATCGGCATGGTGTGCAAATGGTCAGCGAGTTACGAGACTGTAAGAAGGTCTTCTCCAAAGGTCTCATTACCCTGGTACTCAAGTCGACAATGTTAAGCTCTGGAAGAACTGCAGTATCTCGATCGTTCAGACGGACGGGAGCAGCTCGTTCTTCACCGTAACTTCTCCTCTGCCCAGCCGGCGCAACGATTGGTATCGTTGGAGGTGCTCGAGCCACTGGCTGCCCGCGCGGGACACACGTTACGCCGGCTCGGAGACATAACTGGCAAGGGCGTTGTTGATCGCACTGCCAGTAGTATTACTGTTTTCAGCCACGACCCACACAAAGTGGATACGAATCGATCGAGGGATGGCCACATACCCCTAGCTTGCGTTTACGACATCGCTCACAGGCGGATGAAACTTTCTGGCGCTTTCTGGCCGGGTCCATCGTACAGAAAGCAGGTCGAGTCCAGGGGGGAGATCATTGGGTGTTGGTTCATCTCCGACGGACTTAAATAAGCCTTTAAGTGAGGATGCCCTCCGCCGGACTTACATAAGCGCTCCAGAGCAATCGGCATGACATCACCATTGGACGAAAGCTCCTCATACATACTCCAGAGTACAATTGTCAATCATACTTAAACCTCTTGTATTTTCCGGTTCAATCGACAAGGTAGATTTACCATTCCCCACTGATCAAGCTTCTGTTCAAGTATTACCTCTTTACACATCATCATCACTTCCATACCATCCGAAATGGCACCCCCCCGCAAGGCCTTGATTGCTATCACTTCCGCCCATGCGCCGCTCTACCCAGACGGCAAGGAGACGGGTAGGATCTAACCTGGCCCGAATCTAGTAATAAGCTAATAGATATGCTTAGGTCTTTTCATCACCGAGGCGCTTCATCCATTCAATGTCTTCAAGAAAGCTGGTTTCGAGGTCGACCTCGTCTCCGAGACCGGTACCTTCCAGCCAGATTGGTTATCCCAGCAGAAGGATTGGCTTCCAGACGAGGATCGTGCCGTCTGGGAAGATCACTCAAGTGAGTTCCGGTCCAAGCTGGATAAATTGCTGAGTCCAAAGGACATTAAGGCGGAAAACGTATGTGCCAACTTTCGAAAACGAACACGCGATGTCCGACGCTAACCATTGAATAGTATGGCCTTTTCTTTGCTTCCGCTGGCCATGCGTCGCTGATTGACTACCCGGATGCCAAGGGTCTGCAGTCAATCGCTGCTAAGATTTACACTGACGGTGGCATTGTGTCTGCTGTGTATGTCGATCATTTCTACTTCTCCCCCAAAATGCCGGTGTGATACTAATACCCCGCAGTTGCCATGGAGGAGCCATCTTCCCTGGTATTATTGACCCCGCCACAGGAAAGTCTGTTATTGCGGGTCGCAGAGTTACTGGATTCACAACCCGAGGTGAAGAGGAAGAAGGCGTCCTGGACACCATCAAGAGCTGGAAGAGGCCCACCATTGAGGCCTCCGCAGCCTCCTCCGGAGCAACCTGTAAGTGCCCCTCTCCACCATATACTACATATCTAATCGTGTGTTTTTCTTTTCAAGACGTCTCCCCTGCTGGTCCTTGGGATGCCTTCACTATCACGGACGGACCTATTGTCACTGGTGCAAACCCTGCCAGTGCTCATGTGACTGCCGAGGCTGCGGTCAAGGCTTTCGATGCGCTTTAAATTCCTCTCTCATATATGACCTTGAATGGGGCATAAATTGGATTGATTGTGATATGAATACCGTTACTGCTCTTTCTCTGCTGTCTTCATTTACCAGGATGTAAATCGTTTGTTAATAGCTACGATTTTAATATCTACGGCTTTGAAAATAACATCTATTTATAAAGTTTTAAGCTCTTAGTACTCCATGTGGGTTATGCGCTGGATATAAGTGCTATGACTATCTAGATGACTTGCACTGCAACCACTTGAGCCCTCACCCATATCGTGCATTTGTAGCTTCGTCATCAAACCAGGTAGGGGCTACCCCGTAATTAATAAGCGTGCTTTTGACCTTGGTATAACTCTCATACGCCTCCAGGCCATTTTCCTTCCCGATTCCACTCTCCTTGAACCCGCCCCACGGCGACGACGGATCGTTCAAATGATGACCGTTAATCCACACGATACCCGCATCAATCTTGTCCGCAACACGATGAGCCTGATTAAAGTCGTTTGTCCAGACCGACGCACCCAGGGCAAACGGGGTACTATTCGCGATAGAGACAATCTCCTCCTCCGACTCACACCGGATAAGCGCAATCACCGGCCCAAACACCTCATTACAAGCCAGATGCGAATCAGCCCGGGTTTCAATAATCGTAGGCTCAAAAAAGAAGCCCTTCTCATTTGGCCCCGTGGTAGGACGCCCACCACAAAGCACATTACCACCCTCCTGCACCGCCCGATCCACAAACGCAACACATCTCTCCACCGCAGCAATGGAAATAACCGTCCCAATCTGTGTCCGCCCATCCATTGGATCCCCAACCCTCAACCCCCTCACCCTCTTCTCCAGTAATTCCCGAAACGCCGCGTAGATCTCCTGATGAACTAACAATCGACTCCCAGTCACACAGGTCTGTCCACTGGCAATAAACCCCGCAAACAACGCCGCTTGAACGGCCCTCTCAACATCCAAACTCGGAAATAGGCAAACAGGCGCCTTACCCCCCAACTCTGCCGTAACGGGAACCATATTCCGCGCCGCAACAGGCGCAACCGCCCGATATGTCCCTAGACCCCCGGTGAGATCGATCTTAGCCAACAGCGGCGACTCGCAGAGGTATTTCCCCGTCTCGAACCCATTGCCGGAGATAATCTGGAGGACGCCGTCGGGTAACCCGGCCTCCTGGAACAGGGGACCCAGTTTCAAGACCGACAACGGCGCAAGCTCGCTCGGTTTCACGATGACCACATTTCCCGCTGCAAGAGCCGCTGCGATCTTCTTCGTCGCGATCAGCAGCGGATGATTGTAGGGTGTGATCTGTGCGACGACGCCGAGCGGGAGACGGGTGAGGGTGTTCACGACGGGGCCCTTGAAGGGCGTTACTCTGCCTTCGTGGACGCGAGCCAGCGAGGCGAAGTATTCGAGCCATTCTGGAACACGGGATAATTGGGTTTGCATCTCGCGGATGGGACGGCCTGTTTGGCGGGTTTCAAGCTCGATGAATTCGGGCAGCCGGGCGCGGAGGAGTCGGGCGGCGGTGGAGAGGACTGTGAAGCGGTCCGAGGGCTCAGTTTTGGACCATGGTCCTGTGCGGAAGGTTTGGACGGAGTCTGACACGATGGTGGTGACTGTTTCTTGGGGTGTCGCGTCGATGGTGGCGATGGGTGTTTCGGTTGCTGGGTTGAGGACGGTGATTACTTGCGGGGTTGCGGTTGTGTAGGCGCCGTTGATCCAGTTGGATACATGGGGGATAGGGTCTGACATGGCGGGCTGGCTTCTTGGTAGAGGTTTAGAGATGGGATATTTCTGTAGGAAGTCCCAATGGGGGTTCTTCCAGTGTATTTGTATTGAGGAATTCAGAGGAGGGATTGTTGACTGATAAGCTACGACCCCGCATTTCCAATGTGACGCTGTCCTTATCTATCAGGAACTAACTTTCATCGTTTACCTGGACATTCGACTTGCAGGAAAAATTCGACATCATCACGACGGCCGTTCGCTAGTTAAAACTTCCGCATCGCACCTCAGTGCTATTGAGACTCAAGGACCTCTTCCTATCATGAATAAGGGAAACGGATTGATAGACTGTTTATGTTTATTCCTTATCAGCGGCCTTATCAATGACAGGTGGAGTTCCGAGCGACCCCACTGTGGGTCCTATATACAACCTGGTGCGAGTACTATGGAAGTATGTACTTTCACAAGCAAACAGTCTTGTTGCAAAGTACTACGTTTAATCTATTATTTGTAGTATTTCGCGGTTGAAGAGTCTTTGTCCCATCAGATTCACTCGAGCAAGGATTCCAATTGCCTTGTCTTGTATCGAAGTGGGAAATTGATGGATGAGAGGACCACAGCGAAAGACTTGTACCATGGCCTGCTTGGGCAAGTTCATCAAGAGGCAATTTTCAGGAAGTATGATCTTGATAGTGGTGAGTACAATCTGGGAAGTGGTGAATGTATTCAAACCAAGAACCATGGAGCACTCAAGCGGACATATTCCCATATGCAGCTCGCACATAATGTTGTCTTGCTCATTCAAGTAACACCGATACATCATATTATCCCCGTGATGAGGGGTCACATGTAGCCTGACTATACAAGTCTGCTTCGGGCCCCTATCTCCAAAAGATTCTCTAGTACCCTAATCCAGGACCAGCAAATTTTCAGAATGTCTCAATTACCCTATCAATTCTTCCGCTGTCAGCATGACGGCTCTTTTACTTGGTTCAGTCCTTGGGAAGGGTTTGAATCCCGAGGCCATTACCATCTGCCGCTATCCCACTGGCTAAACATAGAGAAGATAGAGGAACACCTGGATTGGCGTCGTCGTCCTCTTCAGCCCTCGCCGTTCATTTCAGTATTTAACAATGAGTGTGAGTGATGCACGTCTGGCTATATCTCTGGAGATGCTAATGATGTCGATGTTTCCAAAGACGATGCGAATCGCCGCGCTCAGTACCATGTGGACCATGGGTGTTCTGGTGTATTTGTGGCAGAGATCGATACCACGACTCTTGAGCCTGTCCTTCTCCCGATCACCTTCGCGCACGAAACTGTACAACTACCGGTCTGGACAAACTCCGACAACACGACCTTCATCTCTACTCGGGCTGCTAGATGGCATTTGGGAGTCTCGCACAGTGTCAGCCAGCTCTCGGAATGGTTTGCCTTGGATTATATCCCTGCTTCAATGATCCGACATACTGTCGCTTTTTCATACTCTCTAGCATCCACGATTCAGAGCGAGAGCCATGACGGTTTCCTGTGTCGGTATTAGTGACTAGAAAATTGGGAGGCAGTGACTCGAGATATTTTCAAGATGTTCGGTGGCTAGTGAAATGCAGGTTGTAAAGGGCGTCGGGTTACGTTCCGTATTTTCGTTTTATTTCGGAAATTGTCAATTAAGTCACGCATGATGCAATAGAGCTACTACATGACAAGGCATGGATATTACGGAGAAACGCAACAGTTTCTGTGGAGGATGAGACAGCTGCTGGAGGAAGGAGAAAAGGGATTACATGGAGAAAGCAAATATGTAGACTAGCGAAATACATGAGAAGGACAGGCACTAAGGACAGGAATTGAGGAGATAAACAACAGAAAATGAATTGAGAATGGAATCTCCGAGGTCCATCAAAAACTGACCCACTTTTAGTCGGTCTAAGCCAAATGAAGACTAGCGCTATTGAAGGCAAAGACGGACTCGATTTAAAGTCAACAGCCGAGTATACAGCTGCGGATATTAGATATATTTGCTCAGCTGGCAATATAATTCTGAATCTGTCATTGAAGGACTTTTGAACTGTAGGGCACTAGCTTAACCAAACATTACTTCATGATGGATCCCGCGCAGCTCACAAATATATTTGCTCAGCCAACATATACTTCAAAAATGGTCACATAACATATGCATTCCACAACGTTATATAACTATTTCTTACTCCGAGCCAGCTCAGGCTGCGCAAGCATCTCCTGATCCCATCGGGGATCTTTACTATCACCAACAGGTGCCCAACCGAGTTGAATCTGTATTGACAATCAGCTACTATACCCACCTATTCCAAATGTGTATTATGTGAGAGAGCTACCTGCATGACTTTCTGATCCCAATCCTTGGTAAAGCTCTTGACCTTCCCATCCTCAATCTCAAAGATAGCTGCAGCGCTCCATTGGGCCTTTTTCGGTGGATCTGACCGTTCAATGCTTTGATAAGGCTCCCCCGAGTGTGACCCCTCCGCTGTATATCGCAACAGGACGTGGCCGTTCTTAGCCCATGCTTGATCATAGCGCACGATGCGCAAGTCATTCACAGACGCCATTACATGCGCATGAGACTCGGCGTAATCCATGGGGGTAGAACATCCCGGGAAGGTAGAAGGGCTCCAGAACCAACTGTCGGCTGTGCAGAGGTGGCGGACTGACTCGGCGCCTTTGTTGTCGGTCGGGGAGTAGGCGATCGCCATGTACTCCTTTGCCACTGCGATGTTGCGCTATGAGTAGTAGGGGTAAGCTCTGCAGTGTGACCATTGTGGTTGATTGGTGATATATGTGGTGGGGTTCTACTTACCGCTTCCTCAGGTGTTTGCTCCGTCGCAATGACGGTGGGAGGTTGGTTTACGGACGACATTGTTGGACTATATTATTGAAAGGGTATGGTGGTGATTGTTCTGGGGAAGCTTGGGAGAAATTTCTGGAAGGTCAGTCACCTGTATATAGGACACTGGAATGGAGGGTGTGACGGACGCCGTGTATAGTGTCATGATGACGGTGCACTTATCATTCCCTTCGGTCGCTCACGAATGTATCTCCAATGTCACAGACAAAGAATACATTGTGTGAGAGGACAAGTAGTTACCAAATTGCTAACCACAGGTGTTGAAAAATGGGTGGGGGTGCCAGTACAATGGTAAGATTTAGTTCTATCACTGATATAGAAATGTGAATGAATCTATTCAGCAAGTAGAAAGCGCTATGAGATCGCGTGGGACAGTTCATAACACCAGATCCACTTTACAATACATTGCCTATAATCATATATCTGTGAAATGCGTGCGATGTCACGTATGGTCCGACAATACAAGCACTGCAATTTTAGGCTCCCAGAGGTATTGAATATGACTCGGGGACGAATCAAAACCAACAAAACATCTACGATCATATTGGAATCATAGCGAGTTTGCATGTAAGCATATTGTCTGTGCCAGCCTTCCTGCGCACAGTGCTGTGGCAGTTCAAAAGCTTCCATTGTTCTGGAATGTACTTTCCTTTGTTCTTTGTGTTGTAGGGCCTTGAGGAAGTTAAGGTGATAGGGTGGGTATCGAAATGGAACAGGTGTCTAGCCGCATAAATCACAAAGCATACTATATAAGATGGTGCTATAGGGGCGTATCCAATACATTCTCTTCTAGATTGCCACCGGCCCACCGCGGCCTGTGAAATATACGAGAGATGACAATGGCAAAAGGGTGTGATCCACTCATCGAATGATATGGCCATTATGACAGCTAATTAGGTAGAAATTGCACGTATTGCACGTCCTCGTGGCAGGGTTGGAGCAATCAGATGATATTTCCCCATTTGTGCGCTGCGATTAAATTGCCAGAAAAGGAAAGTTGCGCCTTCGTTCTGCGGCCCGCGGGAATCCTGGTAATCCGATTGGCCGAGAGCATTAGCCTAGTAACCCCTTTCGGCCATAAAGGCGCCATCACCAATCAGCAGCGTACAGTCACTTGACTGAGGAGCCCTTCGAGCTACACTATTTATATATGCATCGTCTGCTTTCTTATCTCCTTCTCTTTGACCTGTATACCATCTAGACCACTGGTTGATCACGGTGGACCGCCCGATTCTCCATTCCCATCCTCCATAGAACTAATCCACCGTCGCCTTCGTCGCTAGCTTTGCCGGACATGTTAACGACCACTCCCCTCGATTCATTCAGTTTGAACGATGCCTCTCCAAGCAAGCGGCGAGTCGCCTACTTTTATGATTCCGACGTGGGCAACTTCGCCTACGTCTCCGGACACCCAATGAAGCCCCACCGGATGAGGATGGCCCACAGCCTCGTCCTCAACTACGGGCTCTACAAGAAGATGGAAATCTACGTGAGTCCTTGTAGTCCTCGTTGTGAGGCATTTTTCCGTGCTTACCTCCCGGGTCGTTTTCTAGCGTGCGAAACCCGCCACGAAATATGAGATGACGCGGTTCCACTCAGATGAATACATCGACTTTTTGTTCAAAGTCACTCCCGACACAATCAGCAAGCACCTGACCGAGCAGGTGAAATACAATTTCAACGACGACAACCCCGTCTGGGACGGCCTGTCTGAATTCTGCAGCATCAGCGCGGGCGGCAGTATGGAAGCGGCCGCCCGTCTGAATAATAGAAAATGCGATATAGCGATCAACTGGGCCGGTGGCCTTCACCATGCGAAGAAAGGCGAGGCGAATGGTTTCTGCTACGTGAATGGTGAGTTCCTCATACCCATTGAATTCGGTTGGTCCGCCCGGACTCATGTGGGGTAGATATTGTTCTCGGAATTCTGGAACTATTGCGCTTTCATCAGCGCGTCTTGTATATCGATATTGACGTGCACCATGGCGACGGCGTCGAGGAGGCATTTTATACGACTGATCGTGTCATGACCGTGTCCTTCCACCAGTACGGGGACTTCTTCCCGGGGACCGGCGATATCGGCGATATCGGCGTGCACGATGGCAAGAATCATTCTGTCAATGTACCTCTGCGCCCAGGAATGGATGATGTATCCTACGGTCGAGTGTTTCAGCAGGTGATTAAAGGCGTAATGGACTGGTATCGCCCCGACGCCGTGGTGCTGCAATGCGGCGGGGACAGCTTGTCAGGCGACCGTCTTGGAAGTTTTAATCTGAGTATGCGAGGCCATGCGAACTGCGTGAATTACGTTAAGAGTTTCAACCTGCCCACAATGCTGGTGGGAGGTGGTGGCTACACGATGCGCAATGTGGCGCGTACGTGGGCGTTCGAGACAGGTGTGGTGGTAGGAGAGGAGGTCGGGCCAGAGCTGCCCTACGATGATTTCTACGGGGTATGTGATCTGCGATCAACTTGTTTACGGGGTACTAACATAGAGTATTAGTACTATGCGCCGGATTATATCCTTGACGTCAAGCCGTCGAACATGGCAAACCAGAACACCGACACATACTTAACACAAGTATGCACGAAGGTGTTGGAGAACATCAAGAAGACCACAACTTTCAGCCCATCCGTCCAGATGACAGACGTACCATACCTCCCGCTTGTTCCCGCACTCGATGGTGAATATGAAGATATTGCCGATGACGAAGACGAGGATAACAACAAGGACATCCGCATTACGCCCCGTCAACTCGACATGCTCATTGAGCACGATGGCGAGCTTAGCGATGACGAGGAAATGAACCAGATCAGCAACGTGCTGAACGCGATCAAGAAGCGAAATCGAATTAACCATGGTGAAGTCCTCTCGACCGTCTCAACGACAGAGGCCGAAGCCGCAGCATCGAGAACATCGGTTGATCCGTTAGCCGATGGGTCCGTCAACAGCCAAGACACGCCGATGACCGAGGCTGAGGCAATTTTCGACAATCAGTAGCTCTCTTTCTCTTTTCTCTCTCTCCTTCTTCGTTCCCTGTTCTCTTTCTTTGCCTATTCATCCTTCTGCAACTCATTCTTGATATCCTGTTTCTAGCGATGTCGTTGCTTTCCTGGCCATTCTTCGTGCCGCCGTTCTCCCATTGATTTGTGTATCTCGTTTAATTCTCTGATTCTCTTACGGCATATTGTGGGGATTGGCCATTATGATGTCATATTATTCATACCGCAAACTTCTTACGTTATTCGTTCAAATAGATAGAAGGCGCATACAGCGAATGTTGAAATAGTGCTTGAGATAGACGATACACCAGGAATCCTCACCGAATACCATATAGCTGCACCCCACACAAACTCCAGGTTATTCCAGAACTAATCAAATACCCCAGATCTATAAATAGTTTGTGCATCAGACGCGTCCGCAGCTTGCAATCGGAATCTCCAATACTGCGATCATAAATAAATTCGCATTATCGTCATATTTTATCCATATTATATAATGTCTATCAGGGTATAAGCATATCATCCATCTAACACCAGCTTATTCGCGAACAAGAACACCCCTGTATCTCATCTTCCCATCCCTCAACGTCTGCATAGCCTCCTCGATACCGGCCTCATTCAAGGGGAACGTCATAATCGTAGGCTCAATCTTCTTATCGGCGGCGAACTGCAGCAGGGACTTCAGACTCTTGCGGGACGCGACCAGGGACCCCTGAATGCGAATGCCTTTGGCACACATAAAAAGCAGAGGCACGGCAGAGGGCTTGAAGTCAACAGTGAGGGGATAGATCGTGCCATGGACGTCCATGAGAGGAAGGAGACTGCGATAATTAGCAACCAGCCACGTATTCTGACAACATTCCCATAGAACTTACGATGGATAGTCAACGTTAGCACTACCGCAGAGCAAAAGATGCTTCAACGGCTTGAAGTCCTTCATCTCCTGTCCGGCGGAGAAGACATGGTATTCCGACGCTCCGAATTGCATGGCCTCTTCGCGCTTCCGCTCGGAGCTGGAGAGAACAACGACTTGACAGCCCATGGCAGCTGCCAGCTTAATGGCCAGGTGGCCCAGACCACCGATGCCCATGACACCGACCCGGTCTGTGGGCCGGAGCCCGTATTCGGTCAGACAAGTCCAGACTGTGGCACCGGCGCACATCAGGGGCGCCGCGTTGGCGGAGTCATAGCCGTCCGGGATCTTGAAGACGTTGCCGGCATTCCAGACGACGCCGTGGCTGAAGGAACCGAGGTCGTGGTTGTGGAATCCGTATTCCTTCTTGTTGGCGCAGTATTGATCCCAGCCTGCTGGTATATTAGCTACGGACACGGGAGAGAGAATATACCAGCTGAACATACCGCTGATGCAGTGATCGCAAATCCCACAGACTTCATGTGTGTATCCGAATCCAACACGGTCACCGACCTGGACGTGTGTCACAGCATCGCCAACCTGTCTAACAACCCCGACGCCCTCGTGGCCAAGAACCTGGCCAGAATGCAAGTAGTGCTCGTCTGTGCCGCAGAGACCGGAATGTGTCGTTTCGATGTAGACGTCCGTCGGGCGAAGGGGACGGGTCGTCTTATCCGCGACGATCTTGCCCTCCTTGGAGCCACGGTATACGTCAAAGGTGATGCTCATGTTGACTCTTGTGATGTTAGGTACGCGGGAAAAGCGAAGACTGGGTACATTACAACGACCTCGCGTTCAGGGCGCAGGGGCCCCGCATTATATAAATCTTCTACTCTCGGTACATAAATCCCGATTGCTAAGCCGGGATATCATATAATCAGAAACATCTCCGTTGTTTTGCCTCACTTTGGTTTGGATTAGAGTTTTTCGTGGATTCAACGTCCGGTCTCCGTATCCACAGGCCCACACCTCCCGGGGTCCGCTGTAGAGTGCCCTAACTCTCCGAGACGGAGCAATTCATTCCACCGGACCTGGGTCCTTTTTGTTTGGGTTGTTGGTAGTGTATAGCTTTACTTGCTATGCTCAATGTGTATGCGTAGGAATGGAGGTAATTCTCCCACGGGGAGGGATATGCGGATAGCCTCATGCAGGTATACAAATGAGGAATGAGACCAAACACTATATCACACATCATCACACCCTTTGCAAGCACATACCAGTGAATACTCCTTAAAAGCAATCCATCTCATCCAACAAACTCAAACCGAAGATCATCCATACATGTAAGACCCTTATTACATCATAAGCCCCACGTCATATTCACTCGAGTCGCCAAGGTCTCCAACTACTATAGTTGTCTTAGGCTGCTAAGTCTGTCGAGTCTCGACTCTCGAGATATTCCTCCGTACCCCAGCTTACACAGCTCAGATTTTCTCGACTTTCGCGAGCGTTGCGGTCCACTTGGAACTCTGGCCACGTTTATCGCAGATAAAGTATGGAGAATTCGCCACAGACTCGGGACCCACTTACCACACTTGGTCGCTGTTAAGATCCTTCAAAGCTATATACCGAGGTTCAACCATCACCGGATACATGTCCCTGCTGTATGGGATGCGTTGTCAGGTCTCAGAATATCAGGAAGGCAGCTTCGTTGTCACTTGGAGTGCATAGGAGCGTAGAATCTTATACCAATCAATGCTCTATTATTCGGCATTTCCCCGAGCGTAAAAAAGGTCAGTAACTATCTTGTGGGACAGACCATAAGACAGACTATGGTCGAGACCAGATCGTACAGACTAAATTGAAGAATAACACGATCTCTTCTGGGTTGATGTGGATCGAACGAGACCACGGTCTACCCTCTTCGCACGCCAAGATAAGCTTATTTAACGTCGAAAGATCAGCGTACCTTGGTGGAATGTGTTGATGTCATCGAGCATTGTTTATGTGTTCAATGGACAATCAAAGGGAATTAGAAATGTACTATCGAACTACACTAGTCTCTAAGAGTGTCCCGACTAGGATGCTACTTGACTTCTCACAAGGCAACATAACCGGTGGACACTGCCCCATGATATAAAATGTTGAGTAATCCTGAAATTACCTAAGCTAGAAAAGTCTCGAAGTTTGAAACAAAAATAGCTGAAGTACCAACTCGGTAATGGATCGGAGGTTAAGGAGAGTGAAACAGTGGGTCTCATCTCAACGGCGCAGAAATCGCCATGAAGGCTCCACTGCGTAGCCGATGCCGATGTGCCGTCTTGGCAGAAGGACGATATTCTGTAAAGGAGGTTGAGTCTCTTATTGTCTCAACGAGTTCAAGTTCGAGGATCGTCACTCACGATGGGGAACCGTTCTCAAAATATCCTTTATACCTAGACCTCCCTTTTTGTGCTTGCCGGAGTCCTATTCAACCGAAAATATTCTAGATGATCTAATGGTCTTGCTAATATATATTTTTGCATTTCATTGACTCTATGTTTTGAGCCTGGACCCTATGATGGATTATATTGCTACCGCCAGTGGATAAGACATATCTCAAAATGAAAGCAACCAGTATTTAACGGCTAAGAGTCCTCCTGATCATGTCTTTCCATTGCCTTCTCTCAACTAGCATCACGCCTCTCCAATACTCATGGACAATGGAAGAGAAAAGGCCAACGGTCTGCAGCTGGAGGTCTCCTGTTCCTCCAGCCGATGAAAATACCCAAACCACGCAATTTGGCAGCTTAGGCAGCGTAGAAGATTAGATCAACTACTTGGTAATATCTTGCTAGTTTCAGTTGCATCATCTACCGGCCTTTTGCTATTGGGATGACAAGCCTTTCTTTATGAAGTTCAACACGCAGTGAACAAGATTCTCAGCCAAGCAAACAATGGACATTCTAATCTTATGGTCGTGCTCAAGATTAAGTTGGACTCGTCGATGCAGTATTTGCTAGCTTACCGCAGGAAAGTAGCCCACCGGCCCACTATATATGGTACTGTACTAGATTGATGCATGACTGAAGGGAACACTTTTAATGTCATTAGCTATTTCCACCTTTGAGTATCGCTGGCTGCGCCATATCCTGAAGCCAACACTGCGGAGTACTCCTTATCGCCTCTAGTGTCTTCTTCGAAATACTGGATCTCTGGAGGCACGGCCCAAGGTATACCATCTCCACGTAGTCATCTGCGTCACCCTACTTCCAAGTCGGCCAGCATGCAAAGAATAGATAATGTGCCATTGGGTGGCCTAGTCAGACCTGGCAGCTAACTGGCCCTTTGTAGCGGGTGGAACAAAGCATGCGTGAATGATTGAAAGAATCCGAACAAAGGTGTTATATGAACCATCCTATCAGACAAAGCATACAAGCGAACAACCAGTTACATGGAACTTCCACTGCGTCCGCGGCAACCAATTCACAGTTACATGTTTGAACTAAGCAAGCCTAGGGTTCACCCTGACAAGTAAAACATTCCGGATGCTCAATACCATGAAATCCAGCACACCTAAAATTGTGTTCTGTTACTTTTCCATTCTTCTGTTTTCGTCTCTCTACTTTTGCTTCCGTACTATTTTGTCTAACTCTTTACCCTTTCACACTGCGCACTCAATACATACGACTACCTCCAACATCACATTCCATCACACATCCCTCCTTGTTTCAAAGATAGCGGTCATGGCCCCTTCTAAGGTCAGCTCCAAGGTGAGCTCGAGCCAGGCAGAGCGACAGGAACCTCGCATGGTATGGAACAATACCAATATCAACACTGTACGCGACAGCCAGCCCTCCGCCTCTACTCCCTCTCCTGCTGCTCAAGCTGACTCTATCTCTGCACGTCAGCTGTGGCAGGTCATCATGCGCACCCAGCAGGTGAAGCTCGACCTGAACCTGGCTGAGATCTCAGCTGCCTGGCGTAAGTACCTCCCGATCACTACCTAGTCAACACTAACACATCTGCTAGCCACTTATCCCCGCCCCACGATCTTTGCATTAGAGCAGCAGCTTGCTGGCTTCCGTCGTCATGCCCGTGCTGGAAACAGTGTGGTGCTGCGTCGCGGTGATATCAACATCGCCATGAGCGCCCAGGCCGCTGCCGATGCTCTGGCTGCAGCCACAAATGAACAAATCCACGTCTCTCCCGTCCACGGTGGTGCCACTGGCCAGACTACCAGCAATGCGACTGCCCACGCTCACCCTCCTCCCAGCACCATCCCCGGTGACCAGGCAATGGCAGGTCCTAGTAGTACTAGCTTCCATGCTGTGAATGGTGGTAACGCGGGTTGGTGCTCCCTTCCTCCCTTGCAGATAAACAGGCCTAAGGAGTCTCAGGTACCAACCACGTCCGGCGGACTTCCCCTCGCCAGGCTGCCCGCTCCAGACCAGCCAGCCAGGGCTCTGGCGCTTAGCAGGATAGAGAGTCGTCGTATCGTGACTAGAGCTTACTGGCCTTATCCTCCCGTGGCTCGTCGTTACGTCCCCTATTGTGACTGTGGCAGCTTGGATTGTTTTCACTGCTACGAGAGGATCATGGCCCGGCGGTAGCTTTCTTGCGTTGGTGTTGGTGAGTTTGGTATGCATATGTATGCATGTTGGAGCGTTTCTAAAGATGTGATGGTGTTTGCAAACCTTATGTTTTCTGTCGTGGTGGATTATGGATACCAGTAGTCAGCAGAGTGTGTGCTTTATGGGGAAGGATATTTGTGGCTCCTGATGATAGTTGATAGGCGATGCTATTGCATACGAATTTGTAATCCTGAAGTCTGTCTTGAAATCACTAACGATGTCGATTGTATATGGAATGTAGGTTAGCTGGATGGCTATCTATGTACCCACTAAATATTGGACACACGCTCAATATTGTTGCAAGAATGAAGACAGTAGGCCTTAATGACAAGGGTTGAATTCTTGCTTAGACTATGTAAAACTAGTATACAGAGGATTATTCATCACTGTAGGATAATCATATAGTTGCCTTAGGTAACTCCATATCCCAGCCAAATCCAATATTGTTGAGCTAAGAGTGACTTTTATAGATCCATTATCTTATTAAAACTCTAGACTAAATTCTTTACATATAACGGAATCTCCAGATGGCCAACAGAGAAGTGATTTATTCATGTTGTCCTGATCAAGTGCATTCTCTGCAGCTTAAATACTCCGCTTGAAGCGCTCGATAGTATATTCTGATATTTTATGTAGAAGAGCTTGAATAGAGCCTTCGTCCAAATAGATTACCAGGAATTTCAATTTGGGTTGAATCGGGCGAATAAGATAGCCATCTACAAACGAGATACAATACCTTTTAGACCACTTCTAAGCTGGCTTAGCTGGATGAAATCACGGAATATCTTGTATAGACCCAATGCTAAAGCACTCAATTAATAGTAGCCCATTTCGGGGACAGGGGATAGAAGAATTCGTTGTATAGTCAGCATTCCCTTCCAAATCGCCCCCTTCTAGCATCAGTTATTCTGACCGATCACCATTCCATGCAGCCGCCCATATCTACAATAACCATATCAGCCCGGTAGTCCTCAACTACAAGGGAAACCGCATATTGTGTAGGACACGGGAGGGAGTGTTTCTCCGAAGCACAATATCGCTGAAATCGCTGGAATAAAACCAGGCCTTCTACTATCAGATGTGACCCTTCAATTTAAGTCTGGACTGCTGGTCATTCCCGAATATCGTCTGGTTGATAAGGTATACTGTAGCGTACCCTATAGCATCTATTTAAAAAACAGAGTTGAATGAGAAAATCTACTATTAGACCACCCAAGAAGGTCCAAGGTATCTTCATAAGATAACTTATAGTGTGACTCTCTACTTGACACACCTTACCACACCACCCACATAATCCCACTGCACTAGAATACTTGAAGTATAGCGAGCTAACTTCCTTGATTAACTCCTAAGCCATAATCCTGCCTCCCTATCACGACGTCAAAGACCAACGCTCAGAAGATTAACCAATGCTGTCCGCAAATCGCACCAGACAAATCCAGTAAAACAGCCATAATCACTACTTCTCATCCTTCTCCTCTTTCTTCACATTGATAACCACCTGCACTGCCATCTTATCATCCTCCTCATCCTCACTGTCACACTCTCGCTTAATCACCCTCTTCGCAACCTTGCTAGGCGACTTCACCACCCCACCCGTTTTCGCTTTGCCCTTAGGCGTAGTAGACTTCGACTTGCTCGGCGACGCAGCAGGAGTACTCGCGGCCGCATGCCCATCTTCTTTCGCAACCATCCGCCGGAGGCGAATGATGTGGTTAAGGACTGCGCAGGCGGTTACATCTACCCTCAAGATACATCGTACCATATTAGTCTCAACCTCGATTGATTCACGGGAGGTGAAGGGGTAAGTAACTCCTACCGGGACCCATATGCGCGGCTAATTTGTTGTAGTCGGGCTTGAAATTGGCATCTTTGAATTGGTCGACGAAGCCGAGGAGGAGCTGGGTTTGTTAGTTGGTGTTTTGTTTTTTTTATTGGGGAGGGATTGGGGGTATTGCGGGTTGATGGTACCTTTGCGTCTGCTTCTGGGGTCCAGGTTATGGGCATTTTGATTTTGTATGCTTTTGTGGGTTTGAGTGTGGTTGATGTGGTTGGTGAGGTTGGAGTGAGGTTGGAATTGTTTGTTGTTGTAAAGGAGACTTGATGGTAGATTGTTGGTTAGGAGTGTGATAGAGAGGGAGGGATGTGAGGGATTCTGTTAACAACAGAAGATTTGTAACTGTGGTGATAGTGGATGATGTGATAACACCTTTCATTCATTAGTGAATCATTGTGTTGTGTTACTTTGCTGTGTTGAAGCTATGACCCAGTATTACCAGCCTAGTACTTGTACTCCAAGTGCTCTTATACAGACATAGAACAAGTGAGTGATATATTAATAGTGTGTAGCTTTACTCTCGTATCAGTAAGGAGGCATGTAGTACATTATCAACAGTTACCATGAGCGTGTCATTTCTGTATTAGATATCAATATACCTGATAAGATCTCCTGTATAACTAGTGTGCTATATCTCTCTTATACTCAACATATCACTAACCACCTCAGATCGTGAACTCCCCCTGCAGTGGCAGATCCCGACTAGACCTCCCCACATACACCTTGTATGTCCCCGACTGAAGCAACCATTCCTGCGCCACCACATCCCACGTACTCAAGTCCCTCCGACCCAAAGCAAACTCCACGGTCACAGTTTGTCCAACCGGGATATTGACCTTCTCGAACCCGCGAAGCTGCCGAACCGGTCCATTGGGAATGCCCAAATACAGCTGCGCAACCTCGTCCCCAGCCACCGCTCCACTGTTCGTGATATCGACAGACACCTGGAGGATGACATCCCACAGGTGCGGGTTTCCACCTTCTTGGATGGCCGCGGCCGGCGGATACCGACTCGTCGAGTTATCGCCGACCTGGCCAATGTTCAGACCAGAGTAGTCAAACGTGGTGTACGACAGCCCGAACCCGAATTCAAATTGCGGCTCGATGCCTTCCTTGTCGAAGGCGCGGTAGTCGATATACACTCCCTCGCTGAAGTCGTCCTGCGGGAAGAGTCCGTACTGGCCCTCGGGCTGCGTGGGATGCAGCAGGGCGCCGTAGTCCTCAGCCTTCTTGGCAACGGTGTAGGGCAGCTTGCCGGAAGGGTTGGAGCGCCCGTAGAGCAGCTCCACCAGTGCACGGCCGGAGTCTTGACCTGGGAGATGGGCGAAGATCACGGCGGTGACGTTCTCGTGGTCGATCCATTTGTTGACGAGCCGGATCCCGGCGTTGTGGATCGTGACGATGGTGTTGCTGCACTTGCTGGCGACGTTGGTTACTAGCTCGTCGCTTCCCTCGTCGACCAATCCAGCTCGGTCATACCCTTCCGTGGCGTAGCTGTTGATGAAAACGAGGCAGGCATCGGTGTTGGGGTCGACCTCTGGATCTTGAGAGGAAATGTCCCACAGAATGGAGCTGCCGTCTTCGATCACTTGGTTCTGGAGGGCGTCCAAGGGGGCACTGATATACGCCGGCGAGTTTCCACCAGAGCCACCACCCACGATCAGGGTGTGATTCGGCTGGATCGCTGGGCTATAGCTAAACCATTCCAATGTGAACCCGAGACTGTCGGCCCCCTTTGCATCATACCCGAATACGGAAATCATCTCTGGCGATTTCAGCGGAAGAGCGTTGTTCTTGTTCTTCACCAACACGTGCCCTTCAATCGCACTCTGGAGAAGCACTTTCCGGGAGTCGGATGATTTTCCGATAATGGCTTGGTGTGGCGCGTATACGTCTGTTGGCATACCTACGCCGGGTGATGGGAACCCAGCGTCCTGGTTCATCTGGTACCACGATGCAATTATCCTAGACATGGTCAGTCATGAGGCTCATAAGGACAGGTGAACAGCCATACCGAGTTGCCATGTCATCGAGTCTGGATGCCTCCATGGTCCCATTAGCAATAGCGTCAGTGAGGTTCGAATTCCACAAGCTAGATGACGGCATGACCATATCCAAGCCAGCGTTCGATGCTGCAATGCCACCATGCTGGGCACCCCAATCGGTCATGACATAACCTAGCTTCAGTCAGTCGCAAGGACGCAGTTTGCCAACCTGTTCAATATTGCCTACCCTGGAATCCGAGTTCGGTCTTCAACAGCCCATTCAAGGTCTTGCTATTCTGGCATCCATAGGAGTTGTTAATGCGCTGATAAGAGCACATAATCGACACACTGCCCGCGCGAACCGCGTCCTGGAACGGCCACAGATACAGTTCATGCATGGTTTTATCATCGATGTTGGATGAGCTGGCTGCAATATTGAGACCGTCCGCGGTTTCAGGGTTTCGGTTAGTTTCCTGCTCGTTGGCGATATAATGCTAGTCCGGGTTAGTATGAGGGCACTTCATAGTCAAGTATGGGTTTAGTTACCTTGGTCGAGGTACCCACACCCGCAGCCTGAATACCACGGATTGTCTCCGAGACCAACAGACCGCTGTGGTAAGGGTCCGTCGAGAAGCCTTCCCAGTTCCGGCCACCTTCTGCGACGCGACCAAGTGGCCCTACTACTGGTCCCAGAAGAACGTGGACGCCCTTCTTGTGGTACTCACTACCCATGTGGAGGCCTCTTTTCTGTGCAAGGTCCTTGTTCCAACTGAAATATGAACAAATTAGTTGTGTAATTAGAGTAATCTAATAGTCAGGCTGGCATACCTTGCACCAGCATGGACACCGCTCGACCATGCATTGACATGGTCTGTACTTCTCTGAGGCAACTCTTAGTCCTCGTCCCTATGGCCGCCGTACAGTGTCATCACTTACCAAGCCATTCCCAGCGTCAGACACACATAGCCCAGGAAAATTCAACCGAGGGATAGCCGCGATATTCCCCGAGCAGCCATTGTCAGCATCGACACCGGCGGTAAGATTCACCTTCTCCTCCGGGGTTAGATTAGCGACGAAGGCCTTCGCCTTTTCATAGGCAGATGCCCACGCTCCGGAGCCTGTACCCTCAGCTACACATACAAGTCAGCATACATAACACATAAATCGACCGGTGCTCTCCACATACGAGATGGATAGACCGCAGGTGACTGTCCATAGAAGTATGCATCGCTGGTGATATTCTCCTGCGTTGGCGCAGCATAGGACAAAGAGACCCCGGCCAGAATGCCAGTCAACCCCGCAATGGCATGCATGTTGTCTGTTGCTGTTGTCCTTCTCTTACGCCAGGATTTCCGAGCTATTTATCCCTCCACAAGCCCTACCACAACACAACGACAACCAGCACATCTAGAGAACTGACCCATCATCGTATTGGCCATCGGCTAAACATCGGGAATTTATTCATCATAGTGTGCAAAAGCTTGCAGGAAAGAAGGTAAATAGATGACTGTATAGCAAGGTTCCCCACATTGATGTACATCTATCCCGGCCTCTCCGGGGTACACTATCCCCGCATTTACCGCTCAACCCCACATCAGGACTCTGGGGAAGCTTCGACTATCGCACGCCGGCAGATGGCCGTGCCCTCGGATGCCGTGTCTTCCGTGCCATTGTACTCAGGTCTCTGCAAGCGAGTTCTGGGGAACGTCGTCGACATCCGCTTCGGGGGGGGGGGCTGGGCCGTGTGACTTCTGCGGGGATATGAGGTGACCTCGCACTAGCATTACCCCGATGGAACCTACTGCCAAGTATTCGATTAGGCGATAGTGCAGTGCTTGTCCTATCGATTTGGTCTTGGGCGGGGCGTTCCGTCTCTTGTGCTCATGGCGTGTGGCCGTGCGACAAGATCGGCAGATACCACTGTTGCACTGGCACATCGATCTATTAGTAATGTACAGTACCAGTATTAGTCGGCTTCAGAGGAGCTCACCGAGTTGCCAGGTAAATGGTCCGGTTGGAAGTGTGGCCGGGTGATTGCTAGTCTGGCCATCCTTTCCTCGCCAGGTTAGATGTGTTCAGTAAATCTATACCCTGATTAGCCTGAATCAGAGGAATGATATCATGATCCGGTACTCTCATCGAGCTCTCCAAGCCCTGATCTGAATGCGATCTCATGATACAGTGCTTATAGATGCCAAAAGATGGTCCATGGCGCTATCAGGTAAGCTAAGCTACCCTCGAGCCCTGAGGTCAGTGGATACCATTTCCTAATTAGGAATAACTAATACTATGCAGGGGTGCCTTAGCTGGGGATGTATCTCTTAGTAGTGTGCTACTAGTATCTCACTTTCCCCCTGCATGGATGAAGCTGAACAATGCATACTTTGCTATACTTCTCTATACAACTAACTATACTACAGCCCACTACGGCGCCCCCGACTTCTCCAAGTGTAAAGCAGGGGCCGTCGCACTCTCAAACGTCTCCCTCGCAATTTTCTCCTGCAACATCCTCTCATCGCCGTCCAAATTATCCCCAAAAACCACCGCGATCTGCTCCAGCGACTTGCCAGACGTCTCAGGAACAAACAAGTACGAGAAAACAGCCGCCGCCACACAGAACAACCCAAAGAAAAGAAACGTGCCCCACCCAAGCTTAATGAGCATCTCGGGAACAACGACCCCGATGATAAAGTTCGCGAGCCAGTTCATGGCGGTGGCGGCACCGACACCCTTGGCGCGTTTGGAGTTGGGAAACACCTCCGCCGGCAGGACCCAAGCGAGGGGGCCGTATGAGACTGCGTATGCGAGCGCATAGGCATCTAGTGTCTGTGTTAGTTCTATATAACCAGCTAAAGGGCAAAGCGGTACACGTACAGATGAGGGCGACGCAGAACCAGCCAATCGCTTTATGTGACGGCCAGTCGTCACTGTATCGGCCCATCAGCCCGGCCATGATCAGGTGCGGTATCGCCATGATAACCCCTCCGATGATGGCCATTGTTCGCCGACCGACGCGGTCCAGATACATCAAGATGGGGATACCCCCGACCAGCTGGCAGATGTTGACCATCCCGGAGAGGATGAGAGATGTCTCGCTATTTTGGCCGAGGGCTTCGAAGAATGTGGGCGCGTAGTATACGAACGCGTTAATTCCCGAGAACTGTCCGGTTTGTTGGTTAGTATGCTGGAATAAACCCGCACAGTTGAGCACCATACCTGCTGGAAAAATGGCATAGCCAATGCCACGAGTGTTCGCCGGAAATACTTCGGCCGGATGAGAGACACCCACTGCTTCAGGCCGACCAGCAGTGGACGAGATTGGTGGTCCGGGTACTCTTTCTCGAGCATTTGTCGCTGGAATCGCACTTCGGACAGGATGCCTTTCCATTCTAACTGAACCTGCTCGTCGTGCACAGGGCGTCGGCGCAGCTTCGCCAGAGCGGTGAGACTATCTTCGTCCCTGCCGCGCATTGCGAGCCATCGCGGCGAGAAGGGGAAGAAGTGGATCGCGCAGCCGACTATCAAGGCGGGAAACATCTGTAGGAGGAATGGCAGCCGGAATGACCACTCGCCGGGTATGGCCCTAACCAGACGGATTAGAAAGCTTGCGGGGCAAAGGTGGAGATGTAGTGACAGCATACCTCGTGCCGTATGTTATCCAATAAGCCACAATGGCCCCAATAACAATGCTTATAGATTCCAGTACGAGCAATGATCCTCTCCAAGCCGGGGGAGCGATCTCCGAAATATACAACGGTGCCCCCATGGCCAGGGTGCCGACCCCAATACCCCCAATGAATCTGCCCGCCACCAATGTGCCATAGTTCACGGATGCCGTCTGAATGATCGCGCCAATAACGAAGAACACGGTCGCCACGGTCAAGCCCCATTTGCGGGAGATCCGATCCGCAATGGCTGGGAAGAACAGGCAGCCGATGAAAGCGCCAAGCTCGAGCATGCCCGTCATGAAGCCGGTGTGGAATCCATATCGTGGGTTTTCAGGAGAGGTCTCGGGGAATTGCTGCCGGAACTGAGGCATTACCAGGATGAGGGAAATGACACCTTGATCTGGGAGATAGAATCAGTTCCGTTAGCGGGTGTAAATCTAAACCAGGCCGGAGAACAGTGTCTAGCATACCATACCCAAAGGAGAACCCGCCGAACGAGGCGAGGAGCGCTGCTCCAAAAACATAAGGAGAGTATAAAAGGTCTCGCAGCTGTCCATTGTCGTATTTGACCTCGACGGTCATGTCGGCCGGACCAACGTCGTCCGCGTACTCATCATGAGCTAAAGAAGGTTTCTCAATTGTCTTTTCCATGGCCGGGATATTCAATTGGTCTGGACAGTCCGCCAGGATCATCTACGACGGCATGGTGAAGCTATATATATATATCTTCGTACCAGTCCGGACACTTGGAAAGGAAGTCCATGGTCCATGGCGATAAGATGCAATGCTTCTCCGCATTTTGTCGCATACCCCACGGGGGACAGCCGAGACGATCTCCAGATCCGGGCGAATTTAACCCCGTGGGATGTCTAAATGTGTCATCTTTCTTGTTATTGGCTCCCGCCTCCTCTTTTCGGGCCGCATTTGCCCTTTCCAGTATTGCCTGATGTGGATAATCTGCCCCATTGGGAGCGGCCGGCGTCGGCTATCGAAGCGCAAATGCCGGGGTTCCTCTTGCTCCAATCACCATGGTTCATATCGTTGATATGGCACTTTTTAAGGTTATTGCTTGTGGGTGCGTAGGCAGTTAGGATATACCCGAGTCCTTGACGAACAGCCACTGATGCCTGAGTATCCAGGTATCAGCTGATTGCCTCCTTTGGTAGGCGTCAGCACCCTTATTCGTTGGGTATTCCCATGTTAGAATAGACAATGATGTATGCGATGGTATTAGATTGACCTATATGATATCATGATTACTAGCCTGGATCTCATAGTATTAAGGAAAATCGTCACGTCCACCACCTCCACAAAGATATACCCGTATGACAGTCTCTATGTACGTCAGTCTAATCTAGATTGCAGTGCCTAGATCATCGAAGGCCCCACTCGGGTTCGTTCCGACAGGAAGGACAGCCCGAGGCAACACAACGTGTCAACTCACGGCTTAGGCCCATCCGTAGACGTGTCGACTTGCCTGTTCTTCATGTCCACCTCGTCGAGGGTGTCTTGATCCGTACTGGTGAGAGTGACGGCTAACACGGCCGGAATGGCAATGACAAGCGAGCCCATACACAGGCCCCAGTCGACGGCAAACTGCAGCATTGGCGACTTGTTCATCGCCCCCAGTCGCCACGCCATCGCACCTCCGACGCTCTGGAATGTTTTGTACGCTCCCACCAGGATGGCCGCCACCGCGGGAGAGTTCGACTGGGCTCCCATCAACCAATAGCAGAACGACTGCCAGAATGCATCGTACATCCCGTAAAAGATATATAGGAACATGGGCCCAACGGAGATGCTGCTGTCTGTGAAGTCGACATCTTGCTTCTTGCCCTGCGCTACCCGTCGATCGTACCAGAGCTGAAACGCGTATCCTCCGCCCCAGATCGCCATCCCCGTGACGAATAAGAACAGCCAATTAACCCGTGCCCGCCATTGACGATTAAGCCCTGGGACATCAAGGAGGAAGCCCATAATGAGTCCACCGAACATCTGTGCGATCCAGTACAGGGCTCCATTCAAAGAGCGACTGCGGATGTTGAATGTCATTCCGTTGACAATATTTTGCTGATACGAGTAGAATACATTGGCGCAGAAGAACAGCGGGAGCATGGACAGCACTCTCCAGTCACAGACAGTCTTCAAGGTGAGCTTCGTGATGTTCAGCCAATTCTTTTCGGTCTCGGGGGTTGTTTGGATAGTTGCCACCCGCACTGATTTCGGTGGGCAAATCAGACCTCCCATGAGCCATCCAATGGCCATGATAATAAGCAGGGCGATGTATGTGCCGTCCGAAACAGTTCCACTCGTTGAGTGGTAATTCATACCGAAACTGGCCAAGGAGCCAATACCACCTCCTAGATTGAAGATAATCCAAAAGGCTGCGATGGCGCGGCCCTTCTGCGATTCTGGGACATATGTCGTCATGATAGCGCCTTGTGCCACCCAAAGGAACGATGCTCCGATACCGAGGATGGCTCCAGATGCGATCACAAATGCGCCGTTTGCCGTGCCTTCGAACAAACATTAGCATGGAGAACAACACATTATTCGTGAAGCACCTACGGTTGAAGCATAGCAGACTTCCGGAATACAATGGATACGTCCAACCTCCAATCAGCAGACAGGCTCGAGGTCCGATGCGGTCGAAGATAGGGCCGACGACGAAAAGCGCGGTACCAGCCATGGCAGAGAGTAAGGCAACGTTTGCATTTGACGCGACGGTCTGATCGACCTGGCCAGAGCCTCCAATCCCAGTGAGGGCATTATACATCTGCGTTGGAAACACTGCATCAGCATCGTCGAACAATTCGCTCGCTGTGGACTGAACACTTACGCCGGGACAGCAAAAGCAGATGAAACTGATTAGCAATATTTGAAACCACGGGTAAGTATACACGCGGTATACCTTGGAACGTTGTCCATTCATCCCGGGGGTGGGACTCAATCCCTCCGCAACATATATTGGATCGTTGCCCATATCGATCGAGACCAGACTGAACTGCACGTTCGTGGATTGTTGAGTAAAGCGAACGAAGGGCGGACATTGCCTCCCTTTAATATAAATGGAAAATTAATATAAAGCTGCCCGACAGCAATGAGACTTGTCCACATAAACATCCTTGCTTGAGTCAGTGTGCTGATAACGATTGGCTTAGCTGGGATGAGGCCACCCATGATTGGAACATACGATTAGTCTCCGTGCGATACCGTCACATCCAACCCCAGATTACTGGTAAAGATAAGACAGCCATGCGACGCTAGGAGGTAACCCTAGTGCGGGTGTCTGATGCCGATCTTGCCTCGTATTTCATTCAACCCCAACATAAAAGAGCCAATAGCAGTTGGAGTAAAGGGATAGATGCATGCACACGCCAGGTAGCTCCCCTGGAAACCTTTGGAGATAGCCCTTTCATTGGCTCCATCGGAAGACAGGAGGCCTGAACCGACCGTAGACTGAGTCCGATGATCTCCGTACAGCGCACGGCGAACACTTTATAAATTAAAAATAGTCCACACCATTCTTAGCGACTATCGCCATGTTGCAATCCCAAGTATCACTCCGATGAAGGCTAGGGTGCATGCATCAACGCCACGTGTCTGTCGTAGCAGCAGGTAATTAATGTCGAGGTGAGAAAAGCAGACGCCAGCCAAGTAGCTGCACCCGAGAAGAAGATGTGATTTTTCGACAAAAACACAGCCCAGCGTCAGCTTGGTGCACAAAATTGGACTTTTAGTCCATAACTGCAGCACTGGCATTGTGCCTTAAAATAGCAGGCGCAGATAGTTCCATGTATCAGCCTCGTGATATTATTAGAGGAGGCTCGTCCAACCTTTGAACTCTATACATTAATCGTATGAATAGCTAGTGTCAACGGCACTACAGCTTTAGGTAGCACCCTATGTTCTCGGTTGCATGGCAGTTGCCAAGCGTATAGTTCGGTTCCTCATGAGAGTTGACAGTGTCACTCCACCGATACGGGCCAAGCGAACCTTACGTTGCTTGGTTGTCGCTTATCCTGGTGAGCACGCGAGTTCTAAACAGGATCTAGTGCGGGCCATTGAATCTGGGGCTCACATTCAAGTAGTTGTTTGGTATGTGTGGCCCCTACACAATCCAGTTGAATGACGGGCCTTTCGCATGGCAAATTATGGAGTATACACTAATTCTCTATCAAGCCATTTCAAGGTCATCAATTAGTAATATTCTTAGAAGAAAATGGAAAGCAAATTCAAAAGGAAAAAGTAAAACCGAGAAAAGGCCTTGGGCACGCATCTGTAGACAACAAAGGGACACAGACAGATCTGGAAAATTCAAGGTCCAATCAATGTAATAGTAAATAATTGACCGACTGAGGAACACAAGATAGGAAATAAGAAAAGGATCAAGTAGAGGAGTCTCCCATTCATTGTTGTCCCCCTTAACTAGAGGACTCCGAAGGGTCGATATTCTCCTGTGAACTAGCACGTCGACGGGAAAATACTCCCATCAATGATTTTCGTCTACCAAAACCCATTGATGACCTATAAGCTGCATCCTTGGGCCGAATAGGCAAAGAGCTTGGGGAGGCAGTCGCACCGTCGGGGCCACGGGCTTGTTCAGCAGTGGTTGCATGAGATGGCGATCGAGTATCTCCCTCTGGGGCACTTGCAACGTAGCGGACAAAGTGATCCATATTATAAACTGCTGTTCTTCCGTTGAGAAACCTGAAGATATTACTCTTGCAAAGGACGAGGGTATGGCCATTATAGTGAGCTTGAATTATTCTGCCGCTATGTCCAATAAAGGAAAAGAGCATAATCTGTATACAAGAAAAGAATTAGCAAAGCGCGCAAAGACAAAATACAAATCACATACTGGAACAATCACATGGTCCTTGAACATAGGCCATGGCATTCGACTTTGCATTATTGCCAGGATTGTGAGAAGCTCTCCCCTAAGAATTTTATCTTCATGGGCGATACCGTGTTTCAAAGAAAGCATAAGATGTGGCTTTTCTTCTCGATTTTTGAATTCCCAAGCATGTACGGGAGAGTATCGTGGGTGCTCTGAATAAAAGGTCTGGTAGTGGAATGCTGCATCTAGCATACACTTACTAAGACCACTAAAACAGTTATCCCATTTACTTTAGTAGATTTTGGATTCGAGTCATCAACTAAACAACTTACTCTCTTATACGCCATTTTCTGAGCCCAGAAAGACCAGCATATCGTGTTCTTTCTGTATTCCTCTCTTTTAGCGGCCCAGACCTCGGTAAATACGTAGCTCGGAATGCCAATTCACAACCAAGACAATCCGCAGTATCAATATCAGTACGGTTCATAACTTGGATTAGTCCGCAATCACGGTCGGCTATAGTCTCCTTATCGCTAGCAAGTTTGTTTTCGTCAAGAGTACTCTGGTATAGCGGCTCGAAGAATGACTGTGTGCCTGATACAGCGCCACTATCACCAGTCACATTCAGCTTTTCGACTTTGATTCCAAGATCGTCGAGAATGTTGTCCTCGGTATAAGCACCGCGCATATCTTCGATAGTATCATACATGTCCGCGAGAGCGTCGATTCGGCGCTGTCTTTCCATCTCTCTGGCTGTCTCAACCCGTACTCTAGAATGGTTGATCCTTATCGATCCGACAATAGTGCTGACCCTTTGCTTGAAGTCCGACATGGTGGGCGGTAAGCAAGTAGCGGTATTGAGGATGACGATGATGCAGAAGGGAAAAAAGTTCTAGCAGTTCCAGGGGGAATGGGGGGAACGTGCCAGAAGAGAAGTGAATGAATGATCTGTGAATGACAAACGCCGCGCGTCCAGTAAACAAAAACTGTCTGAGAATTTGGCTCTCTCATAAGCATAGTGACCTTGTCCCGGGTAAGTATCGTATTATCTACTTAGGCCTGGTCCCGATAACTAAAGCAAATCGAATAACTAGGGAAATGATGAGTTCGTACCCGCATCCCCAGACGAGTCCAAACACGCAAAAAGGCAGAAGGACATAAGAGGGACTATCCACGATATCCTCAAACTGTACTCTGGCTCCAAAATTACTTACGATCAATCCTTGCTCTTGAATATCAATTACGTTCGGCGAGAGCCGTACTGGAAGTTGGAAACAGTGCATAAGAGGAACAGTGCATAAGAGGCAGTACGGTCTAGATACAGACTGGGCTCTAGCAAAGACTCTTCTTAAAGATTGCAAAGGATACCAGGCGTTGATCAGGCATCTCACCTGTGGTGAAGCTGTAGATGCCATCGATAGAAATGGACCTGATTGGGTCGGGGAATACGCCTCATTTGCCAGATATATTGAGGATATTTCTCAACCGAACAACAGTGAACCCCCTACGTCAGACGACGGGAAGAAGGGGCAAACACCCCCAAGTAGCTTGCCGCACAATCATCGGGCCTCAAGGAACAGTAAACCTCGATACAACATCGACCTCTCAGACGCCAATGACTATTGCGAGTCGCCCTCCATGGCCAAGAAGCCGAAGATCGATACCCCCAGAACGGAAACAAACAATCTTGCGGCGAAAGACGAGCAGACTGTGACCGCAATGTTTATTGCTCTAGTCAGGGAGTTAAGTGCGTTAGCGACCCAGACACCTCACACCTGGACCATTGAAAGAATTAATTTCCGAGCTACTTTCAAGTTAAAACAGCACATGACTGCGGAAGTTGATGGTGCATTTTGGGATCGTGATACCCGGCTTACTAAAAGCATCTTTGAGGCGAAGCGGAAACAAAGGGCTGATATTTTCGATACTGTTCGGATGCAGGAAGGTGCAGAGCTCGCTGCTTGGTACGCGGTGGCTGATTACAATAGCTTGCCTGGTCTGAACGGGCGGTAAGTCGCGATTGCAATTGCTCTCAAGGTTTGATGGTCTATACTAATAACTATGCAGCCGGATCCTTTTTTCACTGAATTGGAAGGAAGCTTGGGTCACCTTCGCAACCCCTGGTAGCAAATACCGGGAGTACCTATCAAACGGAAGTTTCGAAAAGGGCCGTCCCGAGTACTATCTAAAGCTATAAAAGTATGGGCCATATACCCTTGACATTCCCGACAACTTGGATGCTTTTGCGACAGTGATTGTTGCCTTCACTCTTCTCGCGGCACCCCCTCGCACAACCTAACCACTCCCACAAGGACAACGATTCCAGCAGTGTCCTGCGTGTGAAGAGCCCCAACAGGCTGAGGGAACTCAGAAAGGATCAGGAGGAAAAGTACCATAGGCATAAGGCCGAGCATATGGCGGACAGGCGTTGTCGCTAAACTTATTGTCCGGGGTTTGTTAATCTGTATCATTATGAGTTATTTTCCGGTCTGATAAAGATAATATCTCAATTAATTCCGCGGCTAAGATAAGCTGGTTAAATAAATGGGAACAGAGATGTTATCATCAGGGGTCATCGGTCTCTAGTACCTCCCTAGTAAATACGGCGATATATCTCGAGAGTTCCATACTAAAGCCAAGTGCTCATTATTCTATAGAATAGTCCTTGGCCTTTAATGTGTGCAGGCCAAGAGCTGACACTGTACACTAGTGACCAGGGCGGAGCTCTATTCGAGCACCGTTAGTTGACCCTCGGAGAACCCTGCTAGCTTCAAGCGTGTGCCTTCAATAGCCTCGTCAATGGTACTGTTTTTAAAAGCTAATTTCCACTTGTAGACGGGTTACTGTCTGAGAGACCAAAGGTGCCACGTCTGGGAGACTGACTTCAGTGACTTTGCCACTGGGCTTCGTACATATCAGGCTTCTAGGTGAGTATGTGACTCGGCCACAGCTGAGCGGACGGTAAGCCCTGTTCTCCACGCCTCATGGCTGTAGGTACTTGTCTCCTTGTTGAAGGATCATTAAAAAAAAAAAAAAAAAAAACACTATGGATAATTCATTTGGCACATCCGAGTAAATCGGAAACTTCCAGGATGTAATTAGGGTCTTCTATAGCGTGCATGGATGCCATCTTAAGATCATAGAAGCTACAAGTACACCAATTTATGTCATCAGAACAGTGAACCGCGAGGTCAGAGACCACCATAGTCGTGATGTTAATACACGGCATGCGAACCTGCAAAGTGGCCTAACGATGAAGCTCCTTCTGGATCGGCAGGGTAACAGATCTGTTCCAATCACAGAGTCTCCTCGAGGTTGATCTGGAGCCCGGTTGTTGGAAGTCTTACTATGCCATTCTAATATCCCCGTCAAGATAAGCGAGAAGGTCTTTAAAGCAGCAGGGCGGGACCTTAGTCACATAATCCCCCGCATATCTGCAAGCCAAACATAGACGCCTGCATTGGAACGCATTCCTATATTGCACAATCATCTGACTGGTGCTCTACGCCTGCCTTTTGGTCTGCCTGCATGTTACTTATACACAACTACCAACCGTTGCATTAATTAAAGGCAAAAACACGATTGAGGGATGAAGTGCTCCTATGTTCTTAAGCATCAGACGTCAGAAGCAAAGCATAAATACCTGTCCGCCGATAACTACCTACATCTCCTTCACTACAGGTCAGTCTTAATGGAGCGACCCATGCTCATCCCAACCTCGACATCAACCATGATCCTCTGGTGGCTGAGCTTCTCCAAATCCTCGTCCAGCTGAATACGACCTTTTTCAAAAGCCACGATAATACTCGATCCTCCAAACTGGAAGAGCCCAATTTCGTCTCCCTTCTTCACGTGGTGTCCTTCGCGGATGTGTTCGAGGATTCTATATCACGATTAGCAGACCACAATATTCAAAGAATCCCAAAATCCGTACTCAACGGTGCCAACGTCCGTCGCGCCAATAGCCACAAATAGAACATCTCCAAATTCCTTACTTTCAATACAAACACAACACCGCGCATTCTCCGTCAAGATGTTAACCGAACTTTGCAAAGCCACTGGATCGACTTGATAATAGTCACCCGAAATCGCCTTGAACCACTTCACCGTCCCTTCAACGGGAGAGTGGTACCGATGATAGTCCTGAGGACTAAGGCGAAAGCTAGCAACCGCTCCATCCTCCCACCGTTTTGCGTGATCCGCGTCTCGGATTAGATTGGCGATGGTGAACTCGTTGCCCTTGATCCACAGCCGGCGCGTTGCTTCCACGGTCGGATACACTACAACCCGCGAGTCAGACACTATTACTGCTTTGGTAGGGTCGTTGACGTCGTGGATCGGTCGCGCTCCGGGTGCGTGCTTCCGGATGAAGAAGTCTTCAAATGTCTCGTACGCCTCCGGGTCTGATGGTTCGAACTGGGACATGTCGATCTTGTAGAAGTCGATGAAGCTTTTGATTTCGGAATGTGATTCTGGTTTCCGTTCCCTTTTGCCTAATTTCGATTAGTTATTGATATTCTCTTATGTCAATGTTAGTAGAGGTGCTGCGCAACTTACCCGCTCTTAGAGTCCTCTCGTGGGTCCATAGCCGGAGAAGGTGTGTACGATCTATCCACTCCGTGATCGGGTTAAATAGCAGGAGGATCTTGAGCTTCTTCAACAAAGGTTGCTGCTCCCGCGTGAATTCGCCCGTCTTGCGATTAACCGTTAGCCACCCTACATGGCGCTCTTGTAGCTGTCGGATGAATGCGACAGCAACATTGAGCAGCTGCTGTAAATAACTGATAATGCCCGGCATGGCGCTATACAGCTCTCTTTTTTATTTTCATATACAATGAGTAGCAAGGTTATTCGAGAGGTTAGTTTACCTTGAGAGGAAATGATGAAATACTGAACGTCGAAGTAAAGAGGTCCCTATCGTAAGCGTGATGTCATAGCAATCAACCCTAGAAAGCTCGCCAACAAATTCACGATATTTGTGAAACACAATCACTCAAGTGTTATATTTTAGTTTTGGAAGGCACTCAAGAGTGGCAATGAGAAGCTGGAAAAGAAAACCCCGTTGCTACTCGCAGAATATCCATGATCCGCATTCTTGTCCACAAGATTCCTCTCAATGTTCCACCTTTTCTAGGGTTCCTGGATCATGGGCGACTCTTTTGCCACGCTGATCATGAAATAAGACCTGAACGGTATTAATGGTAAATATCATCATTATCGCACATGTAGCCTATAAAATCTCACCTTGGGTGGGTTCTTGACGCCCTCCTCTTCGGCTTCCTGCTCATCCATGACAATCCTTTCGACCTATGTCAGCGTACACCTTAGTCTATGTCCTGGATCTCAAACTTATGGGACAGAAGTTTCTTAGAGTACCTCCCCTTGGTGTGAACCACCACGGATGGGGGTGAAGACATAATCACCCTCATGGATAGTCTCGCCGTGCTTGTCTTTTACGTCTCCTTTCACCATCCTGGATGTTGAATAGATTGGACTATGAAATCTTGGACTTCGGTATGTCGGTGACAACTTTTGTGAATATACTGTAGAGAGGTTTGATCGGCGCAATGGGTGTGATCTATCTGTATGTCCTGGTAGCCTTCCGTCAAGTTAACGTCATTCGGTAAGTTCCCAGAAGGCGACATCTTTTGGTAACTTATAAGATTCTAGTTTAAAGTTTACTTTAAGAGGTGCTTTGCATATAGGGTACCATAGTAGCCCTGGCGAAGATACAGGGTGGTTGTCAATTTGCCTTCAAAGGTCCCTAATAAGCAATCCCCATGCATTCTATCGTGTGAATATTATGGTAAGCTTCATCCGGTAGCATTAAACAAGTATTACTACAGCTGCCTAACCATCTCACATGCCATGTACAGTCGTCTCAAATCGCTCCGGCTCCCTCCCCAAGATCTCCCCAACAGTATGCCATGCAAAGCATGATTGGAGGATAGATGGCCCTCTCTAGTAGTACTTCTACTACTTCCTTTGGGGGTTCGCTACTATACTCATATCAATCTGGAATACATTCAATCTAACTATAAATAATGAGTTTCCTCAGCCGTCGTAATATCCTGGGCTTATGATGATATGCCCTCCGCCCTCAAAGGTTTATCTTTCTTCCAGAGCATAAAATAACGCATGTTCTTTCTAGCGAATCCGTTCCTGCCTCTGCTAATACCCTGTAAAAACAATTAAGCGATGTGGGTCCTGATCGCCATCATTAATGGGGCGGAATACATATTCCGCTTTGTGGTCAACCAGCACGCAAATGAGATGCTGTACACATCCACTTATCAACAACCCCGCTAGATGCCAAGCCAAGGCGATTAGAAATCAATTTTGTGGTATACGATCGACTAGAAAAGTACCGCATACTTTCTTGATATCGAGTAAAGTTCATCCTGTTATCAATCTTTGGTAGACATTGAATTCATTCCTTTCACTATGAAGACAGTTTTCATGTACTATCACCACCCAGATCACAATCTCGACTAACTAACTACTTCTAGCACAGGTGCCACTGGCTACATCGGCGGAGATGTTCTATCTCAGTTAGCAGTCAAGCATCCCGACCTCACGTATAGGGTGTTAGTTCGCGGTGCGGACAAAGGCAAGCAAATAAAGGCCCAGTACCCATCGGTAGAGGTTATCTACGGCTCTCTTGACGATACAAACATACTTGAGGCTGAAAGCGCCAATGCCGATATAATCATCCGTGAGTTTCAAGCATCCGAAATGCCGTATTAAATGTTAATTTATACTGAAATTATGATAGACACAGCCGATGCGGCCGATCATGTCGGAGCTGCCCAGGCAATCCTGTCCGGCATTGTCAAGGGACACACGGCTGAACATCCCGCCTACTGGTTACATACAAGCGGCGCTGGAATATTTAGCTACATCGACACTGACAATGGAACGTATGGTATTCGGCGTGATAAGGTCTACAATGACCTGGAGGGTATAAAGGACATCATCACCATCCCTGACCACGCTTTCCATCGTAACGTGGATAAGGTCGTGCTCGAAGCGGGCGAGAAGTATTCCCGTATCTTGAAAGCAGCTATTATATCACCGACAACTGTCTATGGTAAGTTATCTCTTCTTGTTTTCAACAAAAAAAAAATGACTAACACCTTGCTTGATTAACAGGTCGAGGCCGCGGACCGTGTTCCCAGCGAAGCAGGCAGATCTATGAAATGGCAAAATGGACACTCCAGCGAAAGAAAGCACCCATCATCGGCAACGGAGAGTCATGTGGCTGTGATATCCACATACTCGATCTAACTAGCCTGTATGAATTACTCTTTGACGCCGCATTGTCCGGGCATGATAGTCTCTGGGGTGGAGAGGCCTATTATCTCGCAGAGACCGAGGAGCATTGTTGGGGCGATCTAGCGAGAAACATTGCACGTATCGCAGCCGAAAAAGGTTACATTCCTGCGGCCGAGGTAGAGTCCTTGCATCATAGCACTGCCACAGCGTGGGCAGGATTTGAAGCCGCCAGCTGGGGCTTGAATGTTCGCTGCCGTGCACATCGGGCACGGAAGCTCTTGGGATGGGCTCCAAAGCAGCCGAGACTGGAAGAAGAGCTACCAAGTATTGTAGATGGAGAATGGCGCAACTTGCAGGTTGCAGAAGGCGTCTAGTATACTTGACTAGCAGATCAGAAGGTTGTCACCATTGACCATCGTAGCCAGCCAAATGTTCCTGAGACAGGGGCTATGATCCAGAAATGCGCGTGTATTTATTTGCTCTGTTTCTGAGGATATACTCCGAAGTGGTGGTGATTAGCGTGGGTGCAATCTAGTAAGGTGGTGACGGCAGGAAAACGCATCGCCAGCCTGGAGCATATGTCACCTGCAGTGGGTAAATTCACCTAAGGAGGCACCTTAATTGGAAGAAATACTGGATTATAAGACTCTAAGGTGTTTCTGACAGCTTTGGAGAGTTGCTCTGGGCGTTAGAGAATATATCGCTGTCCACGAGAAAATGGTTCACCTCATCTTTCTGAAGCAGCTCGTCATCTAATCTATCCTTGCCCTGAATCACTGCTATTCGATACTCCACGAACCTCGCAACGAGAAGTCTTTACCCTTACATTAGTGCTTCAATGCGTGGAGCAGCCATTAATTCCGGTGTGGCCTGATGTGTCAGGTATCTGCATGAGTTCCGCTTTACCGAGCGTCTCGACCAATCGGCACACACCACTGCTATCAGATGGAGGATCAGATTAGATAAAGCGGTCAAGGGGTCACCAGATCCGATGATGAGAAAAAGGGCCATCAGATAATGCCGCTACATCGCCATCAGTCTTAAGGTCGCTAAAGCGAGATCCTGGATTGACTCATTTTGGTTATCAAGCGCATCTTGACACATCCCGATCTCCCCATGTTCTCTGCTCCTCGCACTCCCCATTCAAGCCGACTCATGCATTTTCTCCTGTGGGTCCAAAAATCCCTTCGTATGGCTTGGCTGGCCAGATCACGCTAGGAGGATCAGTCATATGCCCCGCTACTTTTAACGTCTCTTTTTGTGATCCTCCGTCTCTTGCGCATTTCGTATCTCTAACATAGCCATGCTACTCCAAGTCTGGGTGTTGTTGGTACTACATACGGCGTTCACCTACAGCAAGGTCTCCCCTGTCAACGAGCGCTGTGTGACGGCGGTGTACACAGCGTGTGGATATATTCCGTTTGCCACATCCCCTGAAGCCGCACGAGGATTCTGGGGATCACGATGTCAAAATCCCTGGACGGTTACCTCCATCTACGCTGCCGCTGATGTATACTGCGATGCATCTGAGCGAACGGCAGGTTTCGCCCAGCTCCAATCCTCCTGTCTACAGTTCGGCCATGTTGATCTGATACCACGAGACGCTCTGGCCGCCAATTTGACCGAGGATGCTATCAATCAAATGAGGAAAGTTGACTATGGTGAAATTCCTGGGTCGGGGCCAGTTGATTACCCGGTTCTTCTCTCGGCATCGTTTTATCATCGCACATTCCGAACAATCGTAGGTTTCTCGGCAGCAACGTCGCGAATCTCGAACTAATACCACAGCTTGACAGAATACTTGGGAATTTGAAGTCTGGACTCATTCTGCCTATGGGTAGGAATAATCCTCTCGTCCGAATCCCCACCGTAGCTAACTGAACATCAACAGCCTTGCCGGATATCTCTTCTGGGCAGTCATTCTCTCAATCGGAGTCTTTCACCGATTAATTCAGCATATACTACTGTCGAAGCGCATTCGCGTAAATGGCAACCGATCCGTACTCTCACGCACCCTATATACACCCTTTATCACTATATACCACTGGATACAGACCTATATCATTACTTCCAGTCCTTTGCCATCGGGAGGTCGATATCTACTCTGGTGGACATTTCCCACTCGCATAGAAGCAATCCTTGTTGTTCTTTTTTGGGTACTCAGCGCGGTCCTGTCCTCTGTGAGCTACCAGCTCTTTCCCGAGAATATATAGTGCGTTGACCAGAATATTCTGCTCGAGGTCATACTAACAGTTGATGAAGCTGGCCTCAAATCTCCGCCCAGCTTCTGCGCTATATCGCGGACCGCACCGGAATCCTTTCATTCGCCAATATTCCTCTCATCTGGCTTTTTGCAGGTCGCAATAATGTCTTCATCTGGGCGACGGGTTGGAGCTTCGCCACGTTCAACCTGTTTCACCGGCATATTGCCTGGATCGCAACCATTCAGGCGGTAGTCCACACGCTACTTTATGTGGTATTGTTTATGCAAAGTAAGTCATTGGTTATGATAATGTTTTACTTCATTCACTAGAATCATGGATATAGATGGTAATCCGTGGAAGAAGCTTGTTCGGAAGCCGTACCTCATCTGGGGAACAATAGTAGGTGCATCGTTGCAACGACCCGGATCACTGAACTAATGTTGACGTAGGGCATGGTTGCAATGATCTTATTATGCCCCTTCGCCATCGACTGGTTCCGCCGAAGGACCTACGAGACATTCCTCGTTTTACATATTCTTTTCTCGGTCGCGGCGTTGGTCGGTTGCTTCTAGTATGTCATTCTGCTTTCCGTTGCCCCCATTGCTCATCCTGACAAATGCGTGTGGCAGCCATACTATCATTTTTGAAGACTATGAGTACTGGATATGGCTATGGCCTGCTGTCGGCTTTTGGGCCGCGGACAGACTGCTACGCGTGGTCCGACTCGTCTACTATAACCTCCATGTTCGCACCAATGTTGGCAAAAGCATCCAGTACACGCGCAGCTCAGCAACCTATGACGAGGCCTCCGATGTCATTCGACTCGAGGTCATTCCCGGATCCAGCCGACTCCAACCTACGCCGGGGCAATACTATTATCTTTACCAGCCATTCCGGCTTACGGGCTGGGAAAACCATCCGTTTACTCTCGGAGCATGGTCTTACGAAACAGGGCCTCCCACATCCCAAACACCAACGCCTCTACTTGCGAAGGGAGATGACACCGTAGACGTGACGCAGGTCCCTCTACTATCCGATAGTTCGTCCGGCTCACGAACTCCCCCAGAAGATGCACCATCGCTCGATAAGTCCCAGATACTGCGACTAGTCTTCTGGATCAGACCTTTTGACGGCTGGACGCGCCATCTCCGACAACAGTGCATAAAATCTCACGGTCGGACTTTAGATACAACGATCCTTTTGGAAGGCCCCTATGGAGAACAGTTCCCCCTGTGGGAATACGAATCAATCCTATTAATCGCAGGCGGGACAGGCATCGCCGCAGCGGTACCGTATATCCAAGACCATCTGGCAAGGTGTGCCACAGATGAAGTGGAAAGTCCGACGCGCATCCGAAATATTCACCTGGTCTGGACGAGTCGACAGGAGGCATTCGTCCGAGAAGTTGCCACTCGAGAGCTAAGTTCAGCCCTCGCTCGAGATGATTTCCGGGCGTCATTTTATGTGACCTCAGCCACTGCAGCAGGTGGCTTGGACGAATGCTCAACGCTGTGCGAAGAGCTTTCGGGGAAGGCTATCGAGGTTGGTCATGGGCGACCCGATCTGCAAGCTCTTGTTCTAGGCCACGCTCATGAAGCGCAACTCAGTGATTGCTCGGCTGCAGTCTTGATGTGCGGTCCCCCTGCTATGGCTGACGAAGTTAGAACTGCGGTGTACCAAACAATGCGGCAAGGTTATCAAGGGGTCCGGTACATCGAGGAGTCTTTCAGCTGGTGATGTATTTTTTTAAGCTCGTCTAGGATTGATGTCGTACATCATACATATTTCATGGTTCATGTTGTCCTTTCACTGGAGTTGGGGTTGAGATTTTGCAGGCTAGATATCAATACACGGTAGAATTTCAGCGCACGTGGTTTCTAGTCATTTTTTGGAGAAATTTGTCAGAACAGGAAATAAAAATTCGAATCCCGTAAATAAATAAAAATTAAATAAGTGAACTCTGTACATCACTATGTCTTCGGCTTTTGAATTTTCAATGCAGCCTTCTTGCACGCAGGAACCACCGCTCGATAGCCGATATGCAAGGGGTAGTTCGCCCATGTCCCTCACTTCCCCCAACCGGTTTTTTTTAGTTTTTTTTTTTTTTTTTTCTCCACGCCCCAAGATCCGGTTTTCCCAGTAGACTTCACCGTGTTAACCCAAAGCGTGAGGTTCACTTTTTCTCCTGTAATGCTCAAGCCTATAATACTGCTGCAGGAGAGAACGTCGAACCAATCGAACCACCTGGATACGACACAGTACATCAACAGTCCTTAAAAAAATATTTCCCTCACCTAGAACAACCCAAGCGATCGACCGCTTCATTGCCTTTTGAAGGCAGTGGACCTTTGAGTGGTCACTACAGAAAGTTGCAGGAAATTGGGCGGACCAAACTACCACCAGTAAGGCTTCGGCAAAACCTTTGTGTGGGGATTCTAGGTTGGTAATGCAGAGACCATCCTTATTTATGGCGTTTCTGCTCTTTGGGGGCTGGGTCTGAGCGTTGCTGTTTGGGGATTGAGGATTCTGATACATCTTCTGGTAGTTTAGGGCTGTGGCTTGATCACCTGATGAGATGTATCTTTGATCGAGAGTATTGGTTTTCGGACTCATTACATATTGGAGAATCCTGTGCTAGAATTGATATATTCTTGAAGGGGCAGTAGCGGTGAGGCCCTTGTTACCATGGTCTAATATGGCGTCTCCTTAGGTTAAGTATTCCTACGTAGTGGGCGAGAATAGTGTGTTATCCTTCTTCAATATTTCTCCATAGCTATGCGTTGCATAGGGGGTACATCTATTATTTTTAGACATGTCATATGTCACTTGGAATACCAGATTCGTAAAATCTTTATCCTGTTCTGAGCTCCTGCCCCCTATGTCCAAGGCAGCTCAGGTGACCACGGTCATTCCAAATTTGAGTGTCTTCAATTTCGTTAGTATACGGATTTTATCATCAAAGGCAGTGTAGGCATCCGCACTGTCCTTAGAGACCTGGGTGGGTACGGCAACTCTTCCGGCTATTCGGAAGGCGGGTCATGTCTTCGCGGTCACCTATACGGGATGATCTCTACTGATCGGATATACGGATCATATACACTTATTCTACGGCGTGTATAGATTATGCTAGATAAGATGTAGATGGACTTTAAGCTGTTGTGATAGCACCCTGTTGGGAAGGTGACCTGCGGATCGTATTCCAGTGTGACGATCAGCCAGAGCCTATGAAGAAACTGGAGATGGAAACAAAGTGCTCTATTCTATTAGAAAGTATTATATTCCCATGGATGCGGCCATACTATATATAATAAACTGTTTGTATCTGAGGGTAGCCTGCATGTTTCGTTGAGTGAGCGTTTGATGTTGGTTGAGTTTATATATAGCTGGTTTTGATATATATATTTCGGTAGTACGTAGGTGTCTATCAACTTACAATCCTGTCTAGATGCCAGTGTGATATACTCCTTATTCCAGTTTACAATGGCTGCATTTGTCAGGGACATAGATCCATAGCATGAAGAAGTAACTGCTATACTAATGGGACCTTGACATCCGAACGAACAAAGATAAGACTGTCCAAATGTTCCAGAGATAAGATGTCATACTATGTGAGCGGGGGGGCAGGTTTTACAGAAAGATCCAGAATATATATCTCCACCATACTACCAGTGCATACAACATGATCATTGTCTACAGTATAAGTAGAATCTCACCTCTATTTGACGGGTTTACAAGAATGGCCAAAGCATACCAAAGTTATTGTATGTCGGTGGTCAACTTAGTGCCCACACCCAATGGGGACAATCAGCCTTGGTGTACGGTATTTCTTCCGGGGATGCTAAATTTAGGCAACATTGATGCAATCGCTTAGAACGACGAATGAAGGCTACGGCGGGATATTGGGCACAGCATCACATAAGAGCACGGTGTATCTAACGATAAACCATATCTTGTAACCCTGCCAGCCACCAGATTTGCTCTTTCAGAAGGGCCGTGCACATACGGGCCCTCGTTTAGCTAGAGAAAGCTGAAATGTACATACATACATACAAGTTGTTTCGGATTGTCAAGAAGTGAAATAGCTATACCTGTCCAAGATAAACAACTCTTTATTTGTATTCCTACAGTTATATTGCCAGTTTGTTACACTCACCGTCCGATCCACGATCCAAGGGAAAAGGTTTTCAACCCCACAAAATGACGAAAATTCAGGAACTTAAAATCATACGATGCTCCACATATATCTTAGTTTGGTCGTCGTCCCTAATTGCCTTCACTGTTCCTTGACTGGGGAGACTCCAATTTCCGGGAACTTGATATGTGCTGATGACCGGGTCGAGTCCCATTTCTTGAAGCGATGAAAAAATGATCTGCACTTGATCGGGCAGCGCTATAGCTCCCTTGAAGCAAGCACAAATGACAGCCGTATCCGCGGAGGGAAATTGACTTCTGTGGTGTTGGTACAGAGCATCCACTCTCCCCATCATTCTACGAACGTTGATATCGCCGGCAAACGGGTCTAGTGAGTCTGGGAATGGCTGGGGTGGGATATGGGCGAGAATAGCACCATGTGCTGATGCTATGAGAACGACAGAACATGATCCGAGGCCCTCAGTACCAATACCCTTCACTTCTTGGAAAGAAACAAATTGGACATTGCCCATTTGGACCATGACTGTACCTTTTCGAGTGGCTTCCCGTTGCGCGCGGAGCCCCTGTCCGGACATTGTAGAAGATTTTATGAGAAACTCGCAATGCAAATGTTGCTCAGAAATATCAAGGCGTTATTCCCTCAGAGTATTCTCCTGCTACTTATAGTCTCAAAGGAGTAGTTGCTCCATACTACCTCTCTAAGGCAGTGAGTGACCTTCAACATCCGCGGCTGCTCAGTAATTTTCCCAAGCCAGCCGCCTATTAGTATACAACAAAGCGAGTCGCGCATTCTTCCAAAACACATCGTGTGAAAGGGTCTAATGGGTGGTTTGAGGAGCCCCCCTTAAATTGTCTCAGCTGTTGTGTTGGTGAACCGTCCTTTTGGGCCCCGTGTAGGGTTACTCTGAAAGACTGCGTAGTACGAGGTTCCGTACGGCAAAAGACCGCTTTGGTTGCAAAACCACGCTGCCTCTTATGCATAGCTCCTAATTGGTCGACTCAGGAGTACGGAGTACGTACTTCGTCCAACATGGGAGTCGCTGATTCTGGGGTCTGGTGACTTGGAAATCCTTTAAATATCCCCCTCCTCCTCACCTGGTGCTTTGAGTGCAGAGGCTCCCAAAGAAATGTGATTGTTAATCCTTGCTGTCATTATTTTTGATACAACCCGCTCTGGATGTCCCGCCTCCGCCAGATTACTATCCTATCAGCCCGAGCGAGTACCGTCGACTTCCAACTCCAACGCCACCCGCGACCTTTGAAAAGATGAAAGCTCTTTGTGTCCGCGGCGATGTCCAGGGATTCCGGGAGATTCTTAATTCAACAGTTTCTTCGTCCGAGCCCCTTGACATACGTGACTTGTATCAGATAATGATCTAATCCGTCAAACGAAACGATGTGCAGTTCATCAGAGAGCTTCTTCATCGCGGCTTGCCTATGACTCCATTCTATGCATTGGAAGCCATAAAGGTGAAAGGGAAGGATGCTCTGAAAGCCTTCCTTGAATGCGGGTGGGATATCAACCAGCCGTTGAGCGAGCTTAAACCCCCCGTACTTGGGTGAGACTCGTCATCCTTATATCTTCAAAGTTTCGCTGGAGATGACATTATAACATGTGCTCAGTTGTGCTATTTCAGATGAAGAGATGACAGCTTTGCTCCTTGATCATGGAGCTGACCCTAATCGACGGTGTCTTATTGATCTCACGCCACTCTCCCTTGCTGTTGAAAGCGCCCCTATCTCTGTCATCCATCGCATGCTCAGTCGGGGCGGAAATGTTCAACAGGGCCAGTGACTCCATCATGCAGTTGACCGGCCAACGGACGCCATCGAAGTGTTAGGGCTTCTTATCGAAAAAGGGGCACCTATCAATTCAGCTATGTACGAGGACTATCCTTCTTGGGCGCTATTCTTTTTTACGGGTGTTGGTACACTGCTGCACAAGGCCGCCGAACTCAATAAAGTAGATGTAGTTTGCTACTTGATCAGCCAAGGAGCCGACCAGAGTATCAGAGATGCAAATGGTCGTACAGCTATCGAGTGTGCACGAAGGTTGAATCAAGGAGAAGTTGTCAAGGCATTAGAGAAGGCGAAGTAGCTCGTCTGTTCTGTATGCGTGGTGCGTTCTTTTTTGTGTCTGTCTTGGATGGTCTGGTCCATAAGTACGAAAGTGTGTTCCCCTTTGGCGTCAACCTGCCGCGATGCAGGAAATTTCGGTAAAGAAAGAAAGATGCTCCAAGGCGATATAGGAGCTCTAGTTTAGCCAAACATAAAAAATACAAAAACATACAACAGGAGGGATTCGCTGGTGGTCACCCACCCAACTACTAACCTCCCGGCGTGTGGCTTAAGTACGGCTGAGCGGACGGGAAGCCCTGTTCTCCACACCCTATGGTCGTATGTGCTAGACAATTATGATTGTAAGTATATATGCCATCTCTAATATACACCTTGGGTATAAGCTCACACCTACTAGGAGGGCTCAAAGAAATGAAGTAATGTCATTCTTACGTTGAGTCAAGTGTGTTTGATACCTACTAATCGGTCCTTACCAATATCAACTTTCTACACAATTACACTACCACCTAGCTTTCCGTAACATATTCTGCCCTGAACAAAAAGTAATGTAATGAAAGGACTGTGTGCTTTGAACGGCCGCTAATAACGTACACCCTATGCGGGAGATTGACTGCAGATTCGCAATCCCAGATTAACATACGCATGAGATTCTACTGTGTATTAGCCCTCGAGTGAAGCACCTTACCTGAGAAGAGCTATTCAACTGTGTGATGGAAATTTCGATCAGTGTGGCACTGAGACATCAACAAAGTATAATGAACTAGATAGACATCCAGGTGGGCCTGATTGCTAGAGATCTCCCGGCTCGAGGATGGGCCTCGAACGACTATTGCTAAAGCAATGCAACTCGAAGTCTAGATCCAGCCATATCAGGGTGCAGCCTATATTTCGGTAGAATTGTCTATCATGATCATGAAAAGGCGGAAGTTCATGGCTGGACTTACTGCATAGAAGTGGCGTAATGAAATGAAGAAGCTCTCCCCAACAACCCTTATTGAACCATAACAAAGCCACAACAATAGTCTAAGAAATTAGCTACAAGTGCATTGAAACCATGTTTATGATTAGAGATATGGTTTTCCCCAGACTGGGGTCATCAGTGCACGGTCTACGGGGCCTCGACTTGAGTTTCTAGTCGACGATACCTTACCGCAAAAAAAGCTTCAAATGGCTCGTGGAAAGTCAGTCATGTTATTGGCACAAGAGAGTATCCCTTGGTGATTTTCGCGTACGTTGTACCCAGTGAAGGTTTTTTAGCTCTTGACATGTTCGTGTCTGAGGAGGATCAACAGTGGTAAAGTGTAGAACTGATATATCACATTTCACTCCTGAGCGATCTCGGCACAGGCAATCCAAGGTTTGCCAGCCCCCACTGTGTTCCTGCGAGGCCCTCTGCGGTGTAAGAAGGGTCCATCCGGATATTGGCTTCCTGCATATGCGGAACTAAAATTATTTGAGTGGAGGCTGAAGCTATGGAGCTCCGTCCACCCCCTGAATCCATCCTAAACACCACTCAGCAATGATCCCCCCCAAATCTCCAGCCAGACCCCTGATAGTCATGCAAGGGTTTACGAGCGAAATGAGATGGAGTAAGCCACATGAACTATAGGATATTCATGACTACCGGTGCTTAAAGCAGAAGGAGGCATATGTCTAGCCCTCGTTCCAAAAAGTTATAAAAGGGAACTTGGATCCCTCCCCAAATCGTTCTTCATCACGAACACAATCAGCCAATCAAGCAAAGGATCACTCTTGAACTCTCACTCCTATACAATCACTTGTTCCAAGCCATCCAACCAACCCAACCATCAAAATGAAGTTCTTTGCTGTCGCTGCCCTCTTCGCCACCGCCGCCATGGCCGCTCCTGGTGCTCCTGCTCATGCTCCTGGTGCTGTTGCCGGCAGCGGTAACACCCCGACGGTGCAGCAGATCCAGGAGAAGAAGAATCAGTTCGCAACTACATGCAGCGCCAACCAACATGAGACCGTCTGCTGCGAATCGGTGGACAAATCGCAGACGCAGAGCTTGTCCGGCCAGAGCAGCGAAGGCCTCTTGGGCGGCCTACTCCAGGGCGGCCTCGGAAGCCTTCTCGATGACCTTAGTCTTGTTGGGGGCACCCGTGGCGCTTGCAAGGGTGAGTTTTCAGCAACAAATATCTCGTATTCCAGATGATTAACCAGTTATGCAGGCCTTAATGTCCTCGGCGGAGAATGCAAGACCAACATCGGCTGCTGCCAGCAGAATGCCGCGAGCAACAACGTCCAGGTAAGCGCCGCCGACTATATGCTTATGGCCAAAGATGCTAATGTATGACAGTCGGGCCTCATCCCCATCAACGTCCAGCTTCCTTGCGTTCTCAGCAATGGCTTGTTCTAAATCCTTTGCCGCACAAGGATCCTTAGCCCGTTCGTCGTTTGTGCACAGATGATTTGAGATATTGTATTCGCTTCGCTCATTATGTACACTCTAGAAAGTTTATGTTTGTGACTGCATGTCCATACTAGAGTCGCTCTCTTGTCAATAATTACAATCTAATCAAGCTGTCATTATCTGAATTGGTTATCCTGATGTGGATTCGTTGCATCCGACTTGGCTGCGTAAAAGAATATCTGTATCGTTAGTTGCCTCAGGCCGCGGTCGGAACCACACCGGAGCGCGTTCCGTCTTCGGGTGCACTTCCTTTCGGCACTCACCCTTTCATCCATGACTGGTCGATTCGGCGTGTTCAATATCACACCATTATGAATCGTTCGACTACTGGAAAACTCCCGGACCCTGGCAGACCTCCGGGCACTGGAAAAGACGCCGGCCGTCCGAACAAGCGGCGCAAAATAGCCGTGGCTTGCGATGAATGTCGTGTTCGGAAGACCCGGTGCGACGGCGCACAACCCGGTATGTTTATTCTCGAGCAATATAACACACGACAAATGCGTTGAATCGTCCCAGGATTGATACCGGATTTGACTTCTGATCTCCTCTTTCCCGTAGTGTGTGGACCATGTACGAAAAAAGCAGATCCGGGAGTACAGTGTGTTTACACTGGAAAGCAAAAGCTGGATGTAAAAAAGTAAGTCAAGACGATACTTGTATGCGACCCTCATCATGTGGGGTTGTATCTGAGTTATGGGTCATTGAGACTAACGCGTCCTGGGGTGAAGCTATATTACTAGCTTGGAGAGTCGTCTCAAAGCTTTCGCACGGCCGCCTCGTACTCCGGCAAGTGTGGGACATGAGAGCTCCGGACATAGTCAAGTAAGCAAACGTGCACCCTACAAAGACGGTTCCAAGCAGGCGAGTATCCATTTGTGGTGCTCTGACTAGTTTAATAGGAGCCCACCTTCTCATATAGCCCAGTCTCGTCATCTGGGGCTCCCGTAGCCACTCAGTTCACTTCATCTTCAGTTCCGGATAATTATCACAGGTTATCAAGTTGTATCCCCGCGAATACCAGTGCAGGCGACAACTCCCCGTCTGCCAGTGCTTATCGAAGCCCTTCCGGACGAAATGCCGGTTACGTATCCGGGCTGGCTCAGACGCGTCAACGGGCGGACGGTGTGAATGCAATGATGGGTGCGGTCGAAGAGGAGCGCCCGACGCAAGGCTTCTTTGGCAGCTCTAGTGCCGCCAGCTTCATGCATCAGATAAAGATGGCCGTGGACAGAAGGGTCACTTCACCCCACCGGCGAACATCCGACACCATTCTAGGAGTATCCCATGCTCCAGGGCTCATGAGTACGGCATCGGAAAGACATTTTAATATTCAGAACTATGTCTTGCCACCGAGAAAGACAGCCGATAGTCTAATGGGAGTTTATTGGTCTTTCGTCTTTCCTCTCTATCCCCTTGTGGATGGTATCGGGCTGAGGGCTGAATATGAAAAGGTCTGGACGGGTGAACCACTCGAAAATGACGAATCGATGCTCATGTGTACATTGAACGTCATATTTGCTCTAGCCTGCCAGTTGGCTGACTTCATACCCCCGGAGGAGCGAGAGGCATCCGCAGACGCATTCTTTTCGCGCGCTAAGGATCTTCTCCAGTTCAACCTTTGGGACACAGGGTCTGCTGCCCTCATTCAATGTCTACTTTTGATGGCGCAGTACCTGCAAAGCACGGATTCGGCCCACCAATGTTGGATCGTTACCGGTCTGGCGATACGGAATGCCCAGAGTTTAGGTCTGCATCTTCCGCAGACTATTGCTCGGCTGCCGAGCCCACAGGAACAGCAGCTAGCACGGAAAATATGGCACGGATGTGTGCTGATGGATAGGTATGGTGGACTTTATTCATTGGACCTGCAGTGCCTAACATTGAGTAGAGTCATCTCCATGACATTCGGACGACCCGCAATGATATCGAAAGCGTCCTGTGAATCAGTGCCTTTGCCCGCCACAGTGGATGAGGAGTATATTCCGACAGCTTCCGGCATCGAAGCCACACAACCAGCTGATCAGCCATCTGTGATGGCATTCTATGCCAAGTCGCTTGAGTTGTATGAAATCATGAACGATATCTTGTTGAGTTTATACCAACCTGTCCCCGACGAGAGTCCAGAGGACATGTATGATTTGTATTTCAACAAGGAAACTAGTCAGGGTGAGCGAACGATCTTTGAACTTGACCGAGCTCTATCCAAGTGGAGCCAAAGCCTTCCGTCACATTTACGGGGGAATTCACCAGCGGGCCCTACGGACGTGGTCTTTTACCACCAGAGTGTGGTGCTCAGAGCGAGGTATGGCCATGTCAATCTTTGAGTACCCTAAATTATACGGTACAGTGAGAACTGGTGGCTCACTTCCCGTTTCACAGATTCCTACATGTCCGTATGCTTCTGTTTCGTCCGATATTGTCCAGGTACTGCGCAGCTCGCGACATCACGGTCCCTGATTCTCTTGTTTCCCCCAGCGACTCATTTCCCCAACGAATCGCCTGGCAGTGCTCAGCTATATGCGTCAAGGTGGCGCAAGAAGTAATCGAACTGATATATGGGAACATCCCTGCGGATGGGTCTTCAGGCCCTCTTCCAGCTTGGTGGTACAACATTCTTTGTGAGTTGGAATAGCGGTCCGTGTTCGACGCTCGGCACAGACTAACAAGCAATAGATGTATACACGGCTGCCACAGTCTTAATAGCAGGCTACCTTTGTCCCACAGTCCTAGACGAAGTGACTGAAGGTGCAATTACGAGGTCTTGGAATTGTGCTTTGGAAATTCTTCGGAAGTACCAGAGTTACAGCACATCTGCACGTCGATGTGTAGCGGCTCTAGAAATTCTCTATGAGAGGGTGGTGTCAGAACGACCCCTATTCCATGAACCATCCGCCAGTGATCAGCAACAGAGCACCGCGTCCAATGCGGTCAATGACATGTCTCTTGGAGAGGGCATTAATGCTATGTTCATGGAAGGCTTTGATTGGCCGGATTTCCAAGACATGTCCTGGTTGAACAGCGTGCCGAGTAGCTTACACTGAGGCAGGGGTCAAGATCCTCTATGCTATGACAGGCTGGCCGGCGAATTATATCGGGAACCGTTTCACGCTGTTCGTCTGCTCTACGACAAAACCGTGCTTACTTCCGGGGTGTGCATCCTGATACATCTGTGACGTTCCGTCTTCTGTCTAGGTTCTTGCTAATGCGAATCATCGCCGGTTCGTGCAATACAGTTCGTTGACACCCGTCCGTCATTGACTTCTCCGACTGGAAACAACATGCATCGCTACGATAGGGCCCAAAGCACACACGCCAATGATTGCACACATGACCCCCGCAGCGCCACCAAATTTCAACGTTTTGAACATGGGCGGGAAATAGAACGGACCGATCTAGGGTTCGATATTAGCTTCACGGGTGATAGAATGTGAAGGGCTTGATATATCTTACAAATCCATAGATATGGCGGATGAAGTTGACAAACACACCGATGTCGGTGGATTGATCCTTGTAGCAATCCACCGCGAACGAGATGAGAATGGTGGTCAGGATCTGATTCCCAAAACTCGCAATCGCCGCGCCAACGCAGGGGGCGACGTTCCACGATGTGGCATTATCCAGTTGAAATCCCCATGTCAAGAGTCCTGCAATGACGGTTGCGAACCCGATGTACGAAAGCCATAAGCGATCAGCCGGTCGGAACTGGCCTCTTCTTTTACTCAATGTTTTCATGAACCAGTCTGACATGGGCCCGCTCACTTGTTCCCCGATAAGGCTCCCTATAATCACTGCAATATACTGCAGTCCGATCTGCTGCGCGTCGAAATGAAACTTTTTACCAAAGGCAATGGGCATTTCAACGATGATGGCTGTATTGGCATAGCAAAAGACAACACACTGGGCAATCGTAGGAATCAGAATTCGCGGATACCGGTACAAGAAGATCCACTCTATGAACTCGCGAGGTTTCAGAGGGCGTGGGTTGATTCGGCGAGGGATAAGCTTGCTCGTGCGGCCACCCTTACCACCACCAGCATCCCCGGGGACGTATATCGTTTCCTCGCCCAGGAGGAGGTAAGTGAGGAACTGCGCGAAGTTGATTATGGCGTATATCCAGTAAATCCACTCAAAGCCGATATTCTTTGCGACGAAACCCATGATAAATGGCCCTGCCGGAGTTCCCAGCGTCGTCATCAGTGTCCACCACCCCAGCTTCTGGGCTCTTTCTTCAGGCTCACAGAGCTCAGTGATGACACCGCTCCCGATGCCAATCGGCGGTGAGATGAGTATGGCAGTGAGAACCCGTGTCGCCATCTGTGCTCCATACGTTGAGCACCGAGCGCCACCAATATTGCAGATCAGACTACCGAGAACGGAGACCAGTGATACGTGGTATCTACCGTAGATGCAAGTAATCGGTTTCCAAAGAAATGGCGTGAGTCCCAACACCAGGATCTATTGCGGCATATATCAGCGTTTCGGTCTCAATTCCGATGTGCATGTGGAAAGGGAAAACGGACTTGGATCGATGTTAGATAGCTCGCCTCTGGCACTGTCACGCCGTACGCTTCAGCCATGGCATCAAATGCTGGGACGATTCCCGCAGCCATAAAGGTCGCCACCATGGAATGGAAAGCGACCATTAGAATTTGGACATTTTTCTTCCAAACGGGCCAATTATGGGGGTCTTTGGGGCAGCACATGTTTTCAGCCTGCTGGATAGGGACCGCTGGGGATACGCCCTCGAGAGGGACGGATGTTTCCGAGTTACTTTTCTCTGTTATTTCCACCATTTCATCGGGGATCGAAGTTATGTGTAACACTTTCCTAAGGTGGACAGTCCGATGTTGTTCGAAGTGCGGAGAAAATGTGGACAGGATTGCTTCGGCGTTATGATATCAGATCGCATTGGAATATCAACCACTGCCAAGGAAAATACAAGATAGGGTTTCGCTGCTACCGGTTCACAGATGCCAACGATTTCGAGAATCTACTCCTCGAGGGAGTGGCAGATCTATGTAGGACTACCAGCGCAGCATTTTAAGGCCCTTGCTTCGTTGTCAAGAACTATTAACCGCTTGCAGCAAGGTACAGGATTGGCGTGGTTGAGCAAGAACCATTGGTTCCCACTAGCGCCCAGGTGCTGGTCTTTATATCCCGACTGACTGAGGCTATACATAATTGAGGTGGAGCATGAGAGATTGCGTCAAATATGACTCTGTCGGCCAAATGTGGTATTGGATTGTGGTGATTCAAGTAGTGACTTGCGTTTCTCTGTTGCCGATAAAGCTACCACAAAATTATTCACAATTCGTCAGATGTTCTGAAGAGATGAGATCCCTTCCGTTCGATCGGGTACCTAAGCAAAGGGTCTAGCCTTTTTTTCCCCGCTTGAAGCGATCCAAGCTGATCATCCCTGTCCTCAGTATCCTTAGTTCATTCTGCTATAGACCCACAATCAGCTGGAGATTACTAAAGACATGGAGGTTCTTCCTGACGAGGGTTTCAATGAGCCAGTTCGACAGTCCTATCATTCTCTGAAACAGAGCGACTGAATGGTGGATCTGCTGCTGAATGCGTTTCATGCCAGCTTATCGAAGAGGCAGTCTCTCCCAGTCACGAATTCAACCGATATCTACCTCATGACACACCTTTAGCCATCATTCAACGAAAGCATACACTTGCATCCGCGGATTCCTTCGCTAGACCAAGACTTGATAGTTGAAACCAATAGGTTTTACATCCCCTTCTACCATATAGCCGCCGCACGGAAAGCATGGTTAAGGCATGTACGCCTCAAAGCTCAGAGAGCGACCATATCGGTGTGGCTCATGGTATTAACAACTCTACAGAATATCAAAATGCCAAGATATAATTGATCATGAATCAGTTTCAACTGTTCATGTATTCAAGTTCTTTTCAAGCTTAGTTCTAACATACAAGCGATTTTAACCCCTTACTTCCTGTGCTTTTGTTCCTTACATGACGGTGACGATATACAATTTCTCTGTTTGTATATGATATAACTCTAATCAGAGGTTATCATACATTGTTTTGTGATTCAAGCGCGGCTTCCAACTCAGCCGATGACTGCGGTGAGTATTTTTCGATGAATGGCCCATGCCTAGATAAAATCCAGAATTGTTAGTCACGGAATTTATTTTCGATAGACGAAGGAATGTTTACTTACCTCTATTCTGCCGGAAGATGGCAGATTCTGTGTAGCAGTATAAAGGCTACTATGATTGTAAGTAGCGTACTGTGATGCACCTCACCCCGGTCCTTTGGGGTGTCTTCTCGCAGTGCTCGTTTACCACTAACCTCGAGCTTAGGTGTTCCTCACCTGGGACGCCATGTAAGGAATCGATCAGATTAGACCGATATAGATATGCAAGAAGATAAGTATCCCACCAGAACTGATCGGTGCGGTGCGAACTGGTAGATTGATGATCTTGGTTAAGTCCTAACTAATTGAGCTGTTTGATAATGCTACTCCCCCCTTCCCTCCTTCCTTTCCTGACAGTACCAATGATCGCGTGGTATATCTGCCATCTGCTTAGTATCAGTCAATCGTTGCCCAATATTGAGACATTCTTGATGCGTGGAGTATATATTCTAGCTCGATTATCTTACTTTTTGTATCGAGTTAGATTATCGCCTCTAACACTTTGAGACATGCCCCATCTAGATAAAATTCATAGTTGTTAGTCACGGAAGTTATATTCGATGGACGAAGAAAGTGTATACGTACCACATGTGGTACAAGAGGGTGAAACCGAGCAGCACAACGGTTAAACCAGTTCCGATGACGGGATAATGACCGTCAAATCAGAAATTATCTGCTCCAAGAGAGCTTCGACCCTGCATTTCCCAAGTCTTCTGCGGACGTAGGGATATAAATTTTCCTATACATATGCCATGCCTAAGTAAGATTCCTAATTGCTAATCACGGAAGTTAACATTTAACTAATAGATTAAGGAGGTGTATACATACATTGATCTTGGGCAAAGTCCAGTAGCATGGCCGGTAAGGCCGTACCAAGTGTAGGGCATGTATGGGCAGTTTTAATCTGTAGTCTTGAGTCTCTTTATCCAAATATTTTCATCATTAGCTCTAGCGTCAGTGCCAGAACATGTAAGTGCTGAGTGGATCACTCAAGAAAGACAATAGCCAATGCAGCCCTCACGGCTGCGTAAAGATACAGGCGTTGTGCCTGAACAGATGTAAAATCATAGGTGCTGGTGTTCATTGCGTTACTGGTGTTTAGTTATCTTAGAAGAATACCACTAATGTATTCAGTAAGGAGTAAAGAGAGAGAGTATCTCATTAGGTATAGCATATTGCATCCAACACTCTGAAATGTCGTCGGATACAATGGCTACAGATCAAGAGCTTCAGAAAAGTAGTCCCTCTATATATCTGTCTATAGTATTCTTCTTCACTGGTCCATGAACATTCTTAGTTTTTTCATCTAATGAACACCCAATTCAACCATGCAGAGATGAATAATTCTAATCACAGCAGGTACTACAATAATTAACCAGCAGATGTGAAATTGGCTTCATTTAATATCCTCGGGTGAATGTGGTCCGAGCAGTTTTTCCATCAATCCGACGCTTGCAACTAGTGCAGTGTGGACTCCCCGCATTTGTGCCCCGGACTGATTGACTCTATTAACTGGTGCTTCTCCGGGGCTCCGCAATGGAGACGGTCCACATGGCCGTGAGTTTGGTCAAGCTTCATGCCCCTGGTCGGAATGGCGCCATGCCTTCGTCTAAATTAGCTCGTCTCGGGATAATAACCGCCGGCGGAGAACCCGGTGAAGGTTCTATGCTAGCTATAAATTCCCGGAATGTCCCTTCAGAGATGGAGGAAGTTGCCGTGTAGCGTGAATTGCTCAGCGGATAGCTACTAGACGTTGACTGTTACAATATGCGTCTTCGCACTTCCCTAGGCGTGGCGTCTGCCTGCGCCTCTGTTGCATCCGCAGCCCTAAAGGTCACGGAGGACAACAGCACAATCACCCTGACCAATGACCGACTAACATCCACCTTTGCCAAAGACAAGGGCCATGTCTCGGAGCTCTTCCTCGATGGCCAGGATCTCCTGGGCCCTATATCGGGTAGTACCGGTGTTGGTCCGTATCTGGATTGCTACTGTACGCCCTCCGGCTTCTACACGGCTGGCAGCACCAACCCCAGTATGGAGGTAGTGCAGGGAACCGACTCAACTGGCACCAAATACGCCGGTGTAATCCTAAACGACACATACACGCCGACAGGGCAGCACTTCCAGCAGTACTGGTTCCTCCGAGACGGCGAGACGGGCTTGCATACGTTTAGCCGGCTGGCATACTACAACGAGACGACGCCGTTCTTGCGCAACCTGCAAGAATTCCGAACCCTTTTCCGCCCGAATACTGAGCTATGGACACACCTGACATCTAGTGAGGCTCAGACGGCTCCCCTCCCCAGCAAGGACGCCATCGAGAACCAGGTCGTCGTGCAAGATGCAACCTGGCGCTTCAACAATACCCCGGACGATGCGTACTACACTCAATTCTCCGAGTATTTCACCAAGTATACCTTCTCTAATTGTAAGGCTTCTGTGGGAAATGGTGATATGCTGCATCGGCTAATTGGTAACAGTGTGGAGAGACAGCAGTGTCCATGGTTTATATGCCGATGGAACCAACTCGAACGGCACCACGTACGGAGCGTGGCTCGTCATGAACACCAAGGACACTTACTACGGTGTACGTTAGAAGAGCATGGCAGATTTCTAAACGCGCCGCTGACCAGCGTAGGGCCCCCTCCACTCAGACCTGACAGTCGACGGAATCGTGTACAACTATCTCGTGTCGAACCACCATGGAGAAGGCACGCCAAACATCACCAATGGTTTCGACCGCACCTTTGGCCCCCAGTACTTCCTCTTCAACGGTGGAAAGGGCTCTGCGGCGTCTCTGGACGATTTGCGATCGGAGGCAGAGTCCCTAGCGGACCCAGGATGGAACGCCGACTTCTACGACTCCATCGCCAAACATGTGATAGGGTATGCTCCCTCCAGCAAACGCGGCAGCGTACACGGACAGGTCAAGCTGCCCAAGGGTTCCAAGCGACCCATCGCAATCCTGACCGTAGATGGACAATACTTCCAAGACAACTCGGTGGAGGCCTCGTCGCATCAATACTGGGCCGAAATGGGCCAAGACGGATCGTTCCAGTTGGACCACGTCAAGGAGGGCAAATACCGCTTGACTGTGTTTGCCGACGGCATCTTCGGCGACTTCATGCAAGATGGCATCGAGGTGCAAGCCGGAAAGGCAACCAAGGTGCAGGAGACCTGGGAACAGGAGTCTGCCGGTGTTGAGGTCTGGCGACTGGGAACCCCGGACAAGTCCTCGGGCGAGTTCCTCCATGGCGTCGCCCCAGACCCCACACACCCACTGCACCCTCCCCAGCACCTCATCTACTGGGGAGCGTATGACTGGCAGCAGGACTTCCCCAACGGCGTCAACTATACCATCGGTAGCAGCGACCCGGCTGTCGATTTCAACACCGTGCATTGGTCGGTGTTCGGCCCGACGCCTGAAAACCCTGACGTCGAATATGACACCACCCACGACTGGACAATCAATTTCTCCCTGGACAAGAAGCAGCTGCAGCGACGCAAGACAGCCACGCTGACTATCCAGCTAGCCGGCGCGAAGACGGCAGCTGGCAATACGGACGTGTACAACGCGACTGAACCCTACGCGAATCTGGCGTTGGAGAGCTACATCAACGAGCAGCCGGAGCCACTCACTTTGCTGGTCGGTTTCAACCAGTCCAGCAGCTGCATCGTCCGCTCTGCTGTCAGCTGCTACCAGGTGCGCTCGCGCATGGAATTCCCCGCCGACTGGCTGAACGTGGGGAATAATGTGCTCACCTTGCATTTGCCTCGTGATGCCACGGACTACGAGACGGCCGTCCTCCCGGGGACGGTGTATGTCCAGTACGATGCACTGCGTCTTGAGCTGTCTTAATGTAGGTAGCATCGATGCGAGTACGAGTCGTCGTTGTACATAGTTATGCCCTGACAGGCTTTGGCGAGTGTGTAGTTGTATAGAGAAAATTAATTCAGTTACCAAACGATCCGCGAGGAATATGCTGTTGTACTCATGCGTTTCATAACACTAGTTGCTCAGTGGAACATTCAACTCTCACAGGTCGGCATACAACACTGCCTGAGCGAAAAATTTGCATAAAACATTGAACGAAGTCGACTGAATGCAGTGATTGTAATAAACCATGGCCTATATACTTATCAACACCAACAATATGCAAGGTAGAAGTCTAGTAACAGATGCAGAAGGTATTTTTACAAGCCTACCGATTCACAAACAGCTCGTAACATCATAACATCGGCCCACACCCAAACCAAGTAGCCTCGTCTCTCTGGCATGCAGTTCATTTCCCCTGGCCATCACACTCACTCTTAGCCGCTTCCCTCGACCTCTCCTCCTCTTCCAAAGAACCACACTCCCCCTCACGATCCGGATAAATCTTCCTGACCAACCACCCCCGAAAAACAGGCACCAAAAGCGACCCAAACGCAATCTGCAACCCCTGAAAGATAACCATGGGCAACTGGATCTTTGCCTTCTGCGACACATCCAGACCCGTGAAGATCAGATTCGCCAACGGGACGCCCATGGCGGGCGTCTTGGCCGGGACGCAGTACGCGACTGCGACGGTGTCTTCCCTCGAGAGCCAGAGGACGGACACCGAGACCGAGACGGTCAGCCAGACGAGGAACATAGCGATCGAGATGAAGACGACGAAGATGATGTTCGAGGACTTGACGGAGGTGAATACCTCTGAGCTGAAGGCTGCGTCGTAGGCTTGCCAGACGACGAGCAGGAGGCAGACGGAGCTTAGTTTGCTGAGTTTCCAGGTGGTGAAGACCTTGCGGACTGCTTTGGGGAAGAGGTGTTGGAGGATTTGGCCGATGAACTGGGAGTTTTTTTGTTAATCTTGGTGGTTTTCGGGTTTTTCTTTCTTTTTCATATGTGTGGGTTTGTGGTATGTGGTGCTTACCATAGGCACAAAGACGGATAATCCAATTTGTTTAAAGATACGCTTATAGATCGCCGCATAGTTACCCTGCTCCGAGGAAAGAAAATCGGTGTACCATGGATTCGGCAGACAGTACATCTGAATGAGCAGGGGCGTCAAGAAAGGCCCCAGGAAATTGCCGATGGTGGATTCGACCACCGTCAGGGCATCGTTGCCGTGCGCATTGCGCGTCATGACCACGTTGGAGGAGATGGTCGTCGGCACACATCCCATGAGAAGCAGGCCGATTAGTAAAGCCTCATCCATGAAGGCAGGGTTCGTTGCGCACAGCGACACGACGGCATAGACCGATGCCGAGGTGAAGAGGAAGCATTGTATCTGCACGAACAAGTGGACTTTCCAACGACTGTAGTTCTCGATCAACGCGCGCGTCGACAATGTACACCCCGTGATGAAGAAGATGATTGTGACGCAGAGATATGAAATCACGGTTTCAATTAGGTCCTGGTCTTTTGTCGGCGCTGGCGCCTGGGAGGCTATGAGGATGACGATGCCGATGCCGAATAGGAACCATTGCCCGAGGGCGATCTCGAGGATCTTGCGCCAGAGGGGTTCTTCTGCCGGCATGGCAGAAGGGGGAAACAATAAGACTAGGGCTTATTTTATATAGTTATATCTTTCTGAATGCATTGTTTGACGGGTTGGGCCTGGCCTGTCTTTTCCCTGTGGATCGCTGCGATATCGGCTGATTGTTTAGGCGATATATTCAGGAATCTTCCGAAGGCGTGAGATTTCCCGAAAAGGATTGGATTCAATTTCGTTCGCTCGGATATCGATTGATAAGGGCTGGCTCCACTGATAACGATAGGAGAATCAAGTCAAGTCTAAGAAGAGTTAACCCTAGTCGAGGGTAATGATGAAAAGGTCTAGCAGTTCTATGGTCATCCTCGTTGCCTCATCTAGATATTGAATGAGGTGATCAATCAAGCCTGCTCAATATAGTATACGACACTCGTTGATCAGCGTCGGTCCTATATTGAATGATAGATTCCACAGTAAGAAAGCCCTTAACTAGAGAACATTGCCCATTGAAGTGGACATTTCACTCCTGGATGTGTATATCAAGGCGAAGAAAGCCATCACGGGCTATAAATTGAAGTATATTCAGTATACAATACTAAGAACAGCCCAATGTCGTGACCACTTGGCAGTTCGGTATTGAACTTTAGCTGTAAGAAAACCCCAAGACAAGATTGTGATACTTTCCTTCAGTGATATATAGTTAAGATTAATACAAGGGAGGAGAGCACAAGAGGTCATTTCCATAGAGCTTCAACTTCATACATTGGTTCTTCCACTTTTATTACTTCAGTAGGTACCCTGGGCGGCTTAAAAACAATAAATGCCAGAATGTTAAGATACGATACCAGCTCGAAAATCAGTGTTCAAATATCGCGCTTGACATTATAGGAAAGCCACCGACTTATTCAAGATATGGAAAAGCACTCTCAATAAGCTCTTGCATCTTTTCTGCCTCGTATAGAGCACTGCCCTTCTCCTCCCAATTGACATAAAGAACCGTCAAGGGCATCTCCTCCCGATCATGCTTAGGAGGACAAACGCTAGACTCGATAATGACGAAATCCATGACCCCTGAAAGGGATTCATCCACTTGGTCGAAGAAGACAGTGGCTGGTGATTCCTTTCCCATCCGGGGAGGCCAGTAATGGGCGATGGTTGGCCTTTTGGTGCTGTGGATAGCCGGGAAGATGTCTGCAGGACGGGAAGAAAGTGCAAGGGTTAGCTTTGGTAATTATAGGTAGATGGGGAAGATAGGGAAATAGAAAAATATACTGGTCGACCATGTAGACAGGCATGTTGAATATATCAGGATCCAGCTTGGTATATTGAAGGAGTTTTGTTGGTTCTGACTGTAGAGGGTAGCCACAACCAAACTGTGGGTTTGGCAATTTTGGGGGTTGTGGTTTGGCTAGACTCTATCAGTGAATTCAAGCCATGGGGGATTCTTATGTTTCTCTTCTCGACAACCGTCCTATGAACACAAATCTCCGTCTACCTCCACGTCTATCTTTTGAGCTTCAGCTACAAGATCACAATCCAAACAGAATCATTCGAATAGCGTAATAACGTTCCAGATACCTCCTGGAGAACGACCCTCTCCACTTCAACCCTTGCAAACGACGTGAGTTGGGATATGGCGCGTACCAAGAACGAACCGAAGGCAAAGCGAGCTGGAGAAGCCAAAGGTATATCAAGCCCTGCATAAGCGCACTGGCAGACATCTGCTGATACTGGACAGAAATGTCTGCAGAGCCGTTCGACCGCATTCAGAACCTCGCTCAGCACCCCCAGCCGGTGGTTGAAAATCCTCCACTAGGCGACTCTTCCACGAATCAGAAATCGGCCATGTCCTCTACTATCTCACAATCCCCCGCAGAAATCTCAGCTGGCACAGAATGCCACCACCCGTTTGACGGAGAGCTGGTTAAATGGACCATCCAGCAAGAGCACTTTGAATCGGCCTTGGCTCTGCGAACAATCATACACGATTTCGGGCGAATGATTGAGATCTGTAACTTGAAGTTGCAGCGATTGGAGGCGACCGGTCTGGGATTCTGGGAACAACAGGCTATAGATCTGGAGTCTCGTGTGCAGGTCAAGACAGAGCGCCCGACGCCTTTTTCGTCGGCTAAACCGTCCGCAAAAAGACAAGTCTCACCAGCGTATGGCATGAGGGGTGGGCATTCGAAAAAGGCCCGATTTAGGCCTCGTCATAGGGGTCCCAGAATTCTCGAATTGACAAGTAATGAGGAGCCTTTATATCAACGGCAACGATATCCCTTCGTGTGATCTGGACGAGTTTCAATGCAGAATATTGCTCTACCAGAGGTCAAGCTCATAGAAAGGATGTCTAGTCAAAGGAACTAGAGGCGGATTATGCTCATTTCGCGTTATGGGTTGCTAATGTTCTACATTTCCTCAGTGGTACTACTACAGTACAGAAAATTAAAGTCTAGTATAAGCTATTCTAGGTCTGACCCAAACCCTCGATAGAGTTTCGCTCATTTCAAATAAATCAACAGCCACGAGTGGGATTTTTTTTTTTTTTTTTTTTTTTTTTTTTTTTTTGATTTTTTTTTTTTTTTTTTTTTTTTTTTTTTTTTTTTTTTTGGAAAAATAGATTATACTTCGTATCTACAGTCTAGTACAATCCAACCCAGCAGGAAAAAGAAATGCGACATCGTCCGTGACATTAAGATACGACCGTCTATTACCACCTTCATCAGTTTCACCTGACCAGAAACGGCCTTTCATAAAGGCAGGAATACGAGATGGTGTCCGTGCCCAAGGTCCAGTACCTTGTCAATGAGATTAAGAGGTGTTATATAGCCAATCGAGCAACCGCACGGATCAAAAGCCGAGCGTTGGCAGGCCAAGTGCCGGTGGAACGTCAGCATTGCCACGTTGTATTTCTTTGAAACTACTGCGTAGGTTTATTCCAACACATTTTTCGTTGTTAACCAACAGGACACACTATTTCTCCTAATCTGGGCGGATATGTTTAGGGTCAAGGTAAGACAGGTGACTTCCGAAATCAGTAACGACCACATGATATTCTAGACCCTAGACCTGGTTGGAGAATGGAGATGGAGACGTGGTCTGATGGATCTGAGATCGCCACCGGACTAGATTCAGGTGGAGCCTAAGATTAGTGATCAGGTTCCCCCTTGGAATTAAACTGAGCTTCGGCGGATTTAGCCGAGGTAGACCCATTCACAAGACAAATGGTTGGTGACCACGAGAACAGGAGAACAAGGGATGTAAACACCCTTGAACAGCGCACATCGGACAGCCATGCTTCAGGTATGTAGTTCTACAAGGATCAGGACAAATCAGAATAGAGATATTCTAATCGTCGGCTGAAGATCCTAATATTTCGTTCTCGAGTCGCATACACTCGGCCCCGGATCGGTAAATCGGCTTACCGCAAGAGGCAGAAGCCTCGGTAAAATCTTCGTCTGTAATGAGGTTCCCATGATTGGCACACCTGTATAAGACTATTATAGAATGGCAGACCTTTCCCCGCAAAAAGAGTTTTAGTTCTTCCCCCCCCAGAAATAACTCCCGTTCAGTGTGGTGGGCAAGAAACCAAAAGACAGAATCACCATGTCGAAAACATTCTCGCGCGCCGAGGTCGCCAAACACGCCTCCGAAGACTCCCTCTGGTGTATCATCGATCACCGCGTCTACGACCTCACAGATTTCCTCGACGCCCACCCCGGCGGTAGCGTCGTCCTCGCCCAGGTCGCCGGCCAAGATGCGACCGCCGAATTCTACAACCTCCACCGTCAAGAAGTCCTCGAGAAATACCGCGATGAGCTCTGCATCGGAACCGTAGAAGGCGAAACCCCCGACATTGCGCCCCGCGAACCCGGCAGCCTCAGCGAAGTCCCCTATGCCGAGCCCCTCTGGCTGCGTAAGGATTTCAAAAACCCCTACTATAAGGACAGCCATCGTCGCTTGCAGCGCGCCGTGCGCGAGTTCACCGATCGTTATATCTACCCCGAGGCGCAGGAGAAGGAGAAGGATGGCACCTATATCAGTCAAGAGTTGATCGATCGCATGGCGGAGGCTGGCATTTTGGCTATGCGCTTGGGCCCCGGAAAGCATTTGCATGGTCGCAAGTTGCTGGGTGGTGCTGTTGATGGAAAGGAGTTCGACTATCTGCATGATTTGATTGTTTCGCAGGAGCTGAGCCGGGCGAACGCCAGAGGTGGGTTCATTCTTCGGTGTTTACTGTCATAGCGAGGTACTGGATACTAACGGTTGGCAGGCTTCTCGGACGGAAACATGGCTGGTATGGCTATCAGTTTGACCGCCGTTCAGCAGTGGTTGCGCAATGTGCCTCTTCGCGACCAGATCACCGACGAGGTTCTGTCGGGCAGAAAGAAGATGTGTCTTGCCATCACCGAAGCTTTCGCTGGTAGTGACGTGGCTGGACTGCGCACCACGGCGACAAAGACTCCAGATGGCAAGCACTACATTATCAACGGCACCAAGTACGACCCCTACCATTTATACAGTCACAACATGAGCTAACCATCCTGTAGGAAGTGGATCACCAACGGCATGTTCGCCGACTACTTCGTTGTGGGCTGCAAGACTGAGAAGGGCTTCTCCGTGATCCTGGTCCCCCGCGGCGAGGGCGTCGAGACTAAGCTGATCAAGACCTCCTACTCGACTGCCGCCGGTACGGCATACATTCAGTTCGAGAACGTCAAGGTTCCTGTTGAGAACCTGCTGGGCGAGGAACACAAGGGCTTCATCGTCATCATGAGCAACTTCAACCACGAGCGTTTCATGATGGCCTGCGGCACGATCCGCATGGCCATGACGGTGGTCGAGGAGTGCATGAAATGGTGCAATCAGCGTATTGTCTTCGGCAAGAAGCTGATTGAACAGCCTGTGATGCGACAAAAGTAATGACCACCCCCTCTTCAGAAAGAATGAAATGCTAACCATAGACAGACTCGCCCGAATGATCTCTCTCTGCGAATCCAACCAAGCTTGGTTGGAATCCATCGCTTACCAAATGTGCAACATGACCTACAAGGAACAAGCGACGCATCTGGGTGGCCCCATCGGCCTGCTCAAGTCTCACGCAACCCGCGCCGCGCAGGAGATCGCTGAGCAAGCGACGAACATCTTCGGTGGTCGTGGTCTGACCCAGACGGGCATGGGCAAGGTCATCGAGATGTTCCATCGCACGTACAAGTTCGACGCCATCTTGGGTGGAACGGAGGAGATCCTGGCCGATTTGGGCGTACGACAGGCTATGAAGAAGTTCCCTAAGGCGATGCTGTAAAATATGTACTTCAGGATTTAGATACCATAAAATTTCGTTATGCCGTGAGATATGGCTTCTCTAGCATTTTCCTGTACGCCTGTACGAGTCTGGTAGAATATCACTAGTTACTATTCCCTTTATCATGGGGGCCCTCAAACACCCCAGTATATTTCAAGCAATGGATTTTATCGCACTGCCCATAACTCGACTCGACAGAATAGTCATGAAAGCGTTCTCTCATACAAAAATACCCACAAACGCCCAGTTCCTGCTTGAAACCTCCTCTTCCCATCATTGATTCGATTGCTGCTCCGGATCCATACTCGTCTCAATTTTCCTAATCACCCGTGCCGGATTTCCAGCAACGAAGTGAAAAGGTGGCACATCCTAGTGGCAAGTTAGCAATCTACCATAGCAATGATGAGAAAGAAAAAGAAAGACATACCCTGGTAACAACGCTCCCAGCACCAACCGTACTCCCCCGTCCAACCCTAACACCCGCCAAAATAATCACTCCCGCCAATCCAAACATCATCTTCAATATGCACTTCCTTCCCCGCCTCCGGGCCCTCGAGCCCGCGTCGCACAGCAGGATCCATCGGGTGCGTGGCACCATAGATGCTAACATTGGGGCCGAATAGGACGCGTTCCCCGATTGTCACAAGACAGGTATCCAGGACGATCAAGTTGAAGTTGAGGAATGTCCCTTTTCCGACCTTGAAATTGAGACCGTGGTCGACTGTGATTGGGGGGTCGACGAAGGGGTCTGTATCTTTGAATTGATCTTCGTCTTCTTTGGCATCCGCGAGAGGGGGTGGGAGAGGACGGGTATCCCCAATTATACTAGATGTCTATTGGTATATATCGCAAAGTGCAGAGATCAAACAAGCATACTCTCTCCATAGTTCCACCCTGCGCCGTCTAGATACTTGTCCGGCTTCGTTGAACTGCTGACATGCTAATTTGCATCGTTCGCGGTTGGCTTGTAGATCCTCGTCCCAGGCCCAGTATAGCTCGCCACTGAGCATTTTCTGCCATTCTTTGGAGGTGGTCATCGTGACTGTATAATGTCGGTGGTAGAGAGGTGTAGGTGATGAGAATCAAGGTTTGTCTAACGTAGGGATGTCCTTATATCTATATTATTATGCAGAGGATACTCCACCGAGGATCGGACTTGACCGGGTTGGAAGAATTGCTCAAATCGGCAGTGAGTGCAGGTTGACACTTTTACTGTATTAGGAAAGTAAGGCAGTCACTTGGAGTTAGCGTAGTGATTGATCTAACCTAAAGTGAGCTAGCTTGTAGCCCTGCAGCTCTTGGCGCTCTTGGCGTTTTCACTTTCTTTACTTAAATGAGTATCTTGGAACTAAATCCATGTGGCGATGACCCTCATCTGACCTTCGTTCTCACAAGTTCATCGTATTTTCTGTAATGGGACTTCTTGCTGCTGGAGACTCGGCTGGCTTACATGATGGCAAGCCAGGAAACCAAGGTATATAACTCAGCGGGGCGCCTGGTCTACCTTTGATCTAACGCATATCTTGAATCAACCACGTGTCGATCTCATATGGCGATGTCTGTGCCATCATTGACAGTGTCATCAAATACCTTTCCATGCGCCACGGGGCTGGTTAATGTCTCCAAACCACCACATGGTACATTTGAAAGTCATGCTCGTTACAGCCCACCTCAGGACTTCACGCGAGCATTATACATTCCTCGCCATGACTCAATGACTTCCCATCTCCCTGTGTATAATGTTGCCGCGAGCTATCGGGATTCCACTAGAGATACGGTCTTCGGTAGTTATCTCCACTCGGCCAAGCTGAGTTATATGGATAAGCCTCGGGGTGACGACATGAACGCGCGGGTGGAATATCTGGTCGACGCCAGCAGAACGGACGAAGTTGTGGAGCTGCAAATTCAGCGCAGAAGCTTGAGCCAGAGCGACGACGTCAAAGCCAATGCGTGGGTGCTGTCTTTTCATTTTCAGAGAATGCCAACGCTAACCTTGCTAGTTTCATTGCCTCTGGTAGCGCCGAATTCTTTCTTGTGACCGATCAGGGCGAACACGCCAGTGGTCCGATGACAGCATCTTTTCCCATCGAACCAAGTGTGAGAGGAGAATACAAAGTCCCGCATCCTTATTTCACATGGCGTCTCCCAAGACACAAAGAGACACCCTGGAAATTGGTTCAATGGCAAGTCCACCCAGGACCAAACAGTCTGTTCCGCTACACCTTGGTCAATCTTGATGAACCCGAGATACTCGCAATTTATATTCATGTTGGCATTGTGGTGGCTACCTATAGACTTCAGCGAAGGTGTGCTCTTGCTCCCTGAAAGTGGTGGGCAGGAGCAGGAAGCTGTTGTGATAGCGAGCTTGTTGACGATGTTGCAACGGTTACGTGAAGAAAAATCGATGCACCCTATCAGGGACAGCTCAACTTCAAACTTAGCGAGGAAGTTTGTTTCCAAGCTGCGCCTGCATTAACCACACGGCTGAGAGCATGAAAGTCTCAACGTGCGACTAAGACTATATGAGAGATATGTGGGTTAGCCAGGAGTGATACTGCCTCCGTCAACAGCTTCTTCACCTTATATTCATTTTCCTGTTTCTTTGTCATTTTATTTCTCATTTCTTGATCTCTCTCTTCATTCACTTGTCTTGTACACTAAGGTACGGAGAGTATTATCATCAAAAGCTTCCAGTATCTTCTCGCGTCTGGCAGCGTTGTATTAGAAATCATTTATCTCAGGATATAACAACCAATTCAGGTTTTTAAATGATAAGATAGTCATGTTGTCGTGCAATTCCAGGACAATGAGTCTGAGCAACGTTAGTGGGGCTCGAGGAAGCGGATTTTTAAGCAGACAACCTACAAAGCTTGTCCACGAGATATTTCTATCATCATCGGGTGTTTGGGCAGCACGAGCAGCCCATACCTTCTCTAAAAGATCTCGAGGCACTGGGTTGCGAACCTCAGATCTCTTTTCAATCTCTTTGAATCGGGATAGAATGTAATACTGTGAATGCGGTGCAAGGGAGTCTGCGCCTGCCATGAAGAGAGGTAAAATGAGCAGCTCGACCAGTGGACAGTCCGAAGGTATGGTTGCGGTTGCATCCAAGATCCGAGCCACACAGTCTTGTATGTCCGGGCTTTTCGCCGGACGAAGATCGTCTAGTAAGCGAAGGATGCGTAGTATGCATGCGAACCGGAAGGCCTCCGCCACAGCCAGCCAACGAGGGTCACTACTAGGGTATATCTTCTCTTTGCTATCCCATGCGTATAGCTTGTGCTTGGCCACGAGCATGGCTATCTGATATTCATCCCATGTAAGCCACCCCAATGTGTGCTCTTTGGACTTTTCCAAAATGCCACCAATAATCAGGAACACTTCTCGAGGACATCCGTTCACCATCTCGAATGTGTTTTCACTTGCACATGCAACCAGTTCTCGGATATCTTGAGAGAAGCAGAGGCGTTCTGGACCCGCAAAAGCGCGGATAATATCAAGCCTTCAAGGAATTAGTACGCATCGAAATACTGGGCTGTCCAAATACCATACCAGGCAAGGTTGCCCAGAAAGAACACGGCCCGCTGACGGTGACCGCTTAGTCCCTCGGAAATCAATAGCCGCTTGCAGACGGACATAGCCCCTGTTATATGGATCCCATGAGTCGAAATTCCGGATTCGGCTATCTGTATTAAACGGTCAGGCTCTCAGAATGGAAGGGTAACACTCTCTGTCCTCAGCCACACACATCATGAAGTAATAAAATCTGAATTATGGCAAGAACGGCATCTTGCTCATCCTCCAGCAAAGTTAATGCTTGACTCCTACGGATCTCTTCACTGAGAGCCCGTATAGCTTTCATGCGATATTCTACCGCAGTGGCTTCGTGCATCGTTTGGTTCCCCGTCAATTGCCCGAGATGTGAAGCTGAAAAGCCAAGCACAGCGTATAGTAAACCAATTTGCTTTCGGGCTAAAGGAAGGATATATAACCGATATGGGTTGTCGGTCTCATTACCAATCTCGGAGATCTGATGAGGGCATATAAACTTGTCATCTGGACGAGGTCATTACCATGTTTGTGAAGAATTCATGAGTAAAGACTACACTTACAATGAGTGAGAAGTGTCTCGGTTTCAGGCAATCTAAGTATCTCCGCGATGTCGTTGGATATCTCTTGCGTATCCGTATCGGGTTTGTCCGTGCGTGGTGACGGGTGAGCTTCTTCCGCGGACGTCAGAGCCGCATTCATGGTTCCTGGAGTTTGCTGCTGATGGATGCGTTGCTCTATATTTCCTCTGTGCGCTGCATTCCGAGGTCTTTGAGTGCTCACCGGTATCCGGGCGCCTTTCCATTTTCCTCGACTAGCAATACCACAAAATCTGAACTGCTCCGGATACCCTCCACATACTAGACCCTTTGATATGCAGCGCTGACAATTGGGACGTGCACGATCACACTTTCGACACTTCTCCCTGCATGTCAAGCATGCAGGCCCTACGTTGTAGTATTATGTCAGGCCGATCCTTTGGACAGAGAATCACTGTTACGTACCGACCCGGGGCATTTCCACCAATCTACCTGGATATGTGATTGGATGGCATCACCCAGAGCATGCTTCGCCAAGTGGAGTTCGTGAAAGGTTCGGATGTATCGTGCAAGGTCTGTGTCCCGATGAGTTCAAACTTCATGATAGGCTGAGATCACATGCTGGCCGTTTTGCCTCATCGGGTATTTTGTGGGGCCGCCAATCAATTGACTCTCTCGGTATCCGATGGTAGACACCTTAAGTAGAGCCTCGATTAACCAGAGCTTTGGTTTTGTAGCGCCTTTGTTGAGTTTTTTGCGATACGCTAGCAAGATAGCTTCAAGTTCTCACTCCATGCTTACTGTTTCAGTTCGAATGGACAACTCTTGCTCCATCTGTCTTGGCTGGGGTGTGGTAGGTGAATGAATCATAAGACCGTCAGTATGAAGATTTCGTTACAGCAGCTTAGTCTACTACTCATATCATGGAATAGTGCTCGAATGTTGCGTAGCCTTTGAGATCTTGGAAAAGTGTGCATGTATGTCTGGTCTAGATCGAGGAACAAAACACGCCGTGGCAGGTCGACCTTACTGCCTTCGGCTTAGCGCGGGCGTACAATCTACTTATCAACACGTGAAGGCCGCGATAGCGCTTCTGCCTTCCCACATCATCATCGCGACCTAATATACTAGTATCTACCAACTTCTGCATCGTTTGAACCAACGAATACTCAATATGGCCGGAAATATAGACATCTTACGGGCCGAGAATGTTCTGGACCTTTCCCAGAAGGCTCTACAGGGAGACGGAAATGTGGAATACAGTCTCAAGACTCCGTACGAAGCGGTTGCGCTCATCGGCCATGCATGTATGCTGGCTGTCAACTTTCGTCTTGTGGGCCTTGGCGAAGAACACACGATAGGTTTGTGTTTTTCGGTTCTTTCTTATGCGGTTACTTTCCTTCCTTTCTCTGCTCCTTGCTGATATTTTAGAACCACCAGAAAGCTCCTCGGACAGCCCATCTCTTCCTCCAGGATGGAACGCAAACGATACCTTCTCCTTCCGTTATGCTCATTCGCAGTCTTCGATGCAGTATCTGCTCAAAGTCAGCCGGATAGGAAATAATGCCCTTGTTTTCGCCCTGGCACTGGGAGATGACAAAACCACTTCCTTTGACCTTCCGGTCAAAGACTTCATTTCTACGTCCTCTTTGCCTGTTTCATCAACAACCGAGTCAAACGCCACTCTCCGTGAAGTGTTCATATCTACACCGCGCTTGACTGATTTGATTGGGCTATTCAAGATAAACGTGATCCAAAAGCTCGCTCCCGGATTATACAAGGAAGGATATGAGGCCACGAGTCGGTCAGTACGGGAACAGCCACAAGAGAGACCCCCGCGACGCGACCCATTACGAGATGATCAACTCCCACAGCCCGCGCGCCCGTATCCATTTGACGACCCCCTGGCGACAGCGCCTCGGCGACCAGTTCCTCCGGGAGACTTTGCACCACCCGGATTCGAGGATGAGTTCGAAATCCAGAGACCGCCTCGCGGATTTCCTCCCGGCATGGGAGGCAGAAACCCGCTCAATATTGGAGATCGAGATCTGTATCCTCCTGGACTAGGTCCTCATGACCCTCTCAGAGGGGGCATTGGACCAGGACTTGGCGGAGGCGGAGGTGGAGGTATGCACCCAACTTTTGATGATCCTCTATTCGGCGGCCCCCAAGGGGGAGGATATGATCCGCAGGCGCCGCCCGGGGCCCGATATGACCCTGTCGGGCCAGGATTTGGAGCACCTTTCGGGCAAGGGCGCGGGCCCTCCGGAGGACGTGGCGCCGGCGGAGGCGGATTTGGCGGGTTTGGGTTTGGCGGTGACATCATCTAAGCGCGCGGTTAAGCTCCTTGTCGGTCTAACTTAGTCGGGCAGAAAACAGATTCTACGACATGATGACAGATTGGGAGACAATAATTGCCTCCGGTAATGAATTTGTAACGAAGGATTATGTATTTTAATGGTACAGCTCACTGAATATTATCTCAGTCCCACGGTTGTGCAAAAGCCTTGAACACTTCGTAATTCTGCGCAAGTAGAGGTAGAGATTTCCAGATGTGGCGGGGTTGGCGATGCTTTGGAGATCCTGGGGGAATTGTGGCTGGTGGTTTGCGGCCTGAGTGCAGTGTGGCGCACGGACCAACCACAGCGCAGAGAGGCAGCGACCAAACCTGCACGGCCAGCACCAAACCTCAGTCCAAACCTCCCTTCCACTCTTCCTCCTTCCCCTCCAACCCTCATTATCAACTTCATCCCCATCTACACAACCACCACCGTCGCAATCGGTGTTTGTCCTATTAGAATTTATTTCAGTTCTCCAATTCTGTTGTTCCTTTAATTTCTTGTATTTTCCTCTTACACGTCACCCTCACCGACAGCCTCACGAGACCCGCCCACTCAGTGTTCCGCCCCTCCTCGCCCACAGCCATCCGAGCATCCTACCCTTAACGCATTGTCTGGGATCACTCTAAATGGACAACAATATGGAAATCGATACTGCGCGGTCCCCCGAGCCCCACCGCCTGTCGCCGACGTCTGACCCTGGGTCGATACCGACACTGGACGGATGGATTGAAAATTTGATGAGCTGCAAGCAACTAGCGGAGGAAGACGTGCGGAGACTGTGTGATCGGGTGTGTTGCTGTCCAGGGTTTACAGACTGTGGTGCGGGTTGTGGGTGAGACTAATTTTGGGATACAGGCAAGAGAGGTGTTGCAGGAAGAATCCAATGTGCAACCAGTTGTACGTGCCTTTGTTTTGATTTTGTGTTCTCCCTTCCTCGCGAGCTGAGCGACGCGACCGGTCGGATGTTGACTTGGCCATTACAGAAATGCCCAGTGACTGTGTGCGGTGATATACACGGCCAGTTTCACGACTTAATGGAACTGTTCCGCATCGGAGGCCCGAATCCAGACACAAACTATCTGTTTATGGGTACGTTCCCGTGTCGGGGTCTTTGGCTGGTCCCTCTAACCCTCCTTGCCTTTTGCTAGGTGACTATGTCGACCGTGGTTATTACTCCGTAGAGACCGTTACCCTCCTTGTTTGCCTTAAAATCCGTTACCCCCAGCGCATCACCATCCTCCGTGGAAATCACGAGTCCCGCCAGATTACTCAAGTATATGGATTCTACGACGAGTGCTTGCGTAAATATGGCAACGCCAATGTCTGGAAATACTTCACGGATCTTTTCGATTACCTACCCCTCACCGCACTCATCGAAAACCAGATCTTCTGCCTCCACGGCGGCCTGAGTCCGTCGATCGACACGCTTGACAACATTCGGTCCCTGGATCGGATCCAGGAGGTCCCCCACGAGGGACCGATGTGCGACCTGCTGTGGAGTGACCCCGACGACCGATGTGGCTGGGGAATCTCGCCCCGTGGTGCTGGATACACCTTCGGGCAGGATATTTCGGAAGCATTTAATCATAACAACGGCTTGACTCTGGTTGCACGAGCACATCAGCTTGTAATGGAGGGATATAATTGGTCGCAGGATCGGAACGTGGTCACAATTTTCTCCGGTAGGTGCCTTGATGCTTCGCTTTCAGGTCATAGCTAATACGCGTTTAGCGCCGAATTATTGCTACCGCTGCGGTAACCAAGCCGCGATTATGGAGATTGATGAGCATTTGAAGTATACATTGTACGTGACACTTCGTTCTCTGAATTCTTTTTTTTTTTTTTTTTTTTTTTAGCTAACCGTTGTCGTTCGGTAGCCTACAATTCGATCCCTGCCCCCGTGCGGGCGAGCCAATGGTCTCGAGGCGTACCCCCGACTATTTCCTGTGATTGAATGTGATAGACTTCTCACCTCTGGCAAGATGAGGTTCTCCGACCCTTCGAGAGGGCTCCTAGGATTTGGAACTGCAGACGCGACGGTCTGCCTAGATAATTGTATGTCTGTTTTCTGGGCCGTGTTGATACCATTCATGAAAATAAAAAGACATTCGCAAGAGTTTTGTTTTATCCTGCGTTTTGCGGTGGCTCCTTCTCAGAGTAATGGGGTTTTTCCGGGCAGCTTCTTGGATACAGGCGGTTATGGTTTGATGTTAGAACTTTTACCAGATACACCGCATTATGAACCGAGGCTGGGTCTGTGTGGATTACGTCCTCTAGAATAACCGGGGAGGTGGACAATAATGAATTCTATGGCGATGGTTCTATCACAATCATAAGAGTATAACACAGGGTCACGTGTGTCTTTGACACTGAAACTTAAAGTATTGCGTGAAGCCATTCAGCTTATGTGATTTTTCTTTATGCCTGCATTGTCTGGCTTTTTTCGTCAAGGTATATGCTACTAGTACCAACATGGACCGCTTTTGATTGAAATTCTTGTATAGCACCAGGCAATATATATAGTCGATCGATTTCCCCAAATAGCCTGAGCTGTCGGGAAAAGACAGACTAACATTGGTAGCATTATAGAACCAAACACGTATTGGCAGAGGTTCAGCAATCTAAGCATAATTTCGAATGCTCAAAATACGTACCATAATATTGATACACCCATGAAATATTATAGAACAAGTCTCTCAGCAAAGAAATGCCAAGCAAAAGGCTGTCGCTGAGCTCTAACCCGAAGCTCCCGAAGGAAGAGGTGCCAGTGGAGCTGTCCGTCCTTCCTAGTGCTCACTACTGAAGGTTCCCCCTCCTTCAACCGTCTCCTACTCAGTACATTTCCCTCAACAAAAGAGCTACTACGCCACACACACACTACAACCAACAAAGACCCCACCACCACATCATTCAAAGGACATGTATTGCTGTACACCCATGCACCTCTAGACACAACAAAGAAACAACATCCCAAAAAAAAAAAAAAAAGAAAAGAAAAGAAAAGAAACAAACACACAATCGCTCAACCCAGCACCAATCATGAATGCTCAATCAAAACAAACAAACAAAACAAAACAATGGTAGCATCATAGCTCATACCAATACATCTCTACACTTTCAACCCACTCGCCTTCTTCGCCAAAAGCGCCTCCACCTCATCCTTGTGCTTCGAGAAGTTATCCACCAGATTATCCCACATGGCCGGCTCATGCTCGTGGCGCTTCTGGCTGTTCCACGCGTAGTCGGTGATGGTGAAGGCGCGGGACGACTCGAACATGATGGCGATGGATGCCTCCGAGATGCGCATCACCGGTGGTGGGGCCTCGGAGGCTGCTTTGAATTCTTCGTAGGCGACGCCGTGGGGGACCACTTTTTCTCTGAGGTTAGTGGGGGTGTCTCGTTTTTTTTTTTTTTTTTTTTCTTTTTCCTTTTCTCTTGGGTGTGGGGAGAATGACTTACTGCCGCATTCGAAGGAGAT